GAGAATGCCTGCAGTGTTGCGCCGTTGACCAAATTCTGCACAATCGTTGGACCCACGGCACCGATCAAGTACAGTGCCGTCGAGTCCGTGATGGTTGGAATGTTGAACTGATTGAAATTAAGCGCAGTAGCATAATCGTCGAGATGCAAATTGGACTGGATTGCGAGATTGACATCGAGATTCTTCAGAGCATCCAGAATCGCTCCAAACACGTCGAATTGAGCGCCACTGACGCAAGTAGCTGTAGCAGTGTCGACTTGTGTGGTGATGGTCGTGGCGGTGCTGGCTTCTCCCAATACGAAATTGAACTGATCAACAAGAGGGCCAAGATCGACACCGTTTTTCGCAGCTTGCGCTATAAGCAGCATAACAATTGTCTTGGGGTCGAGGTTGAAGTTGAATGTCAGCTGTCGACTGGTGATTTGTGTATGACCAGGTGCCGTTATCTCTGGATTCAGCGTTGATTCCGTGATGTTCCCCAGCTGTAGTGCTGGCGATGTAAGCGGATAGGTCGCGAAGGCATTGACAGCGTTCAGGTTGATTGCTGCGGTGAAGGGGTTATCGAGATTGAATGTGGCTAGCGCTCGACCGGTCTGTACGATGTCAAGAGGGAACACCAAATTGGCCTGAGTGATCAGATTCTGCATCAAGGGTGGGATGATCGTGTTGAGCCTGATCGTGCCCAATGCCTGCTGTAGAGATTCGATCGGAGTGGTTGTGTCTGTACCGACGATGATGGTTGCCGAGGCTACCCCTTGCACGTAGCTGCAAACATTGTCAGCAGCCTCATCAATGAAAATCCGCAGACGTACTTTTCGAGGAGCATCTGGCCGACTGCGACGGCAGCGTCTCCTTGCGGCGAGTAATGCACAGCAGTAGCAATAGTGTTTTGCCCAGGAACCAACACGAGGTTCGTGATGTCCGCTGTACCGATCAGCGTATTCTCGAATGTCAGGCCGAAGGAAACATCGCCGGTGCCAATTGTGATCTGCGAAGGATTGAAAATGTGCGCGTTGGCGTTGATCTGCAAATAGTCAGGATAGCCGTGGTAGACATCCAAATCAGACACCGTCGTAGGCTCGGCGTTGAGACCCTGTAGGCCGGCCACCTCGGTTGTGACCTGAAAAGCAATTTGATCGATGTTGAGTGCTCCAACAGCAGTCTGGGCGACCGTATCGGCAGTGCCATGTAGGACGAACGATTTATTGACATTGTCGGTTGTGTCTGTCAAGAATTGCGAAAAGACCGCATGTTGTCCGCTATAATTCGGGTCTACCGCAAACGGCACATTCTGGAACGCGAGACCAAGCGTCCTAGCCACGACATCGGTCGTTGCAGGAATTTGAGGTACCGCAATGAGTGCAAAGTCGGTGCCAGCATCCTGCGATATGATATTGGTGGCAATGTTCGTGATGTCCAGAGGGAATGCGAAGGGCAGCTGGAACGCGGCGACCGTATTGTCTGTTGAAAATGACGGCGACCAAGCCGTGCCGGTCGTGAACAAAAGCGTAAGCTGATTGAGAGTGATAGAATTGATGATCTGAAGACTGGCCGCAGCAGGCAAAGTCACGGGAATCGCAAGCGCCTTGATGCCATCGTTCAGCCATGTGACGCCATCTGGCCCGGCCGTGACACCGTGCACCAGCAGCTGTGCTGGAACTCCGTGCACAAAGCCATTGAATATCGTCGAGACGTCATCAAGACCCTGCTGCGTCGTCTGAGGAATGAGTCGACCTACTAGCGGCAATTGCAATGAGCCTTTCGGCGGCAGGACGAATGCAGCCGTGCTGGCTGCAGGTCCAATGTCGGTCTGACCGAAAGTGTTTTCGAAAGCAATTGTCGATAGCTGGACGCCAACGCTGGCAGGATTCGTCAGCGTCGTGGCGAGGGTCAACGTGATGCCACCGGCAGGATCGTTCGCAGGCAGATCAAAGGAATTGATGATTACATCCCCCCTAAAGCTGTTCATGCCGGCCAGTACGACAGACTTGCTGATGCTGACACCACTAACGCTGATGCCAAGCGCTGTGACATCTAGGTTTTGACCGTAAATCTCCCAAGTGAACGATTCCTCCGTGAGCAGGTAGCTTGTAAAGTCGGTAAGATGACCAACGTCAGCCACAGCGAAGGCTGCTTCGAGATTCAATGTGGCGCCAACGTCGCCGACAAGTGAGATGTCAGGCATCGCGATCTGACCAAGTGGAGCGCCGTTCCAAGCTACAGTCAATCCCTGTGTAAAGGTGATCACGGCATCGAATGGCCCGGAATTGGTGATTGAGCCCGTAAGCCCAGTACCGAACGAATTGAGTAGGGGATTTGTGATTGTGACGGTATCAACAGCCAGGGTGGCTGCATCGACAATCCGTTGCACAACTGGCAGCGCGAGCACAGGCAGCAACAGGTTGAGGGTCGCGTCTGTCACGACCGGCACGTCCGGCTGCACGCAGATGATCAGCACTGGTAAAGCCAGAGAGAAGCGCACACCCACTTGAGTGTATGTCAGGTCGGTCGTGAATTGACCGATCGAGACAACAGAGACGAGGTCGACATTGACTGTCAGTTGCTTGAACGCGGTATCAACGTACGATGGCAAATCAAAGCCAGTGTATAGGTTGCGTTTTTGCAATCGATGCTGAGACAGCTCAGCGGGGAGTTCGGGGCTTGCCAGATGCGATTTTTGGCGCTCGCTAGGGAGCTCTACCAATTTGCCCGGCGAGACAAGCAAGTCATCCAGACCGTCCGCGCCGAAGGTCGCCCACAGTGCTTCCTCGTCCTCTTCGTGGAGTGAGCGCTTGGCTTTGCGCGTGCCAGGTCCAGTAGTCGGCACATATTCGTAGCCGCCGAGCTGTACGATGCCGTCGATGTAGGCTGGATCTAAGCCGGCTTCGATTGCCAACTCTCGTAGCAGCGAGAAGATATCGGGTGGATACAAATTGAGACCAAAAGGTAGCGTCGGCGATACGGTGGCAGCTTTGCCAGCAGCGACAAAGTTAGTGTCCGTGACAATTGAGCCCAAGTAAAGGCCGCGAGAGGTGATGTTGCTTTGAATGTTGGTGATATCGAGCACCGAAGTGAAGGGGTTCTGCAAGGACACCGTAGCATCGGCGATGCTGTTTGCAAAATTGGTTGTTGGCAGCACTGTGAGTGCGGCGTAGTTGAGCAGCTGCGTTTGCAAGCCGCCGAGCGTTGCGTTAAGTTGCAATGCCATGAAAGCTTGCGTGAGGGAATCGTATGCCGTTGAACCATTGAAGCCACTGATACTGAGCTGAGAGTCAAGACCTTGTGTGAATCGATTGAGCGTATCGAGTGCAGTTGGGTTGTTGTTTGCCTCAAATTGGCCAACAGAGGTGTGGGTTTGATACCCGATGGACAGGCTAAGCGCGGGCAGCAGCGTACGACCGACGTAATCTCCATTTCTAAAAAGCTGGAAGGTCACGTCACCCACGTCAAGCAACAGATTTGACGGATTCGTGAGGCCGACGAGGATATTGAGCTCGATGAAGTCAGGCGTGCCGCCCGTGACATCGACTGAAAGGATGAGCGTAGGCGCTGTTTGTAGGAGCTGCAAGCCGATCAAGCCGGCAGGCACGTAAAAGTTGACCGGATTCAGGATAATCTCACCGATAGGCGTTGACGTAGTTGCCGCAGTCGTGCCCTGCGCAACCATTAGCGCCACCTCACGAACGTCAGAGGCAAGATACGTTGAGGAAGAAAGAGCTGCCGTTGGTAGCAGTAAAGTCTTTCTGAAACTGACTGTATGCAAGATGACCTTCGTATGTGTCAGGTACGACCAGCGGCGAGGGCGGCAAAGTCAATGCAAGATCGCCAGTAGTGAAGCCTGCATTGACAGAGTTCAAGATCGTTGTTGCTGCGCCAGTGATGCCTTGAATCTGCGCAATGTTGCTATAATTTTGAACGATCGTAATCTGAGCTGCGACAGCAGAAATGTTCAGGCTGAAGCCAAACGGCAAGCCAATGGATGCCTTGAGGTTGTTTGAGGACGCTGTTGGCTGATACGACATTGTTGGATCGCCGAAAAGAAGACTGAACACTTGAATTTGAATGCTCTTGATAGGATTCAACGGGCCAGTGGGCGATTTGAGCGGAACTTGCAGCTGTAAAGCTCGAATACCTTGGGCAAGCCAGCCGATAACTTCTCCGTTTGGTAGAGTGACGCTTCTGCCCACGGCGACGACAGGCGTGGCGTCACCATTGACATAGTTTGTGAAGAGTACGCCGAGCTGTGCGAGCGCTGTGTCGTTACCAGCGTACGAGAGCAGGCGTCCTGTCAATGGAAAGCTATTGACACCCGAAGTCAAATTGACAAATTGACTCGTCCGTGCTGGCCCTAGATAGAGGTCCTGATAATAAAGATCGACGACTAATGTGCCAACTTCGACACCAAAGGCGCTGGGGTTTGTCAGCGTCGTAACGACGTCGAGTGTGATGCCGCCCGCCGGATCATCGCCAGGTAGCTGAAAGTCTGCAATAGCCACATTCGTGAAATTGGCCATGCCCGGCAATGTCAGATCCTTGACAAACTCGAGATCGCGAGTGGCTAGGAATGAGAATGCCTTTGCTTGAACGTTTCCAGATCGCAAGCGCCATGTGAAAGCCTCTTGCGTGATTCTACGATTCATCATTAGCCCATGTGCCTGTCATTCGTCAATGCTCGTACAGGAATTCAGCAAATCTGCCAAAGCCGGCGACATCTGTGATAGTGAAGAATGTCTCTTGGTGAATCCGGCCGTGACCGGCTGCAGCGCCCAAGTATTCGAGCGGAAAAGTTCCCAGCATGAGCTCTTCCATATTGTCGGGATTGACCCAGTACACCTCGACAGGCCGATGGAAGAAGATATGCGCCGGAAAGATGCCTGTCTTGGTTGCCTCGCCATCCAATGTGAGGGCGAACGAATTGTTGGCGAGCACAGTCAGATTTCTGCGGTCTATTTGAGCTGACGATCTTGAGACATCATGCGATCACGCACGATGTATAGACATGCAGCACCGAAGTGTGGAGAGCATGCTTAGCAATGGCTTGCAAGACCGGAAAGACGGCTGCCCGGATCATCAGCGCGGTCTCGAAGGGGGTAGGTGCAACTTGCTGATGATAACAACCACCTATATGAGCATATCAGCTTTCGTCCAGTAAGACGAGTCAAGAGACACGCACGACTATGGTGATCGGTAGGATGGCAAGACACAGCACTTTGCACTTCGTGCTTCGATACAGAGGTTTCTTTGCGTATGGCGTGCCTGCTTTCACGCTTCAATGGGGGTTCGCCGTGCTTCTCTTGAAGACTAGGCTGACCCATTGCAGCAAGCAGACCGATTGGCATGCCAGCCCTGTAGGCATTATCCAAATCGCTAGACCGATCAGTGAACCGACTGGAAGCAGGCGTGCCAGAAACTGATGAGCGCAAGCTGCCTCCATTGCTCATGTTCTTGCTCGGCGTAGCGGCGCCATTCATGCGTCGGCTAGAGGCAGTCAGTGGCGCGTTTGAGCCACTGGCAGTCGAGCCCGATCGTGAATGGGTCGGCGTCTTCGGTTCTCCTGAGCCATTGAGCGTGGCGGGTGAGGAGCCATTAGATGGAGCGCTCGGCTGGATATCTCCTGCTCTTGAAGATGCACCGCCGTAGTGGATATATCTGCGTGAGCCGAGTATGATGAGCTGCTTGAAGGATACTCCAATGATACTGCTCAGGCTCACCCATCGTCGCCAACAGTGGTGGCCATTTTTGACTGATTGTTGCGGGCTGAGGCGCACCGAGGATATCAAGGGCCGGTGATCAGCGAGCTAGGCCGGGCTCGTGAGTATACCTGTCAGGCAAGGTCAGGACACGAGAGAGCGTCGAGGGACGCTCTCGAGCTAGAAAAGCGGCAACTAGGCGACGATCTTCGAATCAGGAGAAAGCTGAGCGGATCTGCCAAGTCGGAGGAAAGCGATGCAGGATACCCCCACGTCGAGCGTCCAGCTATCACCGAGGACGAGAGCCAGACCAGTCGCTCCTCGAGGTCGAATGATCGCTGCCGTTCGATGCGAGCAGTCGAGCAGGGATCTCTACTCCACAATTTCAATCGACGACTGTCACCGCCAACGATTGCCCGAATGACGAGCCAAGGCAGGCATCCGGGGAACAAGCGTCGGTGAAAATTTCGATGCTCTCCACAGGCGTGCACATGCTCTGGACCAGAAGAGCCCTTCGATCAAGCCGAGCCACCTTTGCGAGCTTTCGGAGCCAAACTTGCAATAAGAACCGACTGTAATTGGCAGCCGGACAACTGTCTATCGCTTCGATGCAGGCCAAGCGTTTTGGCTGTGCTGCGTGCGCAAGAAGCGCGAGCAAAACCAGACATTGACGTAAGGTAAAGAACAAGCTTCTTGCTATTCGCGTTTCCGATCAGGCGTATTTGTCGATAATCAAATATCCCCGGACTGAATGACCATGTGGACAGCCAGGCACAGCCGGCACAATCGCACGAGATCAGGGGGAGGATGGCGTCCAGGCGGCTTCCCCAGGTCAGCGGGCCAGAGGTCATCAGCATCTGTTTGCCGGGCGAATGCCGCCGCTGCTCCTGCGAGATCGACCTTGCAGATAGCGATATTGCTGAGCGTCGTGTGATCGTCAATGCATCGTTGGGTCTGTCCTTGCGCACAGCTGCTGTTATGATGAATCGACTGGGATCTGCGGGAAGATGGGCCGGCTTCGGCGCACACAAACCGCTCACTGTCGTCAAGGCAATGCGAGCGAGGTAGGCGCGCGCAGAGGAGGGGTGGATCATCGATCATCCCTGATACAACAGACGCTCTCCGACGGAAAGACGAGGTAGCAGATCGAGAGAGCAACCAGAGAGAGAGAGTGTGGAGAGAGGCAAAGATGATCCCGTTGATGTCTCACAGAGCGAGTAGGCTCAAAGTGTCTCCCGATCTGATCAGAGCAAGAATGACGAGGAGAGCACTGGCGAGCACTGCTTACCGGGCTGCCGTGCGACCTTTCAAGCTAGCCGACATCGGCGAAGGGATCACAGAGGTCGAGATCATCAAGTGGTACGCTCTGCGGGCTCACGTGAGATCTCATCCGCCTGATCAGTGTCGCCCTGCAGGTCCATCAACGAAGGTGCACATGTGGAAGAGTTCGATAGCTTGTGCGAGGTCCAGAGCGACAAGGCCACTGTCGACATCACTTCGCCTTTCAAAGGCACCGTGAGCCGTCTGTACGCCCAGCCTGGTCAGATTGTCAAAGTGGGCACGCCCCTTTGTGACGTTGACGACGGCCAGACGAGCACCTCTACACCGTCTGCTGAGCCTGTTCCTGCACCAAGCGAACGACAGCCTAGCTCCCATGGTTTGCTCGAGCAACACCTCGGCGAGCCCAGCCGAGTAACGCCTCTCAAAGAGATCGACAAACAGCATGCACTTGACCCACAGGACGCTTCCCAGGACGGGGCGGACGTACACAGCACACCCGCTGTCAGACGACTCGCAAAGGAGAGAGGCATCGATCTGACAAGTATAGAAGGGACTGGCAAGGCAGGTAGGATCACAAAGGAGGACATTCTGAGATCCATGGAGCTGCCCGCATCCACTGTCATCGGCACGGCCCCAGAGGCGCCTCGAGAGACAGAGACAATCCCTGTGACGGGCATGCGCAGAGCCATGTACAAAGCCATGTCGATGTCTCTCGCCATACCTCATTTCGCCTACAGCGACGAGCTCGACGTCACGGCCCTGGAGCGCGTTCGAACGCAGCTCAAAGGATCTACAGAAACCAAGTTGACACTGCTCCCACTACTCATCAAAGCGCTCGATCTCGCCATGCGTGAGCATCCACTGTTTGCTTCGAGTCTATCTGGCTCTGCTCAAGAGCCTATGCTCCTCAAGCGAGCAAGTCATGATATCTCTATTGCGCTTGCTGCTCCTTCTGGACTCTACACGCCTCTCATCGCAAATGTAGACCGGAAAAACGTCATTCAGATCGCGGATGAGGTTGCAGGCTACCAAGCCATTGTGACCCACGCGGCTCAGAGCCGACCTGCTTTTACTCAAAATATGCTTCGGCCGGGCACGATCACGCTCTCCAATATAGGGAGCGTAGGCGGCACATACACCCATCCCGTGATACCGCCTACCGGTCAGCTCGCCATCGGTGGGCTAGGCCGCGCTCGCATCCTGCCTCGCTATGTCGACGCAGATCAGACGACAGCAAAGCAAGCTGCTCTCACCAGCACCCTCGCCCCAGTACTCCCCGTGCCGCGTATGGTCATGTCAGCTTCTTTCACTGCAGACCACCGTGTCGTCGAAGGCGTTGAGCTCGCTCGCTTCGTCGACCGGTGGAAATTCCTCGTCGAGCATCCAGAGTGTATGCTGCTCGAACTATGCTAGTGCCTCATCCTTCCTCTTTGCTGTCTCTCGCTGTCTGTCGTACCATCATGCAGTCCTTACAACATTGAGCATTTCGCATTAGAAGTTCGTCGTGAGTTTCATATATTGAAGCATGAATTCGCGTCGCAAAGAATGCGCAATCGTGAGATGAACGCATGTCGACTTATGGCAAGGGCTTAAGCTGAGGCTCTATCTCCGGTCACAGTCATGGTTCTCGGGAACGCGCAGGTGAATGCTCTTGGCACACGTTCAAACGAGGCGCTCCACGCTTGTCACTAGTCAGCGTCGCGGCCAAGCTGTACATCGCCGTGTACATCGTTGTGGGGTGCTGTATTGCTACTTTGCGTCTTCCGCCATGTTGCGTGCCAGGGTGAGAGCCTCCTCGAGGGTCAGGACATAACCCCTCCGGCCATCGTTGCCAGTGATAAGCTGTCTATCGGCAAAGCGGAGTTTCTGGGCAGGTGGCTTTGTCGGTCTCGGTAGCAGGGCGGTCGTGGGTGTGGGCTGATCTGCTGGCGTACCCATGCTTCTCCTCTGAATGAGATTACTCGTCAAGTCGGTCAAGTTGGGGGTGCCTGTTGAGTCTGTCGTGCTGACCGTGCTTACCCCGGCGATCGATGTAGCCACAGGAACGTCGGCCACCGTGACATCGGGCACGGGAATGACATTAGGCGTGGGTGCGATCGGGATGCCTACACCAGGCACTCCCAGCTGTGAGGTAATCTGTGTGATGAGTGACGCGCCAGAGGAGCCCAAGCCTACGATACTCTGAACGATATCAGTCACTACCGTGCCGTTGGGGAGGGTGACTGGTAGCGACAACGTCGTAGTAACCGGGCTTGACGGCGTCGCTACAATTCGCGCAAGAGGAGTGATAGCAGCTGCTCGGGCAGTATTTCCGCCACGCAGAGATGCCTGACAGGGAGAACTGAACGAGGCACATTGAGTATAGAGTGACCTGATGATCGAAGGCGTCGTGTAAGACGTCGTCTGAACGACGAGCTCGTTGGCGGCGACGGACGTGCCCATGATGCCGCCGATCATTGTGTCGATTAGTCCATCCAAATCGGTCGATATACCCAATGCCGCCAATACGCCTGTAACGCCGCCGAAAGCCGCATCTGTCAGATCACCGACGAGTGAAATGCCCCCAATACGCCCGCCAATGGATGTGACAACGCCTTCGACAGTCGCTATTGTGCTGCCAATGACTGGCAAGAAGAAGCTCGACATGCCAACACCCGACGTGAAGCCTATTCTCATATTGTCAGTAGAGTTGTGAGCGATAAGCCGGCCCCGAACTCACATTGGATTACTCCTGATAGCAGCGCCGGCCCCAGACTGGAGAGGTCTGGTACTGAGATTGGCAAGGTCGACCCCGACTCTGCTGCACCGTTATCGGGAACAAAGACGACATCTGACCAGCGCGATCAGCGACGGACGACGCAGGAAGTATCGATGCTCACCGTAAGGGATGATGACTTCCGCATAGCTGAGATGTATGAGAGGAAAACCACCGGTCTCTTGGTTAGGCGATTGCACCGTGGTATCAATATCCAGATCCTGCGAGCATGTCAAGCCGCGTCGAACACCGTCATGGATGCCAAATACCACGTCAAGTCCGACCGTGCTTCCATGGAAGTTGTCGGCATTAGCGACTCTGCACGTAGCCCATAATCAATATATGTGCCCTCAGTGCAGTTTCGCGACTGACAGTACTAGGTTCTGTGTTAGCGGTTGCGGCAAAGAAGCTGTGACGATGGGCGATTGCCTGCAATGTCGACTGAGATCCTGTCCAATAGTAGCTTGACTGGGAACCTACCCGGAAGTCGCCGTCGGTTCTGCTCGGAACGATATTGCCTCTGTCAACAGCCTTTGAGCTTTGCGGAATTGATATGAAGATAGCCTACGATCAAAAGTCGCGTACGGCACTTCGCCAAGACTGGCAGATGGCTGATATGCCGTGCCACGGACCTGAGTAATAAGCACCGCTGCCTCGAGTGGATTCTTGACCGCTGCAAGCCATCGTCAGCGTCTTCCGACTGTCAGCCTAGATGGCCCATACTGAAAGTGAAGGTCGCCTCCATCTGACACACAACCATTGCGAGATTGACATAGACTGAGGGCGAACATCAGCCGAAACCTGCTGTAACATGATTGGGACATACTCGTGATGCGATCCACCAAACGAGCGCCTATACCAGGAAACGAGCTCGTGAGCGACACGCCATCCAACGCATCCTTGAGTGACCCGTAGTCTGAGGACGCCTGGGTACCGTCAATCCTGATGTCGATGGGATGACCGTAAGGCGCCGGAACGTTGGTAAGATATTTCGTGACCAGTTGCAGCGAAGCAGCATCTGTGCCCGTGAAATGAAATTCCGATATAACGCTGTTAGCCATAGGCACGAGGTCGAGCATCGCAATTGTTGCGAGCCCGACTGGCGCGGTCGAGCCTCCGTCTTCTGCCAGGGGTATGTATGTGACCGCTAGCGAAATGTCATTAGTCGTAACCGAGACCGTGGATGGATTAGTAAGCTGAACAGGGTTGATCGTGATACGGATGAAGTCGTTGCCTGCATTGGTACCAAACGTTCCGGGCGCACCGAATGGCGAGCCGCCCGAGCCAATCGTGATGGGAGTGTTCGGTATGGTCGCAGTGCCACCGAACGAGTTGATTCCATCTAAATAGGTGTTGATTGCGGCCACCGTAGGGAATTCCGAAGATGCGCCAAATGGTATACCTGAAATCGGAAAGTCGCCGGATGCCGTCTGCGCCACGACGTCGGCCGTGCCTTGCAGCGAGAAATCGGCTCTTTGCGTATCCGTGACCTCGGCGAAAAAAGCGTTGAACTGATCATCGTTCACGGATACGAGGGGAACGTCCGTGAAACCTAGCACGAGTGGTGCTGGCTGTCCTGTAGTAACACCTGCTTGCACTGGCGCGGATGGCAGGTCTAGTGTAGCCGTCGGTACGCCGGCGTAGGCCACATTGATATGAACTGCAGTCGATAGAGCCCGCAGACTGAAGGTGAACGGATTTGTGTAGGTCGCGTCGGTCTCTTTGTTGGACGACGGAACGGCGTATGCCTGATCTGCATTGATAATAGTGACCTCGAGATCACGTAGGAGAATCGAGTCGATGATGGTGTAGACTGTGCCGGGCAGTATTACTTGCAAGGTGAGTGTCTTGAAGGCTGTCGTGAGCCACATTACTGGCGAATTTGGCTGCGCGGTTGACACGACAGAATCACCCGTCACCGCTAAAGTCGAATCGAGACCTCGCAAGAACTGGCTGAAAAGCTGTCCAATCACGGGTAGGCTTGCGTCAGGCTGCTTTTGAATGATGCCCGCCAATTGCGCTGTCGTGGTGGCCTGATGAGCCAAGAAGAGATCGCCGGTATCTATTGAATCTGCGTCAGTATGTGCAGGTGCACACCACAGCACACTCACTATGGATGGGTCCGACTGTGGCTGTTGAGTACTTTGCAACAAAGTTGGCGGTACCTGTCAGTATCGTCAGTGCAGCCCATACCATGCACAGCCGACACACCCAGATCGATGCCTAACTGCGCTGGAGAAGGTATCATCGACCCGGTGAGGATGTTGATGCCAGCGTTATTGGGCGCATCGCCTGGCAGATCGAAGTTCATGATAGTGACACCCGGCAAGCCATTGAAAGCTGCAAGTGTGATGGTCTTGCCAAAGTTGACATTGCTAAAGATCGTACCCAGCGCGGTGACTTGCAAATCGGCAGTGTGCAGGAACCAGTCAAACGACGGATTGTGCAAAATGTAGGTCGCAAATTGCACAAACGCGCTCTGATCGGTAATCGTGAGCACACCATTCGTGACCAGATTTGGGATCGAAGTGGTCGCGGCAGCGCACAGGTCCGGCAGGGCAATATTCGCGATGGTCATGCCCATCCAATCGATCAAAAGACCCTGCGGAAAGCCGATATATGCATCGAAAGGTCCTGTGTTAGCCAAAATACCGTGCAGGGTCGTCGTGAAGCCATTGTCGGTGACATCAAAGACGTCGGCGTATGCTACAGTGAGCGTTGCCTGATCCACCAGTCGTTGCACGATCGTGGGACCAACAGCGCCGATGAGATATAACGCTGTACTGTCCGTGATAGTTGGGATGTCGAACTGGTTGAAAGCGAGATTAAGTGAGTAGTCGTCCAAGCTGAGACCAGACTGGATCTGCAGGTTGACATCCAAATTCTTGAGCGAGTTCAAAATCGCGCCAAAGACATCGAATTGTTGTCCACTGACGCAAGGCGCGGCACCGGTATCTACTGCAGTCGTTATCGTAGTAGCTGTGCTAGCTAGTCCTAGTACATAATTGAATTGGTCGACCAGAGGGCCAAGATCGACGTTATTCTTCGCCGCCTGCGCAACGAGCAGTCTGATGATTGTCTTGGGGTCCAAGTTGAAGTTGAACGGCAGCGTCCGGCTTGTGATCTGTGTATGACCTGGCGCAGTAATCTCTGGATTGAGATTAGCCTGCGAAATGTTGCCGAGGTTCAGAGTGGGGTTAGTGAGCGGATAGATGGCCATTGCCACAACGCTCTGCAGGTTGATGGCCGCCGTAAAAGGGTTGTCGAGGTTGAAAGTTGCTTGCGCTATGCCGGTCTGAACAATGTCGAGCGGGAACGTAAGCTGCGCTTGCGTGATTAGATTCTGCATCAACGGTGGAATGACCGTGTTGAGTGTCAATGTCGATAGTGCGACCTTGAGCGGAACATAAGGCGTCGAATCAGTCGTTCCCTGGATCTGAGCTGTTGTCGGTACTGCCTGAATGAAGTTTTCCAGCAGCGTATTGCCTGCAGCGACAGCTCCGTCGCCGGATGGCATACTGGACATACCCGTAAGCAAAACCATCAGACTCGCAGCGAGCGCACACATACAAGTGTACCATGGACGGCAAAGTATTCGAACCGGGCACGAGTGCGAGGTCAGGAATGATCGCTGTACCCAGTACTTGATTCTCAAACACTAGATTGAAGACGACTTGCTGAGTATCGATCGTAAGATTGGATGGATTGTTGAGCGTTGCGTCAAGATTGATCTGCAGATATGATGGGAAGCCGTGGAAGACGTCGAGATTTGAGACCGCAACATCGCTAAAATCATTGAAAGCTGCGAGCGTGATCGTTTTGCCGAAATTGACATTGTTGAAGAACGTGCCCAAGGCCGTGACCTGCAAAGCAGGCGTGTGCAAAAACCAATCGAAGCTCGGATTGTGCAGCAAGAATGTTGCAAAGCGATCGAATGCAGCCTCGTCAGTGATGGTAACGGTACCCGAGGTTATCAAGCTTGGAATCGAAGTGACGGCAAACGCGCAGAGGTTAGGCAAGGCGATAGTAGCAATGGTTGCGCCATTCCAATCGATGATGACTTGGTCAGGGAACGCAATCGCGGCATCGAATGGTCCGGTGTCGCGCAGAGTACCGACAATGCCCGCCAAGAAAGAAGTGTCAGTGAACATGTTGATCGTGGCGGAAAAAGCCTGCAAGACTGCCTGATCGACAAGTCTCTGCACAATCGTCGGGCCAACTGCGCCAATGAGATACAATGCTGTGCTGTCTGTGATCGTCGGGATGTTGAATTGGTTAAAGTCAAGCGCAGTACCATAGTCGTCGAGATGAACCTGAGATTGAATCGAAAGGCTGACATCGAGATTTTTGAGCGAGTTCAGAATTGCGCCAAAGACGTCAAACTGGGTTCCGCTCACGCATGTCGGCGCTGCCGTGTCGACAGCAGTCGAGATCGAAGTCGCTGTGCTCTCTAGACCAAGAACATAATTGAATTGATCGACTAGAGGCCCCAAGTCGACATTGTTCTTGGCAGCCTGTGCCACTAGCAGTTGAATGATAGTCTTAGGGTCAAGATTAAAGTTGAATGGTAGCTGTCTGCTCGTGATCTGCGTATGTCCTGCGGCGGTAATCACCGGGTCAAGATTTGGTTGTGTAATGTTGCCCAGCTGCAACGGCGGCGTGGTCAGGGGATACATGGCGAACGCGTCGACAGCATTCAGATTGATAGCCGCAGTGAACGGATTGTCAAGATTGAACGTCGCCTGCGCAATTCCTGTCTGGACGATGTCAAGAGGGAATACCAGGTTGGCTTGAGTGATCAAATTCTGCATAAGAGGGGGAATGACGGTGCCAAGCTTGATGGTGGACAGAGCCTGCTTCAGAGAGTCGATGGGAGTGGTGTCAGCGGAACCAATAATGACCGTCGACGATGGTATGCCCTGCACAAAGCTGCGCAGTCATGTCAGAATCAATCATCAGATCTGAAGATGACTGGCACACTTCTCCAACAGCATCTGACCGACTGCAACGGCTGCGTCACCCTGGGGTGAATAGTGTACCGCGGTTGGTACCGTGTTCTGATCCGGCACCAAGACGAGATTGGTGATATCGGCCGTGCCAATCGCCGTATTCATAAAGGTAAGTCCAAATGAGACATCGCCTGTTCCGATCGTGATCTCTGATGGATTGAAGATGTGGGCATTGACATTGATCTGCAAATAATCCGGATAACCATGAAAGACGTCGAGGTTTGAGACTGTTGCCGGCTGAGCATTCAAGCCTTGCAAGCCTGCAATCTCTGTCGTCACTTGGAATGGAATCTCGTTGATGTTGAGGGCCCCGACAGCAGTCTGCGCAACGGTGCTAGCGGTGCCATGCAGGACGAACGATTTGTTGACCCCATCAGTCGTATCGGTCAGGAACTGTGAGAAGGTCGCATGCTGATTGCTATAGGTCGGATCGACGGCAAAAGGCACGTTTTGAAATGCCAGAGTAAGTAAGCGCGCTGTCACATCTGTTGTCGTAGGAATCTGTGGCACAGTGATGAGCGCAAAGTCGGTGCCGGCATCTTGCGATACGATATTTGTCGAGGCAGCGGTGATATCAAGCGGGAAAGCGAATGGCAGCTGGAAGGCTGCAACCGTGTTCGATGTCGAGAACGACGGAGACCAGGACGTTGCAGTCGTGAACAGAAGCGTAAGCTGATTGAGAGTGATAGAATTAATAATCTGAAGACTGGCCGCAGCAGGCAAAGTCACAGGAATCGCAAGCGCCTTGATGCCATCGTTCAGCCATGTGACGCCATCTGGCCCGGCCGTGACACCGTGCACCAGCAACTGTGCTGGAACTCCGTGCACAAAGCCATTGAATATTGTTGAGACGTCATCAAGACCTTGCTGGGTCGTCTGTGGTATGAGTCGCCCCGCAAGAGGTAGCTGAAGTGTTCCCTTGGGCGGCAAGACAAATGCAGCTGTGCTTGCTGCAGGCCCAATGTCTGTAGCTCCGAATGTGTTTTCAAACGCAATGGTTGAAAGCTGAACGCCCACGCTTGCAGGGTTCGTCAGCGTAGTTTGCAGAGTCAATGTGATGCCGCCCGCCGGGTCGTTTGCGGGTAGATCGAAGGAATTGATCAGCACGTCGCCAATGAAGCTATCCATGCCTGCAAGCACGACAGTCTTGCTAATGCTGACGCCAGGCACAGAGATGCCGAGAGCAGTGATGTCAAGATTCTGGCCAAAAATCTCCCAGGTGAACGACTTTTCTGTCAAAAGGTAGCTAGTAAAATCGGTAAGGTGTCCAACGTCTGCAACACTGAATGCAGCCTGCAAGTTGAGTGTCGCACCTACATCGCCGACGAGAGAGACGTCGGGCATAGCGATTTGTCCTAATGGCGCGCCATTCCAAGCGACTGTCAGGCCTTGAGGAAACGAGATGACTGCGTCGAAAGGCCCAGATTGGGTGATCGAGCCAGTGAGACCAGTGCCGAACGAGTTGAGCATTGGGTTCGTTATCGTCACGGTATCGACCGCAAGTACCGCGCCATCTACGATCTTCTGCACGATGGGCAACGCGAGAACCGGCAGCAGCAAATTAAGCGTCTGATCCGTGACAACTGGGACGTCAGCCTGCAGAGAACAATCAGCACGCTTCCTCGATAGATCAGCGGAGCATGCCTGAGAGTACGTAAGATCGGTCGTGAATTGACCGATCGAGACGACAGAGACGAGCGCGACATTGACAGTGAGTTGTTTGAAAGCTGTGTCGACATACGTAGGCAGGTCGAATCTGTTCGTGGTCAGTCAGGCACGACAGAAAGTCCGAGTACTCACCCAGTGTATAAGTTACGCTTATGGAGTCGGTGCTGAGCACGCTCAGGTCGATGTGGATCTGTCAAATACGATGCATGGCGCCCAGTCATGGATCCAGAGACCTTGCCTGGCGCAACCAAGAGTTCGTTGAGACTACTGGCACCGAAGTCCGCCCATAGTGTGGCGTCGTCCTCATCTTCTTGAGGCATCGCACGCTTGACCTTGCGAGTGCCAGGTCCGCTGGTTGGTACATACTCGTAGCCGCCGAGCTGCACGATACCGTCGATATAGGCTGGATCTAAGCCCGCTTCCACAGCCAATTCTCGTAGCAGCGAAAAGATATCTGGCGGGTAAAGATTCAGGCCAAACGGCAGAGCTGGTGAGATCGTTGCAGTCTTGCCGCCCGCTATGAAGTTCGTGTCCGTCACGATGGAACCCAAATACAAACCGCGAGACGTTATGTTGCTCTGAATATTGGTGATGTCTAACACCGAAGTGAACGGATTCTGGAGCGAGACGGTCGCATCAGCTATGTTGTCTGCGAAATTTGTCGTTGGTAGCACTGTAAGCGCAGCATAATTGAGCAGTTGTGTCTGCAAGCCGCCAAGGGTCGCGTTGAGCTGCAGCGCCATAAATGCCTGCTGCAAGGAGTCGTAAGGACTTGATCCATTGTAGCCGCCTATGCTCAGCTGTGAGTCAAGGCCTTGCGTGAACCGATTTAGGGTATCGAGTGCGGTAGGGTTATTATTCGCCTCAAATTGGCCAATCGATGTGTGTGTCTGGTATCCTATCGACAGCGACAAAGATGGCAATATCGTCCTGCCAAGGAAGTCGCCATTCCTAAAGAGCTGGAATGTTACATCACCGACATCAAGCAACAAGTTAGATGGGTTCGTGAGGCCAACAAGAATGTTGAGCTCGATAAATTCTGGCGTACCACCTGTCACATCGACCGACAGAATAAGTGTGGGCGCTGTCTGAAGTAGCTGCAGTCCGATCAAGCCGGCAGGTACGTAGAAATTGACTGGGTTGAGAATGATCTCGCCGATTGGTGTAGACGTCGTAGCAGTCGTTGTGCCCTGCTGTATTATTAGCAGGAGTCAGAGATGGAAGGATGTTGCTTACGTTGAGGAAGAAGGAGCTACCATTGGTCGCAGTGAAATCTTTCTGGAACTGACTGTAAATCAGATGGCCTTCATACGTATCGGGAACAACCAATGGCGAAGGCGGCAAGATCAACGCAAGTGTACCCGTGGTAAAGCCGGCATTTACGGAATTAAGAATGGTCGTCGCTGCGCCTGTTACACCTTGCACTTGGGCAATATTGGTATAGTTCTGAACGATCGTAATCTGCGCAGCGACTGCTGAGATATTCAAGCTGAATCCGAATGGGAGGCCGATGCCAGCCATCAGGTTATTGGAAGCAGCAGTAGGTTGATATGATGTCGGTGCACCTGGAAATGTCAGACTGAAAGTCTGGATTTGAATGTCTTTGATCGGATTGAGAGGTCCGGTAGGCGATTTGAGGGGCACGATGAGCTGGAGCGCACGTATGCCCTGATTGAGCCATGCAATCGAGTCTCCGTTGGGTAGCGTAACGCTACGGCCGACGGCAGTCACCAAAGTCGAGTCGCCATTGACGTAATTAGTGAATAATACGCCAAGTTGGGCAAGAGCGGTCTGGTTACCGGCATACGATAGTAATCGACCAGTCAGCGGAAAGCTGTTGAAGCCCGACGTGAGATTGACAAACTGGCTGGTCTGTGCTGGCCCCAGATAGAGGTCCTGATAGAAGAGATCGACCATGAGTGTGCCTACTTCGACACCAAAGGCGCTGGGGTTTGTCAGCGTCGTAACGACGTCGAGTGTGATGCCGCCCGCCGGATCATCGCCTGGAAGCTGAAAGTCTGCAATAGCCACATTCGTGAAATTGGCCATGCCAGGGAGGGTCAGATCTTTGACAAACTCAAGGTCGCGCGTGCCAAGGAAGGAGAAAGCCTTTGCCTGGACGCTGCCTGAGCGCAAGCGCCATGTGAAGGCCTCTTGCGTGATCCTGTAAAAGCCTCAGCCAAGGCCACATCCGCAGTCATCTACCCACAGATATTCTGCAAAGCGACCAAAGCCTGCTGCGTCCGTAATGGTGAAGAATGTCTCCTGATGAATCCGGCCGTGACCGGCTGCTGCACCCAGATATTCGAGTGGAAAGGTGCCTAGCATGAGCTCTCCCATATTGTCGGGATTGATCCAGTACACCTCAACAGGCCGATGGAAGAAGATATGCGCCGGAAAGATGCCTGTCTTAGTCGCCTCGCCATCCAAGGTAAGCGCGAATGAGTCGTTGGCCAGGAATGTCAAGTTACTATACCACCGCATCAGCTTCGATCCATTACACTATAGGATGCGCACGAGGTGTAGATGTGCAGAACCGAAGTGTGCAATGCGTGCTTTGCGATTGCCTGGAGAACCGGGAACACGGCTGCGCGGCACGTTAGCAGACGATGTAAATGGCAGGCGCAACTTGCTGATGAGCACGACAACCTGCATACTGCATAAGCTATGTCTTTACTACAAGCTTGTCAGACCCACGATCACTATAATCGGCAGAACAGCAAGGCAGAGTACTTTGCATTTCGTGCTTCGGTAGAGCGGCTTCTTGGCGTATGGCGTACCTTAGTCTCGCAAATCAGCATGCGAATGCTACAAGCATTTTGAGGCAATCTCACCCATAGCCGCGAGAAGACCGATCGGCATGCCGGCGCGGTAAGCCTTGTCAAGATCACCTGACCGATTGGAGTAACCTGACTCGGGCATCGATGAGAGAGAATCGCCGCGGCTATGTGTAGGCGAGATGTATTTGCCCGTTGTGCCGTTTTTGCGACGGGCGGAAGCCGTCAAGGGGGCAGTCGAGCCGCTCGCCGTCGATCCATTTCGGGAATGCGTTGGTGTGCGGAAGTCAGAGCTGCCTTTGAGTGTGCCTGATCCGCTGCCGCTGGCTTCAGGGGAGCCTGTCGATGCTGGCACATTGCCAGCTCTCGAAGAAGCTGCACCATAGTGGATGTAACTGCAGCATCGACGAATCAGTGGCCGACCCCGCTTTTGCCGCCGAGACAAACCCATCATCGCCTACTGTGGTGGCCATATCGTGGAATCCTCAGTTGTATATTTGAAGCCTGAAAGGCACCGATACTGTCGTGGAAACCGCCTGTCAAGCAATCAGTGATCCCACATGCATTCCAATACCGAGCAGTGCCAGGCCGTCGTATGAGCCCGCACAGCTTTTGCAATCGACTGGAGACCGCCATGTCAATGTCAATGATGTGCATGGTAGAGTCGTGACATGCGCGTGCACACACTGTGTCTTCGCTGTCACTCTTGTCTCTGCTGCTCACGCCGCTGTCTCTGCACAATGCTGAAGACGAAGAAACCAGACGACGGCAAGGACGCTCCCCAAAAAGCGGAGGGCCGTTACGAACGCGAGACATCGATTCTCGAGGCATATCGGCGGATTGTAATGCTCTTCAACAGTTTGAAAGAGATCCACTATGCGAGCATGCGAAGGAGTGAGACACCCTTCCCGGTCTTGGGCAATGATAAAGGATCTGCAAATGAACGATGGGCAGATCAAATCGGTCACGTAGTCCAATTCCCCGTATTTTTCGAGATTTGGGACTCGCTGATCTCGACAATTGGAGCACACGCGCGTAGCCAAGCTTTGGGGTGCGATCACCCTGGCAACGTCAAAGTCGGGCAGAGTGTGCCCGCAAATGAGTCCAGAAGCAGCATGATGAGGTGTACGTTGCATGCGTGTGAGCTGAATGGGTCGAGCAGCCCGTGACCCAACGCAGCAGATCGCTTTGCTGGCAACATGTCGTGGAGTATGCGCGCCGTGACAAGGGCTGCTGTGCATGTGAGCTGTGACCGTTTGAGCTAGCAATTGGCGTACGAGGAATTGCTTCACCAAGAAGCAGGGCTGCTTCTGTCCGCAGAGTGACCTGCTGCTCTGCAGTCGGATCGATTGCGGGCGGGGGCGGATGTCCATCAGGAAAGATGGCTTCTGTTGCGATCTCAACCCAACGAACGAGCTGATCTGGCGAAAAGACGCATTCCGCAAGCAGGTAAATTAGCACCCTTTCAAGCCGTCAGCGTGGTGACTGAGAGCCAGCAAAGCTTACTGATCTGTCGCCGAACCACCCAGGGTAAAGATTGCATCAATAGCAGACACAGCGGTGACTGGTGAAGCGTATTGCGTACAAAGCATTGTGGTCAAGAGGGTCAAACTTGGTCGATGGAGGGCGTAACGCCGCGTCGACATTCTCACTCGACCGCCCAAGATTTGGACGCGCAGAAAGCTCACCGCAACAACGACCATAGTACAAGCATGCTGAAAGGCCTGCCAGAGCGTATGCTGTGTATTTCGAAGCTTTGGCCGAGGCTGCGCAAGCTTGATTACAGTCTGGTAGAGGAACCAAGGCTGAGCGGCGCGGGCGAGAACGTTGGCTAGAATAATCTGGACTATGATGTCCCGCGCGATGGCTTTGACAGCTGGCGAGGTACTCTCTTCGTCTGGCAGCAAGGCAAGTAGCATGCCATCTACGACATTGTTGAGATAGGCAGCCTCGACGAAGTCGGGCAACTTCGAATCGGTCGAGAGCGATGATGTGATCCCCAAATGAGGCTGCAACGTATTGAATACTTGGTCTACTGACTCCGCTTGATGTGCATAGGCTGTGCATCTTCTCGAACAGGCTTCGTGATAGTCTCGTACGTGAACATCGACTAGAGTTGGGAGCCTGCAGTATACGAGCTCGGGCAGGTCAATTGAGCTGCAAGCTCGCTCAACTTCCCGCAGAACGTCGACGAGTACTCTTCTGAGCTCCCATACGAATTCCTTGTCTCTACTGAGCTTGCCGTACCACGGCAAAACATGCTCCCGTAAGATAAGTGCGAGCAAGTTGTATAGAGGTCGATCGAGCCGCTCGCCCAGTCTACGGTTGCGCAGCAGTGGAGGTAGCTCAATCTGCGAGCAGCTCTGTGCGTGTGGCGATGCCGAGGGTGGCCATAGCAGCCTATACAGAACAGCGTCTGACAGCATGCGAATTCATTTAGCCTGAAGCGCCAAAGCTATCAATATTTAGTCTCAGGCTACTCATTGCGGCAGATGTGCATATGGCTTCAACACTCGATCTGCAGAGATCCTCACGACTTTGATCACTGCAGGCCCACGTGAACACTCATGATTTTCAGGTCATTGCTCGTCAACATCCAAGCTCAGTCAGGAGGTAGCACAGTGTCGATAGCGCGCCTGCGCAGCGAATCATCGTGGTGTCTACTATGCATGCGTTCCAGGCATGGCAGCTTATGTCTGAGATGGGCGAGAAGCTACGGTCAAGCGCTGACTGATGCGATGACGCGCGTGTTCGCAATTGCAAGCGAGCAAATTCGCGTGCGACGACGCGCATACGCTGGTTGCAATTGTCTCACGACGCTCTGCCACAACTCATGGCCTGCAGCGGCAAAAATCGTGCGCAGCATCGCAGCAAAAGTACTCGCTACGTGGGTCGAACACGTGACCGTCGGTTCCCATACAAGATCGAAGACCGATATGCTACCACTACAACAAGCGAGCCAGTTTGTGCGAGAAATGCACCATAAGGCGTATATATACCTTGACTCATAAGGACAAAACCTTCTAGGATCAGTGATCTGGCGCCGGCCTCTTGCGCACGCGCAAGCCGCGACGCATAGGGGCTAGCAAAGGCTCTGTGGTGTACTCCGCAGGCGCAGAGCAGTTGACAAGAGCCGACTTGGCGCACGCATCGTGAATTCTGCTCTGCGTTAGCACAGTCGCCTGATCAGTAGCAAGGATCTTACACGAGATTGCAGCGTTGGCATTGTAAGTAGGGACAAGTAAGAGTGATTCTGCTCAAGCAAATGCCGCAACTCGGGACCGGCTTTGCGATAGAGAGCAGCGGCTGTTGCGTGGCGAAGGCATGTGTCTGCATCTGTACTGATCGAGATGGATTTGCCGTATTTGCGACGCCAATCAATGCGCTAGCTTCTGTCTGCCGCGGATTGGGAGTAGGATCGCGCGCGTCTGGTAAAGCTCGGCTAGGACATGTAGTTTCATGGGCATCGCGTATCAGGTGGAGACGTTCGATTTCGCGCAAGGAAATGAGGACGTAGCGAATATCAGGTCGCTTGACCGGATCGGGTACGCAACAAGCGAGGACGAGATCGACAAAGCCATCAGGAGCGTCAGGACCACAGCGCTGTCGTACCTCGTTGGAATCTAGTGTATAGTCTGAGTTGCGACGAAAGGCGCGCTTAGATCCGACGAGCGTTCGAGCGCCAATCTCGGCGAGGATAACGCCGAGCGAGAAGACGTCGGTTGCCAGATCAAACTCGTGTCCCATCATCATCTCGGGTGACATGTAACCGTCTGTATGGACATAGAAGTAAGATCGGTATCATCAGGAGGCGCTAGAGGTACCAGTTCCGCAGTAAGAAAGACGATCACGCTCGTTGTCTGAGCGAGGCGCGATGCGGGCGAATCCGAAATCGCCCAGCTTCAGGGCGAAAGAGGAGGTGACGAGTATGTTTTCACCCTTGATATCGCGATGCATGACATTGCGAGTGTGCAAGTACGCAAGAGCACGAGCAAGGTCGATGGCGAATGCGAGCTTGAGTGCCCATGGCAACGGACGGTCACTGTCTATATATTGACGAAGATTGCCGCCGGCGATGTATTCTTGCACGATCAGTATCCGTTTGCGATGATCAGTGGTCGTACTACGAGGACAAACACAGAGTCCGATGAAGAGGACAACGTGAGGATGGCGAGAATTAGACAGCAATGTCAATTCCCTGGCAAAGTACTTCTCGACGTCATATTCCGCAGAAGCGAGGATTTCCTTGAGGGCGACATCCATGCCCAGATACTCTGCTCGATAGACGCGACCTGGGGATCGCATGAGACAAGGCATCGTCAAGTAGGCAAGTCTGACCGAAGCTGCCTGAGCCGAGGGTCTTCCAAGTCGGTTCAGGGCTCAGATCCTCATAGCGGACCGTCTGGTGATGGGGTCAGCTAAGCCGGGAGCCTGGCGATATGGCGCACATCGAAAGAGCTTTCCCTCTTCATGAGCGGCTACGGCGACTGTGTTGCGAAGGGAAACGAGTCAGGCCATCTGCATTCTGGTACATCGCCTGAGAATGCTCGTGCGCCTCAACGGAGCGTCTGAGCGGGTCCGTGCTCAGATGGACGAGTGCACGAGCTGCCTCGACCGTACGAGCAACTGCAGCATCGCGATCTGCTCCACACGTTGACCGACTGCCAGCTGTGCGGCCTGCGCTGGCGGCGAGCTCGCCCTTGAGCATTATCGTGGCAAGCAGTCAGCGTTTCGCTTTGCCAGCCTTTTTCTTCTTTTTCTTGCTAGCATCTACATTAGCTGCTGGTAAGCTAGTGGTAGCAACAAGAGCAGGCTCTGCAGGCTCTGGTCGGCCTTGCATCTCTGCCATGAGCGTCGCATTGAGCAGATTGAAGCGATTGATGATGGCGCTAGACCGTGTGCGATATTTGTAGCACTGCATCGCTCTGCGTGAGGAAGCCAGCAGCTTCTACTGATGCAAGCGGACCTTTACGTCGTCAGTGACTTTCAGAATGAGTCTGCCTTCATGCTTTCGCCATCGTATGCAGTACCGCACCTGCTGCTTGCCATCAGCATGTGCATCAGGTACGGCGGACTGACTCACCTTGTCCGGGCTCTGGCGGTAGAGATGAACGGATGCAGCAGCAAAAGTCTGCCAGTCTGACGTATACATCCTGAGCAGCTGCACTGACAGATTCCTTCGAGTCGACTGACGGCCACCGACGGCCACCGGCACGCGCACAACAGTGCACGGGCGACAGGGCAAGCTCCCGGCCGCACTGGGATGAACAGATGGGAACCGTTTGTGTCGACAGTCTCGAAGCTCCCCGAGAATCTGCTGCCTGCAGAGGACATCCTGCTCCGACAAGACGGCGTAGGACTCTATGACGGGTCAGATAGAGCGCTCACAGCCTTTCACCCGTGAGCTGACGCTGATTCAGGCGAAATAAAGCTGCAGAACAGACTGACGGACGGCTACATCTCACTACGCATCGACTGATCTACCTACACTATCCTTCCACGCCGCCAAATGCCAGCTCGAACGGCAGCATCGACTCGCGCTTATCGAGGGCCTCGTGTGCGCTCGACTTGCATCAGATCATTCAGACCGAGTTCTTCGCCGGCTTTCTCAAATCCTCACCCAAGATCACTCTCCTCTTACGCCCACGCGCAGATGAGAACCTGACCAGATTAGCACGCAAAAGGACTTGGCAATGTCGGATCTGTTCGTTCACTAACGCGCTGTCCTTGGCATACGAGCAAGGGCGGTTCCAGACGTGTGGCATGTGCGGCGTTCAGACCGAATCCATCGTGTCGAGTGAAGCACAGGACGAGCCCGCGCAGCCTGAGCCAGGCGAATGCCCGACGTGTACTTATCTGAACGCGCAGAACCATCTGCGCTGCGAGATGTGTAGTACTGTTCTGCCAAGGCCGAGGCGACCGTCAGGCGCCGACACCCCGCCAGACATGGCCATCTTCGTCAGACTGTCCTTCCGTCAGGGCGGCTCAAAGCCCTTTTATGCCGCGCTCAAAACCGCTCTATCTGCCCGCCAATGGGAGGCCCGTCCTAACATCCCTACAGGCGAGCGAAACGTGGCCACCGTTGGCATCGGTGAGCGTTCTTCTGCTTCTCGATGGGCATCGAAGCTCAAACTAAGCTGAGCAGACGGTCTACTGAAAGCGATAGATCTTGACAGTAGAGAAGAAGACAGAGGAATGCAAGATGCGCTACGCGATCTCGAAGCGCTCAAGATTCGAGCTCAAGAAATGATAGGCATGGCAAGGGCAATCAGTGCCAAGCTTACGAAACAGGCAGCAGGCATGGGCGAAGACGACAGCCAGCCATCAGACGAACAGATTAGTCTCATTCGATCCACGGCTGTCAATCTCGGTCTCCCTGCACCTGCCGTGACGGCAGAGATGGTCCGCGATGAACAGCTTTACCATCAGGAGCTAGCGGCCGAGCTCGTCTCCGTCCTGTTCGGTCAGTCAGGGGCACGGCAGCGACCGGTCGTCATGCGCAATGATAGAGGCTCAAAAGGCATCATCACACTGGACGAAGCTTGGTGCATCTGGAACAGAGCCAGAGGCGTTTCGCTCGTCTCGCCCAAAGACATGATGGCTGCCTGCGAATACCTTGACTTAGTGCATGGCCCTCGTCTTCGTACATTTGCGTCCGGCCTCAAGATTTTGCATATGCCGGTGTATACAAATGATCAGATCCTGCCTCGCATCCTTGCCGACCTAACTGCGGCTGAGCAATTGCGATCGCGTTCGACGCTGGAGATCGCACAGACTGAGCAGCTCACCGTCACGATGGCGGCAGAGTTGCTCGATCTACTCGAAACAGAGACTGGACAGCTCTGCCACGACGGCGATCTGAAAGACGGCAAGCGTTGGTATCCCAATCTGATCTTGTCACCGTCTGCCGTATCTCAAGGTGCAGGCTGACGCATATGCAGAAGATAATACGCGAAGCCATCGCCTATCTCATACGTGTCGATTGTCCAGCCTAGTCGTGTCATGACTGGCTTTCGGAAGTGCGGCTCTATCGTGTCCTGTCAGCTCGGCCCAGTGCGTGTATCAGCGACGCACGCCCAAAAGTGACGTAGATGAAGCAGCCGTCCGGCTTCAGCACCCTGCTCTGCGTCTTCAGTACAGCGACAGATGCAAGTTCGCAGCTGACGAGCCTCACGACCTCGTCGATCTCCCTATTGCAATTTTCGATTACGCTTGCTGGCGGGTTCCACGGATCGAGCTTGCTTCCTGCTGCAGCAAAGAAGACGTCCATCGTAGCCTTGTCGATGCAGATATCGATACTCGCATCAGGAAGGGGCAGATTCCTCACGTCAGCTTGCAGCCATTGCAGCTCGGGTCGTGACAGGGCATTGCGGGCAGACATGGCATCAATGACATTCTGAGCATAGTCGATCGACGTGATGCATCGATAGCCATCGTCGTACATGTCCTCTGCGAGCGCCGAATTGCCGCAGCCTAGCATAACGATCTTGAGGTCGCTCTTGCATCGTGTGCCTCGAATCGGAAGCAGGCGATCGAAATAGGCCGATAGCGCGGCGTAGCCTAAGCACCACTCGTAGACTCCTCCGGGCTCCCTATACCGTGCCTGCCAGTACTCTTGAGAGCCATACGTCTCGTTCTTGCTTGGCTCCATCCGCAGTCGCGCTGACCCTGACCGCCTGCAGCCACAAACGCGCCCGTCGCGTGCTCGCGATAGCAGGACGCGAAGACCCCCAAGCCTGTACCACGAGTCGTGGCAGCTACGCACGCTAGCACGAGATCAAAGACGAGCATGGAGGAAGTAGTCGCCGAGCTGTCGTCATAGCCGGACGCACTGGCGCTCTGCTGAGCTAACGTCAACAGCGTCAGAGCTCGTGCTTTCAGGCGGCAAACAATAACACTGGCTACTCAGGCACACGCCGCTGTCACTCCCTCATCATCAAGGATGTCACTCATGACGTCGAGGCACAGAGATTTGCCGTCAAGGGAAGAGAGAGGTCAAGTGAACGACGCGGATGAGGATACCCAGAGCGTCTCACGAGCTGCACAACGGTCGCGAGCGAGCACGACACGAGCGGTCGACATCTTCCAAGATGCAATGGACGTGCAGCCCGAATGGGTCGAAGCTCTGCACGCCTACACGCCGTCAGACGCAATGCTCGCCAGGCCACAGGACACAAGCGATGGCGAGCCGAGCGCACAGAAAGCATGTCTGGCCTTCAATCCTGGCGATCTGATACGCGTCATCCACAAGGATCCCTCAGGCTGGTGGGATGGCTGCATCAAGCAGGAGAGAGCCCTCGTTCGAGGCTGGTTTCCCAGCAATTATGTCAGGGAGATTCAAATAGAATCATTGCGCGATGGTGCCGGCCAAGCTGCCGCAGCAGATGACACCGTTGTCGCCTCGAGTAGCGCAGACACCCTCGTCATCAGCAGTAGTCATGCTGCGCCAACTCTCGAGGAGCGTCGGCCCTCACTACGACTGGCCCAATCGTACGATCACGTGAGGAGAGGTCGTCTTCAGGGAAAAGCGCACTGACAGGCGTTACAGTCACGTGTTAATTCAGTTCGTGAGGGTAGGCCGGTTCTGACAAGCGCGCATTCATCACCTGCCAGGTCCAATGCGCCATCGCCGGCTTCCCAAGTGCTCGACGCGAAGCGTGCCACGGGGGCCGCGATGATCGGGTCTGCCGCTCTGTCGCGTGCACGAACGACAGATGCGCCTGAATTTACGGACATGCTCAGAGCAACGCGGCATGCCATTGGATTGCTCCGGAAAGCAGTCTCTGCTCGAGACTTGTCCCACTATCAGCCCTCGACGGCGTGTCTGATTTCAGCCATTCGTGCAGTCCTGTGCGCGACCGGCTGCCTCGATAGGGACTCTGAGCAGCTTGCCTGCTTTCCGCAGCTAGCAATACAGCGTAAGCTCGTTCTGTCCGCGCTGGCAAGACTAGTCAATCAAGCTCGAAAAGCATCGACGTTGGATGAGAACGTAGCGCCAGGCAGCGAGGCGCCCATCGGTCCGACTGCGCTTGTCATGATAGATATGGCAGAGGGCGTCATGGCTCAGATCGAGCAATTCCTGGCCAGTCTATTCGAGTGCGGTTATGATCCCGTTAAACCACCGGACAGTCCTCGCATGCGCGAGCCATCCAGCGACACCGTGACGGGGCCAGTGCAAGAGCCGCGGGGCGAGCTCGCTAGACCCACATCGCGGCTGCTGCCGAGAGCGTCTTTTCTGAGCGGTGCCCGCAAGTCAAGCAATCCGAAAAAGCCAGAACTACACAAAGTGAGGAGTCTGGGCGATTTGCGCAACAGGCGTCGGTCAGCAAAAGACTCGGCCCCAGTGCCAATGCCTGGATCTCCACGACTGGAAGATTCGATGCCGATACGTCCCTTGCTTCAACGGGGCAGCACAGCAATGCGTAGCTTCATGCAAGCGGCAGAGCAGCAGCCAACGGTCAGTGCAGATGCACAATCAGGCTGGCATGCCCCTCTGCGCCTCCATACTGCGGCCGAGATCAAGTCGATCATGTCGCAATTACATGCGCAGCTCCTGCGGACCGTCGCTGCATTTGTCAGTCAAGCCCAGGTGCATACGAGCACGAGCCATGCAACGAGCTTCCTCTATCTGCTCGATCTAGCAGAGGAGGTCATTGGCACCGTTCGAGAGATCCTCGACATCATCGATGTCATGCGCTCTTCGGATTCTGACCGAGCCATAGAAGATGCCCACTTGCTTGATATCTCCAGCAATGCAGTCTCCAGAGCTAGTATCGATCTAGCGCAAGCGACGGAAATCTCGCTCAAGCGAAACGCTACTGCGAGTGATCACCGGCATCTACTGCACTGTGCTACGCTCGTGCTGCAGACCGCTGCAGAATCTAGCTCAGCGGTGACTATCTACCTCAGTCACAGACTGGCAGAAGACGGCTATGCGCTTTCCGAGCCGGCGTCGTCTAGCATTGTGCGCCGGAATGGCTCGCCGGATGAGCTTGCGTTTGCCTTAGCACGACTAGCCAACCAACGCCAAGATTTACAAACGTCTGAGCCAGAGGATTTTGCTCGCGCTCGGAGCTCCTACGAGCGCATCGAGCTTCTCGCGGCCGCGCAGCACAGCGCAAAGCCTGACACTCACACCTCAGCTGGAGGACGTCCACAACTGATGACCGACCGCAGCAGTATCTATGGCGTACAATACCAGGGCGGCGAGTCTATGCACCGAGAGTTGTCATCACGTACATCTGCCTCAACAGCGAGTTCCTGGCGGTCGGGCGCGTCTGATGCAGATACGAATAACACCTCGCCTCGTAGCTCCTGTGGGACGCCGATCGAGCTGAGGGAGTTTCATGACATTGCCAGAGTTCAAGATGGCTCGCGGCTTCCTGCAGGCGCGCGTTTGCCCGCCAGTGCAAAACGGGCAGAAGAACTCGCATTCATGCGTAATGAGGACAAAAGTGCGACGGCCCACGTTGATGGTGGCTCGATACGACGCGACTACGAGCCGCGCGAGATCTGTTTCAACGCAGATGGACACATCACTGGCGGTACGCTGCGATGTCTCGTCGAGCGCTTGACCCTATCCGATACCACGATCGATCCCATCTTCGCCTCGACATTCTTGATGACATTTCGCCTGTTTGCCAGCCCCGCATCGTTTGTGCAAGCATTGATCGAGCGCTATGACTCGCAGATCCGGTCGCAAGTGCAGCCGACTAATCGCGCGACGCCAGTATCACTTCGCATCTACAATTGCCTGAAATCTTGGCTAGAGACGTATTGGCAGCAAGATACAGACGCAGTAGTCCTCGACCAACTTGACGTCTTTGCTCGGGAGGCATTGACCGCGACCTTGCCAACACCAGCCCAACGTCTGCTCGACCTGATCGCTCGACGACGCTACAGCGTTGGAGGATTGGCGCAGCGCTCTCTCAAACGGATGACCTCGATCGACTGCATCAAGTCAAGCTTTCAGCCAAACGCGAACGATCAGGCGCAATACTCGCCACCCGCGCAGCTCCTGGCGCCGCCGACGCCTCTCCTCAACAAAGGTGCCATGCAGACGCTCCGATCTGGCTCCTTCGATCGCATCGGCGTACTCGACTTTGATCCTCTGGAGCTTGCAAGACAGCTGACGCTCATGGAATCGCGATTGTTTTGCGCCATCACGACCCGTGAATTACTGGGCCAGGAGTTCAGCAAGAAGCAAGGCACTGCGATCAACGTCAAGGCGATGAGCTCGCTCAGCACCCGGCTAACCGGCTGGGTAGCAGAGACGATCGTCGCGGAACAGGACGCGAAGAAGCGTGCCGTTCTCCTGAAGTATTTCATCAAGCTAGCAGACGTAAGCCTCCGATGAGATGTCCAATTGTTGCTGATATGACCGCAGCGTTGCAATTGTTTGCGCAATTACAACTGTTTAATGGCGATTATGGCGGCGCTTGACTCATCGACCATCTCGCGATTGAAGAAGACTTGGGAAGGATTGTCGGCAAAATATAAACAGTTGGTCGAATGCTTGCGCAAGTCCGTTGAGCATACACGCAACTATAGCGACTATCGTGCTATGATCCGCAATGCGGTTCCACCAGCGCTGCCGTTCCTTGGGCTATATCTGACCGACCTGACATTCTGTCAAGATGGCAATGCCGCTACACGCCCATCACCGCAGGACAAGACGCTTCAGCTGATCAATTTCGATCGCTATCAGAAGATTGCAAAGACCGTTCGCGACTTGCAGCGGTTCCAAGTCCCCTACAACCTGTCAGAGATCCCGGAGATCCAAGCCTACCTGGATCACGTTTTGCGCAGCTTGCCTACCGAGAGCAATGACCTCTATGTGGGTCTTTTCCCCTGACTTACACGTCCCAAAGTCTGATCAGTATGCACAGAGACGAAGTCTGCTTGTCGAGCCTAGAGCACCTGCTGAGCCATCCCCCGCAACGTTCTCAGAGCTCAGCGCCAATAAGAACATTTGGACCAGCTGGGCACGCGCCTAGGTGGCCGCACACGATCACACGACACACTGATATCTTTGTGCTGTTGTCACCAATATTTGTTGATTCGACGCATCATCACATTGCACGCTCATAGCACAGCGCATCGTTCAGACGATAGTCATACATTTGAGATAATACGTGCGATCAAGGTGCGAATGAGGCTAGATACAGGTGTCAGCGCGCCTGCCGGAATGTCCACGCGTCGCGCTTCGTTATGCTCTGAGGCGATCCTCTAAGCGACGAGGATGGCGCCGGTGAAAGCGGCCACAGTGAGCACAACGGCGGATGCTAAGCTGTACACAGACGATGAGCCGCCCGTGCTGGACGACGACGAACTGCCCGAAGAGCTGCCGGAGGAGCTACCGCCTGATGAAGAGGATCCAGTGCTATAGGGCGAAACGTTGGAGCTGATGATTGAAGCTGCGCCTGGCGCGCCCTGAGCAACTTGTCCATTCGTGTTTGTGCCTGTGCCCGCAGTACCTGTGGCGAAACCTGCTGAAGAAGTGATCGATGCAGTTGACTGCGTGTTGATGGCAACTACAATGCTTGCGGCCGAAATGGTCGGCGTGCCCAGACTGATCGAGCGCGTACCGGCAACCCACTGCGAAAAGTTGGGATAAGTCGCCATGTCCTCCTCCTCGTAAGGGTTCGACTGGTTCAAGCACGTGCCGACAGGAACGACGGTGAAATGCTCCTGCATCTGAGGCAGGAACTTTTGTGATTCGGCTATCGTGTAATTGTTAAGCTCGTGCGAGAGGACAATAGTGCCCGCAGTATCGTATGCGCCAGCGCTTTGATTGTTTAGGATGTTTTGATAGTTCTGATCGACTGTGGCTTGACCAAGCGTGAGGATGCGGAAATCATTGACATCGCTTGAGCAAAATGTCAGCATCTCGAGTCTACGCAGGTCAAGCTAAGGCTCACTTGTTCCAGATGATGGTCTGCATGCCGAGTGCGTTGGCGATATAGCGAATGCGATCGTCGACATCGCCAAAAGGCGGACGCCAGCACTCTGTGCGGCCCGGTGAGCGTGATTCCAAGGCAAGAGAAAGTGCAGCACGTACTGACGGTAACACCAATGATGTCCTTAATGATTTTCTTGCTGTAGTACAGCTCGGCAAAGGCTTGCTCGTTCGTGAGTGCAGTCATGTAGCGGTGAGACCAGGTGTGTGCACAGATCTCGTGACCATCTGCAAAGCCACGCTGAGCCTCATAGGGCCAGTCGATGACATTGCTGCCGATATAGAAGAGTGTGGCGCGTTGCTGGATGGTCTGAAGGTAGTCGTAATAGGCATTATGCGAGCAATTGGGCCCATCACTGCCGGCAACCTCGTCAACACGCTGCCGACGAGTTCAGGAGGGGCGACTCACTCTAACGTGAAACCCCAGGTGTTCGGCTCTGGGCAGAAGCTGACATCGGGAGGAAGACCGGCTAGCTTGGGTGTTGAGCATCCTGCCGCGACGAGCGTAGTGAGCAATCTGCTAAGACAATCGCGTGGTCATACGCACGAGAGTAGCTCCACCAGCAGTCGGGATCAGTTGCCCTGTAATGACATAGCGGGTCAGCACAATGGCAAGGCCTCGCTGAGCATAATGCTCACGAATAGGTCGGTGTAAAGTCACTGAAGTTGCCGGTGGGCGTTCCCTGTGAGGTGGAGGTGTCAGCTCAGTTCGGAAAGGGTGCAGCTGGGCGAGGCGATGGCCCGTCGCTGAGTGTCTGACGCGCCTTGACGGGTTCGTTGGGGATAGTGGGCGAAAGAGCGTTGTAATAGTTGTTCGCGTCCGTGTCGGTGGCAACAAGCGAGGCTATTTCCCAGATGGCGGGGTAGTTGGGTACCATTGCAGACACTGCAGCCACACCGTACACCGCGCATTCTACAGCAGGGTCGGTACTCTGAAGGCACGAGTCTATGAACATCCGCGCAGTGTCCGAAGTGATGAGCACATACCTGCGCTGCAGACGCTTCGTCAGTCCTAGACTGCGCGTAGGCGGTCGTCGACGCAAATAGCGCCAGCGCCAGGGACGACCTGAGGGAGGGAGCGACCATATGATCGGATGTGAGTGAGTTTCTGCGCGTGCCTGAAGCTGATGTCTTGTCGAGAGCCTGTAGGGAGGCTACAAATCGAGCGGTCGCTGACTGTCTGGGTAAGCAAGCACGTAGCCAAGTCAAGGCGTGGTGTCTCGAGGTGAAAAATATAGAATCGCGTGTCGGCGCTGTCGGCCGCCGACCGGTTCGCGTCGCGAGGTGGCAACAGCACAGCAAGGCACCTAACGCCGAGTAATCTTGTGAGATTTAGACCAATCTGAGATTGCAACAAAGGTTACAATTGCTCTCTACAGCATCTAAAGGCTGGCTCTGGTTCTTCGCACAAGTCAAGGCAAGGACAGTGGACATTGCGAAGCGTGATGGCCCGCTTCGTGACCTTTTCGGTCGACAACGCCAAGCTGATTGCATTCGCGTACATTGCTTGTCATCGAGCAAGATGACTTACAGATGTTCTCAGCATAGTTCTGCGGCTTTGCTGCGACAGGAGAAACCATAGATGATCCGGCCGCCCGGCCGCACGGCCGCACTTACGACGCGATTCGGCCGACTTGCATGTTGCGATCTCAGTGTGCATGTTGTGCGCAGAGTTGCATCACGCGAGTCTCCGAGCTCGAGCGTTTGTATGAGCTTTAGTCGTTCGCTGGGTAGATTGACTACAGCTGCAGGAGCAATGATCGCCGTCCGCGAGACGCCGACCGGTGCCCGACCCTTGCCAGCGACCTCGACAGATCATCACCCAACATCGAGCCGCAAGTCCTACACAAATCCTTGGCCATCATTCCATGATATCGGAGGATTCTTGGGCAGCGGTCGAGCAATTATCAGTGAATGGAAGAGCAAGCCTCTGCCGCCCAAGGACGAATGGGTCAAAGTCATCAAGCCGACTTGGGGTCTGACCGAGCAAGACACGGCAGCGACGTTCGGCAAAGATATCAAGGCTACTTGGATGGGACATGCGTGCTTCCTCGTCGAACTGCCCGCGAACGCCAATGAGATTGATACCTCTCAGGAGACGAATAAGCTAGATCTGCCGGCTCGGGGGACGCGCATCCTCTTTGATCCCGTCTTCAGCCACAGATGTTCTCCCTCGCAAGTCATAGGACCCGCTCGATTGACCAAAGCGCCCGTTGAGCTCTCGAAACTGCCGCATGTCGACCTTGTCGTCATCTCGCACGCACACTACGACCACCTTGACATCACCACAGTCCAGTCCATCTACGCGCGCCAACCAAAAGGATCCGTTCACTTCTTCGCTCCTCTCGGCAACAAAGCCTGGTTTGTCAATAACGGCTTCAAGCCGGAGCACGTTACCGAGCTAGACTGGTGGCAGCGACGCGACATTGCACTGGGGAGCGACAAATCAACCTCGAAAGAGAGCGACTGTACGCTGACCTGTCTGCCTGCGCAGCATTTCGCTGGTCGTACGCCATTCGATAAGAATAAGACGCTATGGAGCAGCTGGGCGGTCGAAGCAGCCGGCAAAAAAGTCTATTTTGGCGGAGACACCGGATTACGGTATGTCCCACTTGGCGGTGATGAAACAGAGCAGCCGCAATGCCCTGCCTTTGCCCAGATCGGTGATACCTTTGGCGGATTCGACCTCGCTTTCATACCTGTCGGAGCCTTCTCGCCTCGAACGGCATTCAGTTCTGTGCACGCTTCCCCAAATGATGCGGTGATAATCCACAAGCATATCAAGAGCAAACGCAGCATCGCTATGGTCAGCTTTTTATCGGCCTATGTAACTTGTGTTAATACTTCTAGGTACAGCATTGGGGTTGTTGGGCATTGGGCGATGAGATCTTTAGCAAAGACGAGGAAAGAGTGGCAAAGGCGTGCAGAGACGCCGGTCTGGACGAGAAGGTATTCAACACACTCAACATTGGGGAGACGCTCAGGATATAGTGCCACATCCGGAAGATCATGAAGCGCACTAGACGTATGATATTGTCACAACAAGATTGCTTGTCAAATTTGCCAACATGGTGACACGTCCTGCTACATATCGTCAAGGATCATACCGTCGATATCCCCGCTCGAAGTCTCTTCGGAGAAACCTGAGGGTGCAGAGATCGCTAGAGGTGGTACGTAAGGTATAAGGGCGCCTTGATTGCGCATCTGGTCCTCAGAGGAGATGCGCAGGTCGGGCGCCTTATAGAGAGGTGGGCCAGGTGTCGCGTGCAACCAGCTGGCTAGCTTGGAATTGAGCTTCAGTGTTGGCGGAGTTGCGCTTTCCTCGTCGTCCGAGACATCTAGCGAGTCGACATAGACGACGTAAGGATCATCCATTCGGACTTCGGGTGCAGATGAGCTGCCACTGACAATGTGCGTGTCTGTCTGCGTCGTCCCTTGGTCCACTCTGGGGACCACAACATGACCTGACTGCTGCGAGTCTCCTTCCGGTCTCGAGAGCGTGAGCTTGGCGAAGACAGGCTCAAAGCCGAGCTCCTTTCTACGCTTCTTGTGTGCGTGCAAGAGCTCTGCCTGGCTCGCTGTCGACGTGGCTTGGTCATTGTCCGGCTGTTGCTGCTGGCGATGAGGTCCAGACGAATCAGGCGTCAAGTAGGGCGTGTCGAGGCATTCGTCACTGAAATCGGCAGCTTGTCGACGCTTCAAGCCAGGTCTCGGCGTCGAGTGGTTCGGGCTGATCATGGGCGCTCCGTTGCCATTGGCAGGCGGCTTGAATGTTGCTTGCCCGTCTGTAGCCAGTCCTGCCATGTCGGGATCCCGGTAGGTCTGCCATTCCTTGATTGCGGACTCCTCGTTCAGCTGGCTTGCGATAGCGGTTGGCTCCAGCTCTCGCGCCTGGAGGAAGCGGCCCTGATGGACCATGGTGTACGTGAGCTATAGTCTGATTGAATGTTGCATGGCAAGTGTGGCCAGTCGTAGCATCGCAACGAACTTCTCCCAAATGTTCGTTGCTGCACGGATTTGCCACCCACACCGCGAACCAAGCCCGTCAATAGTTCGACTCGAGGGTTTTCTCACGCTACGCAACCTGAACGCGATGGCTCAGACGTTTGCACGCAGCCCGACGATGCCTTCGATATGACGGACGATCAGCCACCCTCTCCTACCAGCCCATCTGACGCGCTCGTCGACGCTCTCGCTTCGCCCACTAGTCCGCTGTCGCCATATGACAGTGACGCAGTCCAGCATGTATCCAAGCAAGGCGAGTACGAGTCTACGCCTGTCAGCCCGTCGCCTGAGCCGTCAGAGCTGGCCCACGAAGGCATAGCGCCGGATGATTCCATAGCGAGCGCGCTCGTCGCAAATGACGCCAAGGCAAGCAAAGTCACGCAATCAATCCATGTCGAGCCTGTGCTGCCAACAACGCTCGACAATGGGCCTGCGCCAGAAGAGACTGTGCTAGACATCGAGCATGCTAGCAGTGTCGCTTTACCGCTCTCACCTGTCGATACAGCACCCGACACGCCGCGAAATGTCGTGCATCTCGTTCAGATGCAGCAGACCGAGCAAGCGCTGCAAGACGACGAAGACGCGCCCGCCACGCCGCGAGAGGCGAGCCGATCCTCGATGCAAACCGACGCTGCGAGCGATCAGCTGAGGCTGGCAACGCTCGAAACGCCTCACGCGCCTGTCGAGGACCCTCGCGACTTGGGCACACCGGACACGCCGAGGCAACCCCAGCACGTGATATCTGACAAGCGTTTGTCTGGCTCAGCCGCGCCAGTCGACGTTGCGAAAAGTCCAGCGATCGGCGAAGACAGCATTTCCGAACAGGGGAATGCCCCTGATACAGAGCAGGTAAGAGAGCCAGAATCGCCCTTTATAGCAGCACAAGAGCCTTCTATGGTATTTGTAGCGCCTATCAGCTCTAAGCTGGCGGCTCAGCCCGTCTCTGCACCGGTGTCATTGAACGCACCACCGTCCGCTGCAAATAATGCGGAAGAACCAGCAACAGCGCCAGCGATCGGAGAGCAGCCACGCATGATCATTGAGGAACCGGCAATCGAGTCGGCTGTGACGCCGAGTCTACAAGATCCACTATCAGCAGCACCGCAAGAAGCGATAGCAAGCGCGTACCTTCAATCTTCAAGCTCGTCCCTGCATCCAGGCTCACCCGCCCCCTCGCCAAGCCCGAGCGCGTCGTCACAGAAGGAATTGCCTTACTATCGCTACACCAAGCCTCCTCGCAACGTTTGGGGCATCGTCGTCGTTGGCATGCATCATGGTGCGTATTGGACCCATTGGAGCCTGTCATGATGGCTGACGAATGGCAATTTGCAGCTCTCGGACCCGTCGTGGAGTACTCGTGGCCACCTTTACTCGCCCAAGACGAGATGCTGCAAAACTCGCTACCTTTCCTTGCCTTACCGGATGGCGCACATTTGGTCAATGACCTTGCCCAGGATCCAGAGGACCCCACTGACCCTATGCTGTCTTCTGCTCTTGCACCCGGACTTTCAATCGAGCAGAGAGACGAGGACTATACGTATTTTCATCTCGTTTGCCCTTCGGTCTCGCCGTCGACCATTTTTGGCATATCGTGCAATCGACAGTTGCCTGCTTCTCAATTGCTCAATCGAGACGCATCCGTTACGCGCAGTACAGTCCAGAAAGCCGTCGTCGTCCTTGCGAGCATGGTCAGGCTTCTTCCCCAATGTCATGCAGATCCGCAGCTCATCTCACTATGCAGCCTGTATTCGGTCCTATCCGCGACAAACTGGGCGTGATTACGCGCGCTTACTTTGCACAACGAGACTTCAGTGAGACTGCGATCCTCGTGGATTTCTACGATCAGCTCGAAAATAGCTTAGGCATCGAAGAGGACGTGCTCGGTGACGAAGCACTCTACATGGCAACCTCGATACGAGAACTTATTCAGCAATTCCGCTTCAAGACTCTTATGCTCCTCAAGCTGCTGCTCCTCCAGCGCAAAGTCATGTTCTACGGTAACACGGTCGAACGTCTGTGTAATTTCCAGTATTCGCTCATCTCAATGGTACCTCTGTTGCTGCTCAATCTAGAAGATGCGGCCACACCCGAGCTCGACGAGAGAGCGAAGCATATGGTGCCATCCAGTACACTCAAGACATCCGACAAGCTCAGCTTGCTCCATTACACTGGCCACCCGCTCAACATCTTTGGTCGCAATGCGTTCTTCCAGCCATATTTGCCTCTACAACAGATCGATATGCTCAAGACGGATTCATATCTCGTCGGCACGACCAACAGTATCTTCCAGCAGCAGCGAGATTGCAAGATTGACGTTCTCGTCAATATAGAGACGGCTCATCTGGAGTTCCTTGACCCTACAATCGCGCCTCTGGTCAATCTCACTCCGGCTGATCGTCGCTGGATGGATGACGTTGTCAGGACGGTATCGGATACGTGGAATGCCAATGACCCCTCCAGACCGCTTGGCATGCAGTTCACCGGTAGTGACGATTTCCTGAGGGCCAAGTTCGAAGAGTATATTTGCTCTGCATTGTCGGCCATCAAATTCAGGCAATTTATCGACAAGAATCCAAAGCAAGCCCATCTCGAGACGGCTGACCTGCATTCGAGCTTGGCAAGTTACAACGAGGCATGGATCACAGCGTTCAGAGCAACACCGGCTTGCAAGCTCTGGAACCTCATGACGGATCCTGCGCTATTCGACCTGATCGAGCCGAAGCACCCTTGCGAAGGTCAAGCGAGATTTGTGGATGATGTCGGTCTACGCTTGGTCGAAGGTGTGCACGATCTCAAGCTAGAGGAGAATCTGGCCCCGGCGCGAGAGGCAATTTCGAAGGGAATATCGACTGGAGCGGAGTCCATCTGGCGGGTTTACTCGAACATTCGCAACGACCTCTCGCGACGGCAAGAAGAACGGCGTGTTAAGGCTGAGCCCACCGAGCTCAAGCCTGTGGTAGCCCCTCCTGCCACGACTATACCAGAAGCGGTCAAGGCTGTCACGACGCCTGTCGCAGAGAGTACAGACCTGCCGCCGCCGCCACCGCCAGCCAATACGAAGCCCGGTGCAGCCGTGGGTGCTCAAGGCAGGCCAAATGGCGAACGTGTTGAGTGTAGGCTGACTAACACATGATCGTCTACAGTGTACGCAGGCGTGAGCGAGGCATCGATCCGCGCCTCTACGATCGCGTCATCCTTCGGCTCTTTCCTGAGCTCTCGTCGCGCTCAATTGTGGGCAAGTAAGCCGCAGCCGGCCCTGCAGCAGTCAGAGGTCACCTCCGTCCCCGTCGAGCCATCGCCCACGGTACGACCTTCGCTCTCGCAGAGGGCTTCTTCAGTGTCGATGTCTGTCTCGATGTCCCAAGGCCGCGCCAGCTCCTTCTTCAGTCGAAGGACGAGCAGCGACAGCTTTGCAAGTCGGACTACAGCAACGAGCAGTAGCGAATCGACCAATTCTAGTCCGCGCATGACGCTGGCAGAGATGACCGCCCGCGAGCGAGGTACGCATCTTATTGGTGGTTTGGGCAAGCTCTGACGAGTCACATCAGCTGCTAATGAGTGCTGGCCGGAAGAGCCGGCTGCACATCGCGAATCGGACGAGACAGAGGTAGGAGGGCTCTCAGAGGTCGCATTGTAAGCGTAAACTTGTCTGCTTGTTCCTACTAAGCATCATTTGTACAATCAACAATCGCTACAAACGTTACAGTACGGCTTGAGAAGGCATAAATGCCGATTTGCTTGACTTTGCCTGAGCGTGAAGGACTGCTTTGGCGAAGAAGCAGGCGTGGGGTATCGATGCCGGACAGTGCACGTTGAGCGGCCAAGCGAAAGAGTACATCTCGCCTAGCGAGCTCGGCACATCGTCATGCTCGATCAAAGATGTTCGCGTGAGCTCGCGGACTGGTGCCAGGTTGGTATCATTAGCGATGGCCTTTGCTAAGCTCGAATAGCTCTGATTGAGATATCGACTGATTGTCTCTAGATTCGACGAAATGCGCACGAAGGAGTTCAGCATGTCCTGGCTGGATCGTTCGGTGACTCCAGCGGCTATACTGCCTGCAGATGTGCTCCCAGCGGGTGACTCGCCGGGCGGTGTTGGGCCGTGATCCGAAGTGACCGAGGATCCTGATGACTTGCCCATGCTCGAAGATACCTGCATGCTGATATCAGACAGATTGATCAGAGTCTCGATAGGGGGTCTCACCTGATGGTGCAAGACACGACGTTCGAACGTGCTGATCTTTTGCAATCTGCGTGCTCAGGCCTTTGGTAAGCTAGGGCAGCCCAAATCGGACTGGACGAACATGAGACCTTCTAATAGCATGCTGCAATCCATCTGTCAGTCGCGGCCGGCGAGTTGATGGGCGTGACACACCACAATGACGCAAGGTTTGGCTGATGGAGACGATGACAGCTATCGGTCACGAAGCGCAAGAGACCGCGCCCCAGTAGACTCGTCCAATTATCGATCATACAGACTGTCTTGTTCTTGCCGCCCGTCGTCGAACGGCCAGCAGCCTCATCATCGAGCCAGAAAGAAAGTATGTAGCACAGCAAGCCGTCGTATTGATGGAGCAGCGCCAGCATGGCATGGTCAGGCACGCTCTTCTCCCTCCCGAGAGCATCACCGTGCCTCTTGAGTCGCTTGCCTTCCTCGCGAGCTGCGAGTGCTGCTTCCGCTAGCTGTTGCTTCGTCCTGTCGCGTAGTTGGCTTGGCGGTATGATGTTGGACGAGAGCATGGCGATGGCATCGTCGATCTGAGCCAGATCGAGTTCAGTACTTGACGGCTCAGTACCTTGCCTGGGCTGGGCTTGTTGGCCTTGAACGAGCTGCAAGTGCAGCGTAGAGGGAACATGTGTCGGTGCTGCATGAAGCACATCTAGCCCGAGCACAGGCGATGGGAGATCCCGTATTGCCTGTGCTGTCGAGATCAGTGCCATACGGAAGCTACCGATGCAGTCGATACCTGGAGACGCGACACTGCGAGGCCACTGGCCATAGCTGCGCGACTGTCACACTCCGCTCAGGTCGGGGAGGTGCAGCCCGCGTAATGTAGGCACTGGGGCATCGTTAGTTCGGGTCAGATGAATCAGAAACGCCTGACGCTTGCCAGCAGACAGCCGTGTCATGCGATAGGTAAGTGATCATCGTGAGCCTGCGCATCATATTGAGACTATCTGGGCCCAGGCAGTGTACCGCTGCGAGACGCAAGGTCGACCCAAGATGGCTCGGTTATCAGCAATGCCTGGCCAGGAGGCAAAGGAGAGCGGCAATGCAGCCTTCAAGTCGGGACACTATGCAGAAGCGATCGGACACTACAGTCGGGCAATCCATGCGGATCCCAGAGACGCGAGCTTCCGGAGCAACAGGGCTTTTGCCTATCTCAAGCTTGAAAAGTACGAAGATGCCCAGCGAGATGCGAGCGCTGCACTCGCTCTCGACCCTACGCCTTCTCTGCGGTCGAAGCTCCTGTTTCGTCGTGCCGTAGCGCGCAGACAGCTCGGCCGCTTTGATGAAGCTCGACAGGATCTGGACGCAGCTCGCGATATCGAACCAACAAATGCCTCGATAGATGCAGAATTGGCCCAGCTGCACACTGCGATAGAGCAAGCCGACGAGGCGCAAGCAAAACGCAGAGAGCGTGTAAAGACGTTGCAGACCGCCGCACCGAATCTCAGGCCAGCAGTCTCTGCTCCATCGGAGCCAGAACTCATGCAGGCTGTTTCCACTCGACGCCTGAACGAGCAGTCAGCAAAGCCTGCCGTCATATCAGGTCCATCAGCACCAGCATCGTCATACGCGAACCTGAGATCGACGCGTGAGAGCAAGCGGCAGCCATATCAACTGCCTAGATCTACGTCCGACACAGCTCAGCCGCCGTCGCGTCCGCGCGTCGCACCTACGACTGCTCTAGAGTTCGAGCAGAGATGGCATGAGAGCGTAGAGGAAAGGGACGATCTACTTAGAAGTGTCGAGCCTCTGCGTCTGCCAACCGTGTTCGGAGCTAGTCTGTCTCCCGAGCTGCTTTCCGGCATCATCGCGAGGCTGAGAGGCTGGCCGCAGGAGGACGCCAGGCCATATGCTCGTGCGCTCGAGGCCATACCGAGGTTCGACTTTGTGTCCCTACTGCTCATGGACGAGGAGCTCGACGCTTTGCAATCGCTCACGACGTAGCCTCCTCCAAACCCAGTGTTGTTGTCATGCATTTGTCTACTGATCTATGTGCCACAGATGGACATTTTCATTGCGTGTGCTCAGGCCGATGAAGTGGAGGTCGCACTCGCACTTGACGAGCGAACAGAGCTCGAGCTCGCAGCAGCAGACGACATGAGTGGCGGAAGACCGTTCTTGATCTGACCGTACGACGGGATGCTGTAGTTGCCGTTGCACGCATAGTCAAAGTCGATCTGCTGATTACGCAGCGACAGTCCTCGAATGAGCACAGACAGCTCGCAGAAGCCATCTTTCTGCTTCGGGCAGCCCGTGAGACCCCAAGGGATCACGGCATCGTTGAGGATAGCTCGGACGAAGGTGCCCTCCTTGCCAGTTGTCGATTCGTTCGAGCAATTGGCCACTTGGAAGACGATATGTGTACCCATGGGCAAAACACGACTGGCAACAAATGTAGCGTTGCTCGTAGATCCAGCGGCGGTGGGCGGCGCCTCAGATAACACAGTAAAGTTGAGCGCCGTGAGCACGTCCGCAACCTGGTAAATCAGTCAGTCACGCTGCGAAAGCGGGAGGGCGGATGAGGCATCGTACAATAACCTCGTGAGTAGCGTCCATGTACAAGGTGTTGTTGACGGGGAAAGTGATGGGACTGCCGTTGAGCGTCTGGTTGCTCGAGCTGTTCGAAAAGGTCGGTTGCACGTGCGATAGGCGTGCTTGGAACTCCTGAAGATAGCCCAGTCCTTGTGCAGCTGAGACCGGGCTCTGGAACAGATTATTGCCCGCAAAGGAAATATCAAAGGCATGCTCAAAATCCTTGAAGTCTTGTGAAGTGAAGAGATCACAGAAGCTGCTGTAGCCGAGGTTGATTGTCTCGTAAGCGCAGAGGTTGAGCATTTGCGAGACTGTGGTAGCATTGATCTCGATTCCGGTGATGTACTGCTGCAGGCGCTTAGCAATCGGAGCTCCAAACGCGTTCGTGAAGTTGGTAGATGCCGTAGTCCCGACGCTGCCTCGCTCTGACAGATACTGTGTGAGCATGCACCAGGCCAACGAAAGAAGGCAGGCTTACTGTTGTTTGAGTTGGGACAGGTCTCGTAGCTACTGAGACTGCTATTGAAACCTGGCTGCTCAATAACGATCGAGAGATGGTATTGCGGATCGGCGGGCAGACCGAAGAAGCCAGCCGCGAGGTTGAGGGTGCTCTTGTACATACGATCCTGACTCGGCGTACGAAGGACAGGCAGCGTGTTGGTGAGCGTGAAGTTGGACAGGATACTGCCGTACGCTATCCTGAGCTGTGCACCGAGATCATATTCTTGCTGCCGACCCCACACCGACAGAATTTCTTGGCCCTACGTAATCTGCATCAGCATGAGCCTGGACGAGAGACGACAACGGCTTGCCAATTTGTAGGTCCACGTGTTCAGAAAGGCTAATGGTCCAGTAGCAGTGAAACCTGTGCCGTTGACAGTAGCATTGGCGAGCAGGGCAGCAAACGCAGCGGGAGGTGCGCCGCCAGTCGGAGCGCGACTGCCGTGTCTGAAGAGAACATGGACTTGCTGGAGGTAACACGAGCCTGGTACTTTGCTCGATGCGTTCGGCAAGCCATAGACGGCGCTATCGATGGACTGGTAGGGGCTCAGATTGCCCAGGTAGCGAATGGGATTGAAACCATCTTGGCCTTTGGTCGAATCTTGGGGCGTCAAGAGTGCGCCATAGGCAGTGAAGGAGGGATATGCGGGTGCTGTCTGAGCTATGTAGGCCTCACCACCTGTAGGCGTAGGGCCTGCATAGCCAACAACGCTCTCGCTGGGAAAGTATGTGGCATAGTCGCTCGTCGCCGTAGGAGGATAGACCGCGACGCTGGAAGAGCCAACAGTGATGCCTGCCTTGCCCCTGCTCGCGCTGGGCTTCGCGCTGACCGAGCTTGCGGAAGAAGTCAGGGCCGACGAACTGGCGGAGCTGGCCTGACGGCGTTGGAGCTCGTTGAGGGGTGTTGCGGCGACGAGTGCGAGCACGCTGGCCGCGCCGAGAATGATAAACCTCATCTTCCAGGTCGAGCTTGTCGGTCTGGCGGGCGCTATCTGTCGATGGAGAGGTAGATCGGAGGACGCTTTATGCTTCTCATCGTACATCCGACGGGGCAGAAATGCAGAACGAGGCCAGAGCAAGCACGTTCGCCCCTTTGGCCACGATAGCAAATTATCAAATGCTCGAGCCTCTAGCGTGGTTGCCTTTATGAGCCAGAGACACCCTGGAGCTTCACTGTATGATCACTCCGAGGCTGACTGCGACGAGAGCACATCTATCATGCAGACAGTCTCTGATCTGACTGACATGAGTGTGGCCGATGAGGCTCATGATCACCAAAGCTTGGTCCCTATGATCATTCCAGGAGCAAGCGCGGTCGTCCGGATTGTCATTGTCCCTTGCCTTTGTCCTCAGCTCGACTCCTGTTGTGGCTAGCATGATCATTGCAAAAGCCGACGGGCAACACTGCTCAGATCGGTGATGACGGCGCATGGCTGGACTGCGTTGCCGAGATGAGCGTTGAGACAGAGAAGAACGTGCTTCATCGACTCTTCGACGAGCAACCGGCAATATGGCTGTCTCATTGAATGCAAAACCCTGCAAACATGCTCCGGCGAGCGCTAGCAGGCCTCGTCCTAGCAGCCACAGCTCGGGCTGCCATCTTTGCATCCAATACTTCCAGCAGCGGCGCCTCATACGCTACTGCTTCCTATACCGGCAAGGGCGTCTTTGACAGCTTGGTCTATCCGTCGTACTATGTGAACGCCAGTCAAGATGAAGAGCCACAGCCCATCATCATCAGCAAGGTCGGAGGCTATCAGTACCCGCTCAACCTGACTTCGCCCAAGTCTATCCCCAAGAATGATACGGTCGACGCCATTGTCTTTCCGCCGTCGCTCGTCAGCTCGAAGCTCACCAATGGCACCAGCAAAGGTTCCGCAGCACTCACAAAGATGGCTCTCGCCAACATCGAGTCCATCATAAACAGCGACAGCGCAACATGGCCTTCCTGCGCAAAATGCCTCGCAGGACTTGCCATAGCCCAAGGACTTGCGCTTGCCGCACCTGCAGAGGTACCCAACCTGGCGACTGCGCTTTGTGTCAAGTACAAGTTCCAGAAGACGCCTCAGCTCTGCTATAACATGTACAGCAAGTACGGCCAGGGCCCTTACATCGCTCAGCTCCTCGCAAATTTCAACGCGACCGGCAACGATGGCAGACTCGTCTGTGCAACCCAGCTCAAGAGCGCCTGTCCTCTGCCTCCCGTACCCAAGCTGGACTTATCGAGCTACTTCAAATCGCCCAAGCCGACAAATGGAGTGAAAAAGGTGCCTACGGGCAACAAGCGTCTTCGTGTGCTTCACTTGAGCGATATCCATCTCGACCCAAGGTTTGCAGTCGGCTCGGAAGGAAACTGCACAGGAAGTCTCTGCTGTCGGCCGAATGACGATCTGGCGCCCGCTAGCACTTCGACGGTCACTGTTCCAGCGCCCCGCTATGGCTCCTTCCTGTGCGACTCGCCTTTCGATCTCGTGACCTCGACCTTTCAGGCGATCAAGAGTATCGCTGGCCAGATTGACTTTACCGTCTTCACAGGCGACATCACCGCTCACGATCCTGCCAATGAGCTCAGTCGAGCGTACGACCTCTATTGCGAGGATGTGGTCTATGATCTCATGAAGAAGTTTATTCCCGGAAACGGGCCCGTCTATGCCTCTATTGGCAACCACGACAGTATACAGCAAGCACAAGCTGCACCTCACGGTCTTGGACCGACGTACGTTTCTGAGCAGTTCAGCTGGAACTACGATCACTTGAGCTCGCTTTGGCAAGCCGAAGGATGGATCGACGAAGCGACGGTGCAGGAGGCTCGCACTCACTATGGCGGCTATTCCGTCTCTCGCAAGGACAATCTCAAGATCATCACGCTCGATACCAATCTGTTCTATCGAGCGAATCTGCTGGCGTACATCAACACGACGAACTCTGATCCGTCTGGCATCCTGCGCTTCTTGACTGACGAGCTACAATCTGCAGAAGATGCTGGACAACGCGCCATTATACAATTTCACGTCTTGACAGGCTGGTCAGGAACGAACCCTCTACCCGGACCTAGCGATCTGTTCTACCAGATCGTGGATCGTTATTCAGATACGATTGCCTTTATTCCTGCTGGTCACCTGCACGAGGACGTCAACTCGATCTACTACAGCAACAATGCCACGACTATGTCTGCAGCGACAGCTCAGCTAGTCACTTGGGTCGGTCCATCTGTCACACCTCTGACGAACCTCAACAGCGGCTTCAGAATCTACGAGCTCGACTCGGAGACGTTTGACGTACTCGACGCTTTCACGTTCTACTCGAACGTGTCGACGTACCCCGAGCTTCAGACACAGACAGAGAATGGTCCGACGTTCAAGTACGAATACTCTCATCGCGACACGTATGGCAGCGCTGTGCCTGACTGGCCTGCCAACGCCCCGCTCAATGCAACTTGGTGGCATCTTCTGAGCGAGGCCATGGAGAGGAACGGTACTTACATAGAGATGTTCAACACGCTACAGGGCAAGGTGAGCCCCCTTCGCTCTCAGAACGCCGATAGTACAGAGCTGAAGCTCGCGCTGTGTAGATGTCGAGCAAGACAACCAATTGCACAAATCAAGCGTGTCAGGAAGCAAAAGTATGCTATATCCGCTCGGCTTCTGCGCCTATTGCGCTAGACAACTGCTCTGGCAACTACAGTAGCGTGCAGGGGGGCTCTTAGGCTGTTGTCCGCGCGTCGTGGAGGGCATTTTGTCAGGTGGATGATTGCACGCGACTGAGTTCACTTTTCCGCGTGAAAGCGTGAGCCAATATGGCTGCCATGATGACCTCCTCATCGGTCGAGAGCTACGACTCGAGCAGCGTACTCGACTCGCCCACCGTCGGCATTCCTAGACGCTATGAGGACAGCACGATTCAGCCGAGCAAGACTTCCGGCTATGCTCTTTCTCGTGGCTCGGATCTCACAAGACGCTATACCACTCTGAGTCTGACTCTCTCCCTGCTCGCCCTTGTGCCCGTTGGCGTGATAGGCAAGCTCATGATCGTTCGCATCGCGGCAGGCGAGCTGACCTGCGCGAACAGCATGGCCCGTGCTGGCGTTGCTGTCGATCATACCCTTTGTGGGCTTCGTCGCCCTGCCGTCTCTGCTCGGCCTGACGCTGTTCCTCGCCTTTGGCATCGCCTGGCTGCCCTACCTCATGCTCGCCCAGACGGATTCCCCGGAAACGAGCCGGGTCAAATCGAGCAAGAGTCGGGGCGCGCTTGCCACAAGGCGATGGCCATACTTGCCTTACTCGCCCATGCGCTGTCTCAAGATCGACCGTACCATACTCAGATGGGCAAGAGACGGGTTGAGACTCGGTCTGATCGAATTGAGCTTCGACTGGGCATATAGAAGGATAATGGTCATGGGCGGCCATGAAGCCAGAGAGATCGTCAAAGAAGGCATTCTCTATTCCTCGCCTGTCATAGACGACCAGATAGATGCAGAGATCAGCTATATCAATCACCATGGCAAAAACGGCAGATCGACCAGCGTCAGGAGAGGAAAACGGTTGGATGTCTACCGCGCTTACATTGCACCCTCGCAAGCTGCTGCAGCAGATGCTCCACTCGATACCTCGTCGAGTCGTGCACAGCCTGTCAGATCACCCGTGATTGTGTTCATACCGTCTGCAATGTGGACTTTTGGCAACAGGCGACAGTTCATTCAGCTTGCGCTCAAGCTCAGACGAATGGGACGCGTCGTCGTCATCCCCGATCTCGCGAGTACCTTCTCTGTTCTTGCGATCGCGTGTGCTGACGTCTGATGATCTACTTTCAGACCTTGTACCCCGAGGGATCTTGCAGAGAGATGGTGCATGATATCCGACGTGTGCTCGAGTGGGTCGGCGCGCACATCACCAATTACGGCGGTGACCCCAATCAGGCACGTCTGGACTTCTCTTTGGCACGGGCATGCTGAATCCGAGCGATGACTCGCAGATCTACCTCATGGGCCACGGGTCGGGCAGTCATTTGGCGCTTCTGACGGTCGTGCAAGAAGCCGTCGTCCGATCGAGGGATGAGTACTGGCTACGTACATATCAGCAGAAGACGCTCAACTCTGCAAACCGGACGGAGAGCGTAGGCAGCGTGGGCGACGAGTCCATCGGAAGCCAAGACGAGATCGAGATCTCTGCTGGCATCCGTCGCGTCGAGATCTGGGGCGAGTCTGCCGATGTGCCCGACATCCGGGGTCTCATTTTGTGCGTTGCACATCTTACGAGACGTTCTGCGTTGACAATGATCACAGGTTGTCTGGCATTGCGGACGTGATCAAGCACATCCGCTACGAAGCAAAAGTACAGATCGAGCAATTCTCACCCATGCGTCGTGCTATCGGCCCGTCACATGCAGCCTGTCTGATGGCATCACCTTCGCATCTACTATACGGATCCAAGCAAGTCCTCGATCCTGCCAAATTACCCGGAAAGATCCTGCTCATGCACGGAGGGGCGGATCGCGACGTGCCCATCGCTCAGACGATCCTGCTCAAGACTTTGCTCGTCGGAGTCGGAGCCAAGGACGTCAGGCTGAGAGCATACAGGGACATGTCACACATGGAAGCTCTCACGGCCCTCATGTTGGGCGCAAAACACTCCAAATACTCTGCCGTCATGGAATCCGAGATCCTCGATCTCACGACCACCTGACCCGCATCCTCACGAAGTCTGCAATGTCGCAATGTCCAGAGAGAGAAAGTGTGTAGCATTAATGTACTCAGTCGTTCGTGCGAACAAGCGTATGCATTTTATCGTCCTCCCGTGACTTCGAGGCAGTGACCGGTAACATAAGCAGCGAGTGGACTGGCTAGGAAGAGCATGCCAGCTGCGGCTTCCTCCGGCGCACCTGGCCTTTGCAGTGGAATCATAGAAGTCCTGTCATTTTGTCCGCTTGAGGCTCCTCCGGGAATACCTAGCGCAACCTTTTCGCCGTTGACCTCGATAGCTGCGCCTAGTCCTTTGTCTGCCGTCAAGCGAGTCGAGATCTGTACGCGAACAAGACGAATGTCAGCGTTGAAGTCGACGAGGGCAGGCCTCGTACATAGCCAAACGCGATGGTGTTGCATCGAACGCCAAAGGGACCCCACTCTTTTGCAATCGTCTTGCTCAGGCCTAGCACGCCGCTCTTTGCTACGGCATAGCTTGAGTGCACGTCAGCGTCTGACTCGGGTAGCGCAGGGGGAGAGAAAGCCTACTTGACTTGGCCTGCGTTGCCGTGCAAGCCAGATGTCGAGCTGACATTTGTGATGGATCGGTTCTCGCGCTTCGCGTGATCCTTGATGCGGAAGTAAGGTGCAGCTTCACGAATGAGACGGAAAGGTGCGGTGTTGTGGACTTTGAGCATCAGCTCGAACTGAGCATCGGTCATCGTATGTGACATCTTGTCGTAGGTGAAGCCAGCGTTGGTGACGAGATGGTTGATCTTGCCATACTTGTCCACTGTCGTCTTGATGATCTTCTTTGGGAAATCTTCAGCGGTCACGTCTCCTCCGACAGCGATGGCCTCTCCGCCGTTCGCCTTGATCTCCTCCACAACTTTTTGGGCCTTCTCACCGTCGAGATCGGACACGACCACCTTTGCACCTTCTTTGGCGAACATGAGGGCTGCACATCGTCCTATGCCTTGAGCCGCGCCCGTGATGATGGCCACTTCACCGGCTAAGAGACCTGCAGCATGCCCCGACGCATCAGCCTATCGAGCAGGTCTTTCGCAGGCCGACGAACCCGTGGGAAAGCTGGCTGAGAGGTGTCCGGTGACGTTGGAGAGTCTTGCTGCTGCTGATGCCATTGCGAGTTTTGATGCAGAAAGGCTGAACACCTCGGCAATGTCGACTTCATAATCCAGCCGACGCGCTTCTCCGCCTTCTCCACCGAGTCTCACGCAACGCGAGCGCAACGGGCACCGCGGGCGGCTCAGGAGGTGACGGTACGCAAGGCAACGATCGAGTGGTGACGAGCGAGTACCACGCTGGTACACGAGCACAGGCAGCTGATGCGCAGGGGGTGAGCAGACCACGCTGCACAGATGCCGGTCCCATCCTCGCGTCGCAAGAATGTCAAGAAGGGCCTGTCCTTCACGATCATGGTTGTCGGTGAGCAGCTCCACTCGCAGCCCGCTAGCACGGTCATGCTGATCTCAAGTTGCTGCACAGGTGCTTCTGGCACAGGTCGAACCACATTTGGTACGGATGCGATGCGTTGAGCTGTGCATAGCAGCCCGAGCTGATGATGCTGCCCTCCACAGTCAACACACTCTGCGAGACAGACGTAAGCTTGTCTCAGCGTGTGACAAGCTTTGGAAAAGCTGACGGGATCATGCTCGTCTCCTTGCGATGCCAAATACGACTGCACAGGTGCTCCAACACCAGATCAATGGAGCACCAGAGACTGCTCACATGGAGCCCGAAGTGCGCATCAAGCCTGTTCAAGTCGAGCTAGAGGAGGATGGCGTGCGCATCTCGCTCACCGTCGTCGATACGCCAGGCTTCGGTGAGCTGGCCAACGACATCTGCGCGCCCGAGCTTACATCTGCAATCGACCAGGCGACGCTGTCGACGGCAGCAGCGCGTAAGATGGCTGCCACTTGCTCCCATCGCATGCTGACAGAGTGGTACAGCTTCTCGGAGATTGTCGGCTACCTTGAGCGACAATACGATGACATTCTCGCCGAAGAATCGCGCATCAAGCGCAACCCTCGCTTCAGAGATAACCGCGTCCATGCGCTCATCTACTTCATCCCGCCTACCGGTCATGCGTACGTCTTGACGTAAATGCGTCATGCGTCAAGCTGAAAGCTTCTTCAGACTCCGAGAAATCGACATTGAGCTCATGCGACGTCTCTCGCCGCGCGTCAATGTCATTCCCGTCATTGGCAAAGCCGACTCGCTCACAGTCACCGAACTGAGAGCTTTCAAACAGCGAGTCCGTCTGCGCCTCCATATGCCGAAGCGACTCTGAAGATGGCTTGCAAACAGATCATGGAGGACATCGAGCATTACGATATTCCAATTTACAACTTTCCTTACGATGTCGAAGAAGATGACGAGGAGGTCATCCAGGACAATAGCGAGCTTCGAGTATGTTCCATTAGCTGTGCGCTGCTCAGAGCGCTGAAGGCCTCCGTCAGGCGATGTTGCCCTTCGCTATCGTTGGCGCAGAGGATGAGTTCCAGGCACATGGCCACACGATCCGGGGCAGACGATACCCATGGGGCATCGTCAATGTAGACGACCCCTCGCATTCAGACTTTGGGCGACTCCGCACCGTCTTGCTCTCTACGCACCTGACCGAGCTGGCACGCTGCTTCTTACTACTTTTATCGGGCTCAGCTGATAGAGAGGCTTTACGAGCAGAAGGAGACAGTGCACGATCATCACTACGAGGTCTACCGAACGGAGAAGCTCAGCGAGAGCGTCAACAAGGACGGCTCGCGTGCAGGCCTGGACGCCTCCATCTTGCCCGAAGATCTCGCCAATCAGAGCGTGCGCCTGAAAGAAGAGCAGCTCAGAAAAGAAGAGGAAAAGCTTCGCGAAATTGAGCTCAAGGTACGCTGGACCCTGCTCAATTCCAATGTCTACTGACCATTGCCTTGTCCTTTACGATAGGTCCAGCGCGAGATCTCAGAGAAGCGACAGGAGCTCGTCGCCAAGGAAGAGTCCCTCGTGGGTGCCTTTCACTTCCTCGTGGCATCGTCTCACATGTGGCTGTAGCGCAATCTTGAATCGCGACTTGCGCAGGCGCAACACGCAGAAGCAATCTAACGAGCCGCGACGATGTACGATATGCAGAAACATGTTGACACAACCTCGCTCGACCTTGCTCTTCCGTCTCGTACACTGACATACATGCTGCAAGAGCCTTTCGCAGGCCTACAATGCTGACAGGGCCCGTGCGCGAGACAGTCTTCCCACACTTGTCCCTCCGCTGGCTCGTTTTCGCCTTCGCCTGCTTGGCGGACGTCCAGATAGCGATGGACATGGGCGCAAACGAAAACATGACGTCGTCATTCAGAACTACAACTCGATTACTAGCAGCTGACGAGAGCAGCAGGGCAGCGAGTACGATTATGCCAATGGGAAGCCTGCATTTCGGCTCTGGCGATCTTCTGTGGTTTGCAGCTTGGACGCCTTCAAATAATGGCACGACTGCAATAGCGGCGCTAGGCTTGCTTCTCATGGCAATGCTGTCTGCTTTTGTCGGCCAACTTAACACCCTCGTCGCGTCTTTCGACGCAGGGCCATCAATGCCCGTGATCGCGAATGAGAGGAGATCCCTCGGGTTCGGCGCTAAGCGATCGCCGAGTATGCGCGCAACACAGGCAATGCTAGCCGTGCTGCAAGGCTTATTACAATATTCTCTGATGCTCAGTCTCATGACTTTCAACGCCGGCCGACTTATCGCTATACTGCTCGGCTTGGGGCTCTACGAATGCATCCGATAGTACAGCCTCAAGACCTACTGCTTTTTGGCTCTCTGACGCGCAAGGTGCTCGAGATACGCAAGAGAGTGAAACGGCCTCTTTGGAGGTATTCTGATCTGGGCCGGAGTCGTGTACCAAATCAGATCGCCCGAGAAAGGATCTGTTCGGAATAGCGAAGCTGCTTGAGCGGATTGTCAGCTTCACTCCGCGGACAAGCACACGCAGTGACTTGCCCAACTCAGCAGGCATGACTGCGAAGCGATCTTCGGCTACGGCCTTGTCTGCGTCTGTGATGATCTCAGTCTTGACCGGCTGAGGCGCCGGCAAAGGTGTTGCGTCTGCCGGTGAGACGACAGGCTCGGGAGCTCGCGGCGTCTGTGGCGTGATAGCATACTGCGGCGCAATGGCACGCGGGCTGGGATATGATGACGAGAGGGATGGCTGGGTTGCAAAGCTAGTAGGCATCGGCGAAGGTTGAGGCTGAGGCTGAGGGCTTTGCATCGGCGGTTGCGGGGTCGCAGGCAGGTCTCCTCGGGCACGCGCTTGCTGTTCCAGCAGTTCTCGCTCGATCGTTCGCTTCGTTCGATATTTCTTCGGCCGATTAGTTGACGGGCCAGCGATCCCTTGATCAGAGGGTGTCGATGGACCAATCATTGGGGGCGGCAGCCGGGGCGCGCCAGTCTTGTCCACTGGTGCATAGTATCTCAACTGATCTTCCTCTTCGCTAGGATCGGCCGCGCCGAGATGGCCGGGACCTTCTACTCCGCTCAGAAAGGGAGACGCAACCCTGCGCACGGAGACCGGCGGATCGGTCTGATAGACGAGATCCACCTTGCGCGCTTCCTCGCAGACGCAAGACGCCCAACTCTTTATTTTCTTGAAGGTATGCTCTTTGTCGTCTTTGTATCGGTGCTCGCAAACGTACAAGGGTATGTCTGGCGTCCACAAGGGAGCCTGCAGACGGCCTCTGATATAGCGAGTCAGGAACATGACCATGCAGCGCCCGAGCACGTCTTCGATGTTGATATTGAAAAAGGTCGACGTCTTGAAGACTTCGTCTGCAAGGAAGACGCGATTGGGCGCATGAACCGTCTCCTCTGGTCGATAGTAATAGCAGAGCTCGAGCACTCTGCGAGACGAGCGGCGATCGACGAACATCTTGAAGATCTGCGCCACGATAGGCAAATGAGAATAGAGTGGATTATGCAGAAGCACCCATTCGCCTGCCAAAGCGTCAGCAATGATATCTCTCCATGGATGCACAGGCAGGACGGACCTGCAGCGTAAGTATTGCCTTTATAGTTGATACCATGTAAACCTTGGCGATCTTTGTAAAGCACCTTATTGCCGTTCTCCGCTGCTTGCATGACCTCGCGCGAGGTGCCAGGCGCGACGGGCAGTGTAGCAAGATCGGCGGGCTCGTATGAGATGGGTCTCGATGTTCCGTCACCCCGGGATAAATCCTGATAGATTCGCTACAGCACCGGTTGCCGGCTCAGCTGACGCTACGATCAAGCACGATGCACATGCCTGTAGATATAGCGTGTCGCCATAGGCTAATCTGTCTTTGGGCGATATCCATTTCCGCGCCGTTGCGAAGGCATTGGTCATGTCACGATCGAAATGGTCAGCAGTCGAATAGGAGCCTGCCTTGAGTCGGGCCTGTAGAAGAGTGAGCAGGCGAGTCAGAAAGAGAGCAAAAAACTGACAGAGATAATGTTGAGATCGATTGTCTGGTGGTGGCCTTTGACGAGAGGATGCGCTCGAGCTTCTTCGCTCAGTGTGAGCATGCAGCGTGCCAATCGACGATTTGTCCTGCGCTGGCATTGAGACATGATAAAAGGACTACGACGAAGCTTACGCCGGGTGCTCGAAAGTCATGACTTTATCGAGAATAGACGAGAGGATCTCTTTCTGATACCCAGGCCGGTTTGCCTCTGCATGATTTGTCATCCATCCCGTCTCGGAATCCCAGATCTTTGCATTCTGCTCTCTCGCTTTACGCTCAGATCGCTTGACGTCCTTTTCTTCCTGGTCTTGCAGCATCGACTCGTCCTCGTCTCCGTCACCATCCCGTCTATCTTCAGATTCCCTGTCGCGGCGAGAGTTACGGTCATCCGCCTCGCCATCGTCTTCATCGCCTGCCGAATCCTCTTCTTCGTCTGATGGGTATATTCTAGCGGGCCCGGCAGCGCGCATGTTGTCGATGACTGCCGAAGGGTTGAGCAAGTCTGACATGTCTGCTACGATGACGGGCAGCTCTCCTGTAGCCACACGGTCAGCCCAGAGCGTGTCTTGCTCCGCCTGCTCGCTCTTGTGAGCCACTATCGAGGCTTGTAGATCGTCAGGACGCACCTGAAGACGGTCTGCGTCCTTTGCAATCGTCGAAGAGTGGTTGTTGTATGTCTGCGCGTTTCGCCAGACGAGGCGCATGTCGACATAGGCTTCCTCTGCTGCCGAGTAGAGATTCTCTTTGACAGCTTGCTTGATCTGTCTCAGCGAGCGCGGGTGCCTGATCACGTCATAGTACTGAGGCGCTTCGACGGCAGTCGGCAGATCTTTGAACGGTCCCCCGAGGTTGCGGCCATTGCGATTTCTGAGATTGCTCAACTTGTCTACGATGTCGAGCAGCGCCGCCCTGATGCTCGACGTGACGGCCGTCTGCTTCTTGCCGGGAGAAGCGGGTGCACTCTGGCCTGAGCCCGTCTGGGCACCGTACAAGCTCGAGGCTTTGAAAGTGATCTTGGGCACCACGCCTGGCTTCACCTCGGTCATAGCTGGCGTGGCTACCCCAGGAGGTGATGCTGCAGACGATGTTGACGCCCTTCGACGCTTCTGTGCGGCCATGAGATGCTGGCCTTGAGCTGTTCTCGTCAGTCCAGTCGCTCTCGTCGCTTGGCGCGTCGAACGTCGAACACACTCGCAAAGGCCAAGTTGGCATCAATCTGGGGCGCCATGACAGACTTGAAGAGCCTCCAAGAGCTATCGCGTGCTGCAGAGCAGTCGACGTGAGCATCCGAGCACGCGAGAAGCAGACAGATCGGAACACGAGCGGCTCAGGACGACTGCCCTGCAGGCCCTGCCTTTGGCGGCAACGAGCAAGCCTGCAGAGCAAGCGCCAGCATGCCAAGTATCGACTATGTCCCCCAAATCGATCCCCGCGCTTCGTTCAGTCTAGCACAAGCGCCAGGAAGTCAGCGCAGACTTGCGGACTCTCACACAAGCTCATTCACGCGCGCTACGCCGAGTCCTCATCCTGCACACCCGCCTGAGACCAACAAAGGCTTCTATCGTGAAAGAGGCTACAAGAATGATCCTCCCGCCTCAGATGCACGTCCCATCTCCGCTGGATCACAGAGGAGAAAGCTCACCAAACGACGCCAAAATGCGCCTCAGCATGTCAACGCGACCGTCGAGGCCAACAGCCCGCTCTTACAGACGAATGAAGTCAGAGAGGGTCACTCAAGGAGCGTCGGCCTCTCCTACTACTTCACTGAGCCACCCTCCGTCGATGACTACATCGCGCGAGACCCTGAGCAACCTCGCGAGCAAGACGAGCGCCAACAGCAAGAACAGTACTACCTCCCGCAGATTCAGCCTTGTATACCCACCGGCTCCCCTGCCCAAGCTCATCCTGAGAGCCAGCAGCGTGATAACAATCAGTCTAGACAATCCTCCCGCACTGTCGGCGGCCAATCGAACGCTCATGGTAGGCCGATCGTCCCGCCAAGACAAGCGCCTGCGGTTCCTTATGCGCCCCGGGATCCGGAAGCCGTCCAAGCAAGATCGCCGCTTGCTCAGCTCGCGCACTCGAGCCAGCGAACGGCAGCCAGCACGCGCGAAACCATACGCAAAAGGCAGCAGGACGAGCAGATGACGCACGCGACTCCCGCAGATCAACAGCAGGATGGGCTCTCTTACCTCTCTGGTCATGTGCAAGGATCTACATCATACCGCTCTGATGAGGCAGAACTGCACAATGGGCGGTACCCCCATGACGAGCAGCACCACTATGATAGCGGCCCGCAAGACTCGTACTCGACGAGGCCAGTACCGCCAACGCGAGCGCAGCATAGACACACTTCAAGTCACGGCTCTTCGGTCTACTCGGTATCGAGTCTCAAGGCATCTGCTTCTGCCAATGACATCGCTCGCTCCTTACGATCGGACGAGCCAGGCCTTCCGCCTGCTCGACTGCCATACGCCGGCTCAGCGAACGCTCACAAGCGAGGGCCGTCCGAGTCGAGCAATCACATGCTGTCCGCCAACGGAACCAGACTCACCGATGCTTTCCGACTGTCGTATGCAACCAATCAGACAGAATCGGAATCCCTCGTCGATCACGTGTCCAGCACGCTTTCGCCTGTCGACAGCCTACAGCATGATGCGACACTTGTCAGACCGCTGCACGGCCATCCAGGCCTAGCTTTAAGCTCGCTAGCTCGTGATGCATCACAGAGAACGCATGCGACAAAGTACAGCAGCTCCGGCACGGCCGTGCTCGATCAAAATCCGTTCAAATACCAGGTCAGTCCAAAACTTTGAGCAGCGGGCATTCACGGCGCACGCTCACATGATCGCAGGGCTTGGCGGAAGATGGTCGCACGTCTGGTGAAATGGCACCATGCTCTCCGGACAGCGACTATCGATCAACTGCGTCAGATGCGCTTGCTCGCAGCAGTGAAGAGCAAAACAGTAGGCCAGTACACACTGCCGGCTATCTTGGTCTGTCCATCCAGCAAGAACGACCCACATCAGCTATATCGACCATCGGCGATCTTGTCTGGCAGCCGTCGGACGCCCGCCCCACGTCGATCGCCACACGACATCGCTCTCATACTTTGTCATCCCTAGGTGGCCGCAATTTCTCTCGTCCAATGCGTAACATCACCGCGGCTGCGAACAATCTGCATTTGGACGACCCTGCGCCTATCTCTCCTCCTGGGCCAGCAAAGCTCCAGCGCCGTCAGTCAAATCGTTCTGCTAGGTCTTCAGGCTCAACGAGCCCGAAAGAATCTCTCAAAAGTCGTTTGTCTATGCGGTCCATGAAGCTCAGACTCGAGACCCGATATACGAGAGGGGCAGCCTCACCATCCGATTCGTCACCTTTGCAAGTACCTCGAACGCCAATCGATCCGCCGCGGATCACACTCTCTCATATACCCGATCCCCAGTTAGGATCTCCAGATGACTACTATCAGCAAGCTTTAAGCGCCACTGAAGCCCGCGAGACAAAGCCGAAGCACTGGCCAAATCAGCCTGCGATGCCAGATTCCTTGGGGGAAGTCAGGCCATTGCGCACGGAGGAGTCTCGCCAACGCGCTGCGCACTCTCAGACCCCGCCTCGCTCGAGCTCCCGTCAGAATTTATCGCGATCGCAGTCACCCTCGACCGTTGGTGAATCACCCCAGATTAACACGTCGCCTTTCCTCAACGCGCAAACGCCGCCATTGCCGTCAGGTCCTTTCACTGACCACGATGCTTCGCATCTCTCGTCTGCCAGGCCATCGCAGTCGCGTTTGGCCAGCAATCAGATGTCTCCTCCGTCGCCTGTGCATTCTGCTTGCAGCACTGATTCGTTCCATCCTGTTCCCGTTCAGTCGTCAACCTTTGCAAAGACCAAGGCGACTTTGATCTCGTCTGTACCGCAAACGCAAAGAGGTAAAGCAGATCCGCCGCAGCTCAACACGCAAGATCCTATACATTGCTTGCAGCTCGGTATCGACTTTCACGAGCGGGGCGACTTGCCTCGCTCTGCTTTGTATTTCGAGCGCAGTGCCAGCTTGCAAGGCGGCTGTGGCACAGGCATGCTCATGTGGGGTCTCGCACTTCGACATGGTTGGGGCGTGCAGCAAAATCAAAGCACGGGTTTTGCCTTTATCAAGCGTGCGGCAGAGAGCGTCGTCGACAATCTCGAATATGCGGTCCAACATCCTGACGACATCGCACACGGGAAGACACCGCCGCAAATCAACAAGGTATATCGCATCCAACTATCCGCTCTGAGTGCTGATGCGATGTGAGTAACAGGCAGAGCTCGTCCTTGCTGTCTATGGTACGTCCTACGAGCTCATCGCATCATCCTCACTGACACAGTCTGTAGAGCTTGCACAATGTATGCTCAGAGGATGGGGAACGAAGAAAGATAAGAAGAGAGCGCTCAAGTATTTTGAGCTCGCGGCAAAGCTTGGGGACGCCGATGCTCAGCAAGAAGTACGTCGGGCATCACATGCGTGCATCTCAACTAATATTCGTACAGCTCGGTTATTGCTACCAATTTGGCAAAGGCTGCCCCAAGGATCTCAAGAAGGCCGCTCATTACTATCGCCTTGCGGAGCAGCAAGGCTTCCAGACATTTGGTCTGCAGGTACGATCATCTCCAGTTCGGCCAGACTGCATTGAACGAGACTCCACAGTGGATACACAAGCCAAAGTGGCAAGACTAGTTGCGCTATCTCTGTTGTTTTGTTGTTGCTCGTTTAAAGTACTGTCTATTGCTTTGCTGCCGGCTTAGCTTCCTTGCTGGGAGCGTCGCGCTTGGCATCTTTATTCGTCTTCCGATGTTTCTTGCCGCCGCGAGATTTGACGGACCAGCCAACGACGGTGTGACCTTGTGCAGTTGCATGGGACGAGTCGTGTTTTGCACTGTAGACTATCTTCCGCTCCGATTTTGCGGCATTGGGGCTGAGCGCACTCTCGCTGTTGCGCCGAGGCGTCTGATCAGGACGAGTAACCTCAGCGCCTCGCCCAATCGTCTGCGCGGATTGCTTTGGCGATAGTGGCGACGGCCAGAGGACGCTAGGCGATGCTTTATCGGACAGATGCTCAGCATAGGAAAATCGCCTGGCCGTCTGTGCAGCTGCGACCGCCGTCGACGTACTCGCGCTGGATACAGGGAGAGCAGGCCACTCTTCTGTCTCTTCGGCTGTGTCCTCTCCTTCTTCCGCTTCCTCGGTCACGAGGCTTGATTCGCGGAAAAGGCCTAGCTTTTCGCAAAGGACATATCGCTGATCGGCCAAAGGTAGACCGTGGCTTGCTTCCAGAGTGTAACCGCGCTCCTCAATGACGACGGGCAGGTTGGCTGCCTCCGTGACAATCTCTGTCTTCTTGAGCTTGCCCTTTGCGGTCGTGGTCACAAACACCCATCGTCCCATACCGCCTCGGCCGTACCACTCGAGCATCTCGAGCTCGGTAGCGCGCTTCTTGATCCGCTTGAGATCTTTCTGGCTCGGCATGATATCGATGTTGATGGGCGAAGTGAGCGAGGCTGACTTTGCGTGGCTGATATCGTTGAGAGCGCGAGATGGCGAAGTTGGAGGCGTGTCGATCGCAGGCATCTTGCTCAGCCGATCTGTGCTCGCTTGCGCAAGCTTGCGCTCCGGCGAAGCTGCAGGCGTGGCCGGCATGTGTGTCGTCCAAAGCGTTGTCGTCGTCGGCTTGAGCTGGAGCAGTGATAATGCTGAGGGACTGACACTGAGCCGTAAGGCTCGTAAGTCGCTACTCAGCCCCAGAGCTTGAGCAATCTGTGACGTGCTCGCGTTTTCAATAGTGTCCGGCCGAGGAGGTGAAGCTACTCACAAACTTGTCGATGGGCAGATCAATCATGAGCGAGATATGAGTTGCGACAGAGCAGCTCTCGAGGATGATTCTAGCCTGATCGAATGAGCAGCTGAAGAAGTCGAGAATGAGCGTCCTGATTGATCGCGTATCTCTAGAGAGTGCTTGAACCAGCGCAGAGGGGATTGCCCGTGGCCTGACGACTTCCTCGCAAGGTATCTCTTCGTGTTGACCTGACGTGAGTGCTTCGATGGGAATGACGCGCTCGATCACGAATTCACCCAATGAAGGTTGAGTCGGTCCAAAGAGCGCGTCGAGCGAGTCGAGATGATCTGGTGTCCAGCTATGATGATGTCCATCTTCCGCGAACCGTATGACCAAGGACATCATAGATGCCGGCAGCTGACAGTGTGTCCAAGCCTTGCGCGTCAGCCGGCCTGTGGAGTGGCGCAGTATCAGCTTTAGCCCAGCTGACCACATCTTCCTCGCCTTCAAATTCGGTCAGCTCGAGGTGGGTGAGCGACAAGGTAGCATCGAGCAGGGACTTGAGACCCTTGTCGGTCACCTTCGTACCTGACATTCTGATGATCTTGAACGTCTGTAGACGTTTTGAGTATGTGCCCACATCGGTAAAGAATTGATCGTCGAGAAAGGGCGATGCGATGACTTTGAGGTGCAGCAGACCCGGTAGATCTGCAATCGCACGGCCCAGATTCCGTACACCCTCGAGTGAGAGATCAGAGACGACAATCTGGGTGAGTTTGTCGGACGAGAGCTGCAGGATCTGTGGACAGTCCCATCGTCGTCTGCTATCGCCTAGCAAAGGGGCACCCGGATCCGCGTGACCGTCGACCACGATCCTCTCTAGCTTGCGTAGGCCCTTGATGACGACTCCCATCGAGCGAGGCAGCGTGCGCTTGGCCTTCCATTCGAGTACTTGCAGGTTCGTGAGAGCAGACATCAGGTGGAAGAGAGTATTCTCCTCTAGCGACGAGGGCAGGCGAGCTACTGTTTGCTGGACATCTTCATCAGAGGATGGATTAGGGCTTGCAGGCAGTACCGTGAGGTGTCTGACTGCCTCTGCGTATTTTCTCGTGCAAGGACCGAACAGACGATCGCGGTCGGTCAGGAGGAGTGTCCTCACGGGACAGCTGATCCCTCCCGGGCCCGACGCAGGGCTTGTCTCTGTAAAGCCCCTGGCTCCTGCTAAGAGGAAGATGGAGTCGTCGTCGACGAGGGTGAGGTGGCCATAGACGGCCGAAAGAGCTGCTTGGTGCCATTGTGGTCCTAGCTGAGCGAGAAAGAGCATCCGAGCAGCCGGATCATCTGTGATCGCGTGTATGATGATCGTCTCCATCACTCGCCTGGGTAAACTGGAAGGGATGCGGCCCGCCCAGCTGTCCCCGGCCGGCGAAAGTCCATTGCCCGCTATCACTCGTTTGTCTTGCCCCTCGCTCGACACCCGCCCAGCCGTGCCTTTGACCATGGCACGGAGTCAGGCTGCCTCACAACAAAGCGAGAGATGTCTGCTCCGAGAGGGCACAAGCTCTTGCAGGCTGTGCGCGCAGACTTTTTCTCGACTCAAGGTCTGCGTCGTCAATGTCACCGAGGAGGCTCTGCCGACGCGTCGAGGCAATGCGTTTCATCGTGAAGTATCAAGAGCGAGTGGGCTGAGAGGTCAAGAAGGGAAGGGTAGTCGGCGCGTGTCAGGGACAGACAGGCTCAAGCGAGTGTAGCGTCGATGACGCGCGCTGTCCCAGTCCCAAGGCTTGGGCTGTAGATCGTCGTGAGAGACGCCACCTCGCGGAATCGAGTTCTGTCGCCAAGATTCGATTGCCCACTCTGCTGCTAAGCTCAATAAGCAATGTCAACTATGACAATCACCAAGGCAGACAAGACTGTGAAGCCTATCGATCGCACCTCTGGCGCGTCACGACAGCGCACGAACGACCCTTGGCGCAATACGAGAGAGCCGTGGAGGCAGAGCAATAGCTCCATCTCTTACGTCCGGAAACGTCTGCAGGACAGGCTAGACAGAGCTTGGCTATGCTGGACAGGCCTACTGCCTTTTAGCCTCCTAGAAAGTGTATGTCATCCGCTCAAGAGCTGCGCCGGGCGTATCTGACTCGTTTGTTTGCAGTGGGAGATCACGCTCGTCCGTAAGCCGCCGATATCGATCATGGTCCGGCGGACATAGAGCTGACTTGATTTGCTGATCATAGACGTCATCTTCCTCGTCGTGTCCGTCTTGCTCTGCCAATTCGGCGCAAAGGGCTTGCAAGGCTATGGTGGAGCCCTGACGAGACGACTGCAGTACTACTACACCGGCGAACTCTCCTCTGTTGCCGATCAGGACTGGCATTACTGATCCATCTGTCCGAGCGAGCAACCGGCAGCTGTAGAGGGTGCGCTTGTAAGTCTGTTGTTGCAAGCCATGTCATGAATCGAGTATTGTGCCAGCGGCCGCTTTGTTGACTCTCGCTTGCTCGGACGCGTCAAGCTTGATGGGTGCCTTCTTCCTCGGAAACTGGCCTGCGAACTCGTCCGGAAGGCCAGATTCCTCGATCTGCGCTGTCTTGCTCACATACACCTTCGTCGGCTTGAGCTTGCCGGACCTAAAGGCAGCTTGGCGTTTCTCGAGGTCGTGTGCCATCATGGCTGCCCCGATACGGTTGGAGATACTGAGTACGATGCCCACGATGGGCAAGCGCTCGAGCACAGCCGCCACGAAGCCGAAAGCACGATACTCGTAGATTCGCTCCGTGATGAAGAGCTCCTGCTCAAAGGCGGACATCTTCTTCGCGAGGAAATAGGGCTGATGAAGTGTACGTGCCAGCGTGAGGCTCTTGAGAACGGCGCCGATGATGATGCCCAGAAAGGGCACAAAGTTGAGCGGATGAAGCAAGACTGGCCCCTCATGTCAGCAAGACCACGAGTACGGTATCAACTGACGCACTCTTTGTGATGAAGATGCGGATGAGCGGACTGGAGAGCCGCGAGTAGAAGGAGCTCTTCTGCGCAGCGCGTCGGGCACGGTCGATAGGTGGCTCCTTCCACTCTTCGACATAGGGCTGCCAGAAGGATGCATCCTTGCCACGACTGGCCACTGTGGCATCGTAGGCATGCACCCGAGCGGCCTTGAGCTGTTTCGCAATGTAGAACTCGAGAATCATTGACGCTTGCTGCTCGCTCGCGATGCATCAGCTCTTCATCACTGACGGCAGAACAGACTTACGCCCAAGCCCATCATGAGAGAGGCATAGGTGAGAATGTTGACGCCGAGCCATTTGGAATCATCTTCGTACTTGAAGAGCAAGTTGCGCTTCATGAAGAATCGGCAGTACAGCCTGTTGAAAGGGATGGTAGCGATGAACTGCCAGCCATGACGGTCAGCAAGACACGCTCGCATGTCGAGGTCCACACGAGGCTGACCCATAGAGCAGCAATGAGAGCGCCCTGCTTGGCTGAAGTGCTCGTCTTTTGCCTGGCCAACTCAAGTGAGCTGAATATAGCCGCACAGCTCGAGTGAGTGCTCACCAGATGGGCCTCCAGAGCGATGCGTCGGTGAGCAGACGATACAGACCGACGAGACAATAGACCGGACTCGCTGACAGCAGCTCTTGCGGCATGCTCGGCTACCTTGCGGTGTCTACGGCACAGTCGCGGTCTCTATCGACACTGGCCGAGGCGTTCCATGCGATGTCCAGTGTAGATGACCTATCGGCTATCCTTGTGGACCGCTTGAAGCAACAGCATGGCAAGCGGCTGCTCGTAGGTATAGCAGGCGTCCCTGCTTCCGGCAAATCGACGCTCGCACTCGCTGTGGTCAATAAGATCAATGCGATCCACAACAGCGGGACTGCCGTCCTCGTCGGCCTAGATGGCTGGTCCGTCCTGGCCCTGCCTGCTTCAAGGATTGCACAGTGACGAGCGAATACGGCAGGCACTACACGAGGGCGATGCTCGACACGTTTGACGACCCCAAGAATGCTCATGACCGTCGGGGTGCCTCCTGGACGTTCGATGCCGCGAGTTTTGTCTCCTTCGTCGAGACGCTTAGATCGCACGATGCAGATTCTCCGGATGAGTCCGCCAGAGTGATCATGCAAGCGCCATCTTTCTCACACGAGCTCAAAGATCCCAAGCCAGACGATATTGACATCCTGTCACAACATCGTATCGTCATCTTTGAGGGTCTTTACTGCTTGCTCGACTTGGAGCCATGGCGGCAAGCAGCACACTGCCTTGACGAGAGGATAGCGCTGTCCATCGACCCCGGGTTGGCAAAAGCGCGTCTCATCAACCGACACGTTCTCACTGGCGTTGCAAAGGACAACGACGAGGCTGTGTGGCGAGCAGAATCGAGCGACATCCCCAATGGTGTTCAGGTCGAATCGAATCTGTACAGGCCAACGAGGACTATCATGATGAGCTGAATGTGTCATACGTGGCACACGCAAGCGTCAATGTAGTCCGTATAGATTCTCACATGTGGCGGATGGATCGGTTGTAAAGGCTAGACGCTTGATCATGACAGATTGCATTGCTCTTCGTACCACCACTGCGTACCTTCCTTCTGTTTCCGGGTCATCAGATACTGATGTCGTGTCAGTTTTTAATTATGTCATCGGTGTAAAAAGTTTTGACAAAGGCCCAGTCTAGGCCACCTGGCCCCTGACAAAGTTGTTCGCTGGCAACGACACCATTGCGACGTGCTCACGAGGACTCCATCGCGCAGACATATCAAGACTGTCGTATCGCCATACCAGCACGCGTGCTGACGACATCCTGACGCCGTGCGGCTCGGGGTCCGACCCGGTAAACAGCACGGAAAGGCACGGCTGACTGTACGTGTTGAAACTCACTTGACCGACCCGTACGCCTTGCATCTGCCAGTCAGCGATCAGCGTACGATCGTTGGCAAGCAGAGCACCGTCTGAGTACGACCTGCCATCATGCAGAGTCAGTCTACCTAGTCATCTCTACATCTAGCAATATTCGACTCGTCACTCGATCTGAGCATGACGACGACAACGAGCAGGACGAGGTCGCCCAACTCGCCGGGCGGCCTATCACCTGCGTCTCCCAGATCACCGAGCAGGTCGAAGAGAGACCAATTCGAGCGAGATGGATCACTCGCCACCTACTTTTCAGCCCCATCGCCCAGAATCGCTGAAAAGAATGGCTTCTTCGGCGTCATAAGTCCAAGTGGCAACACAGTGACCGCGAAGCCAACAAGCCCATTGGCGAGGAATACTGCGAATCCCATGGATGTCTTCGGTCTGCCCACCAGCAGGGGCCCAAGCATGATGCCTTCGCGCTCGGTCTCTACGCAGAACTCTGTCAATTCGACTGCAGGCGCGCCTTCTGGTATCGCTGATGATTCAAGCCCGTCTGCGCAGCACTCTGCCTTTGCAGCAGCAATCATGGCCAGTAAGGGCTTCGCGCTGCCGCCTGCTAGCAACATGACGCCGCGTGGACCTCTCACAGGCGCAGGAAAAGAGTTCAATTGGTCATCTTCTCGCATGCCAGCGCCAAGCATGAGGCAGAGTGTCTCTTCTTCCGGCAGGACCTCTGTCACAAGCAGTCGTGAACACGAACGGCCGCCTTTCTTCAGCCAGAGCTCGACATCCACCGTCACTGCCTCTCCACAAGACCATGCGCAACCTACAGAGATTCCTAATGCGTATGCACCCGTCAGATCAGATTCGCCTTTCGAGCTGCTGTCTAGCTTGTCGCCTTCGCCTGTCCCGAGTACTAGCAGTAGCTCGACTGGTCGCAGTTCGGGTTCTTCCTTCTCGCAGCTATCACTGGGCGCCAGAGGCAAAGACAGAAAGACATTGTCGCCCAGCTCGTCTGTATCGTCAGCTCTATCGGTCTCGTCGCATTCGGCTGGCATGCCCAGCAAACGCGCGCCCGTCTCGCGACCGGGAACAGCCCTGTCACCCTCAGCGAGGATGCAGACTGTCGCCAGTCGTGATCTGCCTGCCCTGCTCGAATCTGATGATGTACTCCTGCTCGATCTGCGGTCCAGGACTGCTTTCTCTTCCCCGGCAGGCAGGATAAAGGGATCCATCAATATCTGCGTGCCTACGACCTTGCTACGTCGACCGATCTACGATGTCAATAGAGTAGCAGAGACGATCGTTTCAAAGACTGCTAAACAACGCTTTCTCGCGTTTGTTGCGCAGAAGCAAGGCAAGGTTGTCTGCTACGACCAGGACTTACAAGATTCCACCGTTATCAGCATCTTGTCAAAGTTCGAACGCCACGGCTTTGCCGGCGAACTCAGATATGTCGAGGGAGGCTGGTCAGCTATGCAAGAGGCAGCGTTCAAGACCGGCGCGGGGAGAGATTTGTCGGCTTGCTTCGAACTTGGCACCCTAGAGGAAGACAGCGACATGTCACCTGCGGCAGAAGATCCTGATAGTACTATGAAATCATCGCCTGTGATTCGATGTCACGCGCTGCCGAGTTCTGCGTTTGAGTCTACGTCTACAGCGTCCTATCAGCATGGCGCTCAAACTGCAGGCACAGCTCAGGATAGCCAGCAGTCTGGCGCGAGATCTGCCGCCGACGGCCAGCGAACAGGCCGCAAGCAGACTTGCAATCCCTTCTTTGACAATATCAGGCAGAATGCAGAGGTTCGCTCGGCGGTCACTCTCATCACTGATGTGATCTGACTTTCTCCTGCAGAGTCTGTCGCTCGAGCGTTCGCTGGCACATCTGAATCCGGTCGAGCTGCCAGCAGCTTATGTAACGCCTGCAGTCACAACACATCTGCCGCCATTCCTGTCGAACCTCGTGCAGCTTTCACCGACTGCACGAGCACGGAAGCTCGCGACAGAATTTTTCGAGATCGAGCAAGCCGAGCAGCGACGTCTACAGGCCGTCATGGATTGGCATGCCAGCACGAGCGGCCTTCGACCGGTCAGCGACGAGAGCTCGTCTGAGGCCGAAGAGTCACATCCCCTCAGTATAGCTGCCGGCGTCGAGAAAGGCCATCTCAACCGATACAAGAACATATTTCCTGTGCGTGGCCTTGGGGGATTTTGCATTTGCTCTGACATAGCAACGGACAGTATGATCATGCACGAGTTCGCCTTGCGGGGGGCAAGACGCGCGATTGCGATTATATCAACGCGTCTCACGTGCGCCTGCGAGCTTCGACAAAGTCTTACATCGCAACGCAAGGACCGCTCGACAGCACCTTTGCACACTTCTGGCAACTCGTCTGGCAAGAGAAGGTCAGCGTCATCGTCATGCTCACGCATCTCGTCGAAGCCGGCAGAGCCAAGTGCGGGAATTACTTCAAATCTGGACAGTATGACGACATTCTCGTCGATATAGTTGAGCAATCCTGTCCAGATCCTCTTGTCGCCAAGACGGGCGACAGTTTCTTCGGCTCGCTCGCAGTTGACAAGGAAGCCGGCACCTCCGAAGATGTAACGATTCGACGCAAGATCGCACTTAGAAACGTCAATGATCCGCCTGGCACGCCACCCCGGTATCTTCGACATATCCAGTATATTGCTTGGCCAGATTTCGATGTGCCGCCCGAAGCGAGAGAGCTGGTCGAGCTCGTCAAGGAAGTGAACGCGGCAGAGGAAGCAGTGCTGCGCGAGAACGGCATTGACGAAAGTGATGAGCGTCCGCCCGTTCTTGCACATTGCTCTGCTGGTGTCGGCCGAACCGGCAGTACGTCTGAAATCGCTCGATCGAAAATACGAGCTGACATGCTTCGCAGCTTATATCGTTGTCGATGCTTTGCTCGACTTGATGCGTCGTGAGCGACAAGGCTCGAACCCGATGCTCTCGCCCAGCAAGATGGATATCGATCTTCCGCAGATGGGAACCGGACAATCTCAGCTCATGGCCAGACGAGCCAGTCAGCGGAGTAGTCAGGGCTTTGTACCAGCAGTAGCCGCCCTTTCGCTCGACTCGCCATCGCGGCAGACACCGCCGCTCTGTCGATCGGATCCGATACGAGCAGCTGTCGACGAGCTGCGACTACAGCGCATGTCTATGATTGCCAATAGCGGGCAATTCGTCTTTGCCTATCTATCAGTATTGGAAGGACTCGTGAGCGAATTGCGACAAGAAGGTCGTTTATCGCTACCGAGCCAGTAGAGACTTGCATGCCATGCACTTTGCCCTGCCGGTTTTGCGCCGTTACAGCGCTCATGCACTCATAAACACATTACATCGCTGTGCGTGCGCTCGCTGTCTGTGCATTAGCAGCGCCGCTGGCCATTGTATAAAGCATGCCCATGCATTGATGCATTTGCTTTTGCCAAGCGTTCACACGACACATCACAGGATGCTGTACTTGCTCGTTGGTCGCATGATTTTGTAAGGATCGACTTGCTTCTCTTTGCCGTACACGGGCTCGGGCCGACCTACTTGCATGTAAGAAAATTTTAATGTTCCAGCGATCACCGGAAGCCTACCAAAAGTTCTGCGAAAGATGTCTGTGACTTCTGGCGTCCATTGCTGGCGTACAAAGTGCACGCCGACCGGCTCGAGATTGTGCTGATCCATGAGCGTCCTCACGCTGAGGCCGAGCCGTTGAAGCTGCTTGAGTTTCGCGAGCTCGACAGGCGCCGAGCGACCAGGTGTCTGGTCATTGGAGGCCTTGACTTCATCTTGAATCTTCCCGCGTTGGGCAAAGAGAAGATATGTGTAACGATGATGGGGCGTGCCCTTTTGCGGATGAGGAGGAATATAGCTCAGCACTGTATCGCCCGTCAATGCTGACCGCCGTGTCGAGGCTGATATTTTGACATTGGCTCTGCGCATTCCTCAGGATTGCGCTGTCATCAGCGAACAGGGACGGCGTACATGAGCTGGTGAACAAAGGTCGTAAAGCCTTTCCGCAGATGATCGGGGTAATCAGGATCAATGAGCAAAAGCGTATAGAGCCTCTCGTCGGGATGAAACACTGTCGCTCTCAACTCTGGCTCTTGTTCGGTCTGTGCAACCTGTCAGCCATCCGCCACAGCAGAGCTTGCAAAGCGCACCTGATCGGCTGTGATCTTGATGCCCGGTACGACGGCTACCGATGAGCCAGACAAGTAGAGGTTGAGGTCGACTTCTGGGTCTATGGCTGGTAGAAGGTCAGGCACCACATCCATCTGCAGCACTCTTTGCATCTGTTCGAGCGCTGCCTTGAGCAAGGAACAGCTGCGAGTGCATAGAGACTGACGAGGCGCGCTAAAGAACCTTGAGTGCGCCAATCTTGTTCTGCAAGATGTCTCATCACAGACGAAGACGGATCACCTGCGCTCGTCCACATGAGTCTCATCCGATGACTGGCCAAAGGTAGCGCACCCAATCCTTGTGAGAACTGCCATCTCGTCTCTGGATCATTGACGCTGGCCAGGACCTCGAGCTCCTCTCTTTGTTCAGCAGTCGCATCATTCGGCAGCCGCTCGAGCCTTTCGAGCTTGATCTGCCTGTCTTTACTGATCACCTTGAGTGCCTCATCGTAGACACGTAGTTTTCCAGATGGGAGCGCTCTTGTATAGCTCGCTTCTGTTGCGCTTGATGCGGGTGGCGCAGATGTGGACGCAATGGGGGCGGAGCTCGCAGTCGCTAGTGCTCTAGCACAGCAGCTCAGCAGTGTCGGCGGTGTGCGCCTCATCGTAGCGATCCAAGTTCTGAACGCTCGCTGCTTCGTGGCCCAAAATGAAAAGTATTGACGCGCTGAGCATGGTGTCGAAGGAGCAAAGCTATGCAATGACATGCCCATCTTGACATCTAGGGTCTACGGTAGCCGGCAACGGGTTGCCCGGTCCGAAAACCTCTGTCTGTATGTCCAGGATTTTCCGACCTGGTCTCATGTTTTAGCTTGAGGAGAGTTGAGCAAGACAAGAGAGAGAGAGAGAGAGAGAGAGACTCGCCGAATTCATCCTGCTCTGGTCTGCAGTCGCAAGCAACACGGAGCGTCGAAGGAACCCATGGCGAGAACCCCTCTGTGGAGCCATGCTGCGTCAAGTCGGCCCAGATAACTGGTAGCAATGAAGACTGACGCGACCTTGATGATGCGGAGACGTGCACGATCCACTCGTTACCGGCGCAGCAGTATGTATATGGCTCGTAAGCTGGCTCCTCGAGAAAGGAGAAGGCTACCGTGACTTGATCACGGTCTATCGATTCGACGCTGGCCTTGAGCAGCGTGACAACGGGTCAGCCCTGCTCTCCCTATATTGCGCCGCCGGGCTATCTTACCTCATATGCGGCGAACTCGTCCTGCACGCTTTCTTTAAGCAAGGTAGTGCACTTAGTACAATATCCAGACTCACAAGGCTGACAGTCTGTCGTCCGTTCCATGTCGTATCGACGGTAAAGTAGAGACGATGTGGACAGCCTTGCCAACTGATCGGGCGGCGGCCGTCCCAGACCATCGACCACTACTCGTGTCAGTTGTGTCTTGCCATTGCTTGAGATCTACTCACTCTCAGGCGCACCCAGAGCTCGTGGGTAATGACGCCCACCTCGTAGCAATCGTCGTCGCCGTCGTCGCCTGCGCTGCAACGGTGCGATTGTCTCTTCTCAATCGTCTCGGGTAGAGTCAATGCAAGGCTCGTGACATTCGTGGGACTCGCAAATGCGAAGAGAGTGGCTGAGAGGAGCAGTACGGACGACCAAGCAATGAATAGCATCTGTCTGGTAAAGTGAGGGGAATGAGGAGGAAGTAGAGGAGAGGCAACGAGCCGTAGCAACGTGTCAGGAGCAGGTATGTGACCAGGGGCATGAGTTGCTGGATGGACAACAGTGTAGCACGTGACAAAGCTCGGTGGTCATCCATATGCATGATCATGAGGTCGTCGGTTTTGGCGAGCCGAAGCCGAGCAGCATGCGGAGCGCGACAAAAGTTTTGACGGTTTGCCTTTTGCAGCCGAACTCGCGAGGGGCGCGCCAACAGAGCGGAAAGGCTGAACGTCTACTCGATCGTGATGAGCATTGGACGAACGTACAAGATGGTCGGGCGCACGCAACCTCCTCGTTCTCCAGTGCGATACAATGTTGCTTCAGAAAGACGTAGAGAAGGCAAACTTGCTCAACCCTGAGGTCTACGGCCGCGGCAGCGTCGACAGCGAGCTCTACTTCAGGCGAACGACAAAGTCGACAAGCAGAATCTGCGCCTTTGCCGCCGGCGTCATAGTCACATCACTCTGCTCGGCCATAGTCATCGTGTCTGGCACACGATGGCCAGCTGCAGAGCAAGTCGAGCCAGCTGCGCCGCATCTACAGCGAGCCTTTTGCGCGGATCCTTATGCAGAGCCAGGCGTGCTCGAGTTCGACCACAGCGATAGGCTAGCAGCACGTTGGCGCCCTTATGACGGTCAGAATTGCCCTCCTGCGCCAGACTATACCCGCCTGCTACGCTTAGCCTGCCCGAGCAATCTGACCGCCACGAATCAGAGCATAACATACGCTGAAGAGCTGCGTCGGTATACTCACCTTGGCCAGCACCGATTGCCCAAGGTCGCCTTCGAAGGCATGTCAATCGAAGCCATAGAGCAGACATACGAGAGCCAACAAGCTCTTGATGAGCTCAGTTTCCTGCGCAACAAGACGGTACTCATCTTGGGCGACTCTGTCGACCGCAACAGCATCGAACAGCTGGGCGAGGTGACCGACCAGCATGTCAAGATCACTCGCTATGACTCGCCCCTGAACACGAGCCTGTACGCCGGCTTCGATCCAAAAGGCTGCCCTCATAGTCTTCATTTCGAGCGGCTCAACTTCAAAGTCGTCAACGGCTTCCACTATGGCAGCGACGACAGCGACACATTCGCCAAATCCCAGCCGGACTGGAGAGCACCAGGACGTTTCGAGGAGCGTGTCGATAAGCTGTTTGCGCCCATGTTCGGCAAGGAGGACAGCATTGCTGACAAGCCCGACTTTATCTCATTCTCGAGCGGGCTCTGGGATGCAGCAATGGCGGGGAGAATCGATAGATTTGCCAATCGGTCGACGGAACGGCCTCTCAGTGAGAACGACCTCGCCTGGTATGCGAATCGGCTTCACTCGATGATCGCACACATCCGGGCTACTTGGGATGCACCTATCTGGATACGTGGCATGGCCCGACCCGGCGAACAGCACAGATATGCGACACATGACTTTGTCGGCAATACGCCAGACGCCGAGCACACGACCAACTTTTTCACAGACGCGTACGTGCACTTTGCATGCTTGCATTGCCACGGCTGACATTCCTTCGTTACCATAGCCGCGCTGCTCAGCTCATTTACGTAGCCAAGAAAGTCGCAAAGGAAGCCAATGTCCCTTACTACGACTTCAACGCAGTTTGGGAGGGACAGCAGATATACCAGGCCGGAGTACATCCTGTCACGCTGCCCGCCTTTGCAGCGATCAGTCAGCCACTGCTACATCATCTCAAAATGACCTTCGAACGTGACTAGACAGTCCGCGCCATTCGCGGTGGGACGCACATGTTCGCGCCTAGGCAAGGCTGTACGCGACGATAGGGAATGGTATCGAATGCATATACAATGTTGTATCTGCTCGACCTTTGCTGCCTAGACTGGTAGTGCAGAAAGTCTCCTGTCTTGCAGTCAACCTGGTTGACCAATTTGATGACGTGCAAATGTCTTTCACCTTTCTGCTCGTGTCAGTCTGGATGGGCGCGCATGTCTTGGCGGCTGCAGGCCGGCAGCTGCTGCACGGAAAATAGAGTTTGTCAAATTACGCGATAACTTCGAAGGCAAGCGGCCTTCAAGTGCAGGCGCTGCCGCTGCTCCGAATCCCATCTTTCCTATCCTGCAGCCGCTCTGGTTTGTTCCCGAACATGACCACGTACAATCTCAGGAACATTCGGGTTCGCGAGATAGTCACTCTTGCCTGGTGGGAAGTCCTTTGCTATGGACCGAGAGAGAGCTGCGCTATTGTCGGATACTCTCGAGGACGACCAGACATCATCCCCTCTAGCAAATGATGCGAGCGCCAAGACATCTTCATCAGATGAGCGGTACTTTGAAAATTTCGGCAACAGAGACCAGCCGTCTCGGCGCCATCGGCGGTGGAAGGTAGTCGCTGCACTTGCAGTGGCCACGGTCGTCGTCGCTCTGGTCAGCTCTCCGACAGTCTACACTTCAGGCTTATCAAGCAAGACGGTAGAAGCCCTGTCATACGTTTGCCCGACGTTATCGGATCCGGCAAAGACTGCAGAAGATTCCTTCTACACAGACAGGGAGACGATAGAGAAGCTCAAAGGTCTTCACATCGCCGTTGAGGAAGTAGCTGGCTACCACGGCGAAGTGGTAGCCGCGACGCTATACGCCGCCCAAGGACTCGGCAGCCGGATCACGCTCTTTCGCGATTATCTCGGTGGGGGCCTTGACACTATCGTCGGAGCCTATTACCAAGGATGCAATCTACCCACGGCTGCGCTCATTCAGATGCTGAGCTATGGCCCCTGGAAGGGCTCTCTTGTGGATGACAGCGCCGAGAACGTGCCTGGACCGCCGACGAGCAAGCACATAGAGCTGAACGCGGCTAATAACGCAACACTGGAAGCTTACTTCTCGGCGCATCCGATCGAGGTTCTGCTACTCAGCTCGTGCTCGGAATCGATCGGCGTGTATGGCAAAGATATTGTCGAGGCTTGGGACGCTCGGCCGTTCGATGCCAAGTTCCAGGTCGTTTGCAGTAAGTCACCACGTATTCCCTTTAGCCATTTTACTTATCTGCCTGAAGCTATACATCATGCTGACCGCTTCACATGGGGCGACAAATTTTTTGGCCTCGAGCAACGAGGCGCGCTCAAAATCCTTACACTCAACAAGGCCGCTCAGACCTTTGCGTACGATCGCTCAATGTCATACGCGTCTTCCGCTGGCGAACGCGGCGGCCTAGAGCTGTCGTTCGATTCAGTCCTCATTCGAGCCTTTGCACCCATCTTTCCAGTGCCCGGACTGCCTCCGCGGCCAGCCAACGCTGAGCTTGATTCGGTGGTCGTCCAAGGCGGTCTCAGCCAGACCAAGCGTGACTATGCGGGCATCTTCAGCGATATGCAAGGTTTCCTGGAAGGTGCGCATTGATCCTCGCTGGAAGATGCATGTGGCCGACAAGCGTTGCAGAGGACGCATCCTTATGGGGCTACCGCTACGATGCCTCGACGGAAATGTACGAAGAAGACACGTCAATTGCACAGCCGTTCAAGATCCACCTCATCGGAAGCGGGCGTCTCGCTGTGCCCATGAACATCAGCAAGATTGCAATCGTTCAGTCTGGCTTGGATTATATCTCGTTCTACCGGCTCATCAACTCAGCGCAACTGCTAATGCCCGCTTTCAATCTCGAAGGCTATCTGACGACGATGGCCTCTAGCTCCATCGCTGCTGCCGTATTGTCCATGACGCCCGTCTTGGCAGACAACCGCATCATGCGGGCCTACTCTTATCTCAACGAGCGCAATGCGGTCATCAAGCCCTTTGACATGTCTGACATGCAAGCTGTCAGGCGACTCAAATTCGGTGAAAGCCTGGTAGAGGGACGACCAAACGCCAAACTGGGACAATGGCGAGACGACTATTGGCAGCTTGACGTGCCTTCAGTCTGGGCAGATCGCCATCACACAAGCTATGCGCGAACACAAGCTGAGATTGACGCTGCCACGCGCGACATCCACCAACAAAACCGTAAGCATCTGGCATACACAATATTGAATTGATGAGGAGTTGTCCTTGTTGTATACGGTTGTACTGTCTGCAAGCTTGCGCCACGTACGACGCCACCTCGTGTTCTTTTTGGGGACGGCTGCATGAGTTCCACGCGATCGCCGTTGCGTCAGCTTGAGATCAGCCTTAATCACGAGCTGCAAACCCTGCTTGGCCATGGAGATCCGCACGTCTCGTCTGACCTGGGCCACGCTGCGGAATGGCTCTATCTTTGAATATTGCTCAGCAACTGCTGCCCGCGAATGGATTCGCACTACACAAAGCTCGAGACAGATAGTCCTGCAAGCGATGCAGGCATCAATCCGCCTCTCGTGCCGCCCAAGCGACAGCACTGGGCGATTCTATCAACGGGCTTCGTCTGGTACGCTGTGAGTGACTAAGCGCAGGCAATCTGCGCCAAGCTGATTTGGGCAGGCAACACTTGTGTCGGTCTTGGGAACCAAAACATTCCTGGCGCATGGAGGCGATCCGATCTCGCTAAGCCTGCTGACGTTTCTCGTTGGAGCAGCACCACTGCTATGGCTCGAATCGCCCGCGTCGCTGTCCATGCAGAGCGCCTTTGGGGGCGAGCTGGGCGCGCTCTCGGCTTTGCATTGTTGCAACACCGTCATGACCATGCTCGGTTTGAGCGGAGCAGGGATAAGGACCGTTTACTGCATCAAGGCAAGCTTCTCATGCCTCACGACGGAGCTAAAGCTGATGGACGGGCCACAGAGTCTTGAGCCTTGTGGGACGGCGCTGCTTCAGTTCCTGTTTTTCGGCAAGACGCTGCCGTTGCTTTCGACCGCATCGCTCCTGTCGATACCAGCTCTAACATATGTTGCGATTCAGGGCGACGGACAAGTCACCCCGTTTGCCCTTGCAGCAAGCTTGTTTTCAGTCATGACAGTCTGCGGTCGCACTTTGCTCTTCAAATCATCCCAAGGCGAGCGCGCTGATGCTGCTTTGTCGACTTTCTCTGCCATCAATCTCATAAGTCTTGGCTACGGCTCGCTCTTTGTCCTTGTCAGGCCTCCGGACTTGACGCAATATGTGGACGAGAAAGTTTACGTTCCGGCGGTGATGTCGATCGTAGCAGCCTTGCTGTACAACGGCGCATCTTTTCGGATGCTCGAGCTCGTGCAAGGTGTCACGCATTCCACCAACAATGTTCTGAAGAGGCTCATGACAGCCCTGGCGAGCTCGGTTTACAGGCAAGTCGCATGCCTGCTTTGTCATGACCATGCTGATGAATCCGACAGGGGCAAGACGATCGCCTGGACGAGCGTGCTTGCAGTCATAGGCTCATTTGTGGCAGCTGTCATCGCTTTGCACACAAGCAAGATGCCAAAGAGCGAGAAAGCACAACCGCTTGATCTGGACCGACGGTCGATCCGAGTCTTCACCATGGCTACCGTGGGCTTGAGTATGGTCTTTGTTGCAGTCTCGGGCGTCCTGCAGGGCTCTGCTTTGTCCAGTAGCTACGCGCACGTCGATCTGGCCATTGCGCGACAAGACTGTCCCCCATTGGAGGCTGAGCCAAGCTTGCTCTGGTTCCATCCGCCAGGGAGAGAACACAACTTTGGCGATGCTATGAATCCTGACGTGGTCTCGAGAGTATTGGGCAGACCAGTCATGGCTTGGAACGCTTCGAACCCGCAGGGCTTTGCTCGACCCCGACTACTTGCGATAGGCTCCATACTGCACGCTGCGCAGAGCTGCGGTAAGGCAACGCGCATATGGCGATGACTCGATGCTGATCTGGTCTGGGATTGCAGACGTCATCTGGGGCTCTGGCGTGCGGTCACTGGATGATGTGCCTTGGAAGCCATCCCTCGATATTCGCAGTGTTCGCGGGCCAAATTCTGCTCGCGTACTGAAGGAGAAAGTCGCGACCCGAATCGTGCCACCTGTCTATGGCGATCCCGCTCTGCTTCTGCCGGTCTTGTTTCCAGAGCTCCACTCGGGTGTCCAGTACGCATCGTACCGAGACAACGTGCTCGTTTTGCTGCACTATCGCGACAAGGGCAAGATCCTGCCGAAGCCGGGCGTCGATGTGATCGGAGCAGAAGCCAATGACTGGAAAGACGTAGTCAGACGGATCACCAACGCATCCTTTGTCATCTCAACCTCTCTACACGGTCTGATCGTGGCAGACGCCTTCGGAATTCCGTCTCGAGGTTTGCAGCTAAATCTGGGCGAGCCCGTCTTCAAGTACACGGACTTTTATGCAGGCACGGGTCGTCGAGATTACAGATTCGCTCTGTCGGTCGACGAAGCGTTATGGCTTGGTCCTGAAGATGCGCCGAAGGTCGAGAGAGACGCATTACTCGCTGCCTTTCCGTACGAGCTCTTCAACACGACGCAGAGCGAGTCGGAACAGAGGAGACATGAGCTCATGCAGGCAGTTTGAGCTATTTGTGCTCGTGCAGTGCAATGTTGTAAGACGGACAATTTGCAATGAGGATTTCTATCGGAATTCGAGCTCAAGCGCGATCGCGGAGATGTCGGACATGCTGACGACACTTTCTACGTGGCACCCCCCAATGAGCTCTTCGACGATGATGAGCCAAGTAGTGCCACATGAGCCGGCATCAGCAGCGAGCCGACGAGCGTGACTGCTGCGCTCCTCTCCGACGACTACTCGCATGGCCGGTGATGCGGCTCAAGTCGACAAATCGATCCGCATCAAAGGCTTCGCTGCTGGCGTCGCATCGGGCGTCACAAAGCTCGCGATCGGGCAGCCGTTTGACATCATCAAAGTCCGGCTACAATGCAGTCCGCCGGGTGTCTACAAGGGCGCGCTCGACTGCCTGCTCAAGACCCTCCGTCTCGAAGGACCTCGAGCTCTCTACAAGGGCGCCTCTGCTCCGCTGTTCGGCTGGGGACTGTCTGACTCTGTCCTGCTCGGATCGCTGCACAACTATCGTGTCTGGCTTGCTCGTCTAGAGTCTAACGGCCAGTCCTACACGTCCTCGGCCCGAGCGCAGACAAAGCAAGAACAGGAAGAGCTCGGCATCAAGTCGCTCTCTGTCTTCGGGCATGGCGTTGCGGGCTTGCTTGCAGGCTGCACAGTCTGTACGGTCATCACGCCCATCGAGATGATCAAAGCAAGGCTCCAGATGCAGACACACTCGACCACAAAAGAATTCACTGGACCGATCGACGTCATCCAAAAGGTCTACCGGCAAAACGGTCCATTTGGGCTTTATAGAGGTTTCGGCGCTACATTGCTCTTTCGTAGTAACTTTGGCTTCATGTGAGCGACGAAGCAACGCAAGTCGGCAACGGAGCTGATACGCAATTCAGGTTCGCGACCTACGAGGTTCTCATGCGGCAATTCCGAGCAATGCCGAACATGTCAACGGGCACAAGTAACTTCTTGGCGGGTGGCCTATCGTCTTTTGTCTTTTGGACATTTGCATTCCCGGCAGACGCTGTCAAGAATCGATTGATGAGCGATTCGCTCTATCAACCTCGATATAACGGCGTCAGGCAAGCAGCACGCGCGATATGGAGCGAGGGTGGCATCAGAGCAGTCTTCAGAGGCTTCACGCCCTGCATCTTGCGTTCCTTCCCGACCAATGCATCCGCGCTCTTTGTCTACGAGACAACCATGTAAGATCGCTCACTGCTCTGACACTGATGGCCGCTCACACCACTTGCCAGGCGCTTCATGGACGCGGAGCAAGTCGCCTGATGGAAGCGATGTGCCCTTCAGTCGGACAGGTCTGCATCATGGCCTCCATGGCAGATCAATCCACCTCACCACTCGCAGCACGCAAGCAACGAATGTGCGATACATATGCGTACAGGTCAAGCAAGCGACAGTGGATCAGCAACCCGCTTTGAGTGAATTCCTTGGGAAAGTATAGCCTGCGCCTTCCCAAGTCGCTGCACACCACAGATCATCAGGATAGGTATTGACGACGCAAATGCAGACCTACTTAGATTGTTGTCAGTGTATGCGTTGAGATGATCTTGTATGTATTTTGCGGTCGGCATGCCTGCACGCAATGTCAGTCCGGTTCAAGCTATCCGTTGTGACGGGCGTACTGTCTGGACTGCAGCCAATGTTCTCTTGTCCTTCTCGTTGATAGACGCGCACGTAGTCGATATACCTGTATCTATGTCAGCAAACGTTCGGCATCCGCGCGGAACGCTTACATTGTCGATGGGAATTTGAGATGGGTAAAGTCGACAACCTGGAAAGATTGCGACATGCCCAAGTTCAAGATGATGTACTGTACGAGCGGCGTAAGCATAGCCACGATCCGTGCGTGAGTAGGACGCACCATCGGTTCTGCCGAGATCAGTCTTTGCGAGACTTGTGTAGCCGCGTTCGGTCCGATCGCGGCAGAGTTGAGCGTCCAAGTCTCGGTTTCGGCGACTGACCAGGTGATATGACCTGCCGGCCCGGGCTGGTACTCGAAGCCATATGACTCAAAGGCTTGGCCGCCGTAAGCGTCTGGATTGATCATGGTGACGGCTGAGCATGCTTCTTGATACACGCCACCTTGATATGTCTGCACTCCAAGAGTCAGTACAGATGAGTGGACAAAGCAGCCAACGGACATTGAAGAAGGTATTGGCGGTATTGTAGATCTGACTGGCCGGGTTCGTCTGATCCCAATCATACTGATCGTCGTATGGACAGATCTGAGCACTTTGACTCTGCGCGAGTTTTCATATGCATCAGCGAGGGAGCGTGCTCGAGAATAATAAACACGCACGACACCGCCTTGCAAGGCGCCATTCCGCGGTCCCACTTGAGCTTCCAGAATATCAATCTCGGGCGACCCTCTACCGGTGGCGGTATTGGGACCGGGATGGTCGTCGCCCTTGCAAGTGCAAGCTGACAGTCTTTGGCCAGGCTGATACGACAGTGCGCCACCGTAGCCATCGTCTAAGGCTGCGGCGGGACCTGTTCCTGCAACATTTGTCTGGTTGGGCAGCGTGCCGATGTCGCAAGAATTGTATGAGTATGGCCATGTGCCATCTGATGTCGCACCGTAGCCAGCGCGAGCAAGATTGGCCATGGTCCACGCGCCCGGCCAGAATCCGGGCACGGTCGAGGAGCCGGGTAACGAGATCGACACCTCGATGTAGCCGCCAGTGAAGCAGAACCTACACCCCGACATCAGCCTTCTTCTCACGGCGCCACGAGAGACTCACTTGTTCCAGGACTGGATCATGCCAGAGCGAAACGCGAGATCGTGTATCGACTGTTGTGTCATTGTGATCTGCAGATAGCCTCCTGCAGTTGTGACCGCATCTGCCGCAACGGCTGAGTCAGATTGCGCACAAAAGTGAGCGAAGGAGCTTACCTGGATCGTACCACTCGTAATCGCCAGTGGGCCAGTAATGCAAGTCGACTGCCTCCCAGAAGGGATCATCGCCCGGCCAGAATGTGCGGCCGTCGACTTCGAACTCGTCACTGAAGACAAGATTGTAGTTGTTGCCGTCAAACCCTTTGCGCGTCCGCGCAGCTTGAGGCGTATGCGCGTCGATCAAGCTTGGCAAGTTGGGTATCATTGGCACCTGGCCGGTCGCATTGACGCCGCCTAGATTCCATGCGCCTAATGTCGTCTGATGGTGTCGCGTGTAGTATGAGATGATGGGAAAGCCGCCAAAGAGGGCTATCAGTCCTAGCGTGAGCAGCAGGAGGGCGGTCATATTGAGCCAGCCTCTTCGTGAGTAGATCGTCCAGCTCCGATCGTTCCTGACGCTGCAGTACATCCCGATCAGCTCGCGATATGCAGTCAGTCGCTGCAAGCGTACTCGTTCGGATCGTGTAGCTGATCATCCATCTCTGCGTCCTTGGCAGTCCATAATAACCCTTGCTTGGCAGAATTGCCGTAGCCATACTTGTCGCTGGTGTGTTGCTGGCTGCTGTGATTGTGCTCGCTGTTGCTCGAGTGACCCGAGGCGCTCTGGGCGACCTTGGGCTCGCCATACTTGCCGGTCGGATTCGGATTATACGAGTAGGGACCTGTTCGCGTGCCAATCGATGAGCGCCACACGCGATCTATTCCACTGGCGATGCTGACCAAAGCCTGATCCTATCTGACCGGTAACAACGCCGGCGGTAGTGCCATGATTGGACGACGAGGCAGAGTCATGACCCCTCGAGCTCGGGGATTGCTCACTAGGCGCGTAACGCGGGTTGAGAGGCGAGAGTTGCGAGTTGTTCTGCTGCTGTGGAGTGAGAGGCGCAGGCAGACCCTGCTGCTGTGATCGTAGAGGCATCCCGACGAGCTGTCTCTGGCCCTTTTCCTTTGTGCACGGACGGGCGCGGTCAAAGTCAAGAGGAGGTGTTCAGCCTAGGCGGCGGAACGAGTGAATTCGGGTCCAAGTGATGGCGTGTATGTAGCGGGCGAGTGTGCAAAGTGTTGTGTACGCGCGAGGATGACCTGTGGGTACGACAGTGCGCGGTGCCTGTGCGTTGTGTCTTGGCAGGAAGTGGAGATCGCGCTCGATGCAGCTAGATAGCGTGTCTCAGGCGATCATATCGTACGTCCAGTGACCCTCCGAGCCTCCTCACTCGAGGTCTGACGCCTGCTAATGGCTCCTGAACGCCGTCGGCTGTGCTGAATTTGCGCCCGTCGCGTCCTCACATGCTCGGGTGGCGTCAAGTACAATATAGAGGTACAACAGTACACGCTCGGCTCACTTGTCCGTCGGCTCAGGGTCTGGCTCCGGTGCAGAGTAGAGTGTCTTGGGTTGCGTCTTGCTCCAAGCTGCCATCGGACGTCAGCCAGCGCGTTTCATGAGATTCTCGGCGCGCTTACCAGCTGTATAGACTGGATCGGCCTTGGCTGCCGCGTCATAAGCCAGTAGTGCTGCGCGCGGCTGTCCGTTGCATGAGCACAGGGACGAGCATGCACGAGGTGACTGACGTCTTCTTCACGCGTGTTGTCTCTGACGAGTCCAGCAACGACATGCGCAGTCGCAGCCGATCCCACGCGACCTCCTTTGCCAGGACCGGACATGGGCGGCAGAGGACGGAATGTCTTGACACCGTCCATACGGTCCTTCTCCTTGCGCCTCTTGCCAGGACCGCGGTTGAGGTCCTCTTTGTACATGGGCAACGTGTCGGGCGCGACGATCTGACCGACACCCTGAGGCATGAAGACGTCCTCCACGGCTCTCTTGCGTGCTGCGCGACCGAGTGACAGTACTGCACCCCGCTGAGAAAGCTGAGGATCGTAAAAGACATGTATCGTCCCGAGCGACGTGCCAGCAAAGATCTATAGGCCACTTTGTATCAGCTCGGCCAAGGAATGCGGGTAGGTACTGACCTGATTGATGCGAGGATGCCAGGCAACGCGCACAACGCTGCCTTCGGATACATCTGTGTACGTTTCGTGTGATGAGCAAGCGTCAGGCGAATCTGGCTGGTCTAGCTTGCCTATAGAGTGAGCAATCTCGAGCGATTCCGTGTCGATCATAACGAGTCGGCCTTTCTCTGCTCCACCAACCAGAGGATCGCTCTCTTTGCCAGGTACGACAGCTGCCTTGCTGCCTGCTGTACCCGTCAAGAGGTACCGTCCATCGGGGGAAAGACACATGTTGGTCTCTGCGTTCAGTGCAGGCAAGCCGTCGATCACTTTCAGTGGCTTCTTGAACGCACGCAAATCCCAGCCTGTTGGGTTGATGAGCCAATGTTTGCGTCGGACGGAAGGGACCTACACTTGACTGTACCCTCTAGCGAGCGCGTAAAGAGCTTGCGCCCATCCGGATGGGCTACGATGCTCGTCGTCTCTACGTCTTTGGTGTGGGCCCCCTCGATCGACCCATTCGGCCGAGCAAAGTTGCCAGAGGCATTCCAATAATGCAAGCTGCCATCTAAGCCGGCGGCGAAGATGAGTTTCCCGCCGGGTGCAGAAGCAGTCTTGGGTTGGCCGTCGTCATCGAGCGCGCCTGCCGGCTCAGACGGAGGCGGTGACCATGCGCATGCCGTCACTTTTGTTCGCGCGCCTCGATCTTTGCTCTTGACGACGATGACACTCTTTGACTTTAATCGCTTGTTGACATCCCAGATTCTGATGAGCAGCATGTGAGTTGCGAGCGACCCCAATGCAAAGATAGTCGGACCTCAGCGTGCTATCGCCAGAAGCAGTGAGGAAGATGTCTGGATTTGTAGGATGCCACGCTATCGATGAGATTTCCGCGACGTGGCCACTGCGTGCACATGAGCCTGGAGCAAGATAGCAGAAGTAAGCACGCACGCAGTGTTCCGCAGGTCTCGGATGTACATGTCGCCCTTTTCGAATGTCATCCTTCAGAGCAAGTCAGCTCGACAGCTTGCAGGACGTGCTTTGAGCGGACAGTTCAACTCCGTCGCGGTCGTATATCTTTGGCTGGGAGGTCCCGTTGGCAACGAGAAAGGACTTGCCGGTATGTGACCAAGCAAGATCATGGATCTGTCCGGCTTTTCAAGCTCGGTCTATGAGCGCAAGACCGCCAGGCTCACCTGATACGAGCCGGCAGACTCAAATGAGCGAAATGGCCGCAGGGAGACGTTCATGCCGCCAAAGTCCCAGAGCTTGATCTCATAGTCGTACGAGCCAGAGACGACTCTGTTGCCGGAAGGATCAATGTCAAGTGCTGAGATGGTCTGCTCCAACACTCGCTCAGTGGGAGTTCGAGCTGGGCATGCATTGCACCTTGTGGCGCACCTTTGAGTGATCCTTCAGGACTGCCTCGTGACTCAGCATCTGTCGCAAGCCTGCCGTCGTGTCTTGTATCGCAGCTTGCTCCCTTTCCTCCTCAGGCTCAGCATCCTCCTGAGCCCGTGCCGGTGTCCCATCAACGATGTCATGCTCATCCTCCTCTTCCTCCTGTAGCGTGACTTCTGATGACCGCTGAGCTTGCAGTCGCTTCAACTGCTCTAGCTGAGCCTGCTGGCTGCTCGCAGACTTGATCTTGGGGGCCTCCATCGAGCGCCGCAAGTCTTCCAGTCTCACCTTGTCGCGACAGTTTCTCTCTCTCAGGGCAGCCGGTGATCGAAGCTATGAGCATCAAGTCAGCCGTCGTCTTCCTATCATTCTCATCTTTGTCCGCCGTCGTCGCACCACCGAGTCCTCCCGCGTCAAGGTGCTATGGTCTCACCGCCAACGCATGCGTCGCAAGGTGCAGCTTCCACGACAGCGGCCACACTTTCGCTTGCCTATCGCCGGGCGTCGAGCACACCAGGATTGTCGTCTCACCGTCGCGCTATGTAACGACGGGCATGATGTGTGCCATACGATCCAGGCCGTTCTACCGTCCAGCGCAGTGCACGAATCGACAGTGGGTCTCCGATCCCTCTCAGTCCTATGCCAGATTCGATCTCTCTATGCCCGCAAGACTGCTCAGTCTCGAGCCGGATCCGGACGACGAAGCCTTTGCTGCCATTCTGCAGGAATGCTGTGTGACCGATTGGACACTTGGCCTCAGAGCATCCTTCTCTCCTGTCCGTGCGTACCGACTTTGCACATTGGGGGATCAGGCTCATGACCGGCAGGCCAATTCTCCATGATCCAGAATGACATCAACGTCCTTTGCGGTCCGAGCCTCTCAGCGGCGTCACCTGCCTACTGCCGAGACCATTTTGTAGCCGACAGTAAGCCATCTGCTCCTTGCAGTCTCGAGGCTCACCCTTCTGCGCAGTCAGAGCGCAGTGTCCCATCAGATTCGGCTGCGAGATCAGGGCCGATACGACCTTTGACTGCAGAGAGGCAGGCGGAGCATCACAGATTGCAAACTAAAGCGACAAATGCAAGTGCGATACAAAAGACCGAGTGCCGATAGTGTCCATAAGTAGATCGTGGGATCGTGCTCGCCCATGGCGCAGGACTTGACTCTTGAGAGCTGGCGAGATGATTATGATTGAGATGCTTCGATTGTTATGCGGGTGGTGAGGTCGGCTGAGCTCGTTTCGCTCGTCTTGCCGCACCGTTACAGTAAGGTCCGTCGACGGCAACACCGTTCCCTTCGTAAGGATCGATGTACGTACACGCTGCATCGCTCGTGTAATAGCCAGCGGTATCGGACGCATCTGCCCAGCCGTTGCCGACGCTCGCTGTCGGCGATCCGACTGGGTAGGCAGTCGGTGTCGATGCTGACAGTGTGATGGGTGTGCCTGTTGTGGCGAGAGTAGGCAGATAGCTAGCGGGGCTGAGTGTGCCGAGCGTAGTGGGAGGTGGCCAGGCTCCAAAGCTGGAGACTTGCGCCGCTGTGACGCTCGCAGGTCCGCCGCCAGTCGCGCTTGCCGCGAGACTGCCTGAGAAGACCATGCCGGACGGCTCTGCGATGCCTTGACTGGCTAGATAGCTTGCACAGAATCCGGCAGAGTTGCGAGGGTTGGTGGGAATCCTGCTCACAATGTCAGACCGGCCCCTGAGAAATTGGAAACGGGAGCTCACCATCCATTCTCGAGACCTAGCTTGTAGTGCCAGAAAGCGTTGGGCAGGACAGACGACTGAGTAGATGGTCCAATCTTCCAGGTCCAGAAGAAGGAGTTGCCGAGCGCAGACATCGAGGCGAGAGCCATATCCATCAAGCCCGCCTTCGTTGCATCCGACCAAGTCGTCCAGTCGTTCCACGTATCACAATCTCCAACAGCTGTTGTTGTCGGAGATGTCGCATTGGGGTATGTACCGTCGTAACGGCTGCCATAGCCGACGTTGTTGACGAACAGGCCGCAGTCATTGATTGCCAGCGAATATTCCCCACCCATCGTGAGACCAAAGTTTTGGCTCGACGTGGCCATGTTCGCGCCCCAGAACGTGCAAGGCTTGGTGGCCTGGTATGCGACGCCATCGTTGTTCTGTGTGCCAAAGGCGAAGTAGCCATGGAAATCGAGACCAAGACGATCTGCGCCAGCCAAGAATCCGACCCATGCAGGTTCGCCGATGAAACCATCGTGTAGAACAAGCAAGGGGCCGTTACCAGCGCCAGTGCCTGTGATGGCTCGGGAAGTCTGATATACTTGGTAATGATAGCGCGATAGATCGGTTTGGTCGATCAGATTCATGCCATTATCAGTCGAGCTGATGCGAGCTTCGTTGAGGTAGCTGAACATCGGGATGACGTTGGCATATTCTGGCTGCGAGATGAATTCGACGAGTGTTCTGACGTATGCTAGCGCGCGTTCTGCATTTGCGATGCCCATGACGCCCTTCATAAAGCCAATCTGACCAAATTTGCCGCTGTGGTTCCAGCCGTTCTGCGAACCTGGCATTGCGTGGAAGTCGAGGTTGATACGCAGACCGTACTTGCGAGCCCAAGTGATCGCCTTGAGGAAGTAAGTCCAAGAAACGCCCTCCAAGAACGGCTCGTTGCCTTGAGTTTCAATTGCCCAGAATCCGAGTGGTATTCTGACCCAATTGAGACCTGCTGCAGCGATTTGTGCAAAGTCCTCTTCGGTCTGCAATAGCTTTTCAGTCACAAGAAGCCCGCGAAAAGAGGAAGGGCGTACGATGAAGGTATCATAGTGATTGGTGAGTGTAGACTGCATCGAGGTGCCGAGGTTCTGGCAGAGCGTATACTCGTCAATAGCGGGCGTAGCGCTCTGCAGCACAAGTCAGATAAGTGAATGTATGCGAGAAGGCAGAAGAAACGCACCGTCTCATAAGGCTCATAAAGCGAAGGAGTAATGAACGGCTCGAGCACGAGCCAGCCGCCAAGGTTGACGCCCGCAATGTCCATGGTGTTGTAATCCCAGGCCTGAGACAGTGCTGGCACGTCCGACTGAGGCTGAGCAGAGTCATTAAAAGGCGTAGCAACCCAGAACCCGCCGAACGTATTGTTGTAAATGAAGGTGCTTCCAGTCCTGTCATCGCATGCATCAGCACATACTCAGTCAACAAGAAGGCAAGCTCACTCTGTGGTTACTGTGGAGCCAGCGCCGCCGGTCCAGAGGCGTGTCTCGACAGACGTCGTGCTCGTCGGCGCAGCAGCAGTGGTGCTAGCAGCAGCGCTGCTGCTGGACCCATCACTCGCCGCAGGTGTAGCTGCTTTGGACGATTTGGACTTTGAAGCGAGCACTCCAGCGATGACGGCAGCGAGAATGATGAGAGCGATGAGCCCAGAGCCAAGGATGATCAAGCGCCTTCGTTTCTGCCGCCTACGTGCTGCTGCTGCACCGGCAAGGGCGTTCTTCTCGCCACGACCATTCTTCCCGAGCACTGGCATCCCCTCGTCGCCGGCGGTGCGGTTGAGAGCGGCGCTAGATCCGTACCCGTAGCCATAGTACGATGACGCGCGCTTCTCGTCACCGAGTGTGTCTAGTGTGTTGGACGAATAGTTGGGGTCATACAACTTTGACTGCCTGGGAGAGCTATCTGGATCAAACAGCGTCGAAGGCGATCGTAAACTCGTGCTGGAATAGTAGCCACCGGGAGGGTTATCGTGTAGATTCTCTCGCGAGGCGTGAGGTGAGATATTGCTCGAAAATGAGGGAGGCATCATGGGCGATGTCTCCGTCTGACCTGGGCCATATTCGGAAGTTGCTGTCCGGTTGTGTGACAGACCAGGCCGCTGACCGCCAGAGCTCGCAAAGACCTCCGGATAAGTCGATAAGGGCGTGCCCAAAGGGGTCTCGACGCCTCGAGACAGGTAGCGATCGCCGCCTTCACCTAGGTCGTAGTCTTTGTAAGGACCCGCAGCAGCCGTAGAAGCTTGCGGTGCGTCTACGAGCGTGCTGCCCTGCGAATTGCGGTTGCCGGCCATATTGCTACTCACGAGAGACATGGGTGATTCTGTTCTGCCGTCAGCAGTGCGTCCAGACAGAGCGCCTGCAGCGAGTGCGCCGGCAATGGCAGCTTGACCTGGCACGACCGGGTTCTTGCGAGAATTGGAGGCCCTTTCGTCTGCGAGCGCCAATTCCTCGAGCGGAACGCCGGAGTAACGTGCTACAGGCGACACAGGTATCGGCTGAGTAGCTTGTCTCGGAATAGGCTGAGAGATCTGCTGAGGCAGGTAGACCGCCTGAGGGACGATCTGTGAACCCGAATTTGAACGATCTTTGCTCGCCCGAGCTGAAGATCGTCCGGCGTTCGATGTGGGCGGAGATCTGTGACGGTCGGGCGCACGGTCTTGCGCTCTGTCTTGGGTCTGCTGGTAGTACTTTGCAGACGGCGGAGGACTGGATGGGCTGGCGTTGTCTTTCTTGGCACCCGAGCTCGTCATGAGAGGAGACTTTGACTTTCTGAAAGTTTCGTCGGCGCTCGCCTGTTGGCTTCGGCGAGGAGAGGTCGTCGAGATGGGCGGAGGAGCAGGTGCTCTGGAGCTAGAGTCACGGTGCTTCTTGTGCCCACTCGATCGGGTGGGAGAAGTGACAGGAGGAGGTGAAGTGGTGCGGTCTCGTCTGCCCGCAGCCGTACTCGCCAACGGTAGCGTCCTAGCGATCTCTTCGTCCGTTCTCCTGTCGATCTGACCTGCTTCTCTCGAGCTAGCCGGCGCTCGCGAAGACCTTTCTCTGTTGCTCGAGACTGCGCCCAGTTTCATGGGCACGTCCTCGTAGGCCATGCTGCTCTTCGGCTAAGCTGTCCAGCCCTTTCACTGCTCGATCACCCGAGTGGCCTCCTCGCCACGTTGTGCTTGGCTGTACGGGTGATCTGCTAGATCGTCAGAGGCAGTGCGCAGTGAAAACCGTGTTCCGCCTTTTGTCCGGCCGTAAAGGCTTGGCGCCACCTTCAAATCCGGCACAGAGGCAGGGTGCGGGTGGTGATGGTACAGATGAGCCAGAGTCTTGTGTTCAGCGTGGTCTCGGCCGTCGTGCAGGACGAGGGTTAGCCAGCGAGTGACTGTTGGCTGAGCCTCCTATATTAGTTGGGTTGATGCGCGCCTGAAAATAGCAATGACAGATCGCCGGGGCGGTGGCGATCCCCTCTGGCTGTGTTGCCGCTCAAGATGCTCAGCAGACTGTGACCTTGTCGCGCTCCCTGAACTCAAGGCCGTCTGCTGATGCTGACCATGCGATGTAGAGTCGGACAAGCAGACCGTACAGCCCAGCCCAGCCTTACGGTCGCCCTCGCACCACGCAATCGCAAGGGTCGTCTCGATCGCGTCTTGATTGGCAAGGTTCAGCATGTTGACAAGATAGTCTTGCACGCACGCGGCCAAATGCGCGGACATACTTGTCCATTACTCTTCTGTACCAAGGATGTGCATTGACCGTCTGTGCACAGACGTTCCTATCGCTCTTTCCCTTCTCTCCTGATCTCATATTTCGCGAACATGACTGCGGTGCGCTTTGATACCTGCCCTCGACTCGACGGCTCGCTCGTCAAGCACTTTCCGTCCAACTCGCAGATTGTCGTGCATCGCGGAAGATGCTGCCAAGCAATGAGCCAAGCTCGCCCACTTCGACGCACGAGCACGAGGAGGTGTTCAGAGATGCGCCCAGCAGACTCGACCGAGTATCGCAAGAAGCCTTGCGCACAGATCTGACCGACTCGCGCACGCCTGCGCAGATGCAGGTCAACACGTATGATGATCCTTGGTCCCCCTCGACGAGCAAGACAGTCTTCTCGCCTGAGCTGAACCCGATGCACGATACCAATGCTGCCTCCACGCAATCCCTTGGGCAATCTCGAGGTAGCTCACAAACCCTGCTCGAGCTGAGCGAGCCGGAAAAGGGATACTATGCTACCGTTGGCGAGGCGCCCGCAAACAAGCCAAGATCAAGGCGCCCTCTATGGCTAGCGGCAGCTGCACTGATTATGCTGGTCGTGATACTAGCTGCTGTACTGGGCACTAGGCATCACGCGTATTCAGCGATCCTTGCAAGCTCAGCGAATACGATTGGCGCTCCTAGCAGCTCAGGCACGTCTGATATCGTCTGGAGCGGTAGCAATGGCGCGACGGTCACACGCGACGATGGCACAAAGTTTGTCTATGCGAATCCTTTCAATGGCACCTTCGACGCGGTCCCCTTCAGCAATACCGCTCGGGCTCAAGCTGATGTGCCTGCTTTGAACGAGAGATGGGACTATTCGGTCAATAAGATCACTGGCGTCAATCTGGGCGGCTGGTTGCTTCTCGAGCCCTTTATCACTCCGCATCTCTTTGAGCCTTACGAGAACGTGAGTGACTCCTTTCGACGTAGTTCGAGCAGCGTCTGACGCACACGCTCAGGACTCGACGCCAGCGATCGACGAATGGTCTTTGCTGGGAAAGCTCGGCTCCAGTGCCTCCACCGTCATGCTAGACCATTATAACACATTCATCACCGAGCAAGATTTTGCCGACATCGCAGCAGCTGGTCTCAATTGGATCCGCATCCCGCTTCCCTTTTGGGCAATCGAAGTGCAAGGCGAAGAGCCTTTCATCGAAGGAGTATCCTGGCTTTACTTCCTCAAAGCCATCAGCTGGGCCCGCAAGTACGGTCTCCGCATCAACCTCGATTTTCACACGATGCCTGGTTCTCAGAATGGCTGGAATCACTCGGGCAAATATGGTCAGATAGGCTTCCTGAAAGGCGTTATGGGTATCTCGAACGCCCAACGAGCGCTCAACTATGTCAGAACGCTCACCGAATTCATTTCTCAGCCAGCGTATGCTAGCGTCATCCCTATGTTCTCGTATCTCAACGAAGCTCGCATGGACTCTGCCACACAAGGCAACGCACTCATCGGTGTAACCGAGCTCAAAAGCTATCACTATCAAGTCTATCAGCTCGTGCGATCGATCACGGGTACTGGCGAGGGCAGTGGACCGCTACTGGTCATGCACGACGCTTTTGTTGCAAGCTCAGACTGGGTCGGCTTCTTATCTGGCGCAGATCGGCTAGGGCTAGATCGTCATCCTTATCTTGCTTTTTCGAACTTGCAGAACAATCCTCTACAATACGAAGCGACCGTGCCGTGTCAACAGTGGGCAGCAGGTCTGACTGCCTCCAACGAAGCCTTTGGCCTGTCGATCGCAGGCGAATACTCCCTAGCCATCAATGACTGTGGCAAATGGGTCAACAACGTCGGCTTTGGCTCTCGGCTTGATGGGACCTACCCCAATGCGACGGACCCGACTAGCACTTACATTGCGTCTTGTGACCCATGGAATGACTATACGACCTGGAATCAAACCACCAAGCAAGGCCTGCAGCTCTTTGCGTTGGCTTCGATGAGCTCGTTGCAGAACTCGTTCTTCTGGACTTGGAAGGTCTCCAAGTCAATTGTTACCGGTCTCGTCGGATCACCGCTGTGGTCGTATCAGCTCGGCTTGCAGGAAGGCTATGTGCCCGCTAATCCCAGGCTAGCGAACGGCTTCTGTGCTTCGTACTTGCCAGCGCAAGGCCAGACGGTGCCAACGAGCATGGTCTTCTCGGGAACGCTTGCTCCCAGTGCGACTGGTGCCGGCCAAGGCGTCATCGATCCCACGCAAGCCGCAAGCTATGGCGTTTGGCCGCCAACAACACTCGGCACTATCTCTGCCGCGACTTTATTACCTACACTGACGCCGACAGGCAAGATCATCACACTCGCTGCGGCGACACCAACTGCACGTCCTTCAGGCTCGCCCGTTGCAAGTGTTGGCAATGGCTGGCTCGACGCGAAAGACGTCGCGGGCTACTATACCAGCGCGACTGGCTGCACATATCCCGACGCTTGGGATGCCAATGACCTTGCGGTAAGTGCAGCCTACTGCACAGCCGCGCCGACAGCGCGTTAAGGGACAATGCATCCATACATGCCTTCACTCGATGACTGAGAAGGAATGCGTGTAGCCCTTGAGCGAGTCCTCGTTCACGTCGCTTCGTTCAACTCGTTCAACATGAGCATGCGAGGGTCCTCTTTTGAGCGCTTCGTTGAATTTGTCCAGTTGCGCATCATCACCACTCACGACAGCTTCCACTGCACCATCCTGTCTGGCTGATCAGATGCATCCCGTTGCAGCAGAAGCGTCGCACTGGCGTATTCCTAATCCAGCCCGCTAAGCCCCTTGCTTCCCCTCGCGCAAAGTGCCTATAGCCAACGCCTGTCCGCCGTCGCATGAGACTAGCAATCACATGCATAGATTCATATGACCTTGGACCCTGCCAGTCACGACGAAGCGTTGCACAGCCATGAGCGCTAGCTCCGCCAAGCTAACGCGAACGAGCGCGTTTGCTCGCAATGACGACATCGACGACAGGCCGGCCAGCGCCCTACTCTGCGAGCGACAAGTCGACGTTTGCGTACGAAAGTACGGTCAAGCGATGGCCGACGATCCTGGTCCAGATCATCGACGACATCGCTCGCACGAACCATGAACTGCATACTCGTGATGCAACTGGCAATGCGCACAAGATAGACGACGGCAAAGCCATCATTGCGGAGATAGACAGCCTGCGCTATGAGATTGCACATGACAGAGACGTCCCGGACCTCGAACCGGACGGAGGAGCCAATCTAGAGCTTTACAATGCCGAATTGGCGACTTGGCGGCAGGAGCACGAGGGCAAACTGACCTGGTTCTCAGGTGGCTGGCTGCTGCTCGAGTGCTACATGTACCGTCGTATCATGTCCTCACTGAGCTCTCGGGCCTTCTGGAATGACTACGACCCGTTTGCGCGACAGAAAGTGCAAACACTCAAATCGTCTGGTTCGGCCGTCTACACACTTGCGCTGGCCTTAAGCAGGCTCGGCAAGTCGCACGATGAGGAGACGCTGCACGCTTCCTTTCTCGAGCTCGTCACTGCTTGTCTTTGGGGCAACGCAACAGATCTGTCTCTCCTGACCAACATGACCCACGAGGATATACAAAAGCTGCAGAGCACAGGCAGAGATGCAAGCGCGGATCAATTTGTGCTACGCAATGATCTGGGAGCAGCATGGAAGCATGTCAAGCAACTCAAACATGGTCGAATAGACATCATTCTCGACAATTCTGGCTTTGAGCTTTATACGGATCTGATCCTCGCGTGTTGGCTTGTCGATTCTTCGCCCTTTGCTCGAACGGTCGTATTCCAGTGAGTCTACATACTTTGTGCTGATCACTGCTGACATCGAAGTAGTCCCAAGATGCAGCCGTGGTTTGTATCGGACGTACTTCCACGCGACTTTGACATCATCGACCAGCTACTCGACCAGACCTTCTTCGACAAGCAAGATAATGCAGCGAGTGAAGAAGAGCGGACAGCACTGCAGGTCTTTGCCAACAGACTACGCGAGCTTTTTGATTCTGGCGTTTTTCAGCTGATCGTCCCAAGTGATGCCAGGCTGGGTCAAGCTATAGGCTACCAAGGCGACTTCTGGACGAATCCGATGCCATTCTATCGCATTCCGGCCGTCGCGCCGCAGCTTCTGGCCGAGCTGCAAAAGTCTGATCTGACAATCTGGAAGGGCGATCTCAACTATAGAAGGCTCGTTGGTGACCTAGCTTGGCCAACCACGACATCCTGGCAGACCGCTCTGGGCGAGCTAGCAGGTCGATTGGATCTTCTATCTCTGCGTACTTGCAAAGCCGACGTCGTGGTTGGTCTCGAAGAAGGCACGCAAGCAGAGCTGGATGCAAAAGACCCTCGTTGGCGCATCTCGGGAAAGTATGCAGTCATCTCGTTTGACAAGCGAACAGTCTAGGACGCATTGCATTTCCTTACGAGATCTGCGAGAGTCGACAGGTATTCGTCGTGCGCAAGCGGTGATAGCGTCTCTACTGCCCGTTCTAATGCAAAAAGGTACTGATCGTTGCGTCCTGACGGGCCTTTCGAGTGTGCGATATGGTTCGCTAGCGCGTGCAGCGGTGCTGGGCCGACGAACGAAGGATTGGCCGGCAAGCCGACGTAGCACATGGTCTGCTCGTGTTCTCAGCAGATGTGTCAATCAGCTTGCGCCGCGGGTACCTCGACAATCTCGTCCCCTGACGAGGTTGGGCAGACGACTTGTACAGGCTGAAGTGTGTATCCATCCTTTTCGCGGTGGTCCATGTAGCTCCTTACAGAGACCGAATGGATAGGGTCAAAGTAATAGATCACACCCCAGCAATCTTCATGCGTTGCCAGGGCATCAGGCTCATCGCCTGACGTGCATAGAGCGCGCCATGTCGTTGTCTCCACCAACGTGACGACGCGTCCCGGATGCTGCTGAGAGTATGAGGAGCTGATGTTGACTGGAGCGGTCTTGGCGCACCTGTGGAGTGCCGCGATGATCTGAGGAGCTCTGAGCGAACCGCCGAACGTAGCCTCGTATCCGGCCGATACGCGAAGAGACGACATGCTCTGGGGGAGGCTTCCATATGAGCGAGCCATAGCCAAAGCAGGATGCCAAGCCTGGCTCGGTCTCGGGCATCAGCCTGTGAGCTGTGGAGAGGCGCAAGTCACGACGCGCCCGTCTTCGGCATGTCGTCATGGCTGATTTTTCAATGTCAACGCGCAAGCTCCGAGCTCGGCCAAGCTCGCAATCGCTCGTGGTATGACCGAAGATCCAGTCGTCGTACGATAGCAAGAGGATATATAAACCCCCAAGCACTCTGAAAGCCACGTAAGCAATGGCAGGCTCGCCGGTGATCGTGCTCGATCCCTACTATCTGGCCATCACCTTCTTGATCACGCTCGCTCTGCAATATAGCACCTTGGCAGTCGCCTACACGCTCCAATTCGACAAGCTCACCGATGCAGCCGGCAGTCTCAACTTCTTTCTCATCGCGTATGCTTACTGAAAGGATACTTCTGCCCGTCTGACACGCCAGCGCAGGTTGATCACACTTACTTTCGGAAACCAATACCATGCAAGAGAGATCGTCGTCTCTGTTTTCATGATGATCTGGGCAGCTCGCCTGGGCGGTTTTCTCTTCTTCCGCGTGCTCAAGACGGGTAGCGATGGACGCTTTGATCAGATCAGAAGCAACTTGCTCAAATTCGCCGGCTTTGTAGGCTTCTACCCGAGCTGGGCCTCGATCGAGACGCTCACATCGTGAACAGTTTGCATTCCAGACGCTCTGGTGCTGGACTGTCTCGCTACCGGTGACCATTCTCAACTCGCCAAGGGGATCTTATGGACCTCGTGGCGGCGCCAATCCCAAATTTGGCAGCGGCACAGACATTGTTGGCATCATCTTCTGGGTCATCGGTTTCTCCATCGAAGCCATCAGCGATATCGAGAAGTTCAGATACAAGAGCGCAAAGCCAGCTCCTGATCAAGTCAACAACAAGGGTACTTGGGGCTTCACACGTCATCCCAACTATTTTGGCGAGATCCTACTCCGTAAGCTCGTTAGCGCTGTACACGAGTCAGTCTTGATGCTGTCCGCAGAATGGGGCATATGGCTTCTATGCATCCAGCCTGCACGCTCTGGCCTGACGAGTAGTGAGACGCGACATGCTCTCTACGCATCTGTAGTCGGTCCTATCTTCATCACCTGCAAGTCCTTCGCCCCTCTCGATCGTGTCAAGCTGATGTTGGGCCACAGTACTTCTATTCGGTTTGAGCGGTCTGCCCGAGGCGGAGAAGCCAGCAGCGCAAAAGTACTATCTCAAGACCTATGGGCCCAAAGCAGACGGTGAAAGCAAGGCCTGGCAGAACTATCAAGACTATCTGGACTCGACTTCGATCTTCTGGCCTATCCCACCGGCGATCTATCGCCCGCTCCCGAAATGGCTCAAGCAGACCGTGCTGCTCGATCTGCCGTTCTATCACTTTGACGAGAGGAAAGACGGTCCCAAAGCGATAGAAGAAGCCAAACAAAAAGATCGAGAGTCTCGCGAGAATGCCTGAGGCGTGCGCGTGCAAGTAGATGCGTAATTCGACAACACTGTTGTTAATGTACAATCACATGCGATTCGTCACTTCTTCTTACGCTGAAGTGGAATCACTTCGACCAACTGCTTCGGTAAGCCTTGCACTTCCAGGTAGTCCGAGATGGTCTTGCTCTGGTCGCCCTGGACGAGCACCTCCATGGCGCCCTTCTTGCTCCCAAAGACTTGATCGACGCTTGTGCTCGACGCGCATGCGACCTGCAGCTCAGAAGACACCCGCTCGGGCAGAAAGCCGTAGAGTTCCAGGCCGGTAATGATTGAGACAACCTTGCGGCCTTGCCTTGCTTTTATTTCGACCTTGACAGTTGTCGGCGTTCCTTTCCTGCATGCAGCAGCATCAGCGCAAGCTCTGATACATGCTGTGAGATGCTTGCCTTAGCTCTGTTTTGCCGCCGAGCAGCTGGACGCGATGCATTTTCTGACAGTGCTGCAACAGTCGATGGATCGCATCACTTCGATCTATAGCGTCCACATTCTCGTTCGATTTGAGCAGCGTCTGACCGAGCAAGGGATCGATACTGATAAATTTCGGATCGACGGGATGGATCAACTTCTCTTTGTCAACGTAATCGATCAAAGCTTTCCTGGCCTGAGCAGCCGTCAAGGGATCTTTCGAGCGAGACGTCTTTTCGAAGAATGCCACAGTCTGACCATGGGGTTTGTAGACGTCCGTCACGCTGATACTACTCGCGCTCGCTTCCTCTTTAGCCTCTTGTGCTTCGCTTGCTCTGGCTTGAGCAGTCAGTTTTGCCATCGTCTTGTACGGCCGGAGCTCTTTCAAGGGTGCAGCATCCTTGTTGATCGACAACACCAGAGCTTCAGGCTTCATCTCTTTGAGCGTGAGCAAGTCTTTTGCAGCCATAGCTTTGAGGAACTTGGCCAAGGTTTTGTGTGACGACCGCTTGACGTCGATCTGAGCAATGTGATCCGCATGAGCTGCCGGCCGAGCCGGCAGAATATGCGCACTGTACACGACCGAGGCTGACAGAGGGAATTGCGACTTGTTGGGCAGCGTATTGACGACAGCATAGCACAGTGCTTGTTCCAGCAGCGCGTCCACTAATTCCACTGGCAGCATTTTTGCTGGCTCAACGGCAGCTTCTTTCGTGAGCGCCTCAGGTACTTCTTCAGGCTGCACGCTGTCGTCCAAGGCAAGGCTGGCAGCTTCTGCTTCGAGCGTGGGCAGAGCGATGCGTTGTGGCTCTGACTGCGTGCCCGACATCCATAGATGATCTTGCTCGGCGTGCAAGGTGATGACAACTTTGCCCGTCGCAGCGCGGGCGAGCTTCTCAGGCGTTGCGCTGAGTTGACCGACGGCGCAGGGGCGCTCTGAATCGTCACCTGAAGATACAGCGACGAGAGTACCTTCGGTGTACGCGGGAGGCAGCCGTCTCAGACAGGACGTGTTGACCCCCGGTCTGAACAGATCCGCTCCTTCTGCTAGCTTGTCGATGACCATGGGAGCAGTGACGATGATTGACAACAGTGCCGGGTAGCGCAGGAGTGTGTACACAGACGGCACGAGCAAGTCATTTGACGATTTGCCTATCCTGAACCATAGCGGATCGTATGGCGTCGCAGCGGGCAAGTCAGCCGTCAGGTGACAAGCGTACAGAGTCACAGACTCGTCGAGATGCGTGATGCCGCGAGAAGTGAGGATGCCATCCGGGACGAGCAGTCGAGCGAGCTCTGTCGAGACGGCGAACGTCTTTGCAATCTCCTCGGCGAGCTTGCGTCGTTCAGAGTTCTTGAGCGGTGACCAGGGCTTGTGACTCGCCAGCGGCTTCTTGAACATCTGCGCCGGCTGTCGAGTCGGCTCGTCTCTGCAGGCACAGGCACAAGCTGAGCGCTGAGCACTCTGTCCGAACCGAAAAACGGCAGCGCGGACGACGACGACGACGACGACAGACAGACAGCCAGCCCTCTGACGCCTTGGAACAGACACCGTCGACAGCGTGCGATGCTCAGAACAGACTGATGACAAGGGGACAGCAAAGGGCCAGCCTCACGAGAGTACTGCTAGGCTGCCTGCTGCTCATATCGGCATTCGTCGGTCGAACGACGTGCGAGCCCTCCCTGGCTAGCCGACTGGCCACGAACACTCAGCAAGCTCGGCCAGACTCCCTCCAACTCGCACATCGTGTCATCAGCGAGCGGCCGAGCAATGAAGGGCTGCCTGCACTGCCCGAAGAGATCCGCAAGTTTACTTTCACCGCTCCGTCGCCGAGAGGCTTGCCCGTCCAAGACGGCGCACCTCAGTCTGTCGAAGATCTCGAGCTGTCTGATCTCGCCTTGATCACGACCGTCGACGGATCTGTCCATGCAGTTCTCCGGGCTACAGGCCAATGGATCTGGACCCTGCATGACTCCAAAGACGTGAAGCAGGACAACTCGACCTTGCGAGACATCAACACGCCCCTCGTCAGAGTCGAGGACGTCGCTCCTCGTCTGATCAAGCCCAGGCCATCGAATGTGAAGGCTGTGGGCGAGCCTCTGCGGACGACACAGCAAGAGAGCGCGTCGAACGATGAAGTCTACATCATTGAGCCCCACGCAGACGGCGACCTTTACATCTTCTTGCGCTCCACAGGAAAGATGCAGAAATTACCCCTGTCCATGCATCAGCTCGTCGAGATGTCGCCGTTCACCTTTCCGGGCGACGACTCGAAAATGTTTGTCGGCAAGAAGGAGACCAAACTCGTCGGTGTCGATATCAAGACAGGCAATCTTGTCGGCGTCTTTGGTCCCGAAGCAGGATGGTGCGAATGGCATGATCGAGATAGACCAGCGACGGGCGAGGATCCCATCGATGCGCGACCTCAGGACTTGCTCTACATGGGCAAAACAGACTATACTGTGTCCATCTTCTCCAAGCACCAAGGGCTCCAACAGCAGCTATCCTATTCCGCATATGGTCCCTCGACTTTCGGTGACAGCATCCAATCGATCTGGACGAGAACTCCAGACGATAGATATCTGCAACCCATGCATGACGGCAGCCTCGTCTGCTTCAAAGCAGGCGATCACGGCCTACAATGGACTGTCCAGTTCGACTCGCCTGCCGTTTCGGTATTTGATATCGCGACGCCCAGGACAGCATCCGAGCACGAAGAAGCCGGCCAGCCTCTGCTGTTCGCTCAACCCCAGCCTCGGCCTGCTTTCGGCTTGCCGTCGAGCTTCATGGCCTTACGCAATCTGCCTGAAACGACCTTTGTCGGCAATCACGGCACTACCTACTATGCCATGAGCCGGGATACGTTCCCGCTCGTCGCCTTTGCTCCAAGTGCGCACGTCACCAGACGGCCGGAGAAGGAGATCCGCACCTTTGCCGATCTTATCGGCAGTCACCGAGTAGAGTCGTCAGATTTTGCTTCGCCGCTCAATCAGATCGAGGAGGGCGAGCACAGGCTGGGCATCGATCCGCCTCAGCCGCCCTCGACCACCGCTGCTTGGGACTCCGCAACAAGCATACTGCGCCTGGCAGAACGCGCGCCTGCACTCGGATTGTCGACTACGTCGCTCGCAACGATTGCAATCACCCTAGTAGCTGTAATGTGTGCTGGTATATACATCCTATCAAGGCATCAGTACCGCCCTCCCCCAATCGAAGAGCCCGTCCAGAACGGCACAGCTCTACCTCGGCAGACCGCTTCGCCTCAGAGGGATCAGCCAGAGAATGATCATGCAGCGGCGGCCACAGTACAAGACGATCAGCTCGAGTCTGACAATGAAGTCGAAGCTCGCTATGACGATGCAAAGCCTCGGCCAGGCAGGAGGAGGAAGCGCGGTCGCCGACCTTTGCAGAAGGCAGCAGCACTGGCCACGGCCGCTCAAGTGCCTGCGATCTCGATCACTGGCGAGGATGGCGCAGCAGTGGAGCTTGCAAAGACTCGCGAGGAGCATGTTCAGCCCCTGCCGTCACCCGTTGCTGCTGTTCCACTGTCCACTGCTCAAACAGGTCAAATCGGATCCCTGATTGTTTCCGAGTCGATATTAGGTGATCTCTATCGTCTGCGTCCGTGTGCCCCGGATGCAAGCTGACAGAGACGCAGGATATGGATCACACGGCACTGTCGTGCTCAGAGGCGAGTTTCAGGGTCGAGCGGTAGCCGTCAAGCGGTTGCTCAAAGACTTTGTCACCATTGCGACTCACGAAGTCAGTCTGTTGCAAGAGAGCGACGATCACACCAACGTGATCCGCTACTTCTGCAAGGAGCAAAAGGACAATTTCCTCTATATCGCGCTCGAGCTCTGTCCGGCTTCGCTCGCAGATCTCATCGAGCAGCCCTCTCTGCATCCCGGTCTTGTCAGCTCATTCGACGACAAGAAAGCTTTGCGCCAGATCACATCAGGATTGGTACATTTGCATTCGCTCAAGATCGTTCATCGCGATATCAAACCGCAGAACATTCTCGTTGCGCCAGACAAGCTGGGCGGTCTCCGTATGATGATCTCAGACTTTGGACTCTGCAAGAAACTGGACAATGACGAGAGCAGCTACTTCCAATCGGTCAACCATGCTGCAGGATCCTTCGGCTACCGGGCACCGGAAGTCTTGCGAGGCGAGGTGAACCCGAACGAGCAGGCCGCTTCGCCGCTCGACTCGACACAGTCCGCAGGCTCGAGTCCTGACGATCAGACCAGGAAGAAGCTTACGCGATCTGTGGACATCTTTGCACTTGGCAATCTGTTCTATTATATCTTGACAAGGGGCGAGCATCCGTTTGGTGCGCGATACGAGCGCGAAGTCAATATTCTCAAAGCTCGTGTTGACCTGTCACGACTCGATGGTCTCGGCGAGGAAGCCTTGGAAGCGCAAACCGTCATTCTATCGATGATCAGTCCTGACCCGCTGCAACGGCCAAAGGCAAAGGACGTGCTCGTGCAACCCTTCTTCTGGTCTCCGGCGAAACGGCTGCTCTTTGTCTGCGATGCTAGCGACCGATTCGAGATCATGGAACGTGATCCGCCGGCTCCTGCTCTGCAGTCGCTTGAGCGATCTGCGCCTGATATCGTTGGCGACGATTGGCTCCGCAAGCTCGATCGCACCCTCATCGATAATCTGGGCAAGTACCGGAAGTACGAAGGCCATTCCGTCCGAGATCTCTTGCGGGTCCTCCGCAATAAAGTTCGCACCCTGCTGTCTCTTATCATGCAGGGCTGATGCTGGACGCATTCACAGAAGAATCACTTTCAGGACTTGCCAGAGAACGTACAGAAGAATCTCGGCGCCTTACCGGACGGCTTTCTCGCCTACTTCACGCATCGCTTTCCTCGCCTGCTGCTGCACATTCACCAGGTCGTGCGCGAGCACCTCATCGATGAACCAATGTTCGGCCCCTACTTCTCCGCAGACTAGCTTGATGTACTTGATTGTTGTCTGTTGTGCATTTTACGTGCCACCGTCTTGCTCCGGCTCTTCGTGCGCGCGTGCGGGGTGCCGGACTACCAACGACGATGAGTGTGACGCACATTGTGCTGTTTGCATACAAGCCAGAGACGACCAAGGAGGAGATCAAGGAGGTCAGAGAGAAGTTTCTAGCACTCCAACAGCAATGCAAAACGGCCGACAATGGACCGCTCGTTCAGAGCTTCCATGCGGGCAGTAACAATTCGACGGAAGGCCTTTCCGGCAAGATCAATGCGAGCTGGTTGAGCTCCAATGTATGCGACGACACTGATGCTCGAACGCAGGACGCCTTCGTTATGACCTTTGCGTCCAAGGAGGACCGGGACTACTACAATGAAAAAGGTCGGGTCGTGCACTCTTCGCTCGGAGTCAGACTGGACTGACGCGAAAGGAGAGCAGATCAGGCGCACAAAGAGTTTAAGGATTTTGTGCTGCCCAAGCTTATCCCACCGGAGGCTCGCATCGTCGACTTTACTCCCGGCGTGTTCGAATAGGCCAGAGGTGCGAGCTGTGGGTGGCCGAACAGCAATACATGCATGACAATGGCGATTTGCGAAGGACAACGTGATACACGGAGCCTTCCTCCTCATGAGCATTGACCTGATGGAAATCAGGGGTCGTCTCCACATTGTCTCCGTGCGCGTACAGAAGAAATGAATTCATTCGAATGAGCTCATCCGAAAGAGAAAAGAAGGCAGGCAGCAGTACGAGTGACTAGATCAGTCTAGCAGTAGCAGTGAGATCCTATAAGACGGCGAATCAGTGGTGCATGTCCATACCGACAGTCAGCTCGAGAAATACCCACAACAAGACGAGATCTATCGGCAATCACCCGACCTAAGGGCGTCTGATTGCTTGCCTCAATCCAACCTCGTACAATACTGAACAGCCACGCAAGATGAATCAAGCAGAGTCCATCTACTCGTCTCCTGCTCCCACGTATGGTGAACAGCTCGGCAGCCACAATGGCCCACACGATGGTGCGCCAATGACGGCGGACAATCTCGCCATCGCAGATGAGAAAAGGACCCGCGACTCAAAGGATGAAGAGGCGACCATGATAGGCAAAATTGACACTGCAGCAGCGACGACAAAGGTGCGCGATGAGGGAGAAGATTCTTCGATCGGCGACAGGACGGCCATCGAGACGAAGAACCTCACCTGGGTCCAAGCAAGCTTCCTGCTTCTCACCGAGTACATCGTTGTCGCTATCCTGTCCTTTCCTCAATCGTATGCCGCACTCGGGCTTGCAGGCGGTCTGATCACCACCGTCATCGTCGGCGGCGTCGTGCTTGCGACTTCACTCATCTTGACAGATTATTGCATCGCCCATCCAGAATTGATCGACATCTGCGACATCGCGTACGAACTCTTTGGTCACTCACGGATTGCGTATGAACTCGCTGCAATTGGTTTCTTGCTCAACAATGTAGGCCTCTGCGTAAACGCCGCCCTCACAGGGGCTGATGGTCGCACAGGTATTTATCATGGGCCTGCACGTCGTCATCGGCTCAGTAGCACTCAACACGCTGACCGACCATCCGTTCTGCACGCTCATCTTCTCGGCGCTTATCACCGTCGTCACCGGCTTTGCATCTCTTCCCCGCAGTCTTTCGCAAGTTTCGTACCTCGGCATGATCGGCGCATTCTTCATGGCCATCGCGCTCCTGCTCGCTCTCATCCTTGCCGGCGTCGAATCAGCTCCGGCCATGTATACCGGCGCAGAGAATATCAAGCATGTTGGAGGTTTCGCTCATAGTGGTACCACCTTCGTCGTTGGCTTCAGCGCTGTTCTCAATATCGTACGTATCTCTCCCGCCCGCCGTGTGAGATGCTAACGCTTGTGCAATACAGATCTACACGTTCGTCGGTCAGATCCTGATTCCATCCTACGTCAGCGAGATGAGAGAGCCAAGAGACTTCAAGAAGGCGCTCTGGATCGTCACAATCTTTGAGATTGTACTCTATGGCGTCGGAGGCTCAGTGATATACTACTATGTCGGCTCAGATCTGATCGTCTCGCCTGCCTATGGTGCTCTTCAGTCGAAATATGCCAAGATCGTGGCCGGATTCACGCTACCGACGATCATCGCTGTCGGCATCGTCTATAGCGTCATCACGAGCCGCTTCATTTTGTTCAGAATATTCGAGGCCAGCTCGATTCACCGCCGCGCACATACAGTCAAAGGCTGGGTTGTCTGGACCGGCATTGTCATCACTCTCTGGGCGTTTGCGTTCATCATCGCGGGAGCGGTGCCATTCTTCAGCGATTTGCTGTCGCTCTTGTCGTCACTGTTCGATTCGTTCTTGTGCGATCTCCGTCTGCTACATCGAGATTTGACTGACTTGCCCCCGCAGCGGATTCATCTTCTGGGCATTTGCATACAAATCGCTCAACAAAGGCAACCTCTGGTCAAGCCCAGCCCGCATCGCTACGACAGTCTTTTACATCTTCGTTCTGCTCACAGGGTTCGTCGATAGCGATGTCCTTGCGTGGCTTAGCTGACGCTATTTCTCAGTCTATTCATGCTGACCGCAGGCACATATGCAAGCGCAGAGAGCATCAAAGCGAGCTACAGCGACGGGACTGTCTCGTCGCCCTTCAGCTGCGCCAATACGGGCTACTAATCAATGCGAAGACGACATATATACACGCACCCATACTCAAAAGCAGTCTATCAGTCATGTTGTGCACATAGAAATTGTCAACTTGCGATGGGCGCGCGGCCGCAACACGGCAAGATTGCGATGTCGGACTTTGCGCGCGATGGTTAATTAGATGCGGGGTTGTTTCTCTGACTGCACGTGGCAAACACGACACTAGCTAAGTGGGCGAGGCCACATGTGCATGACGACCATGTCCAGCGTGCTTGGCCCTCTTTCGACCATCTGCTGCTGAGCCACCTGCTGCCGAGCAAGACGTCAGACGTCTCGAGCCCACGAGCAGCCGCACAGACCCTCGCAAACGAAAGTCGTCCCAGTTGCATCCTCGAGTCGTGTGACTGCCTTCGATCGTCAAGATGGACGAGAAGCACGCAAGTTCGGACGTTTCGTCTGGCTCAAACACCATCGAACACGCTCGCACGCATGATAACGATGCATCGAACGGCAATGGCACACAGGGCACGGCTTACACCAACGAGAAAGCAGCGCTGCCCGCTGAGCGCATGCAGACTGACACGGCACTCACGAAAGAGAAAGAAAAGGGCGAGACTGAGCATGTCGACGAGCTGAATGTACTCGAAGCTGCTCGCAAGAACAGGGCAAGTGCACCTCTGCAAAGTGGCGAACGAGCTCACACGTCTCAGGGCAGGACTTGCTCATCTCCAACGTCAATGCCCGGCTCGCGAATCCCTTGGCAGGATATACACCAGAACAGCTGCAAGTCATGGGCCGTCGATATGCCCGTGAGCACGGCATGGAAGACAAGGAGGACATCTTTGCCAAAGGTGCCGTCGTTGCAGGTGATCCAGGTGGTGAGTTATAGTACTTGTCCGAGAAAGTATACTGATTCCACAACGTCGCATGTGCAGGCTTTGAAAATATCCCCACTCTCACCGAAGAAGACAAAGTGAATCTCCGTCTGGAGCGCACTCACAAGTGGAAGAACCCAGGCACACTCTATTGGCTGGTCATCTGCTGCTCGCTTGCAGCTGCCGTACAGGGCATGGATGAGTCTGTCATCAGTGGCGCCAACCTTTTCTTCCCACAGCAATTTGGCATTGCCACCTCGACCGACGTCGATCCTACCCTGACCGCAGCCCAGATCAGTCAGAATGAACTTTTGCTTGGTCTTGTCAATGGCGCGCCCTACCTCTGCTGCGCCATCCTTGGCTGCTGGCTGACAACCCCTCTCAACGATTGGTTCGGCAGACGAGGCGCAATCTTCATCACTGCCATGATCTCATTCCTCACTTGCATCTGGTCCGGTGTCACCAATTCTTGGCCACATTTGTTTGCGGCGCGATTTGTCCTCGGAATCGGCATTGGCGCAAAGTCGGCTACTGTGCCCGTGTACGCAGCAGAGTGCAGCCCACCTGCTATCAGAGGTGCACTCGTCATGATGTGGCAGACTTGGACTGCATTCGGCATCATGATTGGATACGTAGCGGATCTCGTCTTTTACAATGTTAAAGATACAGCTCACGTGACCGGTCTCAATTGGCGACTCATGCTTGGCTCTGCTGGCTTCCCTGCCATCATTGTCTGCGTTCAAGTCTTGTTCCTTCCCGAGTCGCCCAGATGGTACATGCTTCGCAACCGTCATCGTAGCGCTTTCGAATCCATCCGTCGTTTACGCTACGACGACATTCAAACTTCCCGAGACCTGTTCACTATGCACTGTCTTCTCGAAGCCGAAAAGGACGTCATTCACACCCGCAATCGCTACCTCGAAATCTTCACGATCCCCCGCAACCGTCGCGCCATGCAAGCCAGCACGATTGTCATGTTCATGCAACAATTTTGGCACGTGACTTTACCTCTTCTTTATGACTCAATGCTAAGGCTCCTGCCGCCGCAGCGGTGTCAATGTGATCGTCTACTACGTCGCTACCATCTTTACGGTAAGTCGAGTAAGTGTCGTTTGCCTGCGGCCATTCATTTGTCTTGCGAGCAGGAAGCCGGTTTCAGCAATCAAAGCGCTCTCTTAGCATCCTTTGGCTTTGGCGCCATCAATTTCACCTTTGCGCTGCCTGCTATCCTCACCATAGACAACTTCGGCCGTCGCAACCTTGTGCTTACGTGTCTTCCGCCAATGGCCGCCTCCTTGCTTCTGACCGGTTTCGGCTTCTTCATACCCGAAGATAACAAAGCCCACATCGCTGTCATCGCTCTGGGCATCTATATCTTCGGTATATTGTACTCCCCTAGTATGGGCCCCGTGCCCTTCAGTTACAGCGCCGAAGCGTATCCTTTATCCGTCAGAACGATAGGCATGTCTCTGGCGACCGCAACAACTTGGCTCTTCAACTTTGTTCGTTGTTTTTTCTTCGTATGTGCGCTCAGACTTCACGGCTGACAAGATCGTCAATAGATACTGGCGTTCACGTTTCCAAGGCAAGTCTGTGCATCGAGACAGAGGCGCACATAGGCTCGACCTTTTGCGATCTGTCATGCGCGTCTATCACCGGCTGACCTTGTAACTCGTGACAGACTTTTGTCTGCATTCAAACCACAGGGCGCATTCGGCTACTACGCCGCATGGAACATCATCGGCTTCTTCCTCACTCTCTTCTTCGTGCCAGAAACGAAAGGTTGGACGCACTCATGTCGCAATATGCGGCTGACGCATCTTCTTGCAGCACTCTCGCTCGAGGAGCTCGATCAGGTCTTTTCGGTGCCTACAATGACGCACGCAAGATATCAGGGCCGAGCGTTCACAAGAAATATGCGTCGATGGATCTTGCGACAGAAATTGCCGCCAATGGAACCCCTCTATCAATTCGACGAGTGTAAGCCGCTAACGTTTGCACAGCTTGAGCTGACCCGAGCCACAGCCATGGCGAAATCTTACGCACCTACCGCTGGTGGACACTGATTGTCCAATACAGCAGCCATCAGGCTCGGATTTTGAGGCGCGACGTGAAACTACTCTCAGGCTTGTACTTGAGCGGCCAGTGCCTGTTGTTATCTCAAGACCTATATGATAAGGCCGCTGGCGCTCGGGTTCACCTGAATTTGTAGCATCGAACGATTGACGAGTATCCATGCAATGGGATCAGTCACATTTGGACAACGCTGCGCAAATGCCATGCGGCTCATTTGGCAGTGTTCGACGAGCTACTGGGCGAGTGTGGTGACAGTCGCGCGGAAGGGCTGGCTTGCAGTGCAAGAGCAGAACGCGAGGCTCAATCGGCTGCATACGACCAGCTGCAACAGCAAAGAACGGCATGTCCCGCTCGCCAGCGCAGTAGCAGGGAGGGCCAGGTCGTCGATCGTATATCGTTGTCCAGGCTTCAAGCTCCAAGTATCGCGCGTAGACTTCCACGTCAGACAGCAAACGTCCAGACGGGCTGCTGGCATGGCTCGAGGTAACCAGCGAGAGGTCTCTCGCGAAAAGGTAGCTCACCGTCGTATAGGGTCCAACAGCAGCTGACGAATCGATCTCAGGCGCAGAAAAAGCTGGCTGCTCAAAGCAAGCCCCACGAGTCTGGCGTTTCAAAAACCAAGAGAATGGAAAGAGATGCCGAGGTACGCAGCATCAGTCGAGCACACGCAGGCGTCTGACAGGCTCTCGCTCAGATCGTCCGAGCCAAGCAAGCTGCTGCTGCAGCGAAGAAAGCCCAAGAGGCAGCTCAACAACCGAAATGACAGCTTTTAGATGTTTCTGGCACTCACGAGCTCGGCTCGACCTAGACTGTCAACATGTTGTGCTACTGCATTCACGCCCGTCTCTCGCCGGTTGAGGAGCGACTTCACTCTTGAATGACCAGCGGATGATCTCTGTACGATACCCGGTCAGCATCGCCGTCCCAGAGGACTTTCAAACAGACTGCACGGATCTTGGTCAGCAACGACAAAGGCACCACGAACAGAAGCTGACGGTCATCCTGATCGCAGTAGACGAACAGCGCCGTCCAAGGGCCGAGCAAATGCAGGTCGCTGATGTAATATGAGCGCTTGCTGTTTCGCTTGCCCCATCTCACAAGACCCTCTCGAATGTTCTCCCTCTGCGGAAACCTGCTCATCAATATCGTCAATGCCAGCGCCACATCGTCTACCGGAGACCCACATGAGCTCATTGGCATATGTCTTTTCCATCTTTGTCATATCGTCAGGCGTCAAGTTGTGGCGATACTCGACGATTGAATAGCCTGCCGTCATGACATGCTTGCCATCGCCAAACACATACCGCCGAAACAGCGTGTCCGGTCCCAGAAAGATCGCTGCTCGCTGCAACACACCGATCACTTGGAATGGATCTCTGCCGGGTGATGGCACAGCGTACGCCCACTGCTCGACAGCATTAGCTCCGAGACAGCGCGAGCGTACCGCATACATTGCTTGCGGTCGTGTGATGGATTGTCAGGATGGGTAGCCCGGCTTGCAAAAACCCGGCAGGATTACCACGAAGGTCGAACTGGTGCAGAGAGCTTTCGCGCGTCAGAGCTTGTGCCTTGTCGAGACCCATGAGCATGCTTGCGCATCTCGTGATCATCTCGTCACCGCCAAAGATGTTCATGCTATCATTCTTGTCAGATAAGTCTAAAGTGACGAGAACAAGCAGGATCTACAAATTGGCGAAACATTTGTCGTGCTCGCGAGCCATAGCATCTAGCAACGGCTTGCTCAGCACGATGCCAGAGCCACCGAATGCCATGATGCCGAAGATGCCAGCCTGTTCGACCCCTTCGCTCGTGTTGCCTATCATCAACATCTTGCGTGGATCATATTTTTCGAGCATCCTCCGGACTCCGTCAATGCTGAAGATGCAAGTGTCGTCATCCGCGATAAAGTACCACTTGATTCGCAATCGGTGGCGCTGGGTTTCTTTGCGCATAAAGACAACCGAGCCAAGCACCCTGTGCTCGTAGCGCGGCGATGGACTGTAGAGCAATTCGCATCGCAAGTCATATCTTCTGAGCGAGTCTACAGCTTCTTGATGACGCGGACGCTCTCTTTCGTCGAGGACGATCAGACAGGGCGAGCCGGCGTGTAGCCAGAGAGGCCAGAGAGGCGCGAACCGGATCAATCTGTCCACAGAAGTGGCAAACGAGAAGAAAATCTCTTGCGGCGTCGGCGCTTTCTGGGGATCCAAGCGAGGCACGCGCGGAAAGACTGGCAGCTCATGACTCAGCATACCATTGATGCGGTCGCCATCGTCTTGTGTTTCTGTCAGAAGAGGCTCGTCTGTCCAGAACACGTCGGCATCGGGCGCGACGAGTGTCTCATTGTATTCTTGCGTAATCGGTCTGATCTTTGCATTGAGCCGTATCCCTCTTGCCTGCCGTATGGCTTCCTCTTCGATGTGCTTGCGAGAAACCGCAATCTGGTCGTTAGGCACGATAGTGACGATGAATACGAATGTCAGAGCAATCAAAGTCCCTAGGCATATCCACATGCCCTCATGCACCCTGTTGCGCCGATGACGTATCTCTGCTCCCCGAGCTGCTCGTAGCGTCCTCATCAGAGATCGGCATCACTGCATCTGAGCCCGATGAACAAGCCATAGTGGTGGCGACGTGTCGTCGACGAGGGTCGGCATGCCGTCGTCATGCGGTCGGCTGAGAGTCACTTTGCCATTCGCATGGCACTCGCACGAGACGCAGAGCATCAGGCAACAAAGGATTACATAAAGATGCATTGGATGAAGTTGCGCTAAACCTCGCTGGATTTTGCCGGATCTTGGTACACGAATAGATCGGCCCGGAATTGGGCCGCCTTGACCATGCCTGTCGTGTCCCAGAGGATATGAATGTCGACGCGATCGATGTCTTGAAAGCTGAGCAGCACTTGACCATTTGCAAGCTTTCGAACGCGCGAGATGAAGTAGGTCCTTTTGCCTTGCTTCTGACTCCATGGGACCAAAGCCTCGCGTATCTTTGGCCGTTGTGGGAAGAGCAGGTCGGCATCGTACGTATGCTCGACGGATTGCAGATCACTCGGCGTGAGAGGATGCGAGTACTCGGTAAGCGAGTAGCCGACGACCATGAGTTGCTTGCCGTCGGCGAACATGTATCGCCGGCCAAAGTTGTCGCCACCCAGTGCTTCTGCAGCTTGTAGTAAGAGCTCAGTGACTTCGAACATACTTCTCTCGTATTCTTTCGGGATTGGCGGACCCCAAATAGCTGCGTTGACGTGATGCAAAGTCAAAAAGGGCATGCCGCTCTGATAGAACCCAGAAGGATCGCCTCGGAAATCCATTTGGTGCATTCCCAGCTCGACCGTCACCGTCTGCTCGAGAGAGTCGCGCTGCATCACCATTTTCGCGCACTACGATGTCATGAGAGTGAGCTAGGCTGGACACACGAGCACGCAGCCTTTACCTTATTGATCATGCCATCGCCACCGAATTCGCTCTTGACGACTTCGTAGCATCCTTTCCATTTAGCGGCCATCTTGTCCAAAAGGCTTGTAGACATGATTAGACCCGCGCCACCAAATCCCATAAAGTTGAAGATGCGCTTCTGTTCCTCGCCTTCGCTTGTTGAGCCTAGCAGATAGTCTTCTTTCGGCGAGTAGCGGGCAAGATTGCGCCGGAGACTGCGTAAATCGAGCCAGATCGTATCGTCGTCCATTTGGATGAACCAGGTCGGCGTCCATTCGAGCTGCTTTGCAAATTCGTGCATCTCGCGGATGTTGCCAAATGTACGATGTTCCGATCTCTCGAGCTGGTTGTAGATGACGAGGCATTCGACGGAGAGCTCTGCCATTTTGGCAGTGACTTCCTTGACCCGCGTCCGATCTTTCTCGTGGAATGCAAGCAGGCAGGGAGAGCCGTGCTTGAGCCAGTACCTCCACAGTGGTAGATATTGCAACGCACGATCTGGCGTCGTTGCAACGGCAAACATGAGGTCTTTGTAGCTTGGCGCGCCCGCTGGCAAGATTGCCCGAGCAGGATAAGCGGAGATCTGGAGTCCGTGTGTCTCGTCTACCGCTCCCACACCACGATGACCTGTTCCGCTAACAGGCATGAGGTCTTTTTTCGACCAGGGCACTGGCGATTGGGGTGATGGCGGGTGGGTGATATCATAAGGCTCCGCTTTGACTTGCAATGCTGCTGCGATAGAGACGTGGGATCCGTCCCTACGCTTTGGGGCTAACGCAATGGGCATGATCCCGGGTATCTTGAGTTTCGGCGTCTTATGCAAGAGAGTAGCGCCAGCTGAAGTGAAGGATGATTGGACACGACCTGCGCCGGTCAAGAGTGGCGACTTGAGCTCGCTGTCTTGCGCATGATGAGGCGTGAACCATGCTGGGCCGGCCAGAAGGAAGAGACCGGTGATGGCCAGCAAAGTCGCAACGGTCAAAGTTATTCTGCGATTTTGCTCATGACGACGAGTTCTTGCTGTGCTTAAGGTAGGCGATGGTAACGGACTGCCTGTGAGCGACAGTCGCTTTTCGGTAATCTTATCCAGCGCCGGCAAGGCTAACATGCTCGGCTTGGCCATCTTGAACGGCAGTGCAGACCGTCGCGAGGCCATCGTCTGGGCAGAGCAAAAGTCGTAACAATCAGGTCTGCCTCGGACAGGGGTCAATGCACTGCCGCATCTCGCAGTTCCTGAGAAGAGACGGTGCCTGGACATCGTATGGGGCCGTGGAGTACTAGCTGGAACCGATAGTCCCGGCGAGCTGACGAAGATTAGATGGACACGAAGCAGACAAGCCGCAAGTCGAGCGACACGCAACTCAAGTGAGTCATCACGTGACAGAACCAGTAAGTAGCTGGTCGACCGGTCGACGAGGCTTGAAACCTTTGGCCTATCGCAAACATCTCCCTCTCTGCGCTGCATGAGCTTTCGGCAACGCCCATGCCTACGATGACCCTGCTTCTACCGCTTCGACTGAAAGATCAGCCCAGGATCGGCTCACCACCCATGACCGAGCGACCGTTGACAGGGCGAGCGAGCAGATCGCTCAGAAGAAAGCGACGATGGGCAAAGTTCTGGCCTTTCTTGATACTTGCAACTGTGGCTGGAGTGATCTTCGCGATCATCAAGCCTCAATCGGTCAAGCCTCGGCTCGTCACTGCGCGTCGACTGACGGAGGATCGCGCAAGACGGCTGTTTGGCATTTTGCCATGGCTCGATCGGGACAGGCCATTCAGCAAGCCAAACGGACCACATCCTCGGCTCGCTTCAGCCTTCAGACCGATCAATCACACTGCAATCGTTCGTGGAAAGCATGCCGAGAATGGACGAGCAAAGAGAATTCAGCATCACGTGAAGGACCTCGGCGACGAATACGATCTTCAGCAAGATCGACACCTCACCGTCGATGAATGCGATGCACTGTTTCCTCATCTCTTTGACCAGCTCATCGAATCGCGCCGGTTTTGGGAACGCAAAGGCGGCATTCAAGAGCGATACCTCGATACGACCGAACATGGCATGAATGCACGTGTCATCATCAAAAGCAATCGAGTGTATCTGCGCAAGCCTTTCAATGCGGGTGCAAAATCACGTACGCAGGCACTGCTTGCTGCAATAGAAGAAGCTGTCCTCTCGTCTATTGAGCCAATACCCGATGTCGAATTCGTCATCAATAGCGAGGATAGAGTGGACGCAGCAACGGCGCACACACCAATCCTCGGAATGAGCCGGAAAAAGCAGCAAGGGCATGTCTGGCTCATACCCGACTTTCGCTTCTAGTCAGCGCTTTGGCTAACTTTCGAGGACGCGCTCATTCTGCAGGCAGTGCCTGGCCAGAGCCTCATGTGGGCACCTACCCTGATGTGCAAGATCAGGCAAGTCGAGCCGTGTGAGACCTAGTCTACTGCTCTGAGATCATCTCGATCGTGCAGATTTACGCACTCGAAGCAACACAGCAGTGGCACCACAAACGTGCAAAGCTCTTCTGGCGCGGCAATCCGCCACTCCATCCGCTCAGACAGGAGCTCATGACTAAGTTTGCTAAAAGCGCATGGGCCGAAGTCTCTCCTATCGACTGGAAGCATACGACAAATCTGCTCGCATTAGCTGAGCATTGCCATTGGCGGTATCTACTCAATGTAGAAGGCAAGTTCCGCTGTCTCGTGACCGCAACCGTGCTGAGTGACTGCAGGCGTGAGCACCGGTGGCAGGCTGCCATACATCAGCCAATGCAAATCTGTCGTCATCACGCATCAATTAGAATATGTAAGTATGGCAAGCATGTTCAATGACTCGCGCTGATTTGTATTCACAGGCTCAGTAAGCCCAATGTATGTCTCTCTTCGCAATGCCTGCTGATCTGGTTGTCAAGGCATTTTCATCATCTTTTCAACGTACGCTTCAGCGATTGAATATGTCCAGCAACTCACTCTTTATCCGCGAGCGAACAGGCAGACAGCAGATCGCCCCATCAAAACATCATCGAGCTCAAGCGAGCAGGCTGGCAAGACCTCGAGCCCACCATGCAGGATCTGCTCAAACACGATAAGCGATCGGAGATCATCGCAGGTGTCGCGTCACTTTACTGGCGCAAGATGCTCTCGCCCGCAGCACTCAATTGCTACTGGCGACGGACGTGGCACGAGTATGCAAAAGTGCAACGGTTCAGCGTCAACATGACCGCAACCAATGTGACGCTCTATCCCATATACGACGCTACAGGTCAGATGTACTAAACTCTGCATTACATCAAAGGAAGGTAGCAAATTCGGGAGCTGCTGCTGAGATCACTTGCGAAGTCATCGCCGTCGACGTCACTGCGTTTGTGTGATCAAACGCATGCTTACCAGCGTCTGCAGCAGTGAGCCCCGTTCGCGGTCAAAGCCCAAGTCTGAGGAGCTGACCATAGGCAGACGCGAGAACAGCTTTGTTGTCATCCGAGACTCTGAGCAACATACAGCCGTTTGCATCCCTTGACGTCGATCACTCTGTATCTAGTATCATACCCAGCGCAATCTTATCGGGCTGGCTCGGATTGAGCGCAACTCGGGAGAGCTCTCTGAAGCCCAATTTGCGATAGAGCACCGATCCCGCCGGACTCGCGAGGCTTTGTGCGCATCTCAGCAGGTTCACAATATACAGCCATTGGAACTGACCAATAGATGATCAATCCGAATCATTTCGCCCAGGCTTGACCAGCAGCTATTAGCTGACGCCCAACACCGGCATTTTGCGATATCCGTATGATGAATAGATCTATGCTTCTGGCCTTTCTTATCAGCGCTGGACATCGTCGTGAGCATCTACGCACACACGACGTAGGCCTTGCCGGCTGCCATGCTGGCCTCGCCTTGTTGCATGGCTGTGAGGACGCTCTGTAAGGCATCCAGGTTGAAGTCCGGTCTGAGCGCGTCATCTTGATAGAACGGGTTGCTGAGATCGTTGTAGGGGTAGATAGGCGACACAAGTAAGTGCGCCTGAGGCGTCCCTCTCTACTTTGCCGCATGACAGTATTCCCATAATCTCATCTGTACCTCTTTTCCTTGCTTTTCCTCCTCGAATCGCGGGATGGACAAATTGGTGCTCGTAAGCCACGGCCAACCACGACGAGCTGGCTCTGTGGCCCCATTGGGCATCAAGAGGGCGAGGAGAGGATCTTTGGTAAAGCCATCGAGGGTCGCGTCGAGGTCATTGATGCATACTGATGTGTGCTACCCTGATATCGATTTTTCAAGGCGCCTTGCGTGGTGCACCTTCCTCTACTTGTCGTGATGTCTGAGGATTGAGGTTGTGTGTGCGCATGTGACGATCGGCCGTGTTCGCGGACGTACAACGAGCCACGCGGTCATGCCATCGTAGATCCGACCCGAACTAATTGGCGTGCCTCGTCTTGTCAAACTTTTGGGCTGCCGGGCTGATATAGCCTGCGTCGATGCATACAGAGCAAGGCGCAAGAATAGGTCCGTTGGTATCCTGTCAGATCCCAAGGCCTCGTCGACGTTGCGCAAACGAGCCATCGCGTTGTTGGTCAACCTCGAGGCCTCATCGATCATCGAATGCTCGCCTCGAAACATCACTGGCAGCGCCTATCGCTGTCTTTCTCGAACGACGATTGACTCAGCGAACGATAATACCATGCACGATGTAGTGTGTCAAGCGCCGCAAACGCTAACGGTGACGGAGCAGGGCGAGTCAGATCAACTCAATACTCGCAAGGCGCTCATCACGTCTGATAAGCAGCGATGGATCCGGTCTCTCAAATTGCACGTGCGACTGACCGAGTCGTCAGGGATTTGACTGTGCGCTACGTCATTGAGACTCTCAGCTTGGTTCCTGTCTGTAGGCAGCCCGGATGAAGCTCTCCGAACCGTCTGACGCGCGTCAATCAGGCCTCTTCAGCGCACAGCTGCTCGTCGACCTGCCTCAGGGCGAAAGCTGGCGCTATGTGCTAGACCAGCGTGGGGCTGATATGCCCGTGTGCTACGAAAGCATCAAGAAAGCTAAGCATGCAGCTGCAAGCGCTGCAATCGAAGCGGGCTTACTCGAGCGCGTCAAGGCGGTCACGACGCTCAAAGCCCTGCTAGAGCACTATGCAGCTATCAAGACTGACCTTAGCAATGACTACCTTGCTTCCTCTGTTTCTCTGCTCGAAGATATCACGAAGAAAGCTCGCTCGCCGCCTCTACTGATCTACGAGAGCTCCGCGACGGAGGGTATGTCACTGTCATGCGTCACGTCACTGAGCTCACGCAGCGCGCACAGACAAGCCAGCGTGGTATGGCGCTGTACTGACGAGACAGCATGTCGACAAGGCAGAAGTCTTTCGCGTTAGACCAGTCCTGCCCAGCAAGCGAGCAGCCAAAAACTTCGTGGCTGCTCATGCGCTCTGTCATGATGCTATCCAGCCCGACTCGCTCATCTCTCCTCACTCGGATAGCTTTCCCGTCGTTTTACCCGCTAAGCGCGGTCAACCGGACGATGAAAACATGTTCGAGAGTAGTCCTGGCGTGCTCGTACCGATCAACGTTGCTGAGTGAGGTCAGACATTCGCTACTGGGAGCAATCGCTCACACGCCCATCACAGTCCTGTCAGTCAGCTCATGCAAGTCATACAGAAGCGCACAAGAGATACGCCCAATATCGAATGGCATTATACGAGCCACGGCCTTTTGCATGGCTGCGCTCTCGTCTACCGCTTTGCGGGCCAAGCCTTCCAGTACAGCGTCGATGCAACCTACAAGACACGCAAGCTTGCAAGGGCGGCGTGTGCCATCGTTGCTCTCGGCTCTCTGCCACATGGTGTCTCGTTTCTGTCGGATGCCGCAGCTATGCGTCGCGCTCCCTTGCCCTTGTCAGCTCGAGAAGCTGACTTATCTGCATCTGATACCATGTCGCCCATCTCGCAAATGCTCGAGCCCCAGCCAGGATATACCGCGATGATGGCCGTCGATCGCCCGGTACCGAGAGCCATACCAAGGCCTCAGCTTGCTACCGCGCCTGCACCGGAGCTACCTCTGCGAACGACACAAGAGCCTTCGGTTCGGATAGCGACCGCAGAAGATGGAGAAATTGACGAGGTCGATGGCCGACACGACGTAGGAATGGTCTACGCGGCATGCCAGGAGCTTATCGGCACTGCCCCGCATCAACGACCGGTCTTTGACTTCCTAAGCACTCTGGGTAAGATGACTGCCTCGACGGTGACGCTCCAGTGGTATTGACGATACTGCAGGTCGGTTTGGAGCAACGCTGACGGTCAATCTGGGCGCCGAAAGACTGGTCTATGAGTCTATGCAACAGACTCACTCGAGCAAAGCGAAAGCGAAAGAAGATGTGGCATCGGTAGCCATCCAGGCTGGCGTGGTGGACAGCATCAAGAAGTATGCATCTTCGGTTTGGCAAGCACAGCACGACGAATGGAAAGCCAAAATAGCCAGTGGTGAACTGGATCCCTCCGTCCATCCTGCGCCCAGCCTTGCGATGGGCAAGAAGGGTAAGGAAGGCAAAGCTGCCAAACGCGCTGGAGCAGAGGGCAGCTCGAGAGCGAAAAGCACGCCTAGTATCGTCGATGCAAGCACATCGACTCGCTCAGACCGCGAGTCTGCTTACGCGCAATTCGAAAGTATGTCTAGCTCCTGCTCATCGCGCGCTGCCTTCTGATCGTGCGTATAGTCTACTGCGGAGAGCACGGTCTTGGAAAGCCCGCCTTCGTCGCTACAGACGATGTGCCGTTGAAGGCCTATGTCGTGCTTGGCACGTCAAAGTACGAACGCCTGGGTCGGACCTATGCTTCGCCCGAAGAAGCGAGAGAAAGACTGGCAAAGCTCATTCTGCGCCACTTGCGAAAAGATGCAGCCGCAGCTCAGGAAGCAGGCTCGACAGCAGCGCCGGCATGATGAGCAGACTGGCAATGGCGAAGTTTTCGCAATCACTCATGTTGTACATTAGCCTGATTTGCACGGTACTTGCATCAGACACGAAGCTGCTGCGAGCGTGTGGGATTGAGACCATCCACGATGCCGCTCTCCCGGAGGAGAGAGCGTAGTCGCAAGGCACTCGCATCGAGCACGGAGCTCGCTGCGGGGCGGAGACGAGGATAACGCAAAGCTTTTGGAGGTCATTCTAATCTAGTCTTTGTAATGCATTCTTATGTGTCCTTGACTCTGCCAGCTCTCCGCTCAAACAGAGCACGCTGTGCTCGTCAAAGCTTTCGCACGGGCTAAGCTTTCTTCTCGTCGTCCTCGTCGGCTCATTGCTCGGCGCTTGCGTCGACGTCCAAGCGGCCAACTCGTCGAGACGCGCTTGTTGGTCGCACAATGCAGACATTCAATGCGATGCAGTCGAGCCAAGCAAGAGCAAGAGTCTTTTCTCGCTCGACATTTCTCATGTTGTACATTAGCGTAAAATGCAATGAACCGCGAACAAGGTCTACTGCTACTTGAGTTCCTCGCCAGGTGTGATGCGGTCTGTGGGCGTATAAGGCTCGACCAGCATCTTGCTGAAGCTGTGATCGCGCAGCAATTGAGCGACGATGTACCTCTTCGCGCCTTTGCTACGCACCTTTTGATCTTCTCGACGCCTCGCACTTCTTCTGTCAGCAGCGGCATCTTGATGACGTGGAAGAATTCCGTATACAGATCATGGATCTCGCGAAGATACTTCCCTTGCATGGCATATCGCACTTTGCAGTGTTCGCATGTCGAGCCTACACACCTTATCAGTAGCGAGCAGCACCATCTTACGAGATGCGAACCTTTGAGAGGAAAGAGCAGCTGGTTGACGACGATGTTGTGGGTATCGATGCCGTAGTTCGTGAGCTCTTGTACGAGTCGCTCTGTCTCGTAAAGCGATAGAAATTCCGAAATACAAACACAGACGAACGTTGTGAGATCCTGCTCGAGGTGTGAGCAATCGCGTCTCGTACAAGCGATCAGACGCACCGGATCTTTGAATTGCGTATTGACCTCTGTGATGATGGCACGCATCGACTCGAGCTTGCCAAACATCTCGTTCGTGTCGACACCCATTCCCATCATCGAGCTCATCTGGTTCATCATGGGCCCGAAGCGACCGCTCAGGCCCGACAGCTTCTCGAGCGCCTTTTCGAGGACGGAGGGAAATGAGAGAAACCGGAGCGTGTGTCCGGTCGGCGCGGTATCGAAGACGATGACAGAATATTCCATGCTCTTGACGTGTCTGTCGTATCATCGACTAAATACGTGTACACTCGATCGAGGGGTGGATGACTGACTTCATGATCTCAGCGAATCCCATCGCTTCATCTACGCCCGGTATAGCAAACGCGAGATCCTGCATGACCCCGCCCATCGCGCCTCCTTGCTGGTCGGCTGTCATCGTGTACAGCAGATCAGATGGGCTTCGTGTGAGGAGCGTGAGGACCGACACTGCTCGATCATCTCTTGTATGCTCGAGTTGGGGTCAATCTCCATAGCGTATAGGTTCTCATAGCCATTGACTTTTGTCGCCTCTTTACCGAACTTCTGGCTGAATGCGTCGGACAGATTGTGAGCAGGATCAGTCGAGCTAGACGGTACGCGACATGAGCGCGCGTTGCTAAGACGACCATGGACTGGCTGACATGAGCAGGACAGATTCGCGGCAATACGAGAGCTGGGTAGCAAGCGAGCATGATGTCGTCGTCTTGCCTACGCCTCCCTTGCCTCCACAGAAGATCCACTTGAGCGAGTTTTGGTCGAGGATGTTCTATTGTGGATGAACGATACATAGAGGTAGCGTGCGTTGTGGTGCCGTGGGTCCATTGGAACAAATGCCGCATGGGAGGAACAAGGAAGAGAAGCGGCGTAAGCAGGTGGGATTTGTAGCATGAAGCATCATGATCAGCAACACGTCGTCATACAGCCTCGAGCCGGCTGAACTCGTCATATCGCAATAGGACTGACCTGCAATGTCGGAGCTAGCTCCTCTTCGTCCATCTCTGCGTAGTGCTCGCTGCTCCAGCAGGCCTGATACTAGCTGAGTGGAGTGGCCTGACGTGGAACTCTCCTCTGCCCTGTGCTACGTGACAATCAGGCGCGTCAATACTATTTCCGTCAACTGTTCGACGTCGACTTGCTGCGAGCGACTCGCCAAGTCAGTGGCTCGTCGCATCGTGATCGACCATCTCGCGCGCGCGAGAACGGTGTCCCGACCGAGCTTGAGACTATCCTTGCAGCTCTGTGCGACGCAGCAGACGAGTCTCAGATCAAGGACACGTTGAATCGCGTCGTTCCGTCAGTTGGCGACGAGCTATCGCGCGAACGAATGTCGGGACCTTCTTCTCGACCTGCCTGGTCAAACCGACACTATCCTCAGCTGCCTGCCACATTCGTGCGTACGATTCCTCCTGTCGAACGAGGCAATGCCCTGCTCGGAACGGGCCGACAACCCGCTGCGCGTTCGGCGCACCAGCAGAACCTCGAGGCACTCAGCAGGGGCAACTCTGCCACGAAAAAGGCAAAGAGCTCGACCATCAATCCCGAGGTGAAGATGCAGCGGCTCGATCTACCCAACGGCAGGCAAGTCGCGCTCTCTCGGCCTCTCTCAGGCACGCGACTGACCTGGTCTAGTGTGTCCGCGTAGACAGATCAGGATTGCCCGAATGAAGATGCCAACGCCGAGAGATGGCACCATGTGAGTGTCACTGGCCTTGCAATGCGCGCCCTGACTGGCCCTGACACTCTCGATAGCCATCTGATCAAGCGACTCGATACAGATTCCATCTCTGCCACAACCTTCTTCCGCGCAGCCTTCCCCACCGCTACCGATGATGAGCTCAGGAACGAGGCATGCTACCTCGCATCCATCTACAACACGGAAGCATATGGTCTCGTCGGTCACGAGGATGCCCTGGCAGGCGTGTGGTCGGTCACACGTCCTAACGTCTCAAGCACAGCTCACGCATCCCCCGCAGGATTCCTGCGTGGGCAGCCAGAGACGTCGCAAACTTCTATGGCCTTGGACCGCAGGTCAACAACCTTGTACGTCGCTCCTTGACGTAGGCGAGTCCGATGATGACATCGAACCTCTGTAGATCACATTTTATCCGCCTGGCTGGCAAGGTCCGATACACCGCATTGACTCCACCACGCAATTGCCGATCCCTGCTGGCACTCCGAGAGATGTGAGCGCCTTGCTGCGAATGATTCAGGCAGAGACTAATTCACAAGGCTACAGGCACCGCCGCCTACGAGCTCTCCCAACACGAGCACGTCTACGCCTTCTCGCTCTGCTCTCAGGAAGACGACGACGATCAAGCTTCCTGTCACGAGCAATCTGGCCGGAGGTCAACTTGAGCTAGAGAGCAGCGAGGCCGGCGGATCCCCAGCTCCTTCATCCTCGCCCGTACCTCAAACCGCAGCACCTCAGGGGATTCTGTCAAGGATGAACGACGATGGCAAGGCAGGTACGCCCAAGTCTGCCCGTACAGTGCGCATCCTCTCGCCTCCCGCTACGACGCGCTCGGCCACGCGAGCTCAAGAGAATGCTCAGGAAGCTCCCTCACCTATCCCCGTCCTGCGCTTATCGCCCGCGTCCGACACCACATCCAGCGCCAGCTTGTCCGGACCGCTAGCCCGTCCTGAGCTTCAGAGGGATGCGTTCACATCGTCAACTATCGCACCTCCACCAAGCTCAATACCGGCAAGTGTTCCGGTGCCGTCGAAAGCGCTTCAGAGCAGCGATGTCAGTGTCGCCAATGTGATTCATCCCACTCGTCGTCTACGATCACAGTCGCCTCAACAGTCTGCCGCAGCTCCTGCACAGTCGTTCGCTGGCGCGATGGCTACACTTTCGCCTGCATCGGCCGTCAGATCAGCAGCAGCAACGTCTGAAACGCTCGTCCCGACGAATGCAGCTCCGTCAGTACCCGATGAGACGCTCGTAGCAGGGGACGACAATCTTTCGCGCGCAGATACGCCTCGCCGAGATGTGCGCCCAGACGATGTGCAAGTCTATTACAAGACCATTCCCGATCCAAGCGGCAATGGGTTCAAAATTGCCACACGTCTCGGCCTATCGCCCAGTGCATCTCTGACTGACTTCGGTCAAGCGCCACCAGACGAAAGTGACCAACCGAGACCGTCGAAGATTGCACGCAAAACTAGCCTGCTTGGTGCCGAGGAATTTGCTCAGATCGGATCGGCCGAGCGCGTTGAGCTGGAAGCAGCCAAAGCGAAAGAACTTGTTGCACAGCTCAAGAAGGAGGGAAAGTTCAACCAAATCCCGTCCCGCAAACGAGACGCCATCGAAGCAGTCCTGGACCCGGACTACAAGCCCCAGACGGAAGAGATCATGGTCGCAAGTCGGCCGAAAAGCAGAGGCGGCCTCTTCTCCTTCTTGCTCGGCCAGCGTCGTCCTCCTCGCATCCGTGCAACAACGGTCAGACGCGTTTCTGTCGGTTCTACGGCCAGCGCAAATATCAGCTCGCGTCCGATGAAGAAGCTGCCGCGTTCGGCATCGACAGCTTCGCGTTCGAGAAGCACCTCTACGGACGAACAGGAGATGGAAGGCGTACAGCAGACAGTGCAGATCATCGAAGCACCTCTGCCGGTTCGTCAGTCGACGGGCAACTTCTTCGCCCTCGCGGGAGTGTTTGCCCTTGGAGCAGCTTCGTGCGTCTGTGTCTATCCTGCCTCGTACGCTACTAACAGGCGAGCCGACAGAGTCGCTGTTCCTTACATCTTGTGACCACGCCATCTTCATACGAGGCATGTGCAAGCCCCCATTGCGAGGCGCGCGGACTCTAGTATGGTTTATTCCATTGCAATGTCGCTCGTTCATTGACGCCCATCCGAAGCCTCTCTGAGGGTGTCTCTGAACTCGATAGACATCAGGCAGCATTGTCACTCAGAGACCAGACTCGATCTCGCGCGTGCAGGCCCAGAATGTCCATGTTTTGTGAATGACGTACTACAGACAGAATGTTATGAGATGGTTTATGCCACGCGTTCAGAGTCCAGAATAGGCTGAAGCCACAGCTTGCCCGGTCTGGATCTCTCTCGCATGATGCGCCAAGGGCAAGCGTTTGATGGCTTGGCAGATGAGCCGGCGCTCCCCTGACTGACGCGAAGTGGTGGCGCGGGTGTGCATCGCCGCAGAAGATCATGAGCATGCTCGGTCGTGCCTTCTGTCTCGATGATGATCTGACCTGCCCAGTCGTCGTGCATCACGTCCAGTCCGCCGGGACCCGCTCCACCAGCGCCGCCGTTGTTGCTGATGATGAAGCCGGGCTGCACGCGAATAGCCGCACGGTAGACATACTTTGTGACTCGGTATCGGCCTTGCGGCGCAGCGACATCGACTTTATCTTGACAGAGAGAAAGTGTCTGCTGGACCTGCGGTAGGAAAGGCGTCATGTCGAGGTAGATGACCGGATTGGACATGCTCGAAGCGATGATGTTGTGGAAATACGAAGGTGGAAGAGTCATTGATGAGAGCCATGGCTACTCAACAGTCAGCACCGTTGTAACAAGCAAGCGAAAGGATCACTCACGGGTAAATGGCCGACAGGATCAAATGTGTACGAGAGATCGCGAAGATAGCGCCCATCGTGCACTAGCTTGCCCTCGTTACCAAAGTCGCCAATCGCAGCATTCCAGACGATGTCGCCTTTGCGCACCATTGGCCAAGCGCCAGATCTGTCAAATTCCGGACATTAACCAAACCGCAGTCAGAATGCGAGGGAAACTTGCCGCCACACTTCTCGCTCGCATTCGACGAGCTCGTCATCATTCATCCAGTTGCCCGCTGCTGGCACCCATACCCGAAGTAGAGGTGCTCGGCCATGTCGGTAGACCGATGACAAAGTGATGCCTCGTTCAATGATAGCGCGCTTCTCGTCGGCACTCATAGGAGGCTGCGAGCGGACGCGCAAGACGACGCGATTCCATGCTCGCGTGGCTGCTTTGAGCATCTGCTGTGTGACAGCATCGAGGGGTTGAGCACGATGGTCGCGAGCAAGGGCAGAGTATTCGCCCAATCCGATCTCGAGACCAACTTGGAAAGCATCCAAGTCGCGCAGCGAGATCTGTATCGGGGCTGCCTTTGGCGCCGATGGCGAGGTTGGACTGGTCGCTGATCCATGCGGCGTTGACATGAGCAGTTCCGGTGGCAAGGTACGGTAGCCAAACGAAACAAGGTAACGGCTCACGACCAGCTCGCGGACCGAATCCGAGTTGAGCAATCGCCGCATTCCCTTGGACAGGTCACGCAACGGGCGCATGTCGACATAATCAAGATGCTTGACGATGCCCATGAGGATACGTCGAGGAAACTCGGTCATGGCATACTCGAATCGCGGATGGAGCTCGCAGATCAGATCGAGCGCGGCTTGGCTGTCGGCCGAAGCAATGCCGAGCATTTCTTTTTCGGTCGTCTCTTCGTCATCTTCGGGCACCGTTGTGGTGCTTGACACACGAGACTTGCGCAAACTCGGGTCCGGAGACGAACCGAAGGGCGATACACCGACATCAGTGATGGGCGTCTCTGATTCGGAAATGCGCCGACTCGACGATTCGTCCGAAGCCGCAGATGAAGATGATAGTGAGCCTTGCAGATGTAAAGCAGCAGCGGATGTCGTAAGCTGCGGTACGCCACATATGGGCTCTTGCGTGGCTTGAGACAAATCGGCCAATTGCTCAGATACCTGAACAAGGTTGAAGCCTGTCGGCGAGGCCCCAATCTGCCACTCATCCAAGTGGTCCGTCTTTTGCAGGCTTGGTGTGGCCACGTCACCCTGTTGCAAGTTCGCGTCTTCTGTTGAAGGGGCACGGGCGCCCGATGCACCGAGAGTAGGTGTAAGCTGACTAGCGTGTATCTCTGCTGTCTCTGTTGGCGCTTGTATGGGCTCCGGGACGGCGGCAGGCGATACGGAGACGACAGAGGTGACGGAAGTCCGGCGAGGCTCGTCAGCATCGACTGACTGTCGGCTGGTCTTGCTCCTGCTGAAAAAGGCAGACAGACGAGAGCCTGTTGACTGCGGCCGAGATTGCACAGAAGCGCGCTTGCTCACTCCTGCTACTCTCGCTGTCGTAGGCGAAGATGTGATGGCAGTTTGCTGCGCTGTCTTGAGCGGGGCAGGTGCTGATGGAGCTTTGGCTTGCTCTGCTGAGCTCGGACCCGCCGTCGTTGCCGACACTGGCTCAGCTGGTTGCAGCTCCATCGGTGCTTGAACGATTGGCTGGCTTGCTCTCTCCGCCGGGAGTTGACGCTCGGACTCGGCGGTCAGAGGTATGTCAGCTGAGGTTTGGTCACCAGAAGGATCCAGCGTCGCAGCTGCTGCCAGCGCCTCCTTCGAGTCGGCTTGAGGAGCTTGCGTCTGAATAGCAGGCTCGGCAGATACTGCGCAAAAGGAGATCAGCGCGCGCGACGAGGGGCGAAAGCGGTGCACCAACCTAACAAGCTGGTAGAAGCGGTCAAGTCGGCAGATGAGTCTGCTGGCGAGGATACAGCTGCGGGGAAAGTCCAAATAGCAGAGGTAGAGCCGTTGAGCGCGGGACTGCTGGCAGGCGTAAAACCGGAAGCAGGCAGATGAGAAGTATTGCTGTGCACGAAGAATGGAGGCGAGAAGCTTCTTGTGGCAGTTGGCGTTGCGTTGGAGACTGACTCTTGCGTCATTGCATCGCTTGCCGTGCTCGTAGTCGGCTCCTCGTTGATCAGCATGCTCTCTGGCCTGCCCTCACGTGATGGCCGCATTTGACCTCGCGTTGGTGCCAATTTGTCAACGCCCGAGGGTCCCATGACAGAGTCGGCACTGATCCGTCTCGGCATCGCTGGAGCAACGTCGGGCTCGGAGACGCTCGGTACAGGCATGCCTCTGTGGATAGCACGCAGACGTTGCGCCTCCGCGTCGCGCTGAGCAGCTTGAGCTTTCTTGTCGATCGCAGATGGCTTTGGCTCCTTCTTGCTGCCGAAGCTGAAGAACCCTCGCTTTGATTTCTGTGGCGCTGGCATGGATTGCTGACGTAATCGGTGGGGCGGCGCGACTCCGCGACCGACGTCCGCAGGCGCAGCTTTTGGCGAATGAGCGCGCAGATTGTCGAGCGAAGGCATAGGGGGTATCGGACTGATGGGAGACGATGTGCCCATGCCGGGTAGCATAGAGGGCTCGTAGGGTGACGAGGTGACGATGCTGAGTCCGCTTGACGAAGGCATCTTGCGTAAGGACGGCGCCTTTGACGACGTAGGCGAGGTGCCACGGAGGATATGCTCTGTTCTGTGAGTATTGCCATCGAACATGTCGAGCGAGTCAACCATGCCATATTGAAGCACATCCATGCTGTTGTTGCCAAAGCCCATGCCTAGTGGCATGACCATGGGCGCAGAGGCAGGCAGCGCATTCGAACTTGGGAACGAGCTCGAGATTGGCGTTGTAGGCGGCGAGGAGGAAAAAGCGGCAGCGGGAGCAGGAACATAAGCCGTCGAGGGCGGTAGCATGGCATGGGCAGAAGGGCTCGGCGACTGAGTATAATGGTGGTACGGAGTGGGTGGATCAGGGTTGCTATGCGTGGCGGATATCGTATTGGATGGCGATGGTACTATTGAGGCAGTGCTGGTCGTGTGCGACAGAAAGTGTGTGTCTGTTCTGATAGGCGCAAGCGTGCTGGCAGATGAAATGGCGGGTATAGGCTGCTGCTCTCTTGCTATGGACTGATCGGGCTGGGCAAGGGAGGATTGACGTGCGTGAGGCTTAGGCGCAAATTCATCCCTGCAGCCGTGTCAGCTTCTGCGAGGACTGAATGGAGATGTGAATACGTACTCGGGATTGTCGCGAGCGTTCCAAAGTCGCTGCTGCGGTGAACGAGCAAGGCTATCGAGCGGCATGCTGGATTGGCTTCTTGCATCATCAAAGGAGACTCTGCTGCTTTCGGAACTACTCGAGCCGCTCATCAGCTGAGGGCCGACAGAGAGATAAGTAGTCTGTAATCCTGATTGAAGCACAGCATTGAGATCAGGCGCGCCGGGATTCTGCTCCGTCGCGAGCTGTGAATCTGAGTCTAGCTGGTCAGATCCGAACGAGGTATTGGGTGGGTAGTCAAGATAGGGTATCGCATTTCCCGCCAAGCCCAGGCTGGGTGACAGATTCGCGTGGCCACTGCCAGCTACCCCATTCGGAGATAGGTCGGCTGAACGAGCGAAATGATGCGAGTCGCTCTGATCGTCGAGATGTTCGATGAAACCGCTAGGTGAGGGTGTATGAGCTAGTGTATGCAGTGGCGACTCATCGTGTGCGAGCTCTCGATCGATTGTGCTGGGATCCCAAGTCTTTGCAGGCGCGCTCGACACGCTCGTGTAATCGCCCGAAGAGGACGACGAGGGCTGATCGGAGCTTGCGGAACTGAAAGCAGAGTGATACTGCGCCGTCGACACATCCGAGCCAGGCACGTTGAGCAAGTTGGGAGGCTCTAGCACGTCAGCCTTTGAGCTTGTTGCTTTCTGCCAGGCCAGGCCGAGCGTGGAATTGCTCTCCTGCTTGCGCAGCGTCTCCGAGCTGACCGGACTAGGCAGGATGCCATTGCCCTTCTTCTTGCCGTCCTTGCCAGACGAAAACAGAGAGATCTTCCTCAGGGCCGCCATGCTGCCTTTCGCGTGGGCTGGGGCGAGATTCTCCGGTCAGTCTGCGAGGCTGATGGTGCACTGCGGGTGCAAAGCAGAGCTCGTCTCCGACTTACTAGGACCGGTCGGAGCCTGTTGGTCGACTGTGCCTGTGCGGGCGCCAAGTATCCGCGCTCGGATAACCGCTGGCCTGTGAAAAATCGGGCCCGCTTTGAATTCCGCAGTAGTGTGGGTACGTCAGCGTATCAGCTCCCAGCCTACTGCTGAATGCATTCGGCCATTGGCCCTCTTCTCGCGCTTCCTTCTTTCCTCGGAGCGGCTCTTTCCAGCCAAATCTTCCTTGTTGTGATGACAACGGCCCGGGATCGCAAGCCTCGTTGAAAGACGCGTCAAAAATGGAGAATGCGCCCAATCGAACAATCATCTCATAGGTCTACGTCATGTACGACAAGAACGAGCGATGCAGTCTTCGTGAAGAGGTACAAGGGTGCTGTGTGTCAACTTTTTAGAGCATGACAATAGCGCCCATCAAGATATTCATTGCGAGTGTTGCGAGTGTAGATGTGCTGATCGTGATGCACGATGCGGCTGAAGAAGATGAGCTTGAGCTGCTGCTACTGCTGCTGGATGTGGAATTGCTAGTCGAATTTGTCGTTGTAGCTGCCGTCTCGGCTTCCGAGTAGCAGTACCGTCCGAAGCAAGTCTCGCACTGAGACGAACGGGCTAAATTGACGCGCTGTCTCTGAAAGTGCACAGCAGGTCAGTATGGCCACACATGAGTCGGCGCAGAGAACATACAGATCGGTCGACGAGAGCACAAGTCAAGCAAGTCGCCCATTGGGTGTCGTTATCGGCGCCATTTTGCGCCCAACCTCTGACGCCGATATTGGTAGCGAAATCGAGGAAGGTCTGGGTATCCTCGTTGCTGTAATCGAGATCGAAAGTGCTATAGTTCGTTAGTGTCGTGTCGCCATTGAAGTACTTGCCGATGAACGGAATTTTTGACAGCAATCCTTGGTTTGTCATCAAATTGACGGGCGGCGAGTTCGGAATGTAGACGATGAGAGGGTAGCTGTCTGCAGCAGCTGCGTCTGGCGAGGTCGTGTTGCAGCCAAAGAAGACTGGTCGCTGGTTGAGGTACGAGTTCATGACGACTGCACTGCTCGAAGGCAAAGGGGGCAGGTTGTAAGTGCCAGAAGGACGCATCTGGGACTTCATCTGCGATATTGCGAGCGAATAGCCAGCGGCATAGTTTTCATCCGTGTCTGCAGATCCGTCTGCAGCGATGATGACATCGATGCCGCGGGCCTTTGCGAGGAGGGGTGAAAATGGAATGTTCTCCCCCGCTTCCCCACCGTCGGTGAGCTCGAGCACGGCAGTCGTCGAGTCCTCGTACGAGTCTGGCATGAGGCCTTGGAAGGCATTGGGCCAATTCGATACGTCCGATCGATTGGCGCTGAGACCATCCGCAAGATCGCCGATGATGACCTTGATGATTCCTACGTCGGTAGAATTGGCAGCATTGCCAGCTTGATCTATGATTGTGTTGAAGAGCGAGGCTGATGTGCCAATGACGAAGCCAAAGTTGTCAAAACCCTGCACACAGCCGGTAGCGGTTGTGTTGGTGGGCGTCCCGTTGAGCAGTGCAGTGCCAGCATAGCTGATATTGATGAAAGCAGACAACTGAGGGTCGAAAGAGCCCCACTCGTAGCCGTTGAACTCATAGACAGTACCATTGAGAGGGACGTAGATAGATGCAGATGCGTTAATTTGCGATTGCTGTACGTTCAAAGGATCGACCGTCGAGACGACGATCGGATAGGGCAATGTGGCGCCTGTGAAGCCTGTAGAGCGGGTGAGTGCTTCACCATAGAGCACGTCTGCGCCATGATTGCCAACAGTCGTGTTGCTGACAAAGTTCGTCGATAGCGTGCCATTGACGAAGTGATACGAGAGCGCACGGCCCCAAATGTCAGTGATGGAGACGTTGAAGCCTTGTGCTTGCTTCATCCTGACAGATGCCTCTAGCGTTTTTAGGTAGTCCTCCTCGCTTAGCAAGCCGCTCGGCAGCAGGAGGCCATTCTCAAGTCCCCAGCCATCGCTGCCAGACTCCGATGCGACGCCCAGGACGAGTTCATAGACTGGCAGATCTTGAGCGATGAAACTCGACACGGCCCAAGAACCGCCTGACAATCCGGATAGGTATGTCGTCAGCTGTAGCACCCCGCCTGTCCCCGCGGCGACACTGCTCGCATTCCTGCTATCGAGCGCGTTCAGTATGCCTGCGCAGTAGAGCGCGGCCCTGTAGCCACCGCCGGAGCAAGCCATTGCCACTGTCGGCAGACTTTGTGCAAGTGTGGCAGGATCATAACCAGTGATAGCTTGGGTGGCATATTGCGACCACAGTGGGGCAATCACTGCCGCTCTTCGGGCGCGGAAGTCTTGCTCGCCCGAGCTCAGAGTCTGGTTGCCAGATGCAATAGAGCCTGCCAATCGAAGAAGCGATTCGGCTGGGCACGCGACATAAGTAGGCGCATAGCTCGATGCTGATGGCTCTTGCGCATTGACAAGAGCAAGCGTTGCGGCGAGAAGAGCCACCCTATGTGCGCTGCGCATGTTGCAAGCAAGCGCAGTCTATAGATCTGAAGAGAACTGGATGCAACAAGACCGAAGCACAGCAAGGGACTTTCTTATATCCCGGCCAAGCCGGACGGACAGCCTACATCCGAGCGGCCGCCAAAGCGATCAAATTCAATTTGACATGGCAGGCGTGGACGAGACGGAGCGTGAGAGATTCGAATCTTGTTGTTTGCAAAGGCGCGCGCGCCTAGCCAAGGAGAGATAATTCGTGCGCGGCAGTTGCTTCCGATTCGAACGAGCACGCTGCGTTGAGCGCCGGCAGCGTCTCTAGTGGTGCTGTGCGCGCAGTCTGCACGCAAGACAGCCGGACGACAGACACCGCGTAGATCAGACGCAGGCCACAGAGGTCACTCATTGAGCGCACGCTGCCTGCAGTCGACGGAGTTTTGGATCGTGGGCCGACAGGATCTGTCTGATATTCGACAAACCAGCTAGATATACTTGGAAGCGCGGGGCAAGCATCGCCGACGCGCTCGCTCCGATGCTGGCAGAGCCGGATACATCTTTGGGTGCGATTGACGAGCTGCCTGGGCCAGCCATGGCAAGCGTACTCGAGTCTGCGTTCGGAAAGGCGTCCATATCAGGAGCGCAGGCTACAAACAAAGAGCAAATCGATGGCGCGGCCCCGAGCATGAAGGCCCAAGGCAAGCAACGCGCTCTCGACGATTCGTCAGACGCGCTTCTTCCTCCCCCGTCCTCCGCGCAGGACGATGCATCGAGCAGCGCTCCTCTCCTCACCGAATCTGCAGGCAAATCTCGGCCACTGACGCGGTCACAAGGGAGCGTCAGCAGCCAACCTCCCGTCAGCCTGACCATGACGCCTTCCGGAACAACGATGGAGGCAACAGGTAGGACAGCCCCAGAGGGAGAGTTCATCTCCGGCGTATTTGACGATCTTGATCTCGAATTGCCGGACGAATTTGGGCCTATGATGCTCCGTAATCAATCTCTGACGCGTTCGCAATCAAAACAAGTCCAGACTGGTTTAGGTGACACGCTCGACGGTCGCCCGCAGCCGAGACCGTTACAATCCTATCGATCTGGAGACTCGTCTGACAATCTTGGTATGTCTGGCGGTAGCCAACGGCTTGGGCTTGGCTTCAATGAGCAGATGGCCGAAGTGGGTTCCGTCTCGCCCAGCGATCTCAATGGTGGCATCAGCCTAATCTCTGTCCAAGGTCCTTCACCACATCCCGGCGAGGGTACGAGCTTGAGCCACAAGACGTCCTCGAACCTCCTGAGCGCACCCATGCTCAAAGGCGAAAGCGAGTCTTCCGGCAGTCGCAGAGCCTCCGCGTTCCTCGATGCTCCCTCAGCAGTGGGGACGCCTGCCACATCTGTTTCGACCGCTCAGCCCTCATCGGCTGATTCGAGCTCGAATGCACTGCCTACACTTGGCTCCAACACCAGCTTGAATGAAGACGCCATGGTCATCGTCGAAGACAACTTAGAGGGCGACGAAGAGTCTGATGATGAGGCAAACGTGTCGACCGGCAAGAAGGGCGCCGGCATTGCCAACGCAAAAAAGTACACGACCAGCGGAAGGCGCAAAATTGACATTCAATACATCACCGAAAAGTCAAAGCGTCACATCACTTTCAGCAAGCGCAAGGCGGGCATCATGAAGAAGGTACATCCCGTGCCTTAGATCAACGAGACCGTGGCTGAAAGAGCGTAGGCTTACGAGCTGTCCACGTTGACCGGGACACAAGTGCTCTTGCTCGTCGTTTCAGAGACTGGGCTCGTCTATACCTTCACGACTAACAAGCTTCAACCGATCGTGACTGACAAAGCTGGCAAGAATCTCATTCAGGTACGTTGTAGCAAAGTCAGCTTCGCGCCGTGCTGATTGCTCTGCAGAAATGTCTAAGTGCAAAAGGCGAACAGTCCAAGGATACACTTGTCGAGAAGCCCGCGTCTGCTCCGCCTACGGTCAGCAATGCAGCTGCAGCTGATCCAGCAATGTCCGCCCACAGTCCGTACGCTTCGCCACATCCTCAACTCGCCCAAGGCGCTGCTACACCGATGCTATCCACACCGGCTCCTGTCGGAATGCCCGCATTCCCCCAAGCGTATCACCCGAACAGTCCTTTCATCTTGCCTTCAGCGTCAGGGTCTGCGACGGCAGCAAACAATTCAGCGTACGCACAAGCAGGCACGCCAGGCTCCCTGCATATACCCTCACCTTTGCCCGGCACACCTCAGCCGATGCTATCGCCGTCGTCACAGTCACGCACACCTCGCACCTTGAAGAAACGAAAGACGACCGAGAATCTGAAGTTGCGGGAGACGGCCGCCCAGCTTGACGCCCGCAGACGTGCAGCTGCTATCTTGGCAGAGCAGTTCCTGATCGAAGCTCAGCAAGCGCCAACCATCGCCAATCTGCTGCGAGCCTTCCAACAAGCCGACGAGTCTCAACGTACTAGGCCGCCGAAGCTGGGTCCGAACGGTATGCCCGTCGTCGAGGGTCTGGACGGCACACTTCACCTCTTCCAATCAAATTGCGAGGATCGGCCGGAGGCACAAGTAGCTCGTCAAGCAGGCAAGCGGTGGATGGATCTACATGGCTGCGAAGATCTAGAAAAGTGTTTCATCGATTTCTTCACTGATTTCCTGGGTACGTCTCTGCCATGCTGAGAAGCGCTGGGGCTGACGCTGCAAACAGTGACGAAGTGCCCAAGCAGCGAAGAGGAAGTTTCTGCAAACTCAAAGGATCTGCTCAAATTCGTTGCCTGGCTGCATGGTCACCATTTCATCACGAAAGAACTGGAGCAGCAGATCATGCAACGATGTCCAACACACGTCCTCGATTCGAGCAAACCTTTTGCAAACCTGCCCGATTCACGGACCGACAAGGCTACGAAGGCCCTTAGCGAGTACTGCGTCTATCTCAATGACGACTTCGCGCCCCGGCGCGGAGGCCTGACAATGGTCGGCGCCTTTCGCGGATTCTACAGCGTCGAGCGCGTTCGCCGCAATTACGCCTTGCTCGGCAATCAGGCGCTAGGTGAGATCCGTGGCTCCATCTCTCAATAAAGCTAATGCAAAGTCACAGATCACGAAAACATTACGCCGTTCAAAGTCAGACTACCGTACAAAGTCACTCGACTTCTCAAGCCACAAGATCAGCTCTATCTCGGTCTCAATCAAGTTGCAGGCAAGTCTTACTGGGTTCCAGTGGAGAGCGGGTGCGTATCCATTTGACTGCCGGTCGTGCCTGGTCTGACATGCAGATGCAGGCAAATTCAAAGCGTCGACGAAGAAGCGCTCGAGCCGAACTGGCCGAATCCAGAGTATCATCAAATGGAGCTGGCTAGCGCTCAACGTAACGGTGACCAAGCAGCGCTTACGTATCATCTCCATCGCTATCATCAAGATGTGCGATCACGCGACTTGCTTCAAGGAGGTGATCTATCAGAAGATGAGTATGAGGACAAGTCGGGCTCGGGAGGTATGGCCACTCGTAGTCCTCGAAGACGTCCGATGGTCAACGCATCGCAAAGTGTTCCGAACCTCAAAACACTCGCAGCTCAGCAACAGCAAAATGCGCAAGCGAGCCCTTTCCTGGCGCCTAACGGACTTTTGGGTCAATGGAACGGTGTAACTTACTAGATTTCCATGTCATGTCATGAGCAATCACACACAACATCCTAGCACAACATGCATTGCTTTCACTGCCTCATGCGTCTTCCGAGCGGACCATCTCATAGCCTGTGCTTCGACTGGTGCTGCTTCTTTTGCCAGATCTTGAATCTTCGCTAGCTTGGTCTGCTCGTCTTCTGAGGACGGAGCGATAACCCTCGGGTGGTACGTCGTACAAAGCGGTATAGTCGACGCCGAGCGTCCGACCACGAGTCCAGAAATCAGTGCAATTTCTGATCAGACCGAGATCGAAAGGATTGCTGGGCGATTGCGTCGTCTTGACGAGCCCTGAGGCTGCACCGCCACGAGTGTATAAATCGAGACCGATGACGCTGAGAAGGGAAGCGGGTAGTATGCGACCAATACAGCTGCAGCAGCCACAACCGTGCGAGTGGCGTGGAGTGTAGCTTGGCGTGACAGGCTGGTTGTCTAGGGAGGAGAGCGCGGTCGAGCCATTCTCATCGGTGTCGATACTAGCGAGCGTTTCAGCAGCTGTTGTGTCTCCCGAAGGTGTCTGCCTGGCTTTGGCGGCGAGAACGGAAGGATGGTTACTTTGCTCTGCCAGACTAGAGCCCGCCCTGCCGCCCATGGTCCCGAATCTGCCCAGGTTGCTCATCTCCAGCGTTGTCATCTGTCGGCAGATCTGGTAAAGCTGACCGACGAGGACGATGGAGGTCCACGTGAGTTGAATGCAAGCCCATGTTGTGCTCGCAAAGAGCACGCCATCGAATTGAGCAGCCGCACAAAAGCTCTCTGGCAGATAGCAGAGATTCTCCGGGCCGGCTTGGTAGGACGGGCTTGTCTCTGCAAAGTCTGTCACACGAGGTGTCAGCTCAGTAGGCTGCAAAAGCGGAGAGCCGTACATGCTACAGAGAGGTAGGCATATAATATGACGCCCGCAATCATGCTGGAGACGAAGAGAACGAATTGCCGGTGGTTGTTGACGCCGACACAGTTCCATAGCCATGGACAATGACTGCAAGCCAATCAGGCCAGATCTGACCACGGGAGGAACTGACTCACTGGTCATGACGGGCAATACAAGCATGACAGAGCTTGCAGTGCTTCGAACGAAGGGGTTTCCTAGCCATGCAAACCAGGCAAAAGTTCATCCCATTAAATGCGCCCTGCTTCGTGAGTGATTCGACAGTCTCTTTGATCTCGAGATTATTGTGCGGCTTGGCACATTTGCCGGCATCGAGACAGATCGCTCTGACAAAGTTGTATGTGCACACGATGAACGCAATGGCAAACGCGAGGTTGTGAACTGCATAGCCTGGCGTATGCGTTGCTAGCCTGGTCACCCATGTCTCTCCTACCCAAAACAGGCTGCCGGCCAGCACTCCGCACAGGTATGGTGACGCGGCGGTCGCGTCGCTCATGCCGTTCTGTCTAGGTGGCGCAGCCAGTAGGACCCGTGTGACGACATGGTTGAGGGCAAAGAATTCCGCAAACGCTAGCGGCAGGCCGGTGTACCATGGCAAGATATCGAGCGTTTTGAAGGCGATGCCCAGCACTGGTGTTGGCAGGAGCAGGACGGCAATCGTCGTCTGCTTATCACTCAACCGACGAGGTAAGACCGATCCATCTGGCTGGCGCTTAGCCTGAGCCATCGCCCGGTTCCAGGGCAAGATGCTTTTGAGTTTTTGTGCGAGCTCCATTGGCGTCAGGCCTTCTTCGTTCTTTGCGCGTGGATCTCCGCCTGCTTCGATGATCTTGGCAATACAGTTGATATTGCCTTTGACGACGGCCCAATGTAATGCACTCATGCCCGATGGATCTTTCGCGTTTGGATTACTGCCGTGCATGAGCAGCAACGAGACAGAGATTGCATCCCCTTGGTAGCAAGCCCAGTGAAGACATGTCCTGCCATCACCATCAGTCGCATCCGTTGCTACTGGTAGCTGTTGAGTGAGCAAGTAGGCGAGCAAGAGAGGTGCAGACGAATGAGTTGCTAGATGGAACGTGTCGAATCCTTGGGAGTCAGTGACTGCCGGATCGGCGCCATGGACGATGAGCAGGTGGGCAGTGTCGAGATGACCGTTCCTGGCAGCCCAGTGTAGCGGCGTGGCAATGAGCTCTCCGCCCAGGGCATCTACTTCTGCGCCCGCATTGAGGAGCTCCTTGCAAGCTAACAAGGCATTATTGATAGCTGCCCAGTGCAGAGGTGTGGCATTCGCTGCATCGCGCGAATTGGGATCGAAGCCGTCCTGGGTGATGAGCCTGTGAATCGTCTGGGCATCTCCCATCTGTGCTGCGGCATGCAACGGGTAGGCTTGTGCTGCATCGCTCTTAGTGTCCGCTGTAGCGGTATGTTGCCGGACAGGCGATGCTTCGACGTTCTCCAGCAGAGGCTCAGTCACCGTTGCATCCGTCTTGCTGCTTCCCAGGCCAGGAACAGGCGAGAAGGTCGACATGGATCTGCACAGAGTGTGCCGTTCGGGTTGCGCTCAGGTCGCGGGAGTCAAGTTGAGGGGCGCCCCGCATAATGAAGTCTCCCTCTCTCTCTGCCACAGCGCAAAGCATAAGTAGCGAGATGTCAGCCCTCTTTGGCCATCGATCGGCAATTCAGGTCATTCTCCCCTCACGAGGCTTTGCGAGTACGTCTCTGGCGCTGGCAGGCTACAAGATCAAGACGCATAAAGGCACGGCGAAGAGATGGACAGCTCTTGCGTCAGGTCTTTTCAAGCGTGTATGTCTGCCTCAGGCACCTTCACTGTAGCGCCCGCTGACATTGTACTGCGTAGGGCAAGGTGGGAAAGCGACATCTCAACGTGACACTCACACCAGAACGACGTCAGAGACTGGGCGGCATCGCGTATGCCAACGCTTGGGAGACGAGGCATCTGCGCAAACTGCTGCCCTACTACAAGTCCGCCTGAACTGGCGAACGTGAGGAGGTCCGTTCGATATCGCTTGGGCGATGCAGGCCGGCGTCGTCACGGGATCCTCTTTCGCGACCCGTTTGCTGCATCGCGACCGCCATCAAGCGGAAGAGAGCTTTGGTCTGCTTCTGCTGACGAGTCGCGCAAACATGGTCAGATATACGATGCGACAGAGTCCCTGTGCCCTGGGCTGCACAATCGTCTTGCTCCTCGTGCTCGCCTTTGTCATCATGACCGTCACGCAGACCAGGCATAGCTCGATGCCGGCCGAATTCGAACAAGGCCACTCGCAAGCCGCGTCTGCGAAACCTGCCAACGACATGGAGACGCACACTGTGATGAATCTGCCAGAAGAAGGCGATCGAGCAAGCAATGCCTCAGCTTGTCGATCCATTGATCCTAATTGCAAATCTCAGTTGATGCTTAGCACCTCTCGCAGCGAGCTAGAGGAATGGCTGCGAAGTCATGCCAGCCCGATGGCACTCGCAAGCCCTCTCGCTGCGCGTTTGAGCACTTGGCAAGCTGTACCGCCGGCAGAAACCGCCACTTTCGTAGCGATCAATCGTCTGCAATGCTCCTCTGCCAAAATTGCGCATAATGTGCAAGACGAGATGGGATTGGCAGAAGTGTGGGCTTCACTGTCTGCTGCAGAGCTCGCATCCATGCGCGAAGATCTCATCGACTCTCTTGGCGCCGTGACGCAAGCTCGCGTCGGCGGATCTGGCAAAGGAAGAGGCATCGTCATGATCGTAGCGCCAGATCAATTCGATCAAGCCCTCATCACGCTACGTATGATCAGAAGGTACGGCGCAGACCTCAGCATCGAGATATTCAGCTACGAGACTGAAGTAACGCCGAGCGGTCATCTACACGAACTCAGAGAGCTCAACGTGTACTTGCGAAAGCTGACAGGCGTCTCACGCTGGCCTGACTACCGCGGCTTATCCACTCAGATCAGAGCCTCAGCGATCATCGATTCGAGCTTTGACGAAGTGCTCATGATCGATGCAGACACTCTGCCCTTGCAAGATCTAGGCGGGACAGGCACAGACCACTCGGACGTATACATCTTCGAATCAATTGCTTACAGGCGGCTCGGCGTCATGATCTGGCCACTTGCTCGCAAACAGCCTCCACATAATCCCGTTTGGCAGCTTCTAGGCGTTCCTTGTCGCAACGAATGGACAGCCGACTCGAGCGTGCTGCTCATCGACAAGACGAGACACATCGACGTGCTGCGCCTGATCGAGCAGATAAGCCTAGGACCCCATGCGGCTACTTGGACGACGCTCGTAGGAACATCAGGAGACGCCTTCCGCTTTGCGTTGCTCGCGCTTCGAAAGCGGTGGGCTGTGCCTGGCAAAGCCTTCGGATTGCTGCACAGCGCGAGTCGAAGCGGCTCATGCAGACAGGCATTGCTGCATTATGATCACCGCGGTCTTCCGATCTTTGCCCATCTCGGCCTGTCGCCTGTCAAAAAGTACGTAAAGTTGCAAAGTGTATTGACGAAACTGACCCTGCATGCAGTCTGACGGAGCAAGCCGTCTGGAACCGTGCTACCTTTATGGATGTCGGGCGCGAACGAAGCACCGATCTCGACATAGATGCAGACCATCTGGTCGATGCTGCGCTAGATGGCAGTACGCAGACGACTCGGCATGATCAGCCTGTCTTGCGCTCCCGAGCAGCTCTCGAACTCGGTCTATCCTTGACCTCTTCTTGCGGAGGTACAGCGTGCTGCTTCGAGCTAGCATTCAGACAGCCTTTGCAAGTCACAACCGACGAGATAGACTGGCGCAATCCACTGCGGACAGAGTCAGTGCAAGCTCATCCGATATTGCGACAATTCTCGCAGCATTACTTTGCAGCTGCGCCAAAGTACAACAACACGCTCAGCTAGAATGCATCATGTTGAGCTGCCTGCTTGCTCGAGTGCTCCCACCAGACCGTCGAGAGAGGAGCGGTCGAACAGCATGAGCGTGCCAAACATTTCTACTCCGAAATCGAGACCCTCTGCTTCTTGCGTTCTTGCTGGGGCTTGCTGGTACGCAAAATCGAGCACATGTTTTGCGTTCTGTGTTGACCTTTCAGTATCTTCGTTTGAGAGCAAGTGAGCCAAACTGACTTGCGCGAGTATCTCATCTTCGACGTGATAAGGGTACAACTGGGCTTCCTGAGCTTGCTTCTTGGGCGTCTTGGCTTTCCGACGCTTCTTTGGAGTAGAGCCATTCGTCAGGTCTTGCGACGCTTGCGCGAACCTGAGATCGTCTGCGTCGTCTTCAGAGGCGGCGACGTAGATACGCGAGAGCAGCAATATCTGAGCGTCTTTGTCGTTTGCATTGGGTATACTGGCCATATCCTCGAGCGTGATGCGCAGTAGGGGCGCTACGATCTGAGCTGGCATGTTGAGCAAGCGCTCGGAGACGATCAATCCCAAGCTCGGCGCGGACTGAGCAGCCGAGAGTCTTTGCGCGAGCGTTTTAGCAATGTCTTCATCTATCGTACGTAGTCCTTGTCGGCTCTGTGCTGTAGATGCCAGCACGCGCTGAGCGAGCCAAGATGTGAGGCCCGCAAGAGCAGCAGTTGCTTCGTCGCTTGTGTTGGCAGGCAACGGACAGAGAGGCACATAAGCACAAAGAGCCAAAGGATCGCTCGCTTCGCCGTCTGTCTTGACTGTCGTTCCGGCTTTGCTCATTGCTACACCTGTCTGAGTAGGCGCTACGAGCCAGTCTGCTAGTGCTTCTGTTCTGATGAGACTTGCGTCATGCGCGAGTAGCTGGTTCAGCAGGGCTCTGATGCCGTGATAGTCGACTGCTTCCAGGCCGAAAAAGTCAAAAGTGACATCGACGAGCTCCTACGCTTCATGTCAGTTCGGTGGTGCCAGCATTGTAGCGTGCTTGCCTGTTGCTCGTCGTCAGTAGACGCCATCTCTCTACTGCTCCTCCTCGTTTCGTCGTCGCGTCTTTGCTGGCTAGCGCTGACTTTGCTCTTTCGGCCAGTTCGCTGTCCTTCCTATCCCCTGCCCAAGCAGAAGGTGACGTCTCCTTCGTCTCGATCTCCTCATGATTTTCCCTTCGGCCCACGGAGCATGCTACAAGCTGTGATCTGCCTTCTGCTAGCGACGACAGCGGCAGCAGTACGCAGTCTCTGGGAGGCATACGGCGTGGAACTGCAAGTCGGCAATGCTGCGAGCGACTGATATGTCATCGGTTCAGGCTCGGACATCTCAGTCTGCCTTGACTATGAACTCTCCCGTTCAGCAATCAATTTTAGCGTCCCAATGGATCTAACGTTCTCTGATGGAACACGCGTGACCAGCTCGCTCGTCGAGGATGTCATCCGCATGAAGACTGCGCCTCCCTCTCGACTTCGCTTCATTGCCGGCCACGCCTCGCCCTGGCCTTACAAAGCTGCTGGTATCCTGGGCATTGGGTTCGATAGGGTGAAAGACGGTGTGCAGATCCCTGCCATGGCTCATCTGGCTTGGAAGCAACATGCCATTCCTGAGAGCGTCCTCACCGTTCGCATAGACAAAGGCGTCGGGCTCGGTCCTTCACGCGTGCTGCCCTCGACGACGTTTGTGGGACTCACGGACATTGCAGAGCGACCGATGTGGTTCATCGATGTCCTTATGCCCAGACAGTTCTGCAACGGCTCAGCCTTGATCGACACTGCCCGGTCCAATCTCGCTCTACCTGAGCTATCCCTTTCCGCAGTACAAGGACTCGATACGCGGCGCTTACTACGTTGAAGCAAAGAAGCTCTTGTACATTCCAAAGATGGTCAGGCCTCCCGGCATGCATCTCGCGGTCCGCAAATTCTCATCGCAGGCAAGATGACTCTGATGCACGAGTCGATTGGCGATGGGCTTTTCGTATCACCGAGCTACATGCTGACGATTGATACACCTGCTGCACCTCAGGGCTACAAAGTCTCGATTATTTCTCGGCAAGCTTCATTGAGTCTTAGCTACAGATCGCGATTGACAACGCCTCACAAAATTCTGAATGGGCAAGACTTTGCGACGTTTGGGAGCGCAATCTTGAAGCAGTTTCTCGTCGTCTGTGACTACCGTCCCAGACCGCCCTCGACCGCAACGGCTCATATATGTTCTGAGCTGCTTGACGACGAAGAGGAGCTCCTTGTCGCATAGCAAGCGAACACAACGTGCTCTTATTTTTGCCCGTTCCTGTCATTTCGGTATGGTCGCAGGACTGAGTAGTGGGCTATGGAGTGTTCTCACTCTCTTTGGCTTGTTCTCATCGCAAGACCAAGCTATTCACGAGCAGTCAACTTCCTCGGCTGGTTCTCGTCTCGTCAGCCATTTCCCGCCTGACGATACGAAGAATCTCTCGAGCTCTTTCCCCACCGCCGATGTCGTTGGCTATCCTGGCAATACTTCCCAAGGTGCAGAAGCCTTCCTGATCAATGATGCACCCGCGTTCGCACTTCCTCGGATGCACTATACTAATCCTCTCGTCTCCCCCAAGCCGACTGACTCAGGCGTCGACACAGATTTTAAGCCAATCAGGTGAGCTTGATCACGGCCATATAGTGACAGCACTGATGTTGGGGCAGACACTGGGCGAACCTCAGTCCGTGGAGATCGCTCAAATCGCTCGGGGGGCTTCACAAGACCAGCCCGCACGTTCCCACTGGCTGCGCGCTCGAACGCGTCCATCTCCTGCACCGACATGGCTCGCGTCAGCCTACAAGCGATGCCCCCCCTGCACAATTTGCAGAAAAGATCGCATCTGCTGCAAAGAGCGTCCAAGGCTTCAAGGCCACGGGAGATCTCGCATTCTTGCATGACTGGCAGTACAAGCTCGGCAGCGAGTCATTGAGCCGACATGGTGCACAGATGATGTTCAATCTGGGCGTAGAGTTCCGCTTGCAATACGGCAGTCTGCTCAATAATTATTCCCATTGGAACACTCTGCCCGTTCTTCGGACGGAGAGCCAGAACAGAATGCACGAGTCGACGCTCAACTTCGCCGCTGGCTTTTTCGGCTTACCTTTGCGTCCTGACGTTGACTACCACGAATCGATCATGATCGAAAACAAAGGCTTCAATGCGTCGCTGAGCCCGTACTACGGCTGTCCCAACTCGATGAACGGCACCAACTCGAAGCTGGGTAATGAGGCATCGGCAGATTTTGTCAAGCGATACGCTACGCCTCTTGCTGCCGAGTTTAACGAGATGCTCGAAGGACTGCAACTCAATGCAACGGACGTCAACGCTATGCAGTTCATGTGCGCCTACGATACAATCGTTCTCGGCTGGTCTCCTTTCTGCTCGCTCTTCACTGCACAGGACTGGCGCAACTTTGAGTATGCAATCGATCTGTCGCTTTACTACAACAGTGCATTCGGTGGACCTTACTCTGCCGCACTCGGCAAAGGCTACCTCGAGGAGTTTTGGTCGAGACTGTCGGGTCACCGCATCACGCAGAGCGCTTCTTCCATCAACACGACGCTGACGGGCAATCCTGATACGTTCCCAATCGAGAAGCAGTCGATCTTTATCGACGCTACCCACGAAGTCGTCCTTGCAGAGGTCCTGACTGCGCTAAACATGACCGCTCTGGCGGGCAATCTGCCGATTGACCATGTCGATAAACACCGCAAGTGGCAATCTTCCAAACTGCTCTCGATGGGAACGCATCTCGTCTTCCAGGAGCTTGCGTGCAGTGCCGAATCGAACGCAGGCAAGGAAGATCGATACGTGCGGGCAATTCTCAACGATGCGGTGCTGCCGTGGGGCATAGTAGGGTGTGAGGAACAGCAAGACGGTCTTTGTGCGCGCGATACACTCATCAAAGGACTCGAGGCTCGTATTCAGGAGATCGACTTTTCTGTATGCTTCCGCGATACGCCGGAGATCAAGCCTGGCGATGTCACCAATGGCCGATTCCTCTAATTGCATACTGTTTGACTCACAATAAACGTCCGCTTGCAGGGTAGATCTGCTTTGGAAAGCCCTCCGAGCAAGTTGTAAAGGCGTGGCAAGACACACGAGCGAGGAGGAGCAGCTCGTCACGTGCATTGCATTCGTGCAGCCGTGACGCGGGTTTAATCTTGGCCGGCATTCCGCGCGCCTCGTCCGGGCCCCGCTTACTAGCGCTGACTGTCCTATGCTAGCGCCCCGGACGTACTTTGTACGTTACTGAACCGTCATCTGAACGTCCCAGCTCGCCACTCAAATCAAAAGGCTACACACAGCGAGACAACAGAATCGCAGAGGCAGTGTCCGCTCCTATGTCGTCGAACGAGATGACGGATACCGAGCCGAAGCAATATTTCCCTGTCGCCGGTCTGGCTAGTGATGGCTGGTCGACAGACGACGAGGCTACCGTGACTTGCTTCTGCGGTGGTGTGCAAATCGTCGTCGTTCGTGGTCCCCAATGGCGCCCATGATGAGGGTGCTGATCCGGTTCAACAGCCTGTCCAAGGCAAAGGCTTCCTCGGCAGCTTCATCTGCAACTGTGCTGACTGTCACAAGCTGAGCGCTTCTGCGCATGCTACCAATTTTACCGTGCTCGATAGTCACCTCCGATACGTTCGCGGCAAGGAACAGCTCAAGCAATTCGGCCAATCTGATACAATCTTTCTCAAAGGAAACAAAGAGTACGACGATGTGACCATGACCAATCATTTTTGTAGCGTCTGCGGCTCCTTGATGTTCCGTACCGCGGGCAGCTTTCCTGGCGCTAGCATCATGCGTGTCGGCAGCGTCGATGACTTTACCTTGCAGAGCACCAAATTGCGTCCGACGAAGGAGCAATTCACGAGAGACCGCGTAGCATGGAAAGCCCCTACAGAAGGTGCCGAACAATTCGAAGGTGACGGGCTGCACGTACAACAGCCTCGCAAACCTCGAGCGCATGTCTGAACGGTTCAGTAGCAAGAGTCTTATCTCTGTCTCCAACAGTCGGTCTCATTTCGTCGTGTCTCACGTCGTTCTCATGTGAGCTGTATCAAGAACTCAATGTGGATGCAGTCCTTTTAGCATCTCATGGTCAATATTGTGGGACTGGATGAGCCATGAAAGTGATCATGATCACAGACCCAGGAAGCTCAATGTCGCCTCTTTGGCATGCAAGTGCCACAAGACGAGAATTATCAGTGTGCGTTCGCCCATGTCACACGCAACTGGAGCAGGCAGGCGAAAGATGGGCGAAGAGCACGGAATCAACAATATAGCGAATTGAGCTGGTTGAAGCGAGTTGGTCTGGTCGGGCTGAAGAGGAGGTGCAGGCCCTGCGACTGAGCGGACATGAGTATCAAGCCGTCGTAGACCGGTGCCGCCAACACGGTTCAAGGGCAACAGTGTCATCGATCGCGGAGCTCGAGCTTGCTTAGACTACACGGTAGACCGACAAGGAATGTCGCAACTCGTTTGCATTTTCCATGTTGCGACCATGACAATGATTGGATCAGGCGGTGCCACACTGACTTGTAGTCTCTGACCGGTGTTCGAGTCTGAAGGGGCGACAATCACGTCAGGTCGGCGAGAGCTAGCGTCGAGCTGAGCATTCGGGCGCGCGGCCGTGCAAACTTGAGCGCTTCGTTTTACTGTGCCGCGCCCCACCGAATCATGGGAAGGGCCCCGCAGCAGCAACAGAGAATCCACTCTCGAACGAGCTCTATTCAGCCTAACATAGCCTTGCGACGGCGTCCACGAGCCATTGAAAGCGAGCGAGATTCGAGGGCGTATCTCCACCCGCGTGCTTCTGCCGCGCAGCTACGACGTCGCACTTCAGCCGTCCGACATCTGCCCAGTTGCACGGATGTCCAGAGATGATCCGCATTCAAAAGGGCACAAATACTTCCCGACGGCAGGTCTCGCGAGCGATGGATGGTCGTCCGAAGACGAAGCGACAGCGACATGTTTTTGTGGCCTCGTCCAGCTCGTGGTCGTGCGGATGACTTGATCCGCGTCATACTGCTCTGATTATCGGGGCAGCCAATACAAGGCTCAGGCTTCTCGCCGTCACGGATCTGCAATTGTCCGGATTGCCACAAGATCTCTGGCACGGTACACTCGACCAATTTCAACGTACAGACGAGTCACGTCAGATTTATGCGTGGCGAGGATCGCTTGACTCATTTTGCCCAAGTGGATACCGTTCTGAGCAAAGATGATGGCAACGATCACACTCGAACGAACAGCTTCTGCTCTCAATGTGGCGTACTCTTGTACAGATCAAACGCTTCAGCGCCGGGCATTATCAACATCAGACTCGGAACGGTCGATGACTTTGCGCTCCAGAGCACGCTGCGGCCAACAGCAGAGCATTTCGTTCGGGATCGTGTCGGTTGGAAGCTGCCTACAGCAGGCGCAGAGCAAAATTGGATCTCGCCTTCTTCACCCGCCTTTGCAGACGAGACGGACATGACCAGATCTGAGCAATACTTTCCGATTGCTGGACTTGCCCACGATGGCTGGTCGACAGATGAAGAAGCGACGACGACTTGTTTCTGTGGACGCGTTCAGCTTGTCGTGGTGCGCTCTGTATTGCATTGCGATACTGCAGCGCTAATAGAGCTAGTGACAGCCTATCCGAGGAGAAGGCTTCTTGGGGGCGCGCCTGTGCCACTGCGCAGATTGCCATAAATTCACTGGATCGATTCACGCTACAAACTTCAGCGCCCTCACAAGTCTCGTCAGATACAATCGAGGTAAAGATCAGCTCGAGACGTTCTCGCAATCGCAGACGATGTTCAGAAAGGACGACGAGAAGACTCAGACGAACTCGTTCTGTCGAACTTGTGGCACGCTGATGTACCGCTTCAACTCTTCCGTACCCGATCGAGTATCTGTGCGCGTCGGGACGGTGGACGACTTTGCGCTACACTCGACCAAGCTCAGACCAACAGTCGAGATATTCACCAAAGATCGTGTCACTTGGAAGCCGCCGACAGAAGGCGCTCAGCAATTTGAAGCTGCACCAACGTGAAGTGTCGACTTGACAATCGCAGGCGAGCCTGTCACTCAGTGAGAACGGAATGCATAGCTGGGAAGACATCATAGACGCCTTGAAGCAAGGGCAAAGTGCTCCTGAGCCTCGGGCGTTGCGACGATGCGCGGTCGGGCAGGCGACTTCATTGCATCTAGACGGTCGACTTGACAAGCATATTGGAGCCTCGAGCTCTCTTGGGTGTCAAAGCAACCGATGTAGCGTAGTCGTGGGAGGCGCTGAGCGAGCCAGTCAAAGATCTCATGATACGTTTTGCTGCTCATGCTTTCCGCGCTGCAATCGATTCGGATCGAGTAGAGCTGTGGCATCGCACAGAGCATGCAGATGACATGTGGATCGGTATTGTACGTCAGCTTGAAGCTTATCGCCCTCAGTCTCTCGCTGCTGGCCGTACAAAGTCGAAGCAGCGCACTTGCGTCCAGCTGTACGTCGTGTAGCTCGAAGTACGTGATGTGTGGCCAGAAACGAGCATTGACGAGCACGGCGACCACGTCCACGGGAAAGACATATGTCTTCCGAGGATCGCCTCTCAGGACAAGCTTTTGCAAGGCTGGCGCTGTGACGTCGAGTCGCCTGATGAGATCCGACAGTGAATCGTCGATGAAGGCTCGTTCGATGTAGTAGGCCTGATCTTCGTCGAAATAGGCGCCCGCTCGTCGTACAGCATCGACAGAGATACGGAGCTCAGTGAGAGCGGGCAGCACGAGATCGTAGTGATAGTCTGACCAGCCGGTATAGCCGGTCACCTTGAGCTTGCACAAGGGCTGTGCAGCTAGCAAATCGCGTAAGCTCTGGCCGAGTTGTGCGCCGTCGCCATCGTACTTGTATGCGATATCAGGAGCAATGTACTCGAGCGTGTGGAGCCTTATCGAGCTGCTGAGGAGAGCATCGACGAAGGTCGCCCAGCTAGCCGCTTCGAATGCCCATGACGTGTTCGCTCGGGCACAATCGATGGTCAAGTCGGTCAGCCTGCGCAGTTGCCCATTGCCAATGTGTGCAGCCAAGCATAGTAGAGACGCGTCAGTCGGATGCTGTAGGTGTAGCGTTTCGACGGTACCAAATACTTGTAGACTGCAACCATCAGATGACTCGAAAAGATGTCCGTGGACTTGTAGGCTTTGCAAGTCAGAGGTAGCGAGCCAAGCCTTGATAGCGTCTGACATGGTTGGTCTGTGCCACACGAGTGATGTGAGTCTGTCTGCACGCATGATGACAGCATCGAGCTGATTCGGGTCATGGTCAGACACCGGCTGAGCTTGCGAGCAACTCCCGACAGTGAGCTGACGCAGATAGCTACATCGTTCTCTGCTAGCCGTCAGAGCTGCGAGAGGAACATCAGACTGATTGCCGGACAAGATCGTGCTGTCCCGGTAGAGCAGAGGTTCGGTGACACTGTGGAGAAAGTGCGAGCATATCGACAGGCCAGCCAGGTGCTTGTAGGCCGGTTGATCTGTAGCACTCTGCAAGCCCTGACCTACCTGGCGCAACAACTCTGTAGGCAGGGTCTGCATGGCTGTTCGGATGGCACGGCTGACGAGGAGGAGAAGAGAGGAAAAGAAGGGTCTCTAGGGCCGCGGAAGCCGTGACGGCCTGTGAGCGCTGACCCGTCCGCCTGTCCATCGATGACCACGATGTCGGCGCGTGGTCGCTTTTCTCGTTCGTGAGGAGGAGGACAGCCCAGACGAACCGCGACAGCTTTCCCAGTTCGATGACAACAGACGACGATGCAGCGGCGACGGCGGCAATCTACAAGCGACTCTACCCTCGGGCCTACCTCGAACGCTTCCTACATGAAGGAATAAGACCCGATGGCCGAGCATTCGACGAATGCCGTCCGTGCTCTTCAGACACAGGTGATTGCTTTTTGGGAAGGGCAGGGCAGGAGGCACTGGCTCAACTGCAATTGACACCGCAGGCTCAGTCACGACAGCAGACGGATCCAGTCTGGTCAGGGTCGGACAGACGACGATGATGTGCACCGTACGGGTAGAGACTGCCGAACCAGATCTCATGCGTCCTGACGAAGGCTTCCTCAGTGAGCCCATCGCTACGAGATGATACCATTCGAGCTCATCGATATCACGCAGTCATCAATGCCGAGTTGATGCCCATCGCGAGCTCGCAATTTCTGAGTGGTCCGCCTTCAGATGACGCGCAGGTCTTGGCAAGTCGGCTACGCCAAGTGATCTCATCGTGAGCATCTCCGCGAATTGACGCATTGATCGAGCTCATGAGGTGAAATGTGAACTTGCAGCTCGAATATGCTGCCTCTGAGGAAGCTCGGCATTCGACGCGCGAAAGCAGTCTTGGTCGTCTACGTCGATGTGGCCTGCTTGAGCTTCGATGGCAATGCACTCGATGTTGCCGTCATGGCTGTTACCCAAGCGCTCTACTCTGCACGTATACCCGTCATCACGTTCGAAGAGGAGAACAATCGCGTCATCGCTTCGGCTTCCTTACCTAGAGAGCCGCTCAAACTGAGTGAGCCTGTCCTGACATGCTCGTTCGCTCTCTTTGGCCAGTATGTCACTCGACAATCTCGCAGACGCCGAGCTGACCGGTAGGACAGGACGGTTCTGAGCGATCCGACGGATCACGAGAGCGCTCAATCGAGGAGTTTAGCCACTGTCGCCCTATCGAGATCGGGCATGATTCGTTATGTCCTGCAAAGCGGTCATGGCGTCCTCCAGGCTGACCGGCCTCACGCTTTCCTACAAGAATGTATAGGCAGGACGAAGAAGCACCTCGCAAGTCTGTGGCAAACAATAGATTGATATGATGTTGTTGTCAACATGTAAAGAACACATTCCGACTTTACATCTCTGCGTCGCGGCTATCATGAGGACTCTGCAGGTGCTCTGAGCCATAGCCTCAAACCGGGGCCGAGGTCGAGGTAGTCGGGCATGCGTATCCTTGCAGGTGCGGCAAAACTATGGTTCACCATCCAGCTTGCAAGCGAGCTGATCTCCTTGGGTTTCTCGACGTGCGCCACAGGTGATTCTTGTGGCATGGCGAGCAGATGGCCACCATTGAGGTTGAACCAGCACCGTCTGTCGTCAGTGGCCTCTTGCGTGGCATTCGTCGCGTTCGATGTCGAGAGACTGTGCGGGTTGAGAACAGGAGCCGAAGGTGCGGTACGTAGCACCCTGACGGTCTGATTGGTCGCTGCCGTGTCTTGTGAGCTCATGTATTGCTGTTGATGCGGTTCGAGGCCGAGATGCCAGTGACATGATGACGCCATGAGTCCTAGCATCAAGAGCGTGCAATAGAAGCTGATGATTTTCAACTTCAGCAGCCGTGCGTAATCTGGGCTGCGTGGGACTGACCATGGTCGATAATGCAATGCCAGTGTTGCGATGATGAGCAGGAGGAACAGCGGCGGTGTGCTCGGAAAGGGTAGGAACACGATGAGGACTGCTCCTAAGGTCAGTACTTGCTTGCCTAGGCAGACGAGATGCATACCTAAGAAGTAGCGCAAGCACCACATCTCGGACCTTGCCAGCGACCGACGTGGCTTGTCACAGCTGCAAGGTCGCGACGGAATTGGCTTGTCTCCTCAGAAAGTTGATCCTTTCCAATCAAACAAAATATGATGAGGCCCACGTCGGAGTGACAGCATAGCAGAGCTCGGTCGGTCGTCGAGTTGGTCCTCGTACACCTCCTGCATCCGCAGTGATCGGTTCGGCCGGATTTGACACGACAGAGCTCTTTGCTGAAATGCGCTTGCCGACACCCTTCTTGTTACGAAAGAAGCGCATATCTTGGCTATTCTGACTCCTCCTTCGCCTCACACTCCTCCTTCCTCAGTAGAGCATCTCCCTCGTTGGCGGTCGGATGTCGTACTCTCAGACTCGTGGCAGTGTCATGGCGTTGCCAGATCGATGCATCTCTCCACTTTACGATAGCCTGCTGCCTTTTTGCCGACTCTGACCGATCTGAGCTCGAGATGAAGGCCGTCATACTCACATTCTTTGCAAGCATCGCAGCGGCTCAACGGGTCTGCAATGGAGGTGACCCATCCCTCGCGTGACCCCTATGAAAATTGCAACTGATCGCTCAGCTCAGCCTACGAGCTTCACGATGACATGACGACTGCCGGTACGGCTGCCGGTAAGATGGCAGCCAATCCGAACCCGTGTACGAACGGTGGCGCTGCATTTGCTGCTTCATACAACTTTGCAGGTTCACCAAAGACGCTCAAAGCGTGAGCCATTGACCAGCACTTATCTGTGGCCGAACTGATCGCTAGCAGATACCCTCACGCGTCTATGACGCACGGCAAAGTACGCTCTATTGCCCTCGTGCTCACACAAGCTACTTATGCTCGTGGTATCAGGGCGTCGCGCTGACGTCGATCCAAGCGATCAATGCCGTCATGAATTGGGATTGGCTCCAGTCTGGCACGACAGAAGCTCTCACGGGAATCAAGATCATCTCTGGTCACCAGTACATCCTCGTCGTACTCTCTACACGGGGTACAACAGCACCTGGCACACTGCTTGGCTCAGTCGTTCTGGGCAATCGCAACTGGTGGCTCTATCGCCAAGGCGACTCGTTCTCTTTTGTCAACGGACAGGTCTCACCCTCTGCCAAGACTTTCCACACAGATCTGATGGTACGTCCTGCACTTGTCAGTGTAAAACGCGCTGACAGGGAGGCAGATATTTGTGAGATACATCAGAACAGGCTACGGATTGCCTCTCGAGGGCACGCTCGATGCAGTCCAGGGCGGTACAGAGATCATGTACGGCCAAGGCGGATTCCTGTTGCTTCACTTCAGTGCGGTCACCGTGTCAGCATAGCCTAGCTACATGCGATACAATGCATCGTTGCCTCACAACGCGTCCCTGCTCGCAACCCTCCCTCTCTCCCTCTCTCTCCCTCTCTTCCAGTCACTTCCACAAGATCAGCCAAGAACGCAAGATGATGTTGGTCTCACTCATGCTGCAGGTCAGCGCATGCACAGCCTCGCTCGTTCGCCAACATCGACACGCTCGCGGTCTCACGCTAGAGAGCTCGCTTGGTCAACCGATCGAGTTGAGCAAACAGTGGGCCAAACAGACTCTGTGCGATCGGTATCAGTTCCAGAACGACCTCTACCGGAGCGATCGTGCTATCAGTGGTACCCAGACGGGCAAGGTCTACCCATGTAATGCCAAACAGCAGGCTGTATGGTCGACCACGTGGAGCTGGGAAGGCGGCAAGGCAGGTATTCCCAAATCGTACTCCAACGTCGCTCTAGTGGACAACATGGGCAAGCCGTTGAGTTCTTACACGACACTCCAGACAGAATGGTCATGGCAGTATACGAATGCGACTGAGGACGTCGCTGCCGATATTGCGTACGATCTCTTTCTCGCATCCGGCATGTCAGGCACAGATCAAGGCATAGCAGACGAGACCTCAAAATTAGAGCTCATGATATGGCTTAGCCAACGCGGGGGTGTTCAGCCCATCGGGCACAAGACAGGCGACGTCACGCTGCTCGATAATGATTTTCAGATCTGGCAGGGTAACCAGACGATGGGCGGTAATTCATGGCCTGTCGTTAGCTTTGTCAACGTCGGCAGTGAGCATTATGACGACTTCAAGGGCGATGTGATGCCCTTCTTCGACTGGATCGAACAGACCGGCGGTCTCGACCGGACGCTCAACCTGGCAAGTTTCCAAGGCGGCGTTGAGCCTGTCAATGGCACGGCAACGCTCCTCACGACCGCCTTCAGCGCATCTGCTGTGTAGTGCCGCACCAGTTGGAGCAGTCATAATGGCAAGCACTCAGTAATACCGGCAGATGAATTCTGAGCTATGCTGTATCTTAGCACACGACGCATAAACGCAAGCCAAAGTCTGCATTGCAGGGTGTGAGAACGACAAGACATGAGGTCATCGAGGCGATGTGATAGATCCGGAGCATCGGCTCGTTGACCGCTGTCGGAGATTGCTGGCCATTCTGTACGTTTATCACGGCTTTTGCAGGGCAATGCGGCGTGTGAGAGAGTTCTTGACGATCACGCTTCTGCAGAGACAAGACTGCTCGTCATTTGTGAGGCGAATATCACTCAGATGGGGAGGTGCGCTTCGGAAAGAGCGGGCATGCTGTCCTCGGATCACGCGTACGCGTACGAGTAGCAGCATGCGGGTTTGCAGGCTGCTGAACAGTCCGGAGTAAAACCGGGATTCGTGCGTGACTCGTCATGCCAAATGAGAAAATCATGATGAAACATATTGCTGTCACCATGTCAGCGCCTGCCGGCCGAGTCGCATTCTTGCTTTGCTGCCTCTGCCATGCGTAGCGCTATGCTCAGGCGGTCAGCGATTGCTCAGACTGCGGTTGCACGGCGACGTCTCAACACATCTGCACGATCAGTCGGGTTCGCGTTCGACATCGATGGCGTTCTGCTTCGAGGTCGACAAGTGATACCAGAAGCCAAGACGGCCCTGCGTCTGCTCAAGACAGACAAGGTGCCCTTTATCTTGCTCACCAATGGTGGCGGCCTACACGAGAGTGAGCGAGTGAAGAAGCTGTCCGATCAGCTCGATGTAGAGATAACAATAGATATGCTGCAACAAGCTCACACGCCTTATCGAGATCGAGCGAGTGAGTACAAAGACAAGGCTGTTCTCATCGTGGGCGGCCACGCTGGCTCTCCGGATGATCATGTGAGGAACATCGCTGTATCCTACGGCTTCGAACGCGCCTATTCCCCTGGCGATATCCACGCGTGGGCGCCCTCAATTTATCCCTTTGGCGAACCGCCCAGCGAGGCAAGGCAAGCAGATTTCAGCAAGACAAAGTTCGAAGCCATCTTTGTCTTCCACGACAGTCTGAAGTGGTACCGCGATATCCAGATCATGAGCGACGTCCTCACTTCGCCAGATGGTCATATCAGTACAGACCGAGATTTCGACGCTGGCTCACCTGCTCAATCTGTTCCCGTCTTCTTCAGCAATCCGGATCTCATCTTTGGCAATGACTATGTTGTCCCGAGATTCGGACAGGGCGCTTTTCAGGAAGCCCTTCGTGCAGTGTACAAGAGGATATCAGGTCACGATCTGAAGGCGCACGTCAGTGGCAAACCAGAGAGAGCGACCTATCAATTCGCAGACGGGCTACTGAGAGGGCAGAATGGCGGTGAGCAGCTCAAACGAGTCTACATGGTCGGCGACAACCCACAATCTGACATCAAGGGCGCCAATGACTACGGATGGCAATCTATGCTCGTCAGAACTGGCGTCTTTCGAGGGACAGACAAGCACGCAACGTCAAACGCAGGGGTTTACGATAACGTCTTGTTGGCCGTCGAGGCAGCATTGAGCAAGTAGAATGTACGATGACGCAAATGTAATATGTTGTTCATGCATTTGATACATTGACCTTGTCTAGATGGCAACAGTTGGATACTAAATGTCCAATAGATCTGCAGTCTGTTATCAGTACTCTTTCAGATCTGAGCGAGCTGAGGACGTACTCTCGAGACCTTCGATACCCATCCCGACACTCTTGTAACTCGATTTACGACGTCGCTTGGAAGAGGCAGGCGAAGGGTAAGCTTCCATGAGGTTGACGCTCTTTGGCGTTGTGTAGCTCGGCGGGGGCATCTTTGCAATGGCAGCCATCGATCTCGGCGGGGTAGCCATATCGGCCACGGTAGACTTGCGCAGACCGGCAGCTGCCCGCAGATTGAGCGAAGCCGAAGGCGTCCTGCGATGCTTTTGAGGCGACAGTCTCAATTCGGAATTTGGTGTTCCGATGTAGTGCTGACTGCGACGACGGGCAGAGGAGACGATGGGCGTCGTGAGATGGTGAGCGTTCATCAGACGAGCGGGGCTCGACATGACATCGTCCGAAAAGACAGGCTCGTCGAATGCAGTCATGCCGAACGAAGGCGTCGAGAAGGCGTCTGTTTCCCATGCACGCATTCGCTCGTCGTGATTATGGTGATCGAGGTAAGCGTCGTCAAAGTGGACCATATGAGCGCTGGCCATACGATCCCGACGGGTGACAGGCGAAGCTGGTGCATAGTCCGTGCTCGCCTTCTGAATACGCGTGAGCGGCGTTGCAGGCACGACGCGCAAGAAGCCATTGCCATACGAAGGCTGTCTTGCTCGCGAGACAGGACTCGAGCCTGGCGTGTTGTAGATATGCACAGGCGGGCGATAGATGTTGCGAGACGCGAGTCGGGGCGAGGGTGCCAGCGCCATCGAGTCTAGGTCTGGTCTGAGGAGCTCATGCTGTAGCATCGGGCTGGGAGCACTCGGCACGAGTGTCGGCTCAGTGTAGATTGGCGGGATAGGAACGTTGTAGGCTGACATCTTTCTCGAGCGACCATGTCGAGGTCCGCCGGTGCATTGGAAGCAGTACCATTGCTCGTCAATCTCATCGTCTTCATTCATGCCGAGGCAGTCGAGATGGTAACAGATACCGCAATAATCGCACTTGAGCGTTGGCTCTTCTTCTCGTTCTTCGCCACAGACGCAAAGGCCGGCTAGCTCGACATGAGGGTGGTGAGCACTCTCGAGGGTAGCGAGAGGACCCCTGCCATGTTCTGCGAGCAGGACGGCATGGCGTGATCGCTTGAAGATGGAAGAGGCTGCAAAATTGGCAAGATCCTCGCCAGTCTGCTCTGCGCGCAGCAAGGCCTTACGACGCGACGACATTCTCAGTCGCTTGAGACCCTTGCCGCCTGCCATGACGAGCTCATCGACGGCGTCGGTATTGCGTGTCGTTCGCAGTCTGTGAGGATCGCTGCGTGCAGCCTCTTCGCTCTCGTTCTCTTCGTCAAACGCTGAATCCGAATCGAATGCCCAGCTTGGCGGGATCATCGACCAAGCATCTCTTGCGAGATCTTCTTCGCTCTCGTCTGACAACATCCATCGGTGAATTCTGGATCGTCTTTGCTTTGTCTCTTCGTCGAGACCCTGCTGGTCATTCCACTCTTGAGCCATTGTCGGGACGCGTGATCGACCTTGTCCAGCTCGTCGGGACGCAGAGAAGCCAGCAGACGTGCCTAAAAGTGGGTGCGACTCGCCCGCCAGACGCTCTGCCAGGACTCGCCTGTCGAGGATAATCCTACCCATACCTTGCGCTTCCGCAGCAACGACATGGTTCGATCGAGCAATCTGAACTGGCTTGTGCGCTTGAGGAGCTATGACAGCCAAGGAAGCTCTGCCGTCGTTGTCGATGAGCATGGCTCTGATATGGCCGGCTTTAGCGCACGATGAAGCCCGTCTGTGATGTCTAGCAGCGACGGAGCTGGTCAGGAGTGCAGGATCTTCAAGTCTGATCAGACTCTCTGTCTTGACATCTTCGACAGGCTCAGAGATCTTGATGGTGACCGGCACGGCATGAGCGAGCGGTGCGGGTGGGTGTGGCTTTGTCATCATGACCGTCGGCATAGTTCTCGAGCTCGGCTCTGGCGATTCGGGCGAGAGTGGCAAGACGATTCCACTGGCAGAGATGGAACGTTTTGCGTTCTGGTGGGCGAGATCGTGGGAGTATTGATCCCAGGTGGCCAAAGGCTGAGCGGATAAGTACGATTCGGACGAGGAGAGCGCAGGAGTGGGCGGCAAGCGGGCAGAAGTCTGCACCGCTTTCTTGGGCGTCACTCGATCCTGCTGGACAACTTCGTCGTGGGAGAAGCTGCCCTCGACAAGCTTGCTTGCAGACTTGCTCGCCCTTTTGCCGACGCCTCGAGAGCGAGGGGCATTGACGATGGCAGAGACTTTGCTAGTCCTATCTCTGTTGTCGCGTGTCAGTCAGATCATTCCGGCCAGAGGAGACAGGAACTTGCAAGTCTGAAGGAGCAAGCGTAGAGACAGAAGCCGAGCTTTCCGTGCTCGGTCGGCGGATGGGGTCGGCATGATGAGCAAGATTAGCCTGCCAGCTCTGGGTTGGATAAGGCTGAGGGTGTCCCAGAGAGAGAGCGGGATCGAATTGGGCGCCGTTGGCAGAAGAAGTTCGTGAGCCAGCAGATGAGGAGGTGGAGCGCCTGATGTGATGCATCGCCACGGGATCGTAGATTCTTCTGGCAGTATGCTCTCCAGGGTGACGGTGCAGGGAGGCTTGTGCAGACTGGTGGGCAGCGTGCTGCTGTAGCTCGAACGGCGAGGGGCTGACAGGAGTGAACGGCATCGCCGCCTCCTTGTGAGCCGGAAACGTGGACTGAGTCGGTGTGATGAGCGTCGGAGCATGGTAGGCTTGAGCCGGTCCGGGAGGAGCATCGAACCCGAATCCTGCCAGACTGGAGATCTGTCTGCCGACAGCCGGATGACCGTTGCTCGTCATCCGAAGATGCTGCATGGCTTGCTGAGGCTGAGGCTGAGCACTGAGAGGGGGTGGAGGACCCCAAAATGTGGCAGGATCGGCCATGAATCTCGCCGTCGGTCTCTGAACATGCGCCTGAGCCATCGTTATCCGCTTCTGCTTCTCTACCAAGCCTGGCTGGCGGAAGCGATCAGACTCTGGCAGAGCGAGCAGAGAGAGAGGGGGTCAACTTGCCTCTATCGCAGACAAGTGGAAAGAGCGATGAAGAGAAAGAAGCAGATGGGGCTGGCTCTATGCAGTCTGTGTTGTGCTCGGCGTCGCAAGGACAGCGAAGATGTCTCCTGCCAATCTAAGTGGCCCGCACTGCACGCTACCCTACGGCCGGCCAGCGCTCTCAGCACGCTCGATAGCCACCCCTCTGAGCCAATTTACGCGTGTCGTACTAACGAATCACTACGCGACGTGATCGAAGTCGACGCGTTGTTGAGGGGCCTTGCCGACGATCGTTGCTGCGCTTTGCCGCGCGCCTTCAGATCATCACAACGTGTGATCGAGCGGAGTCGTGTGGGTTGGGGGGCACTTGTGCCGACTGTACATGTTCATTAGACATGCAATGCGCCAGCAGACCGGCTCTGATCATGTCTCATGCGAGGCATCTGCACAGTCGACCCAGTCTGTCAAGAGCGGTTCTATGGAGCTATCTGCCCACGCCGGTACGATACACGATCGGTCTGGCGCTACAAGAAGGTCTTGTTGAATACTATTCCTCGCTCCGTCAGCGTGGCCACGAGAGTCGCTCCGACGGTCTCTTGCTCCTCCTCGAGCATACGCCAGTCTACACGACCGGTAGACGAGACTTGGCTCGACAAGACGAAGCGAGCCAAGCTAGGGAAAGGGAGATACAGGCAGAAGCAGAGCGGCTCAGGTTGACCGGGGCAGATTATGTGAGGACTCAACGGGGAGGACAGACGACGTATCATGGTCCAGGTCAGCTCGTGGGCTACCCCATCCTTGATACTTCCTTGCTCGCAGTACGTCGCTCGATATGGAACAGAGTAGCAGCAGGTTGACGGGTGCGCAGATGTCGACGCGAGAGTATGTCGACGCACTGCAGCGTTTCCAAGTAGGCTTGCTGCGCAGTCGAGGCGTCAGAACGATAGACTCGCCTCATACTGGCGTCTTCACCTCTGAGTCGGCGAAAATTGCGTCTATTGGGATCCAAATCAGGCATCGCATCAGCTCGCATGGCTTCTCGATCAACATCGAGGATAGAGTGCGCTCTCGGTTCGCAGAGATTGTCGCTTGCGGACTCGCCGACGTGCGAGCCACGAGCGTAGAGTCACAGACCGGCACAGCCTTGTCAGTGCGAGATATCGTGCCTCAAGCTGTCAGTACTTTCGGCCAGACGTTCAACCGCGAGATGGTGCAACTCAGTGAGCAGGACCATCCTGAGTTGCAAGAGCTCATCTATCGGCATACAAACAATGGCTAGCCAATTGTGCTTGCTCTGTTGTAAGGGAGGGTCAGCAAGAGCAAGTGGGCATCTAGCAGGCGCGTACAATGGTGATCCTCACCGCCGTGCTCGCCATGATCGCCGTGTCCATGCGCTTCCCACGGTAGTGCACCAAAAAGAACAGGTCCATCCTGTGACTCTGGATGAGCTTGATCTAGCACACCTTTCTGCGTCATACCTCTCTGAATCTGCATCAAGTCAGAGTCAGCTTGGCATGCGAGGAGTGATGAGAAGCCTACCTATAGAAGATGAAGAACCACATCGTTGCACCTGTCCGCGCATGTCCTGTCAGTGTCTATAGAGGCTCTTGCCGCTCGAGCCGACCCAGTGCTTTGGCGGTTGCAGTGTGCCATAGAGACGGCATGGGAGGCACGAAGCCATTGTAAGGACCTCCCGAGCCACCGCCCGAGTGCGAGCTCGCTTGTCGACGTGTCTGTGCGGGTAGACTCCGCCTGACCGTCTGCCTTAATCGCAACATGTCGCTGTCGCTAGCAGCCCGGCTTTCGCTCGAGCGCGCGCCCGCCTGTTTTTCGCGTGAGAGAAAATCGCCCGGTGCGTGACTCCAGGCTGAAGGGGAGAGCGGTTTGCAGGCATGGATGCTGCTGAGGAAGAGAGGAAGAGGTCGGCAGATCAGCAAGAGGATGACAGCTTGCTCGACAGCGATAGGCTAGCCCAGCGCGAGGGAGAGTCTGCGCCCAAACGGATCCGCATCAACGACGACGACGAGGAGGAGGAGGAGGATGACGAGGATGAGAGCGTGCAGACGAACGGACAGAACGGCATGCTGTCCGTCGATGCTGGTGAGACGACCGGCAACCCCACCGCCAATGCGTCCCGCGAAGGATCTGCAAGCCAGCAGGTTCACTCCCATGTCACGCCTGCTATCCGACTCGACCCTGCAGAGCGACAGGCCCAACACCTTCGCCAGGAAGAGGCAGCGAAGCTCTACTTGGCATCACAGACTCATCCTATCGTACTGCCTTCGTACTCTGCCTGGTTCGACCTGTCGAAGATCCACACGATCGAAAAGAAAGCCCTGCCAGAGTTCTTCAATGGCAGGAACAGGAGCAAGACGCCTTCGATCTACAAAGACTACCGTGATTTCATGATCAACACCTACAGACTCAACCCGACAGAGTATCTCACCGTCACTGCCTGTCGTCGCAACCTCGCAGGAGATGTCTGTGCTATCATGCGCGTACACGCGTTTCTAGAGCAATGGGGCATCATCAACTACCAGGCAAGTCAGGCTGCTGCCCTATCTCCCTATATGCTGACGCAGCCATCCAGATTGATGCGGAGACGCGTCCGTCCAGCTTGGGTCCACCTTTCACAGGTCACTTCAGGATCTTGCTCGATACGCCCAGAGGTCTACAGCCGTTGCATCCTGGCTCAAAACCCAGAGCAGCCAGACAGACGACCACAGACATGCCTGCCACGGGACAACAATCTGCCGACTTTCCGAATATCGAGCTTCGACGTAGCATCCTCCAGACGGCGCCCAATGGCAAGGACAAGCTCATGGATGACGCTGCGGCTGGCGAGGTAGCAGCGGGAGCGGCTTCGAACGAGCTCTCGATAGATGAGAAGAACAGACAAAAGTGTGCAGTCTCCGGTGTCGACATCTCCCGAACGAGGTATCACAACTTTAAGACGCGCAACTTTGACATCTCTGCCAATGACTACAAAGAAGGTCGATATCCCTCCCACATGTCTGCTGCCGACTTCGTTCGGATCGATCAGTCTTTCTTCAAACATGCTACAGACGATGCCTGGACGGACCAAGAAACGCTCTTGCTCCTCGAGGGATTGGAAATGAACGAAGATGATTGGGAGGCCGTTTCGGAGCATGTGGGCACACGAAGCAGGGAGCAATGTATTGCTCACTTCCTCACGTTACCTATTGAGGATCCCTATCTCTCTGCGACGACTCGACAAGACTCGCTTGGTCCTTTGCAATATGCAAAAATGCCGCTCAACCAAGCCGACAACCCTGTGCTCAGTATCGTCGCCTTCTTAGCCAATGTCGTCGATCCCAAAGTCGCCGCTGCTGCCGCTCAATCAGCTATCGCTCAGATGACCCATTCGCTCAAGGACCGCGTGGCGGCAAATGACGATACGGCTGCCACTACCACGGCGAAGCCGGACGAGAGTATGCAGCTAGACGAAGCGAGTAAACCTAGCTCGACGTCCGACAAGCCGAAGAACGACATTGAGCGTGTTGCCTCGATCGCCCTGGGTGCGGCTGCAGCCAAAGCTCACTTGCTAGCCATGCAGGACGACAAAGATCTGCATCACTTGATCAGAGATGTAGTAGATACCCAAGTCAAGAAGATGGAGCTCAAGCTCACCCAATTCGAACAATTGGAAACCCTGCTCGAACTCGAGAGGAGACAGCTCGAACAGTCTAAGCAGGCGCTGTTCCAGGAGAGGATGACCGTCGCGAGGCAAGCTGCGCTCGTCAAGGATCTCGCTAGCAAATTACAATCGGGACAACATGTCGCGCCTGAGGAACTCGAAGCTGCCACGAACACGATGGCACTCTCGGGCAGTCTGCCGCCCTCTGCTCGAGCCGCGCCCGCGTCAAAACCTCTGGTCCCTTCTGAGCATGTTGTCGATCTGGCCTAACAACGCGAGCGTTTTGTTACTCTCGCGCGTGCTCGAGACGATGAGGAAAGAATTGAGTATACTGCAAGGCATAGGCAGAGTCTCACTCTTCTTTGGCAGTCTCATCTTCTTCCATGCTGCCTACTCGACCTGGGAAGGTCAGCTTATCTATGGCTTCCCTCACAGCTGTGCTCATCGTGCGCGTTAGCTCGAGTCCTGTCGGCGGATCCAGAGCTAAGCCGGGGTTCTCTGCCCAAAGACGTAAGGCCTGCAGCATCTTGCGATGCCCTTGCTCAACCTGTAGAGCACAGATCTTCCCCGAAGTGATTGCTTCGTTTACCTTGCTCGCACTCGGCGTCGTCTTTACTGCCACTCCGCTCAAGGAGATCTCGTGGGTTTCAGAGTACAGGCACCGTAACATCGATCAGATCGATGCCAGAGTGGGTTTCATGGATCTACACCACCGAGGGAAACTCTTCTTTGGCGATGGCGTGCCTGTGAAGAGTGCGCCTACCATCACTTTGACGGGCGAAAGTGGAGAGGTCAAGGTAGAGTAGTGCCAGGCTAGCTCAGGAGGCACCATCATGATGTATGTGTGTACAACAACAGTCATTTGCATCCTGTCAGCAGGCAGCGCAGCGCCTTTGCCAACTGAGCTGACGGACGATAGTGTCGCGTCGCCGTGCTTCCATGCCTCCACCGGCCACTCTTGTTGAACTCCTCTGGCTCTGCATGTGCAGAAGCATAGGCAGTCGCTCAGCTCCCAGCGATTGGTCAGAGTGGCACTCTGCAGCTGCAGTTTCAGGTCGTTGGTGGGACAATGAGATGGCCTATTCTCGCTCGAGCTTGCGCAACTGTCAAGCCGTCGCTTAGTCAAGCAGGCATAGCTCCAATAATAGGAGTACTGACCAGCTCGAACTGGGATCGGTCAAAGTGCTTGTGCTTCTGCTGCTTGGGCACATAACGCTCTATCCTCAAATTAGGCGGCAACACTCTCTCATCCGATCGAGCTCTCTCTATCGCCGCGTTCTCATCGAGCAACATGAGTTCCTCCGTAGACGGCAGGCCTGCCCTTTCGTATGCCTTTGCAATCAGTCGCGTTGAGGTCCGTTCTCGGAGGGGAGGGAGGTCAGCTTGGGCGGGCGGTAAGACGATCCTGTGGCCTTGCAGTGTTGACGTGCTCGGTACGATGGCTGAGACGGGATAGGCTCGCAGCCTGCCGAGTCTACCGATAGTCTGCATCATCTCTCCAAGCCACCCTGACTTGCTTGGATTCGGCTCCGGCTCTACTTTGCGGTCAATTTGGGTTCAGACAAATTTCCTCGACACGTCCGCCTCACGCACCCAAGCTGACCGAGCGAGCAATGTCTAGGCTGGCTCGAGCGAGCAGACCCGTGTCGAGAGGATGCGCAGCATGCGAGTTCAGCACATCTGCTTTCGTGCGAGCTGTACCGCCGAGCACATCAGCATCAGCCGATGGCAGCTCTTCTTCCACCACGGCGAGATCTGAGCAAGTGGGAGGGAGCAGCAGCGCCGTAGGCACAGGCAGGAAGAAGAACAATGCTCAGCCTGCTCTGACCAACTATGCCAAGTGGCTACGGACGGATGGCATCCAGTTCAAGCGACCCAGAACAGACGGTCAGCCCAATTGGATAGGATCATCTGTCTGTTCTCTCGTCCGTTGCTCACACAGAACGAGCTGATCCGAGCCCAAACGACAGCCATTCCCAGGCAATCCGAGCTTCAGGCCGGCAACGCCTCTGTCCGAGCTGACCAAGAATCGCATCTTTGTCTCTTTCCAGAACAAACTGCGACAGAATCTCCAGAGAGATCGTCCCCTGTCCGAGCTGGCCATCGTCAGAGAACTCGCCAACCGCCACCAGATTGCGATGGATCGAGTCAAAGCTGTCATCCGTCTCAAAGCCCTCTCGCTGGAATTCAAACAGAACGTAAGTCGACCGGCAAAATCGGATGGCTCCGGGCTGACGAGCTACTTGAAGGGCTTACCACTTCAGACGACTTTCCGAGACGGTATGGAACTCGCTCTCGGCGTCAGAGCCAACCAGAGCACGGCGATCACCGAACCTGTCGAAGGCAATGTAGAAAGGCGAGCAGGTCGACACCAGGTCTTTGAGATGTACGACGAAGAAGCGGGCGACGGAGCTATTCTGCTCAAGATACAAGAAGAAAAGGCCAAACGGAGAGCCAATGCTGATGCCCTGCGTGCTTCCGGCATCCTCGAAGGCAAACCTCTCGCGGTCGTCGAGCCAGTTCGACCGGGCAGGCCGAGACTGAGCGTACTCGACATTACAGGCACACCAAAGGGTCGAACGCTCGAGCAGACCTACCGAAATCTACCCAAAGCGAACAAGCAAAGGATTGTACAATAACGTGCGATATTGCATGCCTGCATTTGGACTTCTTGTGAACATCTATGCTTTCACGCCCAGGAATCTCTTGCAGCCTTCCCAGGTCGAGTAGGATATTGCCGTCATGGGGACCACTTTGATGTAACCGATCGACAGGCCGACGAAGAACCCTCGCCAACCTGACTTTGTCTGGATAGCTTGCGCCGCCTCCCAGAATCCTACCAGCCTATCAGGTCGAAGGAGTCCTCCGATTTGCATCCTCCGTCTGACGACTTCGAAAGGATACGAAGTCGTCTGAGAGGTAGCGCCCGCAATGGCTCCGCAGGCCAGATCGAGCAGCGTTCTATGCTCTTCTATTGTTGACCGATCGAAATATGTGGGCAACGATTTTCGTAATAATCCCCATACGGCGAAAGACGTCCCTGCATAAGGCACCATGCCGACGATGGAGACCGTGAATCCTCTGTAGAACTTCAGTAGGGGTATCTTGCTGAATGCGCTGTTGGGTGGGATGGTAGCAGTCGACAGTGGTTTGCCCTCTGAATAGATACGCCGAACGACGGGCAGGAATCGCGGTCGTTCAGATGTCGTGTGTCTCACGTCGAATGCCAGCCTGACTCGGATGAGTTCGAGCGGGTAGGTGAGAAAGACAGAGGTCACGCCTGCTATCGAACCCGCAAGGAAGAGTCTCATCGAGCTCTCCTTGTCCTTTGTGGGCATCAGTATCTGGCCTCGGTCATCATCCATTGAGCCCTTAGTTGTGCACGAGCCAGAGGACAGACTGACGCGATGTGCTTCGTCATAGGCCATAAACTTGATGGCAGCATAAGGAAAGATCCGCAAGAGCGTAGCCGAGTGTCCCTGCAAAAGTCCCCTCACGCCCGTCTCTTTGTAGATCTGCCAACTCCATGAGATCTACGGCACTTCAGGGAAAAGAGCGAGTGACGAACGAGAGAGGAAGCCCGGAACAAGCCAGAGAAGGAACCTGCATACTGCGCAAATGCGGGCTCTTGTGTTTGGAAGAGGATCTTGACTCTATCGAGCGGGGCGACAGAGGTCTTGGCGACACAACCTGCAATTCCTCCTGCCAATCCACTTCGGAGTATATCGCCCACTTCTTCCCGCTCCCTTCGTCCGCCTGTTGTCCTTTGGCCGGGCTTGCTCCTTGGCGGTCGCTCTAGGTCTTTGGAGGAGCCCTGCACGAACTCGCGCATCGATGAGCGTCAGTAGCCGAGTGAAGCCTGATTTCTGGGAGCAGGTGCTGACGTGTCACGTGGTTGCCGGCCTGGCAGGCCATTCGCGACCGAGCGAACATCAGCGGTCTCGACTGGAGGCGATGAGGCAAGCTTGCGCAGGGTCCCAGGTGCAGTACTGACTCGGTAGATCTATTGCAGCAAGTTCGTGCGAGCATCACGCTATCGGCATGTGTACGGTCAGGCTGTGAGACCGCTTCTCAGTGCGAGCTCCAGACGCGCGACTGATCAGACGAGCTCGACAGGTCAAGAAGGAAGCGGCGTATGACAACTTGAAAGTGTCTGCAAGCGCATGGGATACGGATCTCGTCTCTATCAATCCAAAGTACGTCCGACGCTCGCGTCATAGTCCTCGCGACTGAGGGAGTTGGATCAGGTACCTTGCTGTCAACTACCAAGTCAGCGGAGGAGGAGCATTTCTCGTCTGCCCCTTGAGCAAGACGGGCAAGATCCCAGATATCTACCCGCTCTGTCGCGCTCACACGGCTCCCGTGCTCGACACTTCCTTCAACCCGTTCAACGATGACATTATCGCGTCGGGCGCAGAGGACTCCAAAGTCAAGATCACAAAGATCGACCAGGACAAGCTGGAAGCAGCATGGATAGACGGCGTAGAAGTCGTCGACCTCCTGCCGCTCTCGACCAATTTCTCACATGGCAGAAAAGTCGGCAATGTGCTCTGGCATCCCACAGCAGAGAACGTCCTCACATCAGCGTCGTACGATATCAAGCTGTGGGATGTCACGCACGAATCTGCACAGGCCGAACTGGCCGCACACCCTGATATGGTCCAATCGATGAGTTACAATTGCACGGGCTCACTCCTCGCGACGACGTGCAAGGACAAAAAGCTGCGCATCTTCGATGTCAGATCTGGCCCTGCGCCCATTAAGATCGCCGATTCGCACACGGGCGTCAAGTGAGTCCAAGATCATCTTTTTGACGTTCCTGGCTCAAACAGATACAGAGCGAGTCGCGTTTGCTGGCTAGGCAATCTCGACCGAATCGTCACGACGGGGTTCAGCAAGCTCAGCGATCGACAGGTTTTCCTCTGGGACTCTGACACACTTACCAAGCCCATCAAGCAACTCACGATCGACACGTCGTCGGGCACACTGATGCCTTACTGGTCAGACAATTCCATCCTCTTCCTGGGCGGCAAAGGCGATGGCAACATCCGCTACTACGAATACGAGAACGACGATCTCGTCTATCTCACAGAATACAAATCCAGCGATCCTCAGAGGGGTATCACCTTTATGCCTCGTCGAGCGCTCAATGTGAGCGATTGCGAGATCGCGAGAGCGTACAAAGTCACGAGCAACATGGTCGAACCCGTTTCCTTCATCGTTCCTCGCAAGTCAGACGCCTATCAAGCTGATATATACCCTCCTGCTCCAGCTGGCAAATCCAACTTATCCGCTCCCGACTTCTTCTCAGGCGAGACAAAGCCACCCATCTACATCGAATTGGAGCACAAAGCCGAGACGGCAGCCCCGCCGAGCTCGGCGCCCACAACGCCCGTGACGGCCAGAACGATAAAGAAACAGGTATCCGTCGAACCGGTTCCAAAATTCGAGCCTGCTCCTTCGAAACTGGCAGTTGTCATTCCGGAGCCCAGCGAACCTGAGCTACCGCCCGTCAGCGCAAAAGCAGTCGAAGAAACTCCTGCGCTGGCCCCAGAGGAGACTATACCACCTGTCGAGCAAGAAGCGGTGCCTATACTCGCGCCTGTACACACGAATGGCGGTGGCGATCATGAAGAGATGGCAGAGCTGAAGAGTCAGCTAGCCGAACGAGATAATACCATCAGACACTTGGAGCTCAAGATCGAGCAACTCATGGCCTCACGACAAAGGGCGATAGATCATCTCAGCGCTCTGTAATACATACAAACGAGGCATTGTTTCTACTTGGACATGTAGGCTTTCCAGCCCATCGTATCGAGCGATTCGATCTTTGCTTCCACCTCTTGCTCTAGAGAGACTTGGTAGTCTATCATGGCTTGCCTGTAATCCGAGACAGTATCGCCCAAGATGCGAATGGCGAGAAGAGCTGCATTAGTGGCATTGTTGATGCCTACTGTTGCTACTGGGATTCCTCTGGGCATCTGGACGATCGAGTAGAGCGAATCGACGCCGTCTAGCACGCTCGCTTTGATTGGCACACCGATGACGGGCAAAGGTGTGTGAGAGGCAACCATTCCGGGTAAGTGTGCTGCGCCGCCCGCGCCTGCAATGATGACTTTGAGACCTCTCGATTGTGCTTCGATGGCATAGGTGTTCATCAGGTCGGCAGTACGATGTGCCGATCGAACGGTCAGCTCAAAAGGCACTTTGAAGTTTTCGAGTATCTCGGCAGCTTTGCTCATGACGGGCAGATCCGAATCTGATCCCATGATGATGCCTACCATGGGTAGAGGATGGGATAGACCAGGTCTGATTACGAGTGGATAAGCGGTCGATGGTGATTGGGTATAAGATGCAGGTAGAGCTGCAAGAAGGGGCAGCAATCGATCTTGTACCTGTGCATCCGATTCGCCTACAACGGTGATGTGTCCCATCTTCCTTCCCGGTCGACAGTCTGCTTTGCCATAGAGATGCGTCGTCGCACCGTCGACGTGCAGACTGGCTCGAACGACAGAGGAAATCTCTTCCATCGAGTTGGATGATCCGAGCAGGTTGAGCATGACGGCGGATCCCACTTTCATCTCTGTAGAACCTAGCGGGTAGCCTAGTATCGCCCGTAGGTGATTCTCATATTGCGATGTCAAGCAAGCCTCGATCGTATAGTGACCCGAATTATGCGGCCTTGGTGCGATCTCGTTCACCAAGATCTCCCCTGACATTCCGCGTGAGCAGGAAAAATTCCGAACAGTGAAGAGGGACTGACCACTTGGCATGAGAAACATCTCGACGCCAAAGATGCCTACCGCGCCATCACCAAAAGTGCCAACTGCTTGCTCTGCAATCTGACGGGCTCTCTCTCTGGTCGACCTGTTGCCTTTCCTGAGGGGGCAAATGACGAGATGACAGATCGAGTCTCGATGGATCGTCTCTACTGCAGGGTAAGATGCGATCTTGCCGTCTCTGCCTCTGACGACCATCACTGCAATCTCGCAAACAAAGGGTGCGAATCCTTCTGCGTAGAGCGGTCGTTGTCCTTTGCCGAGCGCTTCGATGGCCTTTGCGATCTCTGCCGGAGCATCTGACTTGAGCAGATAGTTGCCTTTGCCATCGTAGGCCATCGTACGAGATTTGAGCATGAGCGGCAAGCCCAGTTGTTGTATTGCTTGCGTTATGGAACTCGTTGCAGATGATGGCTCGACCGGTAGAAAGCGCGCCAGGGGTATGCCATGCGATTGGAAATGGCGCTTTTGCTCGTACTTGTCTTGTATGAGCTTGATCGTTGCAGCACTGGGGAAGATATCCATCTTTGCAGCTTCGGTCGTTGACATTTTGGAGAGCTGATCCGTGTCGACGTGCTCAATCTCCACCGTGAGGACGTCAACTTTTGCAGCAAGCGCGGCGATGCATGCAGGGTCACCGAACGAGCCTGTGATGTGATCTTGGGTACGATGGGAGAGCTGCTTGGCGGGTGAAGTAGCTGATGGATCCAAAAAGACAATGTCGAGGTTCAGTCGGTGACCGGCCTCGAGCAGCATCCGCCCGAGCTGACCGCCGCCTGCATATCCCTCGTCATCAGCGCTCCTGTACTACTGTCAGACTTCTCTTGCCTACCCAGGACGCCTATCCTTCGAGTCTCCATGGGTGCGGCAGATGGCGACAAGGTGCGCGTCAAATTTCTGTCGACGAGAGCAAGACGACGACGCAGACCGAGCAAGATGCCGACGGTGTTCAGTCAGCTCGCAGTGCTCTGTGAGGCAGACGCAGAGACCGACAAGATCTTGCTCGAGCAAGCAAGCCGAGTTGCTCCTCTGCTGCTCGATCTGGCCTCTTTCGAGTCACTTGCCAACACTGCATCAGCCTTGCTCTCCTCGTCCGAAGTCTGGCTCGATCTGTCGTCTCAGCCCGATGTGAGCACGTTGGCAAGCAAGCAGCTCGATGGGGGCATCTCAAGGGTCGTTGTAGCACCCGCTACGACTGAGGATGCTCAACAGCTGCTTCAGGCCGGCTTGCCCACTGAGAGACTCGTTCTGCGCTTGTCACCCGAGAGTTCCATCTCATTGCCGAGCATACTAGAAAGGACTTCACTCACTGCACTTCTCGTCGACATGCCGGTCGCGCAAGATGGACAGATTGATTCTGCCGTCTTGGCCAGCTTCAGAGAGGCACTCGGCGGCAAAGCGAGCCGAGAGACCATCTCGCTCTTCATACGACCTACGTTCACGACCCAAGAGACTCTGGGAGTGGACGCGAGAGATGCAATCAGGTCGAGCTTCGTAGCAGGCACGCCAGTGCTTGACTTGCGTTCCCGAGACGGTCTCGAGCAGATCACCTCGGCTTTCCTGAGCGCGCTCAAGACAGATCGACCTGATGCGCTCTATTCTACAGTCGTAGCTAGCTCGACGGCTTCGCGTCTGCCCCTTGGACTCGTCTACTCTTCCGCCGAATCCATCAAAGCTTCTATCGAAACAGGTCGGGCAACTTACTTCTCGCGCTCTCGTAATGAAATCTGGAAGAAAGGCGAGACGTCAGGCGCGACCCAAGTGGTCGAGCGCATTCTGATCGACTGCGATGGAGATGCTCTCCTCTTCTCGGTCGTCCAGAAACAGGGCACCTCGTTCTGTCATACCGAAAAGTCAGTCTCTTGCTTTGCACCCCTGCAAGGTTTGGCAGATCTCGAGCAGACGCTCTTACAACGCAAGGCCAACTCACCAGCTGGAAGCTACAGCAAGCGATTGTTCGACGATAGCGCCTTACTCGAGGCTAAGATCAGAGAAGAGGCGGACGAAGTGTGCAGGGCGACAACTAAGGAAGAGACTGCAGCGGAAGTCGCAGATCTCATCTACTTTGCTCTCGCCCGGTGTGTGAGCAAAGGTGTCACGCTAGCAGACGTTGAAGCTGTCCTGGACAAACGAGCGCTCAAGCTCACTCGTCGACCGGGCAATGCCAAGCCTGCCTTTACCAACGGCGCGAACGGCGATAAGCAAGAAGAAGCAGTAGCCAATCTAGCGAATCGATCGACCGTGCTACCCATTGCTCAGCTGAATGGTACACATCCCGAAGCGAGCCAGCCCAATGGCCGCATCGTGCCGCCTATCTATACCCTTGCAGACTGTTCTGCCAAAGAACGCCAGGCGCTCCTGAAGCGTCCTCTCGTAGACTCGAAAGACATGGTTGCAAAAGTCCAACCCATTCTCGACACAGTGCGAACCGGCGGCGACGTCGGACTGAGATCCTTCATCGAGAAATTCGATCGCTGTCCTCTCGCTGCTTCATCGCAATGGTCTCATACCCTCACAGCGCCTTTCCCAGACGAATTGGCGCGAATAGATCCCAAGACCAAAGCAGCGATCGATGTCGCGTTCGAGAACATCAAGCTCTTCCATGCTCGTCAGATGGACAAGGAATCTGTCGTTCTCAAAGTCGAAACCATGCCCGGTATAGTTTGCAGCCGCTTCGCGAGACCTATCGATAGAGTGGGACTATATGTTCCCGGTGGAACGGCTGTGCTACCGTCTACTGCCATGATGCTCGCTATTCCTGCTCATATCGCTCAATGTCCTTTCATCTCCATCGCCACGCCACCTTCGTCAGAAGGCAAGGTCAGGCCCGAGATCGTCTATATCGCTCAGAAATGCGGCGTTCATCAGATCGTCATGGCGGTCAGTCCTCTGCTCGTGTCAGCTAATCCTCGCTGATCGATTGGCCGGATTGACAGGGAGGAGCACAAGCTGTGGCTGCGATGGCCTACGGCACAGAAACAGTGGGCAAAGTCGACAAGATCTTCGGACCCGGCAATCAATGGGTCAATGCCGCAAAGATGGCCGTATCCATGTCGATGGGAGACGCCGTCAGTATCGACGCACCCGCCGGTCCGAGCGAAGTCCTCGTCATTGCCGATCGTACTGCAGATGCAGCTTTCGTCGCTTCCGATCTGCTTTCTCAGGCAGAACACGGTCCAGATTCTCAAGTTGTCTGCTTGGCCATCAACCTGACGGACGATCATCTGACGGCCATACAAGATGAGATTAACAAGCAAGCTTCAGTCCTACCTCGAGTGGGCATCGTCAAGCAAGCCATCTCGAAATCGCTCACTGTTCGGTGTGCACATCTGAAGGAAGCGCTTGCATTCAGCAATGACTATGCACCAGAACATCTCATCCTTCATCTTGAGGATGCGCCCGGCGCTCTGGACCATGTCAGAAACGCAGGTAGTGTGTTCGTGGGTGCCTATAGCCCAGAATCGTGCGGAGACTATGCCTCGGGCACGAACCACACGCTCCCTACTGCGGTAAGTTACTTGTCGGATGTCTTCACAAGGCTGATCCTTGGCATCTGCAGGGCTACGCGCGCCAGTACAGCGGTGTTTCCACATCGGCTTTCTTGAAACACATCACTTCTCAGCAATTGACGGCAGAAGGTCTCGACAAGCTCGGACCATCTGTCGTCACGCTTGCGGAAGTCGAAGGCCTCGAGGCTCACGCGAATGCTGTTCGAGTGAGATTGCAGCGTCGAGGCGCAGAGTAGACTTTTTCTGTCGTATGCAGATTTGCCCTAGGCCATCGCACGCGTCCGACTGCCTTGAAGTACTGATAGGCTTGTATCGAGATCGTTTGCGTTGGCACCTGAGCCGACTTGAAAGCCACGTAACAGGCTTACGTCTGAGTCGCGTGATGCAGTGCTGAGCATGTCGGGCATACGGTCTATCCAAGCGACGGGCAGACTGCTCTCTATAGAGGTTGTGTTACTTGGTGTGATGTGCTCGAACCCGCGCGGACAAGGATACTGCCAGTCTGTCACGTCGAGTTCGTCCACCTTGGCACGCAGCCTTTGCACGATGTTCTTGCTCAACGCTGTCACACCCAGCTTGAGCACAGAACGCGAGGCTGAAGCCACATCACTGACTCTGCTCGTCGTAATGAGCAAGGTTGCGCTTGATGAGCATTGCAGCATGTTCAGCCCGCCAAGAGTCATCGAGTTCCCACGTGAATGCCTTTGGCTGGTCCCAGCCGAGATCCCTGAGCACTCTTGCTTCTACTTCTTCCTCCGTAGCGTCTATCAAGCTATCGTCATCGGCCATGTCTTCATCCTCGTCGGACGACTCGTAATCTGCAGATGCCCATCTGTCTCCTCCTTCGTCCATGAGACTCGCAGTCGCTTCTGTTGCCGTCCTGCTCTGCCCGCGCCGATAATCTGGCGTCTGAGCAGCATACGGTCGGTTTCGGTAGGTCTCCAGTTCGCCCGCATCGACGCTATCTGCCGTGATATCCTCTTGGTGCGACATGTGCGTTTGCTCGGACAAGACTGATGCGCCGGCGGGGAAGCCGGGAGAAGAGGTCGTGATGTCTGTGGACGCTGTTGTGGAAGTGCCGGCATTGCGATAAAGCTCCGGCGACGCCGACATGGCAACGTATCGATGTCCGTTCAAGCCGACAGTCGCGCGTTCGCGTCGTTCATCATCGATTGGTACGGTACCGTGACTTCAGAAAGAATGACCAGCGCTCAGTGGCCTATACTGCTTGCACGTGTGGGGCAACAACAGCGCTACTTCTCTTTCTGATCGTTAAGGCATCGTCAGTATGGCAAAGCGGCATCCCACTGACTTTGCCTCGGCCGATAGGGGGGCAGTAAATATTTTCGATTGGCAAAGAGTCTGTCATCGAGATCATCGAGGTGACCGGTCTCATTGAGAGACTGGCGATCTAGTACGGTGATCTTGCGTGCTTTGAGTGCCCGATTGAGGCGGCCCAGAATACGGTGCCAGCGACCGAGTTCCATCATGTCTGCATTGGGAACGCCGTCCCAATTGATGCCAACGGTATGCAGGGTCGGCAATGCTGGCAGCTCGTGAAGCAGTGCCTCCATCGCTTTCGTGCTGTGGATCTGGACGTCGCACAAGCTTGGCATGATGATCCTTTGTGCGAGCATCGACACGTTCGAAACATGAAGGCGCCTGAGCTCGCTCATGGGGAGTCTATTTGATGGATCGAGGCGTATCCCTGGTCTCGGGATGTCGTCCACGAAATGATGGAGTGTCTTGATTGAGTTGCAGTGCGCTCTTAGGATAGCCATGACCGCTTCTGGCGTAAAGGCATACTGCAGCGCCAGAGTATGGAGCTGGCTCTTCCAGTCATCAGACCACGCAGATGCTGGTACTTGCATCCGGGTCAAGAGATACAGTTCTTGCAACGATGGATGACCGACGATCGCGCGAGCGAGCGCAACCTGAGCTGACATACGAGCTTCGAAGTTGGATTCGGGCGGTCTGGTGCCGCGCTGCAGATCAGAGGAGATGTGCAAGCTACGCAACTGCCCGCACAGCTCGATGATCCGCGGCACGTGCTGATTGGGACCACTTGGACCTGCGCTTTCGGGATCGGTCACAAGCTCGTCATAATTTGTGATCCTGAGCTTCATGAGCCTGTGCGACAACTCTGGTACATTGAGGAAGAGTCTCTCCAGATGACTAGCTCCATGCAGTGAGCTCGAAAGCGAGTCAAGGTCTTGCATCATTTCGAAAAGCTCGATGTAAATTTGGCTGACTGTCTCCTGATCGCAGAGTCTGATGAACAGATCTCTGTCGTCAAAGTCCTTGATCATGTTTTGCATACCACCTGACGCGGACAAAGTGTCAACGAGGCTTGCCAGCGCATCGACAGACCATGGCTGGATAACCTGCGACGCTGCAGCAAATCAGCTCAGCCTTGAGCTGAGTGATCGCTAGCTCGCCCTGAAGAGACGCTTGCGGCAAACACTTCTGATGTACTTGCATGTCTCGCTGAGCGCAGTGACGTCAACTTGGCGTTTCTTCCTCTCTGGCTTCTCTGCGACGGTCTTGCTGCCAGGACGGTGTGCATAATCGCGATAGGCCGGCGAATGATCGAGGCAGTGCAAGACGATCTTGTCTAGCAGCTCTGGTGGCAAGCTGTCGAGCCTCGCTAGCGGCGATACGTCCATCGTGCCTCCTGGCCACAGATAAGCCAGACTGATGACGCTTGCTGCGTGCAGACTTCGTCGAAGCTGTCCGACCACTGCTGATCGGACTAGCTGCCGGTGATGACGAGCATTGTCGTGGGGTGACTGGCGAAGCGGCTGCTGACCCGTCGCAGTCGTGTCGACATCGATCTTATCGACTTTAATCGATCTCTCTCGGTCGATCGCGTGCGCGCTGAAGACAGAAACTGGATTTCGCTCCTCAACAACCTCGAACCCCTAAAACCATCAGGCATCCTTGATCGAGCTCAATGACTCTCAAGCTCGAGTAGCAAGCCTGATCAATCACGCAGCAAGACATTACGGTGCTCAGGATCCAACGGATCCATGTCTCTCAGCCAATTGCCTCCTGCGCTACTCAGGCCAATCGGCGAATGCCTCCTCCAAGAGGCAGGCCAGCAGGATGTCGCCAGGCTCATGCGATAGTCTCAGCGGCTCAATACGATCTTGAGATCTGTTCTGTACAGCTAAATGCGTCTCTTGTCCTCGAAAGAAGCACGAGCGCTGCTCAAAACGTTGGTTGCTGATGCGCGACTCTGTCGGGCTATCCGTCAGCTCGAGATCGTGTGCCAGCAGATGATCCCGTTGACGATTCACCGGCCGCTTTTCGAGGACGTGAAGCGATCTTTCGCGAGGCAGAGGGAATCACGGAACTCGTCTGGACAGATCCAACGATGTCAAGCGAAGGCTGCGCCGCCTTTGCTACCCATAAGCTAGAGAGCCTTGATATTGTCGGGGAAGTATATGGCAATCTCAAGCAAGGCCCTACTTTGCCAGTGCTTCAGATCAGCAGCACCCTGCATAGACTCGTCTTGCTCGTACCGAACGAATTCAACCTGCAAGCATTCGCCAGAGTCTTTCAGGCCGCATCTGCTCCCAAATCTGTCGATCTTGAGCCTCATCTTATGCGGCGATGTCTTCGCACTGCATCACCACCGACCTATAATGAGCTGGATTGCATTCTTTGATGCTCTTAGCGTTACCTTTTGTGAAGGCGAAGTCAAGATCACGCTTCGCTCAGAAGACTCGAGACAACGCGCGATCGCTTGACGGGTTGATCGTTCAGCGGCGTCTTCGCGATGTCCCGAGTACAGTGTAAGAATGCACGGCCGTAGAGTTACAACATTGGATCACAACATCGCCAAAAATTTGAAGAAGCAATTTTAAGGCTCAAAATCATCTTCGTCGCTATCTGCGACTTTGGCGCGAGATCGTGACTTCGACTTCTTTGGCTCGTATGTCTCCTCATCGCTCTCATCAGAATTGAGCATCGAGCTGGCACGTTTGGCGTTCGTTTTGGCTGCGCGAGCCGGTGCCCTTGGCTTGGGCGCAAGTATCAGCTCAGGCGTGCTGTCTGCGCTCTTGCCCGGACTGAAATCATCTTCATCGTCAGAGAGCTCAACGATGGACTGCTCGCGCTTGGCAGTCTTGGCTTTGGGTTTTTCAGCCGCTTTCTTGGGCTTTGGCGCGACTGGTGTCGCGTCTACGGAGACCGGCGTTGCCTTCATGCTCTCATTGTCGGCAATACTGAGAACAGATTCGGCCCGCTTGGTGGCTTTGGACTTCGCTACTGGCGTGGCGATGCTACTGATGGGCGAATCAATCACCATCGCATTGGTCGCTTTGACCGGCTTCTTGAAATCCAAGAAGTCATCTTCGTCTGACTCTTCTAGAATAGACGTTGCTCTCTTGGCATTCGTCTTTGCCTTCCGGAAAGGTGCTCGGCTGGCAGTCGATGCAATACTGACTGCGGGCGAAGAATCGACTTTGCTTTTCTTGACAGCCGCCTTTTTGGCGCCTGGCTTGTAATCATCATCTTCCGAGCCGTCAAAGCTAGACGCAGCGCGTTTGGCCGATTTGCCTTTGCGTGCAGCCGCCTTTGCCTTGCTCAGACTGGTCTTGAGAATGTTCTCATCCTCGACGAGTGCGGACTGCCAGCTGAGCTGCAAAGCGTCAAGATCTTCGATCCAGAGCATCTTGGGTGTCTTAGCCAACAGAATATTGAGCTCCGCTTCCTTCTCGTCGCGTTGAGCCAGCAATTTGGCAGCCTGCGCAAGGGTTAGCTCGGTAAACGGCATCAAGCAAACGGGCGCACCTTTTCAGCAGTCAGCGTTGACAATGCTAGGCCGAAGAGATATTCGTAGTCAGCAGCGCTGAGATCGAGCGCATCGTTTGCCGCATCGTCCTCGTCAACGTCGACAGCGACGCGTTTGCCTCGAGGGAACGGCTGATAAGACTTGGCGCGCAACTCCGCGACCAGCTCTGCGCGCTTGCGGTTGGCAATGACGAGCTCTTTGTTGATGATAGCAAGGATGAAGCGGGCTTGATTCGAGAGGCGTTGATGTGCGAGCTCGAGCTCTTTGGTGAGGTACTCCTTGCGCTTTTGGTAGAATGTCAGACGGAAGTCATAGAATGCATCGAGTATCGCTTCTGGAGTCGAGTATTTCTGGATCTTGCCTTGCAAATCGAAGCACACCATGTTACCTGTAGAGACCGCCGACGAAAGCTTGAATGTCTTTTCGATGCCGTCTTTAGCAATGGCCTCTTTTCCCTTTGCTGTTAGCTGCAGCTTGAAGTGCACTGTCGTATTAGCGTGATACTCTTTGTAGTCCTAGTGTAAATGTCATGTCAGTGATCGTAGATTGAAGACTGTTTCTCCCACCTTGATAAGGGCAGGCGCCTTCTCTGTACCCTGAATCCAGGCTTCGAGCAGTTCTTTGTATGTCTGCGTCCAAACCCGTACGGGTAGCTCTGTGATTTCGAGTGTATCTTCGTCTGGTTGAGACCATACGCCAAGACATTTGAACTTATCAGCGCCAAGACGAACAATCTCTCCTTTGTAGCCTCGATACCAAGGAAGCAGAGGAATCCGCTCATCCTTGTCTGCCAGCTTTGCACGGAGGTTCGCAATGATGTCAGCAGGGTTGTATGTCGGGATGGTCGAGCTCCAACCGGTACCAATGCCGTCCGAGCCGTTGACGAGCACCATCGGAATCACGGGCATGTACCACGAAGGTTCAATGCTTTGACCGTCATCGCTCAGGTACGTCAGTAGATTATCATCCGCAGGATGGAAGATCGTGCGCGTAATCTGAGCAACGTTTGTGAAGATGTAACGAGCCGAAGCTGCATCCTTGCCACCCTGGAGACGCGTACCGAACTGACCGTTCGGATCGAGCAGATTGATGTTATTACTGCCGACGAAATTCTGGGCCAAGCCTACGATCGTGCCGTAGAGCGAAGCTTCACCATGATGGTAGGCAGATTGCTCGCTGACGTAGCCTCCAAGCTGAGCGACCTTGATCTCTTTCTTGAGATTGCGCTTGAAACAGCCAAAGAGAACTTTGCGCTGGCCAGGTTTGAAGCCGTCCACGAGCGAGGGTATCGAGCGAATGTTATCCGCCATCGAGTAGAGGATGAGCTCTCTGTTGACAAAGTCTGAGATCGGAATTTGCTTGATGCTGTGATCAAGGAAAGTGCCAGGAATGAAGCTAGCGAGCCAATCTTTGCGGTCGTCTGCTTTCTTCTTGTTGAAGGCCATGTCGATCAGGCTACGGTCCGCGTCATCTGATACGCGGAAGCCGAGTCGATGCGAATCCATGTCGCCAAAGTACTTGCGAGCGTCTGCAGCTGTGCTGGTACCCAAACCCTTGTAGTACTTTATGTCCCACCCGCGTCCATCGTTATTTTCGGCCTTCCATGCTTCATATTCTGGCATGGTAAAGAAGGCTCTTTCTTGTCGTGCACGACTGATCTTGACGATGGGCGTAATGAACTCGACAAGGAAGCCAGGAATGCGAAGGAGAGAGGGAAAGAAGTAATCCAGAAAGTTGATGATAAGGCCCTTGATGTGCGAGCCATCGTGATCTTGATCAGTCATGATCATGAGATGACCGTACCGGAGCGAGTCGACAGACTCGTATGTCTTTCCGTGCTGCAAGCCCATGATCTGCTTGACCGCATTGATCTCGATATTGTCTGTGAGCGTCTTGCCTTGCGATTCGCGAACATTGAGCAATTTGCCTCTGAGCGGGAAGACGCCGAATGTATCTCGACCGACAACTTCGAGGCCAGAGACTGCGAGTGCCTTGGCTGAGTCACCTTCGGTCAGGATGAGCGTGCAGTTGCGGCCGTTCTTCGTGCCAGCTTGATTGGCATCTTCGAGTTTCGATATGCCAGTAATGCGAGATCGCTTGTGCCCATCTGTCTTTTTGAGCTGCTGTTCTTCCTTGAACTTTGCCCAGTTGAGGACATTGTCGACGACGCCAGACTTTGTGATCTTCTTGATGAATTCTTCAGAGACTTTGCACCTCGAGCCGAACTTTCCAACGGGCAAGATCAAGTTCTCTTTCGTCTGCGAATCGAAGGAAGGGTTCTCGACCAGGCAATTGATAAAAATCCAGAGGTGAGGTCTGATCTGCGACGACTTGACATTGGCATGCTTGTTTTTCTTCTTGACAGCAGCGATGAGACCCTCTGTCAGCTGCTTGGCTACATGTTCGACGTGCGTGCCACCCTTTGTGGTCGCAATCGAGTTGACAAACGAGACTTGGTTGAAGTCGCCATCCGAGACCGTAAAGGCGACCTCCCAGCGTTCGCCAAATTGTTCGTAGATGATCTTGCCTGGCTGAGCACTTTTACCAGTGGGCGGCGCGCCTGCCAGATCAGTCGCCTGTGACTGAGACTGGGAAAGCGCAGGCGTGGCGGAGACGACAGAATTCGATCGAGCTCTGGCTTTGGTAGGCGTGGGCACATTGCCTTGTTCGTCAACAGCACGCGTGTAGAGCTCGACGTATTTCTTGAAATTGTTCACACGAAGCTTCTTGCCATTGAGCGATACCTGAACGTCCTTGACTGTTCCCGCCATGTCATACACTCTCTTCTGCAGAAGAGCTTCCGTGTCTGGGTCTAGACCGGCCTCTGCCATGTGTCCGAAGCGTTTGAAATCTGGCCTGAAGGTGATCTTGGTGTAGGCCTCGCCTTTCTTTGTGTCCGTGATCTTGGCTTTGCCTTTGCTCGACATATTGTTCGTCCAGGTCTGAACGTACTTCTTGCCGCTCTTCTGGCACGCAGTTTCGACGGTAAAGGAAGTCGAGTAGATATTGGCAAGCTTGGCGCCATAGCCGTTTCGACCACCCGTCGTCTTCTTGTCGTCGTCGTCATAGTTGGACGAAGTCAGTAGGTGGCCAAAGATGAGTTCGGGGATGTAGATATTTTCCTTTTCGTGAATGACGACCTCGATGCCCATACCGTTGTTCCAAACTGAGATCTCGCCCTTTTCGGTGTCGATGTTGACTTTGAGCTCTGACATGCTAGGGCATTGTTGCTGTCATGACGTTGAGCCGTGAGTGCGGGTATGTATGAAGCCAGTGTGACATACCTTTGCGTCTGCGGCATTGACAAGAATCTCATCAAAGATCTTGAAGAGACCGGGCACAAACGTGATTGTCCTGCGATGATAGCTGATCAGCAGCTGCGAGACCCAGGCGGGACGGAAGCGACATACTTTTGAGCCATACAAGAGCGAGTTGCATCCCAGATCCACATGGGCTGGGTGATAGACTCGACAGAGCCAATGTAGGTATCAGGTCGCAGGAGGACATGCTCAAGTTGTGTAATCTACAGGCAATGAGCTACGCTCGAGACCTGTCAAGGATCATCCGAACCTTCTGGTACTTTGCACTCGCAGATTTCTCGACCTTGTCGGTAGGCCCAGTCGAAGGCACGACATTCTCGCTCCCTTGAGACGGTTTGACGACTTTTGGCTTAGGGGCAGCTTTCTTGCCTGCACTGGCAGCTGCCTTCGTCTTGCCTAGCACATTGGTGATCTCTCTCGGGGCAGCAGGAGAAGATCCAATGCAGAACGAGGAGTCGTCGCCTTGGAATTCTGACGAGGCCGAGTCGCTTGCCATCCTTGCGCTTCTGCGCCAATCGAGCGTGACTCGGCTCCTGGGACTACAGTGATGTCGGACACAGGCTCCTGGTACACGTGAGCACGCTCGCAGGAAGCCGGCCAGCGCGGCGCTACTCGTGTAGACCCTCTTATTATACGCGAGCAACGCAAGCGCGACGCGTCTTTTGACTTTAATGGGCGTGGCCGTCGTCTGCCACTCGGCTTCCCCGCCTGGCAGCAAGTAAAACGCTGCTGCTGCTAAAACCCCGCGACTCAGCAAAGAGACGAATTGTACAACACGAGATGCATTGGATATGTTGAGTCAAGCGAAAAGGTCACTCTTCCGCTTGTACGAATGGATTCGCAATTTCCTCAAAGCTGAGAATGCATCTGCCCAGTCAGCACATGCCATGCTTGGCGGAAACAGAGTACTTGCCCATCTGTAGGGTTGATGACGACGATAGCGGTGCCTCTGATAACCGTCAGGCCCAGTGAACGATACTGCGCAGGATCGAGCGGCGCAAGCGTGTCGGGGTCTGATGGCCCGCGCTTGTGAGCTACTGATTCAAAACGGTGCGCGATCTGCGTACCTCTGACGAGCTCTTGCACGTCGTCCAGGACCATATTCATGAGCTGATCTGAGCCTTTGAGTACGCCCGTCACTGAAACAACGAGCAAATATCAGCATCTGTCAGCTCGAGTCCTTCGACGTGCTCGGAGGCTGTCCAAGAGCGTTCGCAGGGTGTATTGGCGGTAGAGCTGATGCTGGCCGCAAGCCTATCAGAGAGGAGAGAAATTACCTTCACGTCCACCGAGGAATTTGACTCGGATCCGCTGGTCTCTATACTTGCTCAGCTCGAGAATCGCTTCCTTCTTCGGCCTATCCGGTATGCTCGCCCCTCCTGGCCCGTTTCGAGCTGCGTTGGGCCCTCCGCCTCGTGCATTGCCTCCTCGAGATGGTCCGCCTCTATTTGAACCTCGCTGCAATAGTCCTCCTCATCTTAGCACGACCCTGTCACGCTGATGTGAATGGACCTGCCCCTCGCGCAGAGCCTCTGTCAGCCATCTTGGGCAGCCAGGCAATGCCAATTGATGCGATGATGGGTGCTCTCCCTGGCCGGCTCTGGCTCTGTGTCGCGATACGCGTCAAATCTTTTGGGCTTACCCTCGTCGGCCACATCCGCCAGACGGTACTCAAGTCGAGACGAGCGTGCACAGCGTCGGTGCAAGCCTGACCTACGCGGCCGCTCACATTCGCTCATTGCTCACTTCTCCGAGCTCGCAAGACGCCGCGATTCGGTAGCAAGTACGTGCAAGGAAAAGTACTGACTGCTCAATCCAGCTCGCTCTGTACCGGCGTGTCGTGCTGCGACGCATCAGAAAGCGCGCAGATCGACCTTTTTTGCAGTCAGTGAGCAGCTGCAGGACTTCAGCAGTCGGCACGGGCAGCTACCGCCGAAGCGAACCTCAAGGTTCACAGGCGTTAGCCGAGCCACCCTTTTGCTGAGCTATACGTGTCGATCTCACAGGAGCTGCCTGCTCCAACAAGAGCAAAGATGTCAAACGTAGTCGAGCTGCTCAGCGCGACCCTGTCTGCAGACGCAGCAGCGCGAGAGAACGCTACTTCGTCACTCGAAAGACTAGCAACCGAATCTTTCGGTCCCTATCTCGACGCGCTGTCATCTGCCCTGTCCAGCAGTGCCACGCAATCCTACCTGCGCAATGCTGCCGGTCTGGCCATCAAGAACGCGCTTTCTGCGAGAGACACCAGTCGGCAAGAGGATCTCGCGCTCAAATGGCTAGCAACGGAGCCGGCCACGAGGAACAAGATCAAGACTGACACTCTGCAGACATTGGCGAGCGAAGATCCGGTGGCGAGAAATGTGGCCGGTCAAGTCGTCGCGGCAGTGGCAGCCATCGAGCTACCTATCGGTCAATGGAACGATCTGATCGAAACAATGCTGCAATATGTCGGTCATGCAGACAATCCTGGCCTGCGTCAGGCTACATTGCAAGCTATCGGCTACACCTGCGAAACCATCGTCAGTCCCGCAGTCCTTTCTCGTATTCACCTTCGCTGACGGTTCTGGCCATGACAGAAGCCTGAAGTGTTGGCGCTACAATCAAACCAGATCCTGACCGCGGTCGTGCAGGGCGCAAGGAAGGAGGAGCCGAGGTTTGTGCTATGCCCCAACTCAAAGCCCACTGGTCTGATGAGGGGCCGGTGTCCTGAAGTACTGCAGTACAGCTTGCTGCAATTCATGCGCTCTTCAATTCGCTCGAATTCGTTCGCGAAAACTTCGAACGTGAGGGTGAACGAAACTACATTATGCAGGTCGTCTGCGAAGCTACACAATCTACCTCTTCCGACATTCAGATCTCCGCCTTTGAATGTCTCGTTCGGATCATGCACCTCTACTACGACAAAATGAAATTCTACATGGAACGAGCCCTATTCGGCGTGAGTCATGCGACACCTCCAATGTTGCCGATCTGACCAAGCTATCAGCTTACGATATTGGGCATGCGACACGAAGACGAACGCGTGGCGCTGCAAGCCGTCGAGTTCTGGTCTACAGTCTGTGACGAGGAGATCCAATTGGCGCTCGAATCGCAAGAAGCTGCAGAGTACGAGGACGTACCGTTGCGAGAATGTCAATACTATGCCAAGATTGCCCTGCCAGAGATCCTGCCAGTTTTGCTACAACTATTGACGCATCAAGAAGAAGACGCAACAGAAGACGAGTGGACAGTCTCTATGGCCGCTGCGACGTGTCTCGCGCTGCTGGCCCAGAGCGTAGGCGACGGTATCGTCACGCCCATCATCCCCTTTGTCGAGAACCACATCCGATCTAGCAATTGGCGTCACAGGGAAGCGGCAGTTATGGCATTCGGCTCCATTCTCGACGGACCCGACATCACCTTACTCGAGCCTCTCGTCAAAGAAGCCCTGCCGATTCTCATCGAGATGCTCCAAGACCCAACCGATCACGTCAAAGACACCACCGCTTGGGCTCTGGCAAAGATCACAGATGCGCTCGTCAGCTCGATCAGACCAGACGAACATTTACCTAGACTTATCAGTGCTCTGCTCGCCGGCCTCAACGACAGTCCAAGAATTGTCGTCAATTGCTGCTGGGCGTTTATGAACCTCGGTGAACAATTGGGCGACGAAAGTGCTCCATCTACAACGCTCAGCCAGTATTACGAAACTATCGTCACCGCGCTTCTGACCTACACAGAGAAGTACGCTCAAGCCAGTGCTCTGTACTTTGCACACAATTCATGGGTTTCGCCTGCAGGTCCTCGAACGAGAACCAATGCAGGACATCAGCGTATGAAGCCCTGTCGATCCTGTCTGCACATGCACCAGAAGACTGCGTGCAAGTCATTTCCGGATTGACGTTCACCATCATCGAGCGATCGGAGCGACTGCTCAGTATGGCCGATCAGATCCTGGGACAAGACGATAGGAACAATTACGACGAGCTTCAAAGCAATTTCTGCGCAGTCCTCACAGTACGTGATGATGTGCCGAGGTATGACATAGGCTCATTGGTGACAACAGAGCTTGGTGAGGAGGATAGGAACGGACCTCAAGCCCATGGCAGACAGAATCATGAGTCTGATGCTCAATCTGATACGAGTCAGCGGCAAGTCTTCCAGCATTCTCGAGGATGCATTCCTCTGCGTAGGTGCCATGACTTCTGGTACGTGTGCGTCTCAGCTTGTGGTGCTGCTGCTTATGCATATTGCGCTACAGTGCTCGAGCGAGATTTCCAATTGTATCTGCCCGCTTTCCTACCATTTCTGCAAACGGCACTCAATGCGCACCAAGAGTATCAGCTGTGTGGCGTCGGCGTGGGTCTCATTGGCGACATCTGTCGTGCGCTCGGCGAGACCAGTCTGCCCTATGCACAGAGCTTCATGGAAGCGCTCCTACAAGATCTGCAATCGACAGTATTGCATCGAAGCGTCAAACCGCCCATTCTCAGCTGTTTCGGCGATATCGCAATGGCCGTCGGTGCGGGCTTTGAGCCTTTCCTCGAGACGACCGTCAACATCCTGTTACAAGCTGGCGCGACACGAGCAGATCCGAGTGATTACGATCTGATAGAATACATCAACGAGCTCAGGGAAGGCATATTAGAAGCTTACACTGGCATCATTGGCGCAATGAAGACGAGCGGCAAAGGTCAGTCGATCGCTCGACCGGTAATGAATCTGGCTGATGTACCTTCTCCAGCGGACGCATTGGTACCTTATGTGCCATCGATTCTGACGTTCATCCATCTAGCAGTCACCGATCAAGATCGAACAGACCCAGTCATACGATCCTCTGTTGGCCTGCTGGGCGATCTGGCGGAAGCCTATCCGAACGGGCAGATCAAGAATGCTTTGCTCAGCGAATGGGTTTCTGAGCTGCTCAAGAATGCTCGCACGAGAAGTGGCAGCGCTGACACGAAGCGGACTGCCAAATGGGCCAAAGAGGTACGCTGATCTACTTGCCAGAGAACCTTGCTGACAGAAGGAACTCAGATGGTCAAGAGAGCGACACAGTAGATTGCTAGCGCAACCCTTCGGCAGCTTACCGCTGGTCACGCCCTCCCTCGCATCCGCATCCTCCCCGGTAAGTCTACAGGTAGGTAGCAGTACGCTCATGCATCCCGACAAGCGGTCGCGACAGCATGCATTGCGTCTATCCCCAATCGTTGCTTAGAGAGACTGCATGCGCATGAATGAGCTCAGATGAAGTTCAATAGTCAGGTCGGACAAACCTTGATCTGGACCTCCTTGGCCTCTGCATCTCGCTTGATCTCTTTACCTTTGGCAATTGCTCGATCCTTGTACTGCTCCAGCCGGGCCTCGGTCTTGTCAAGCGCCGAGGTAAATTTGAGGCCAGACAGTTCTTCAGCTTTTTGGGAGCCATACTCGATGCGCTTCTTTGCGTCGCTTGCGGTCTTTTCTATCCTGCTCTGTGCCCAGCCGAGCGATTGCCTGGCCTGACCAAATGCTGCATCTTGCGAGCGAGCAAAACCGGGCGCGTGACGGTGTTCTAGCTCGGAGACCCGGTTGACGAGGTTCTGGGTGGTGGCAGGGAGGAGATAGGACGCGCTGCCGAAGAGGAAGAGCGGTGGGATTGTCAGTCTGAGCAGTATGTTACCTGCTTTGTGAGCGTGAGCTCATGATGCCTGCAAGCCATGTCATACTGACGGTTGCGCGTGAGGATGGAGCCCGTCAAGGCGGCAATGCCCACACTGCGCCGCCATCATGAGATCCGTACTGAGCATGCACAATGAGACAGACTATAGCAAGTGAGGTGTGAGGGGTTCATTGGGTGCTCTTATCGCCTTTGCTTCCTCTGACCAATGCAAGCCTGAGCACGAGCGCGCATTGACAAGCCTCGAACGTACTAGCGAGTTGGTTTTCTGCGCTTAGCAAGCTATCGACGGTCTTGTTGCTCGCTTGTACCGTCTGGGCATAGAAAGACTGGAGGTGTTGTCGAGCGACGCCGACGTTTCTCTGCAAGGCGGTGACGGGTCGCTCTTCGAGTTCTATCGTGCCCGAAGGCTGATCATAGATTGATTTCTGCAGCGCCACTGGAGCTCAATCTCGAGTGAAGCTCCCTCACGAGCTGCACTGACCCTTCGTGGCTGTTCCATCGCTCTGTGCCAGACAGCGGTGCGGTCGCCGCTTGCAAGCTTGCCCACTGCCTCGCGACAAACTTTCGAGCTTCGTGCTTCGAGCTGAGCTGATCTTCGAGGGAGGAGCATCAGGTGACGACGATGCAGTCGAGCGGTGTCAGGCTGGCACGCTCGGCTTGGAAGGGTCAGTCCGACCGAGACAGGTCCAGCCTATGCTGACAAGCCAGAGTGGCAGGACCGTACTTCACTTCCTTTCCGATCCAGCGTAAGCCTGCAGGACCGGGTCAGGCGCCTCAGGTCATCCTGACCGATCATCGAGCGTGTACCATTCTGCCCAGCTTCGTAGGGTCAGCACGGGCTCGCACGGATGAGCTGAAGTAAGCTCATATTGAGAGACGTGAGGACAGGATGCGATTCGCTGTTCACAATGGAAAGAGCTACTTGCCCATCACGATCACGAGCGCTATGGTCGGTCACAAGCTAGGAGAGCAAGTGTACACCGCATCCACTGTCGTGCGTGCTCTGATCGAGGCATTCTACAGGTTCAGCGTCACCCGGAAACGATTCTCGTACAAGCAGAGCAAGAACAGGTAGTCCCCATCTTGCGACGCTGTAGCAGATCTGTATTGTTGTAAAAGGCCCACACTTGCAATACCTCAACAACAACGTCACTCGTCTTCAGTACCCATCTTGAACTTCTTGCGCCTGTTCGGTAGCTCAAAGTCCGGTCTCGGTCGCTTGTCATCTCGCAAAGACGCGCCTTGGTCGGCTTGACCGTACTCGATAACGAGATGTCGTCCGAGCAAATGGGTCTGCGAGAGCGCTTGCTTGGCTTCTTTCGCTTCGGCAGTGCTCCTGAATTCGACAAAGGCGAATCCTCGAGTGTGTCTGTCGGCCTTGCGAGGCATACGCAAAGACTTGATATTGCCATATGACTTGAACAGAGCTTGGAGCTCTTTCTTTGAGACTTCAAATGGCACATTCTTGATGACGAGCGTACTCGTCGGTCGCCCTGCTTTGCTCTCCTGTGCTTCACCGCCAGCTCCTTTGGCATCTTGACCTCTTCGTGCACGCGCTAGCAGCAGCGGCCTGCCTTCGAGGAGCTGACCCTGTCGTCTCGTCATGGCAGCTTGAGCATTACCCTCGGTATCGAACCCGACGAATCCATAGCCGAGAGATGCGGCCGTTTTCGCAACGCCACTGACATCGGTCTTGCGCATCTGCACTCGAGCAAAGCGATAGCCTGCCAGATCTGAGAACATTGCCTGCAGGCGCTCCGACGTGACTTGAAAGGACAGGTTCTTTACGTAGAGCGTGTTCTCGTCCGGCTGCTCACTCGGCTGGCCTTCTGGGATTGCAGACACACTGGGCGCAACGTCGTCATCGTCTCGGATAGGCTGATTGACGAGCGCGAGGGGCGCACGCTCGAGATAGAGCACAGCGTTACCGATGCGTTTGTATGCAAGCGTTTTATAAGCCTTGTTGGCACCGTCCACATCTGTGAATTCGACAATAGCCAGTGTGGCGCTCGGCGGCATGAGGACATTCTTTACTTGGCCACTGGCATCGAACATGAGCTTGAGCGCAGAAGGTTGCGTGCCAGCTGGTATGTTCTTGACGAGGAGCATCGTCTTTGATTTGGGACCCGGCTTGTTGAGCGCAAGGAGATCGACACCTGCTTTGGCAAAGTAGGTACGGCTTTCGTCGATCAATTGGCTTTCTGCTAGCGCAAGTCGAACAGCGGCATTTTCTGATCCTCTTCCTACGAGATCGTCTTTGCTGACTCCGAGCCTGTCTGCCATCGTCGCCATCACGGCATCCGGCTGCAGCACGAGATGTCAGTATGCCCATCGGACGCGAGCACGATGAGCTTACCGTCATCTGAAGCGAACTCCAGGCAAGATCACGTCGATCCAACAATCCCTTGCTCTTACTGTTCTTGCCTGGTCGGGCCTGATCTGCTTCGCCAGGACGAGCAGCAGCAAGCATGACGTGCAGCAATCGTCCGTGCAGAATCGTTCCGTCGAGCGCTGAACGAGCCTGCTCTGCTTCCTTTGCAGTCTCAAAGGTCACATACGCTAGCCCTCTGCGCTCCGTCTTGTCTTCGTCGACGAGATGGACGTGGCTCACCCGCCCGTGTTGGGCAAAAGTCGTTTGTAGATCGCTCGATCGCACCGTGAAGGCGAGGTTACGCAGAAACAGTCTGTTCGTCGTCAGCGTATCCTCATCCTCAGGCGCTACTGATGGAGCTACGGGTGCCTCTGCTATCTTGCTAGTAGATGGAACTGGCGATGCTGATCGCACTGCATCCTCGGCAGGCTGTGAGACTTCTTGCTGTCGGCCAGCAAGACGACGAGTGAGATAAGCCAGATCATCGTCGCCTGCTTCATCAGCACTCGGTGGGCTCCTCGAGCTTCTGTCGCCCGCTGCTTGCAGCTCCTCTGCCTGCTGCTCAGGTTTTGGCAGTAGTGCTTCTTGCACGACAAGAGCTTCTTGCTTCACTGTCGGCACGCGAGGCTTGGCAAAGTCGACGATGATCTTTGAGCCTGACAGATAAGTGTTGTTGTAGTGATCTCTGGCCAGCGCAGCCTGTTCGGCCGTGGCAAATCCTAGAAACGCAATTCTTCGACTTCGACCATCCTTTTTCGATGCGATCCTGCTGTCTGTGATGTCGACCTGCAAGTGCGCTGAGAAGTGCTTCTTGAGCTCCTCGGCAGTCGTTGTCGGCTGCACCTGCTTGACTACCAGTCTTGTCGTAGCCATCCTCGCATTCAACGCCCTCGACCCGAACCGAATCGTTGCCTCGCTGAATTGTGTTGTGCATGTAGCGCAACATGTCAATTGATATCCCCCTGCGCGGATCCGGCCATTGGAGAAAAGGTACAAAAGCGTATCTTGAACCACGAGCTACGAGCCGAGTGCGCCAGGACATCATGCTCGTCAACGATGAAGACTTCCAGACACTTTTGCTCGTTGCAGTCACGTCCATTTCCATGTGCGCGGCCACCTTGTTCACTCGGAAGGCAACGCAAGTAAGTCAGACATCTATAACAAAGGGGACGCTGAGTTTGCGGGCAGCGCTCCCGAACCGAGTCTGCCGCTCGAGATACCAGACTCCAAGAATTGATCTCCGCAGAGGCGAAGTGGCCAGATATCGACGCCCCGGCTTACTTACCGCCTTTTCGTGAGATACAAGTCGGCACCGCACCGCGTACCATACTGCTGCAAGCTCAGCTACAACTCGATTCTGCTGTAGAAACCTTGCAAGCATACGATACCGCCCAGAAGCATAATGCGGCAGCGCTTCTGTCTGGTCTGCAAGCACTCGCGGTTCTGGAGCAGGAGGAGGCCGAGCGGCGAGAGCCGAACTACTTTGGCGAGACAATGATCGATCCTTGCGAAGCATTTTCTGCCGAGATTCGAAGACTTGTCGTAGCGAGCTCTGACACAAAAGCTCCAGCTGAGATTGGGCGCGCCCGAGAGTTCTTGCGGTCGATTGAGACCAGGACGAGCAATAGACGCGATATGCGAAGATCATCATGGACACTGTAAAGTAGCATTGCAGATTTGATACGTTTGCAATGCATGGTCGTAGATATTACTGCAGGCTTTTAGGCTCTCGCGGGCTTAGAAATGTTCTCTCAGCTTCGATTGCTCTCCGTCTTTAGGCGGCCGCCCTCGAATGATGAGTGCATGCCGTCTACTGCCAATCAATCTTGTATGTCACGGGGCCTGCTGATTGTGACAGTCTTGCTTGCCGCACGTCGACGTCTGCACCATTTGAACATTAGCTTAATGTTTCCATTAGCTTGACAGCGATATGCACCGTCTGGCAAACTCGCGGTCGCTTCGTCGCGTAAGTTGGCGATTTGCGGTGACGGCAAAGGTACAGGTGCAGCCGAGAATGAGTACCAAGCCGGCGGATGGCATACGTTCCAGAAGCCGAGCATAATATTCCATACTCTTCTCGATCAGCAAAGGCAACATCGGTCTTGCAAAGTATGCAGCGAGAATCAATGCTTGAGCTGCTGCTGAGCTGAGAGACCTTGCGGTGAGCTGCATCTTTCCATGTTGTCCGATGAAAGTCTGAAGTCTACGGGCTCCTGACGACGGTTGGCAGATTTTCGAAGCGTACGTGTAGGGCGCAAGGTGGCCGGTGACGCCGAATTCGAAGTACGTATGGTTATCAACGTGATGTAGTCGTGCTCTGAGAAGCCGCATGGCCATGGTGCATACGCTCAGGCGCAAAGCTGCTCGTGGCAGATCCGGGGCACATCTAGCAATGCAGTCATCTGTTTCTCTCACGGATGTCGAGGTGACACGCACACGCTCATTGCACACCCTTCCTCTGCATCAGCGCTTTGTCTACAATGCAGCAAAATGAGAGCCTCCTCAAGCACGAATCTCCTGCAGTCACGGGACCGGCGCGTTTTCTCAGATCCTCTGCCGTCGGATAGCAAAGTCTGGCCCAACGCAGTGGAAGTGTGCGATCGCGACTACAAAGACAACTACGTACAAAGACTGGGATGGCAGCGCGATACCGTGCGTGCCAGGGAGACCCCCTTTTAGAGATTATATACTCGATATCTGCCAAAGGCCTGAGCTCATCATGACTGCGACCGTGTTTGCTGCAGCATCTGGCATTACTGCAATTCTCAACATTGTGCCCTTCTTGTGGCATCTACAAAACAGTAATTCGGGTCCAATATGTCTGGTGCGTGCGCTCCGCGCTCAGCTACGTTCATTCATCACATACTGAGTAGTCCTTGCAGGGCTTTTGGATCATACTGATGAACTTCCTGTACTTCGTGAGCGCATTATCAGTCGTCATCAACCTAGCTGATGCTATGCAGATAAACGCACTCGTCTGGGCGAACGATGCGCTGAATCGGGCTCCAGCCTTCTGCGATATCACCGCCAAAGTCAGCTCATCTCTGCAAAAGGCATCTTTCTCGGGCGCTGACATTGTCATAGCTGCAATTGGCTGGACCGATCGGAGTGCTGGTTGCAGATCTTTGCATCTTGCGATTCCTTGCTCAGATCGTCAGCCCAAAATGCAGGATGATCACTGCTCAGTCACGGCGCAGAGCATCGATTTACGACTATTGCTTCTCTCTTGGCCTGCCGGTCCTTGTAATGGCGACCCATATCATCTATCAGCCTTATAGATTCGGTCTAGCAAAGAACTTCGGATGTCTGACGACCTTGGTGTTAACGTGGCCGACTTACATTCTGTTTCTGATCTGGCCGCCTATCCTGTCGTTCGTTGCTTGCGTCTACGCGGTGTACATCGCAGCCAGGCTCATCAAGCATCGAAGAGCCTTCGGCAAGACTATACAACAGAGCGGTTCTGCGATCACGCCCTCTCGCTTTGTTCGATTGGGTCTACTATCGACTTGTTTCGTGCTGTTTAATTTGCCACTGTCTATCTATAATATCCTCATCGTGCAAGAAAGCTCTGGCGGTTATATCGACTATTCGTGGGACTTCATACACGCCGACGTCTGTGTCATAATGCTCTGTGCAAGCTTGTGCTGAAAGAATGGTGCAGATGAAATATATCCAGTTCTATCCACTCAATCCGCCGACCACCACTATCGGCAACTGGTCACTGGTCATTGCGGGTCTCTTAGTCTTTCTCTTCTTTGGCTTCGGCTCAGAGTCGATGTCATACTACCGTGCGGTCTACTACCGAACCGCATCCCTGCTTCGCCTGCGAAGGCATGCAGTCAAGCCCTCAGGAGCCGATCCGGCCCAAGTTCATCTCAGGCGAGATGTGTCAAACGTCAGCCACAGTGGCGAATGGAAACGTCCGATAGAGGACCTAGTCAGCCCTTCGAAGAGCGACTCGCGGCCTTTTCAAGGTCTGCAGGAGGTCAAGTTGCCCGCAAGCCAGGTAGATGGAGTGTATGTTGAGATCCAAGCCAAAACGATCTAGAGGGCTTTCCTGGCTTTGCTAGCTTTCGTGTTTGATGCTTTCAATTTGCAGAATGCCTGTAACGCTACCGACAGGAAGTCTGCATTGTACACTCAATGCAATGCATAGCGCCTAGTAGAATGTTGACGGGCGGGTGGCCGAAAAGGTACCGCGAGTCTTGGTGACGCGATGAGGCAGCGGGAAGCGCAGCTTGGGCGTCAGTAGCTGCTTGAGGTGCGCACGTCGAACATCGCTCGTGCTCTTGAGCTCGGCAACACGGAGAATCTGAGGCCTGCTTCAGTAATGCGCAAATGCAGCATGACAAGGGCAGCATTACCTGGATTGAGCTGAATCTGGCGCGATGACGGGCAGCCATGTCTTGGTAGCAAGTATGGACGGCATCGGCACGGGTGAGTTCTCGATATTCTCTGTACATGTTGTGGGTGCCAGAGCGAGAGTCGTATCGAATCCAGATGCCGAAGTTTTTCACCTTCAGCGGTCTCTTCTCAGAGATCTGCATGCCAATCTGTCAGTCCTACGAATGTCGAATGAACACTGCCACTCGCTTTGTTGATTGCCACGAGCTCGCCGGCGGTCTTCTTGACCTTGCGCAACTTTCTCAGGTAGTACCAGAATCGCGAACGAGCAACGACCTCGTTGGGTGCGAAGATGCGCATGCGGTAGAGCTTGGGCTCGGCAGCATCTGCCGACGGCAGCTTGCGACCGACGACCTGATACTCTGACAAGCGACCCATCTTATTGCTAGACGAACCGGGCTACAGACTGGCGATGTGGTCCCGGCAACGCGGCCCGATTTTCACTCAGATTGTCTTGTCAGTATTCGATGACGCGTCGATAAAGTAGCGTAAATACCAGCGGACAATCGATAGGATGCAGAGACCCTTATACAACAGCGACCATGCCCAGCGAGACACAGCATCAGCGAGTCATATCTACCAATGACTCTTGCTCGAGCTACGGCGGTCAGAAGGAATACGATCGCCTAAGCTGCGCCCTTTCGAGCTCGAGAGCTGCTCCGACGTGCTCGTCAATGAGGCGCTGCATGTGTTTCGTCTGCACGGCTAGTCCACGCCGTAACTCGGACCTCTCTTTTGCTCTCGCACGGAGTAAGGCCTCTATGTACTGTCGATCATACGCGGTTCCCGTCGTGTTTGTGCCTTTCATAGTCGCAACCCGTTCTTCGAGCCGAGAGAGGAGAATATTCCAGTCTGCCTCTTGCCGTTGCAAATCCTAGGTCAAATCAGTACTTGCTGGTCAAAGGCCGCAAAGGTCAACCTACTTTAATCTCAACATCGAGTGGCTCGATAGCATTTTGCCAGAATATTGCAACGCCAAGCACTATAGCGCCGACCTTGGATAGCTCAATGATATGGGGCCACGAGACTGTGAGCGTATTCCTTCGGCTTTGCGTTGTAGATGATGCACGAAGAGCTCACAGTAGGTCAGCATTTGCACTTTTCGCACCGCGCGCCGATCGTGCGTAACGTCACGGTGACGAGGAGCTTCTTCAATGAGCTCGTATCAGGCTCCAATGCAATGACTGTACACCGGTGTGCCAGTGCGTGCTGCGGCCGGTGTATGCTTTGTGCGTAACGCGGTCCTTGTTTTCACAAGGCGAGCCAATACAACGGTAGCGCGATCACCAATCCTCACAATGGGCATTGGGCTAGTTTGCACAGCTTTCACAGTATTCAAGTACCACCAGAATGGCAATGGTCACATTGTCGAGGCCGCCACTTCTCTTTGTGCGAGCGATCACCCACGACAGAAGCTCGGCTTGCTGGCACGATCACACTCGATCATCATCAACAGAGACGCTCATATCGGCACATGATCAAGATCATGGCAATGTCCGCGTTCGATCACGATAGCCAATCGGTCGTCCCTTTATGACCGTGACCGTGCAGAATGAGAGAAGGCGGGCGGGCGGGCGTCTTTGTCTGCGCGCTCGCTCGAGATCTATAAAGCTTGAGCGATCCTCCTCCTAAGCACCAAGCAAGTCTTCAGCACCACTTTCACAGCACTTTCGAAACCACACTACACACTCTCTCAATATGTCTCCCGCACCAATCACTGTCGAGGTCGAGTCCGTTGCTGCGCCTCCTTTCGGTGAGCTGGCCTGCTGGTCTGTCGACTGGAGACTCTGCTGACAGGGCGCATGTCCTCGACAGCCATGTACCGTGGCTGCACGATCGCTCAGACCGAAGAGGTCGCCACCGACGCAAGAGATCCTCCGTTTGGTCAGTCTTTCTTGGATTATGCGCCTGCTCGAGCTTGTGCTCATCTGTTGGTTCCGTACGCACAGCCATGTACCGCGGCTGCACGATCGCCCAGAGCGAAGAGACCAGCGACGCAAGGGACCCACCTTTCGGTCAGTCGATCTCGCTCGCACTTTGCTTCGGTCTGCTGATACAGAGCTCTCCTGCAGCCATGTACCGCGGCTGCACGATCGCNCATAGCATGCTCCTGCAGCTGGTCAGTCTCTGCGCACTCGCTTTGACCCTTTTGCCAGTCGCTGACGCATTTCCCAAAGGTCTGCACACACGCTACCTGCAATCTCAAGATTTCGCCTCAAGCATCTTCTTGTCACTTAATCTGAATGCAATGGTCAATCTCAATCGTATGCTAGTGTCTTGTCTGGCTTTTTGTTTCTCCTGGGGTGCCCCTCGTCATTCTGTGGAGACATCCACTCGGACTTGCGGGCCGGTCCCAGGAGATCTCAAGCCTGAGCAGAAAACCCCGAGGGCGCGCGCGTCGCGCTCGCGCTTTCGTGCGTTCGGGCTCCTAAGATCTGAACTCCAAGCGATGTCGGTCATCAATGTTTCTTCGGTCAAATTGGAACACGCAGCAGCACCTTTCACGGAGCCATTCACATTCGACATCACTTTCGAAGCGTTGCGGGCCCTCGACGATGGTCAGCCGCTTGGCCCCTAGAGAGTCAAATTGATCGCTTGCCAGCAGATGTGGAATGGAAGGTCATCTACGTCGGCTCCACCGAAGATCTCCAACATGATCAGGAGCTTGACAGCTGTTCGGTCGGGCCCATTCCGGCTGGCGTAAATAATTTTGTCTTCGAAGTTGGTGTTCTTCTGTAGGCAGTAGACAAGCGGCTGAGACGCGTATGATCAGGCCGCAGCACCAACGCCAGGAAGCATACCGAAGGACGAGCTGCTCGGTCTCACGGTCGTAATATTGTCAGCATCGTACGCAAACCAGGAATTCGTCAGGATAGGCTATTACGTCAACGTCGAGTACGACAATGAAGAGCTGCAAGCCCAAGATCCGCCACCTGATCCACACGTAATCGAGCGCCTGCAACGTCGCGTATTGGCGGAGAAACCTCGCGTCACTCGCTACAACATCAAATGGGACATCGAAGAGGAGCCAACATCCGCAAAGACAACCTTGCTCGACGCGTCATTGGCGACTAATGGCGAACAAAATCCGCAAACAGCGCTCACAGCGCAGCAAGGTCTCGATGACACTGCTGAGCCAGCGGAGGTCACCAAGGCCGAGACTGCCTCTCAGGCCGTCGCTGTTGCGTGAAGCGGTTTCTGCCGGCGTCTGGCTGTATCCTCGATGCATCTGCTGTCGTTGACTGTCTCTACAGGATGGTTTGGGAATCTGCGCATCGAGCAAGCGGCTACAGACGTCCGCCACATAGCACAGGAAATCAGTGAGCAGTCGGCCATCAGCCATGTTGCTTTTCCTGCGACTTGCTCGTACCACTGTGGGGCGAGCCATGCTGATAACACTTCGGCACTCGCGCAGCTTCGCCTATGCCCGAGGTATATGATCAGCCATGTAAGGATATCCGACATAGCGGTGGGATAGATACACAGATCACTGGCGGCCTTGTGTGCATCCGACGCTCGCAAGGTGTCAAAGCTTGCTGCTCTATATGGCTACGGCAAGCGAGCCAAGGTCACCTTACACCTGGAGCGGAGAGGTGCCGGGCAAGGCGTATGGTAAATTGCTTTGCTTTCAGAGCCGTGGCGTAGCAAATCACCATTGCAAGGAACGTGCGCATAAGACCATTGCATTCAGGTTAAGTGACAAGAAGATGCTTGAGGCGAAATCTTGAGATTGCAGGTAGCGTGTGTGCAGACCTTTGGGAAATGCGTCAGCGACTGGCAAAAGGGTCAAAGCGAGTGCGCAGAGACTGACCAGCTGCAGGAGCATGCTATGNGGCCNCCTATGCGATCGTGCAGCCGCGGTACATGGCTGCAGGAGAGCTCTGTATCAGCAGACCGAAGCAAAGTGCGAGCGAGATCGACTGACCGAAAGGTGGGTCCCTTGCGTCGCTGGTCTCTTCGCTCTGGGCGATCGTGCAGCCGCGGTACATGGCTGTGCGTACGGAACCAACAGATGAGCACAAGCTCGAGCAGGCGCATAATCCAAGAAAGACTGACCAAACGGAGGATCTCTTGCGTCGGTGGCGACCTCTTCGGTCTGAGCGATCGTGCAGCCACGGTACATGGCTGTCGAGGACATGCGCCCTGTCAGCAGAGTCTCCAGTCGACAGACCAGCAGGCCAGCTCACCGAAAGGAGGCGCAGCAACGGACTCGACCTCGACAGTGATTGGTGCGGGAGACATATTGAGAGAGTGTGTAGTGTGGTTTCGAAAGTGCTGTGAAAGTGGTGCTGAAGACTTGCTTGGTGCTTAGGAGGAGGATCGCTCAAGCTTTATAGATCTCGAGCGAGCGCGCAGACAAAGACGCCCGCCCGCCCGCCTTCTCTCATTCTGCACGGTCACGGTCATAAAGGGACGACCGATTGGCTATCGTGATCGAACGCGGACATTGCCATGATCTTGATCATGTGCCGATATGAGCGTCTCTGTTGATGATGATCGAGTGTGATCGTGCCAGCAAGCCGAGCTTCTGTCGTGGGTGATCGCTCGCACAAAGAGAAGTGGCGTCGAACGTCAAGCCCAATGCTACGGCTCATCATGCAACAAGTCTCGATAAAACGCAAGTTGCAGGAAGGACAAGAGATGTAGCCTCAGGCTACTGTGATAGAGCCTTGATATTTGTGAACGTCATTCCGATCGAATAGCGTACGCTGCGTTGGCCCGCCGGTCCGACGCGTGTCGACGCGATCTGGCCTGAGACTTGATAGGCCTGCCCTCATCACGTGTTGTGGACATACAGCAGCTGCCAACAGGTGTGCGGACTGTAGATAGTGCCCAAAACGCAATGTCACTGCCAGAGTCAACGCAGCGGTAGACATCCTGAACGATCTGCGTTGTAGTACACATGCTATTAAACGAGCATCCTACTTTGTCGAACGGAATCGCAGAAGGGGCGCAAGCTCTGGCAGACTGCAAGCCATCCTGAGGAAAGGATGCTGCGAGACAAGATCAGTCGTTGTGATAAGTCAGCATTGCAGCGGGCTTACCTGAACGAGCTCTTCTGACGTTGCGCGGGACTTGACATCGACGCAAAGACAGACAGCAAGGAAGTTTTTGAGTTCCTTGCTGAGCTTTTCGGGCTTCTTGAGCGTCGGGGTACCGTTCGTCGCGATGAGGTAGAGTGCCTTGAGCGGCTCTTCGTCGAGATAAGGCGGTTCGTTCTCGATCATTTCGATTGCCATGATGCCGAGAGACCAGACATCGACTTTTGCGCCATACTCTTTCTGCTTCACGACTTCTGGCGCCATCCTGTATTGCATGTATCAGCCCATAGTGTCGTCTGCGCGATGGACGCGTACCAGTACGGAGTGCCGACCATTGTAGCTCGTTTCGACTTTTGATCTGTCAGTTTGGCGCAGAAGCCAAAGTCGGCTACTCTTGCAGTCAGCATCCGGTGCCACGATAGGGAAGGATGACGCACTGATCTTGACATGACCGACCGAATCTAACAGCACATTATCGCTCTTGATGTCGCGATGGATGATACTCTGCTGATGCAGATGTTGCAAACCACGACAAGTCTGCTCTCGCGTGAGTGTGATCCCCTTACAAACTAGTCTGGGCAAGCGCACCTCGAGACAGATGCTGGCTATCTGACGTTCCGCTAGTGTGTTGTTGTCGATAACGTCAGTCAAAGGACCGCCTTCCATATATTCCATGACGACCCATAGTTCCTCTGATCTGAGCAGGAACGAGTCCAAAAAGTTGACAATGTTGGGATGTTGAGACTCGCGCATGACGAGAATTTCGTTGACAATGAGCTCCTTGCGGGGCTGAGCACGAAGATCCATCTGCTTGATCGCAACCTTGCCACCCGTCGCCAGCGTCTTCGCCACATAGACCGAGCCAGACGCGCCTTGACCGACTTTTTTGATCTTGGCATAGAGCGTATTGGGATCGACGGGCGAGGTGACCTGTCGTAATTTGGCCTGTACTTCCGCTTCTGACATCTTTGAGACTCTGCGTTCGCCTGCTGGCTTTGTGCGCGCAGGGGCGGCTGTGGCAGCAGCAGGCTTGCTGGCAGAAGGTGCAGGCTTGCTCGATGGTCCAGCTACAGTGGGCTGAGTCGCTTTGAGTGGTACTCGCGATTCGCCCGCCGGAGGCTGTGCGCTTGTGGACGCTTTGGTGAGTAGGTCCTTCTCGCGGGGTATTGAGTCGCTTGAGCCGCTCGGAGCAGAAGGAGCAGGACGAGCAGGAACGAGATCGCTCCGACTTTGCTGAGACGACGATTGCTTCATGGCATGTGATTCGGCCGTCTTCTCCGCTTCTCGTCTGGCGCCAGGCTTGACGACAACATCATAGAAGCCGCCAGCTTTGCTTGAGTCCGCTTGGGCCGATGAAGATGGTGCATCGTTGCGGTTGTAGCTTTGTGCGGGCGGCTTTTCCTCTGAAAAGTTGCGCTCCGAGATTGAGCGTCGCGATGGATCTTGACGCGATGGTGAGACATCGGGAAGACGAGAAGTTGAGGCAGCAGCAGGCGGTAGGAGCGAGTCACTGCGCTGGCCGGCAAGTCCCGTGCCTGCGCCGAACCGCATATTTGAGCTCGAAACATTGTTTGAACTGCCAGCTGCAATACCTGAGTCTGTCAAATTGTTCGTATCTGTCCGAGGCGCATCGACGAGTCGTTCATCTTTGCTCGGAATCGTTGCGGATAGAGCGAAATCGCTCGTCTCGCCCGTGCGCTTTTGGATGTCGGTATAGAACTCGAGGACGTCGAGGACTGCTTGGGGATTGCGCGCATAGTCTTCTTTGGTGATGGCTGATGAAGTGAGCAAACGTGTCCATTGTTCGGGCAGGCCTGTGAATGCGCCCGAGATGGGATCGAAGCCGACGTGGACTTGATGGACAAAGTTGGTCGGGCTGGAGACGCCCATGAGTGGCGATCGCGAATAGATGTCGTCCATCCAGCTGTATAGCTCTTCGTCACTTTTCAAGCTCTGCGGGCCTTGATTGTTAAGCTCGTGAAGTGGCTCAAAGACGGCAACTGACGAGAAAGTAGGTCTTCTCTTTGGTCTCCAGCTCGATGCAATACGGCTTGAGATCTGTCCTCGAGACATTGACGATGTCTTTCAGGAAGACGAGTGCGGATGCGCTCGACGTCGCTTGCTGTCAGCCCACCTGAGATCAGCTGATGTACATCACTGGAACCAGCAGCGCTGACCTCATTCTTGTGAAAAGTGAGAGTTTGCTCGCGCAAGACGAGCCAGCGCTTGGACCAAATCCAACTCCTTATCCCTTCTTCCTTTACGCTCACGAAGCCTCTCCTCAGGATGGTCGTAAGAGATCTGCTATTGTCGGGTCCGTTTGATCCATAGCCGTTGTTGCCTGTACCGTTGAACCTCTGAAAAGAGTCTGATCCTCTCCACGTCAGCTCCGTCTCAGCATGGAGTATTGACCGAGCCTACCTGTTGATCCGCTGGCATTTGAGATGAGACCTGATGAGCTCGATGCTGCAGAGGTCTTGCCGCCCGGTCCGAAGGAAGGTTGTCGCTGGATAGGTACGGGCGGCGCGGGTCGCGATGGGGTCAAGTAAGCCATCTTGCAAGCAAGTCAGCTGAGGGGAGCAGACGGCAGATGTTCACTCCGTGGGTGTTGAGCGAGTCTTGCGCACGGGGACTTTGTCAATGCTTTGCGAGCAGACCGGGCAGGATACTGCGAGCAATGGCACGAGATGTGGTATCGCTTTGCGGCACTGTCTCGTTGCTGCCTTACGCTCAGCGTACGTGTGATGATTGCGCGAGGCGGGGATGCCAGGCGCTTCGGTCTTTCTCCCTTTCGCTGGGTCGTTGTGTCGGCAAGCAAGCAAAGCGAGTCTGCCAACGTCGCGCGAAAGATATGTCGCTCCTTGATGGACCAATCGCTGTGTACGAGCAAGCGAGAAGGCCAAGTTTCGATGTTGGGACTCAAGGACGAGCGAGTGTTCAGCGCGACGGGACCGTGCACACCCTTCTGCTTCCTTGAATCGAGTTGAGATTTGCCGGTTGATGATCGCCTGATTGCACGCAATGCCAGCGATCGCAAACGAAGCAGCAGTCGTCGCGAAGGTCGCTCGAGCAGAGAACGGCAGCCGAGGAGCGTGTCTTCGCTCTGACTACGCCCTGCTGACAGGCACGAGGCACGTCGTCGGCTTCAATTGGCGATGTCGTCGCGCTGCCCGCGGAGCGCGACAAGAAAGTGGCGTCGGGCCTGGAGCGAGGCCCGACACCCCGAGTGTGCTTGGGGGCAAAGAGCCATGGCTTCCCTACTCGATCGTGCACTGACCGATACGCGCAAGCCCGAACGTGCTCGAGTCGACTCGCGAGGCAGCAGAAGAACATCGGGTCCTTACGACGTCAGACGGTCATCGTCATCCACTTTGGCGTCGGCTGAAGTTGGATCCTCGAACAGAGACCCATCCAGCGGGATGGTGATAACTGGAAGCATGATCGATTTGATCAGCCCCGCTTCAATCGAGATAGAGAAGCGGCATCTGATGGGGCGACAAGTTCACGGCTGAGGATTGACAACTTGCATTATGAAGTCAGCGAGAGAGAGCTAGAGGTACGGCGCATCTTCACACAGCTCGAGGTAGAAGCTCATGTGGATTGCCCAGGCATTGTTCACTCAGATCGGTCCTTTGGCAACGCCGCCGAGCATAGGAGCACGTTACTCACCCTTTGCAGGCGAGCCCATACTCATCCTGGCTTGGATCTAGTTTGATCGCTCTGGACGATCACTCGGCTGGGCAAGAGTAGCTTACGAGAGCGAAGATGATGCTGCGACAGCCATCAAGCAGTTCAATGGCGCTCGAGCAAAAGGTAGACCGGTCTCGGGTGTCCAGACAGCCTTGACTGATTGTCTGATCAGGTGACATCATCAGAGTCTCGTATGACTTCAGTGTACCCCGTACCAAAGCCGGACCGGCGCTCAGCAATCGTGTCGAAGGATACGACGAGATTCGCAAGAGGTACGCGGGACCCTCAGATCCATGACCAGACTGACACACTGTTATCTAGCTTGAACGGCAGTGACCGCCCTGCGCCAGCTGCACAGAGAAGCGAAAGAGGTCAACGGGACAGTGACAGAGGGCCCAGAGGAAGAGGCAGAGGCGGTCGAGGTGGGGCCAGAGGGGGCAGGGGAGGAAGACGCCCGCCTGCCACTCAAGATGATCTCGACAAGGAACTCGAGAGCTTCATGAACGAAAAGTCCAGTGGCGCGCCCGCTGCAGATATGGATGTCGATATGAATGCTTGACTGCATTGCAACTCTCTGTAAGATCATCATCATCTGCTCCCGAGGGGTGGCAGGATCTGGTGGCCGTTGAATTTGAGCACACTGCAAATCAGGTCAGCGACGATATTACACGCACGTGGTAGATGCCTCACTATAACGAAGTCTGCAAAGGCAACAATCAGCCTCGAATACAGACAGGATTCAAGGAAAGACATACATCTCTGACATCGATATCCTGTCCTTCGAGATGGATGGCGATAACGTTCTCTTGGGCAAGTCTCTTTTGGACGTCTCGCACCATCAGACCCAGAGCAAAAGGCCTGCCATCGATCGTCTTGCTCTCGATAAACCACGTACTGTCAGTAGCCCCACCAGAAGCCGGTTTCGATTCGAGCAACATGGCTTTGCCGCGTCCCTCATCGACGTCGCCCATCCACAGTGCCCCGTCGTCTGGCGAGGTTGCGCCGGGATTGGGGTACCAGCCTACTTGCCATGTCATCACATGTTTGGTCAAAACTTCCAACGAGAGCGTAGCAGCGTTCTTATGCTCGATAGCGGCGCCGAGCACAGATGCCCAGAGCGGTAGTACAGCAATAATGCTGCGCATATTTACCAAACAGGCGAGCGAGACAATCTATCGCTGCTGTATGCGTCGACAAGTGAGTTGCTATGCAGCAACAAGGTCCCTTCGCGCTTCGAGCGGAGCGTTACAGACTCGCAAGCATAGCAGCCAGTTCTGGCGGTACGCTGTAGTTCTCCAATTCGGCCAGATCGCTCGCGGTCAGCTGGGGCACAAACGATGTTGACGACTGCCCCGGAGCGTTTGCGTCTGCTGTCAGCGTTGGCAGGTGCGCTTTTGAGTTGAGGGGTGGTGCAGGAGCAGTGAGCGTATTGTCAAGCGGTATGGAAGGTAGCATAGCGAGAAGCGCGTCATAATCTGCCGCGGCTGCCGCTGCAGCTGCAGCTGCGGTACCGGCTTGTGCGCCGTTGGGATTCGGCAGAGCAAAGTCATTGCTGGCATCGCCAAAGACTGCAGACCCGCCGAGAGGCAGGATAGGTTGACCTTTCTCGCCTAGCGTCATATTCGGTGTACCTTGCCGCACGTCCGACTTGAGCGTGTGGCCGAAAGTAGATAGCAATTCTTGCTGATGCTGCGCCTGACGCTCTTGTTGCGTCAGTCTCGTCGTTGATCTGCCTTGCGTAGGCTTAGCGATCTGGACCACATCATCATCGTCATCGTCTTTGATCTCGATGACTTGTCGCTCCGGTTGCGCTGCCTCGACAGCACTCGTCGCAGGGGTCACTTGTGGATCTAACCGGGCTTCGACCGCATGAAGCGACGAGGTTCCTCGTTCTGTATCTCTTTGGATGACGGCTTTGGCTACGAGAGCTTCATGTTCGATGCAATCGCAAATGGCTTGATACCGCTCACAAGCTTGTTCGAGCGCTTCGTTGAGTTGTAACGGTACGCGAGAGACGTAGCCCTGAGCTTGCAATGCTCTCACGTCCCTGATGAATGATAAAATCTTGCCCATAGCGAGTAGTGCACTCTGTAGATGTGCTATCAGCGCAACATGTAGCTACAGTGAGGACGTAGCATGCCTTGAGAGCGTCGGACAGAGCAAGCGTACGCTGCTGCGTGAATGTGTCGGGAGGACCCGGAGCTGGCTTGTAGACCAGCTTGCCTTCGTGGCGTTCGAAGGCTCGTAGATCCATGTCGCTGTCGGCTCACGAGCGTGATCGACAGGGGTCGAATGCCGGCGCCAAACTAGTCGATTAGTCGACGTATCGACGCGAATTCGCAAATGCGACCGAACTGGCTTGGAAATGAAGTAGCTGCCTATCGCGCGATCAAGTCATGATTCCACTCTCCATGTCACGATCGTCACACTCGAATCCTGAGCCTGACCCTCACTCGGAAACTGAGTGTTCAGCAATCCGAGTCTCGTCCTTCCGCCTATCTCATCTCCCTAAAGTAACAGAGACTTTGCCAGATCTGCAAGCCAACCTTTGCTATCTGCTTTCTTCCTGCCGGATGAGCGACACTGTGAACGCAGAAGCTATAGCTTTACCACCCACGTCTATGAATGGCTGACTGGAACTTTTACCCTCCTTGCCAAAAGTTAGCACTCTTGATTTTATACACTAACATTTAGGTCTATCCACTCTCGCGACACGTCAGGCCAAAGGATTCGGTCTTGCCGACGCCATCCAACGCATTCACATCAGAAATCACGAGGCCAATTGAGTGCCACAGGTGATTCGCGTCCCCAGTGGCTGGACTCATGTTGAGATTTTGTCCATCCACGTACATCACTCAACACCGTCCAAGAGGCCCGATCCCGCCCTCAGCAGCCTTCAAGCAAAGGCAATGAGCAGTACCATCCGTCATTACCATCTGACGAGGTTCTACATCGACATCGGCCTAGAAATAGTGTCTCTTCTCAGCACTGGCGCATGGAGCAGCTCGTTGCGAGGGCTGGTCCTCATGGCAACAGTCGACACGTACAGCCCCAGAGCACTATTGGCATCACACGTTGATACGCTCGAGAGACTGTCTTGTCGAGTCTATGGCAGAGTTGCTGACGTTCTTCGTCCTCTGCCGCTCGAGCTTCGCAAACTGAAATATCTCAACATCACGAGGGCTTCCTCGAATTCACCGAGGACCAGAAGATGTCCGTGCCAAATGTGCACGATGTCCACCTCGTGACGATGATTGATGTGTTAGAAATTATGCGGTCTCTCGAAACGCAGCCAGATAGTATGCCGTATCTGTCAGTCGTCGCTTTCGATACGGATCAACTACTACGATGTACGGATCAATTACTACGGTGTCATCTTGGTCGGCATGGAACTGCATCCGCCCACGATGCAATGTGCATACTTATCTAGTATTGCTTTGAAAATGGCACTCCGCCGAAAAGGAATTGGGAGCTTGTTCGGCGTACTGGTGGCATCGACGAGCCTCGCACTCGGCTCGATCGACGCAATTCCTACGGACTGAGAAGAGAGGCAAGACAGGTCAAACGCTAGCTCATCGAATTGTGCTCTGGCAATGCACTGTTCCCTTTGGCATACGACGGCGCTTGCAAGTCTATCAGCGCTTCGAATGACATTTACCTGTTCACGACACGGTCCTATCAGGTATGCCGGACTACATGCCTTTGCAAATGTGTACAGGCACTCGTTGACTCACCCGATGACGAGCTATTTTGTATTGCATGCCCTGGTCGTTCAATCGCGTTTGAGCAGCAACAAGGTTGGCGCGCGCGTGTTCGTCGCGAGCATTCGACCAATCAAATTGGATGTCTCAGAAAGTTGCCGAGGGCGTTGCCGCGAAGGAGTACTCCACAAATCAGGCACCGACCGAGGGACTCGCAAAGAGGTGTGTGCAAAGCTCTTCATCTCCCGCGCAAGGCTTGCGTACTCGTGGTCATTCGTCTGCGACCATCGACGAGGACTCCACAAGGGACGGCAAAAGCGTTACCCCGCGGTGCAGCCACCGTTTCCTCGAACTCTCGTTGTCGTGCTTGCATTGCGCACCGCGAAGATCGAGGAGCAGCAGCTCGTTCCTTGCCATCATTTTCGATCCCAATCTCAATCGTTGACGACCGATCTTCGGGGACGAGGCTGACACGCTCCGGTTTGGCAGGAAAAGCGATCGTATCTCTACTGCACAACTCGATCGAGAAGCAATGGCAAAAGCAATCGTCGTCGGTCAGTCAAACCTCCTTCCCCTGCTTTCTCGTCCTCTTGCGGCAGCGATGAAGGCCAGCATCGACATGGCTCGAGCGCATTACCCCGCGCCCGATTGCTCAGCTGTACAGTATGCTAACGCGCTCGACGAGCAGGCGGTGGTCTCTCTGGTCTTTCGGCCGCACACACGCTCTACGAGCGAGGCGCAAATGTCCTCTTGCTCGACAAGGTGAGCCGTGCACGTTCTGTTCCGGCGTGCACAGGACTTACGTAGAGATGTGCAGAATGGCTTCATGGGCGGTAACTCGACCAAGGCGACATCGGGCATCAACGGTGCAGGCACCAACACCCAGTCAGAGGCTGGCATCCCTGATTCTGCAAAGACCTTCTTCGAAGACACCAAAAAGTCTGCACGAGAGCTCGCTCGTGACGACCTCATCAAGGTCCTCACCGGTCGATCTGGCGATGCTGTCAACTGGCTCCAGGTATGTCTCTCCGCCTTTACGAACGATGTAGGCTGAATATCTTTCTGTAGGACCGATTCGCGCTCGACTTGAGCAAGGTTGCACGTCTGGGTGGTCACTCTCAGCCGAGAACACATCGCGGCGGTGCTCAGTTCCCAGGCATGACGATCACCTATGCTCAGATGGAGAAGCTTGAGGACCTCGCGGAGAATGACCCCGAGCGTGTTCAGATCCTCAAAAAGGCAAAGGTCACCAAGCTCTTGCAGGACTCCGAGGGCGCTGTTACTGGTGTCGAGTACGAGCACGATGGCAAGACATACAAGGAAAACGGTGCCGTCATCCTTGCAACCGGTGGCTATGCTGCCGATTTCAGCGCGGATGGTCTGCTCAAGCAGTACCGCCCTGAGCTGCTCCCACTTTCGACCACCAACGGCGATCACTGCACGGGTGATGGCCACAAGATGATCCGCTCGATCGGCGGTGCCCTCATCGACATGGAGAAGGTGCAGGTTCACCCAACTGGTGAGTATCACGTTACGACGCAATGGACATCGCTAATCTCAGTATGTAGGCCTGGTTGACCCCAAGTCGCCAGACGACAAGGTGAAGTTCTTGGCTGCCGAAGCTCTTCGAGGTGTTGGTGGCATCTTGCTCGACAACGAAGGTGAACGCCTCGCTGACGAGCTCGGTCACCGTGATTACGTTACTGGCATGATGAACAAGCGCAACAAGTTCCCGGTCCGCCTGATTCTCAACGGCGCGGCTTCTGACGAGATTCTCTGGCATTGCAAGCACTACACCGGCCGTGGCCTCATGAAGAAGTTCGACAGCGGAGCCGACCTCGCAAAGGAGATGGGTATTCCAGAATCGAAGCTCAAGGGCGCTTTCGACGATTATACGTCTATCGCAAAGGGCGAGAAGAAATGCCCCTTCGGCAAGAAGTTCTTCAACGGCAAGGCTTCCGAGTTCACGATGAACGACCACTTCTATGTCGCTCATATGCAGCCCGTCCTGCATTACACCATGGGCGGTGCTCAGATTGATGACCAATCTCATGTCATCGACTCGAACGGCAAGCCCATTCCCGGTCTTTTCGCATCTGGCGAGATCGCAGGCGGTGTGCACGGTGCCAACAGACTCGGCGGTTCCTCATTGCTCGGATGTGTCGTCTTCGGCCGTGTTGCCGGCGACAGTGCAGCCCAATACCTCATGAAGGGTATCTCGAGCGGTAAGATCGCAGCCGGCCGTCTCGGCCAGGTTGCGAACCACCTCGAGACAAAGATTGTCTTTGACGGTCAGAAGCTCACGCTCGAATACAACGTCGCTGGCGGCTCGCAGTCTTCCTCTGCTGGTAATGCTGCGCAGTCGAGCCCACCCTCCCAAGCTAGCAACTCTGCTGGTCCCGATCTTGGCCCGAAGGGCAAGGAGGACAAGCCTCAGCAGCCAAAGTTGAAGCCTTTCACGATGGATGAGGTCGCGAAGCATCAAGAAAAGGGCGACATCTGGGTCGTCGTGTCCGGCCAAGTGCTAGACGTCACCAACTTCCTCGAAGATCACCCAGGTGGTCCCAAGGCTGTAAGCTCCTCTCGCTGGTCGCACCTGGCAACCTGCTGATTCATACCCGCAGATCCTGCTTTATGGCGGACGTGATGCCACCGAAGAATTCCTCAGTATGTCACCTTCTCAATCTTGCAGCCGACAGGGCTGACCGAGCATAACAGTGTTGCACGACCCATCGGTCATTCCAAAGTACGCTGCCAGCTGCGTCATTGGCTATATCGAAGGATCTGCCGCAGCACCCGCTTCGACCTAGACATCGCAGCCTGATTCATGTTCACGATCGCTTGGGGCTATATTGAGGGCCTGTCCATTCTACTTCATTGCACACATTTTGGCATCTTTTCCCTTGCCGCCGCCGTCTTCTCGATTCTGCGGCTGTGCGACGCGTAGCACTAGCATGCTAGTACGAGCACGCTAGGTCGCGCGCTATGGATGAGGGCAAAGCAGATGAGAGCAGCAGTAAAGCCAGGCTGGAGCTAGAGCTCGAATTTGTGCAGGCGCTAGCCAATCCTCTGTATCTACAACGTGGGTACTCGCATGCAAGCCGAGCCGTCACAGAGAAAGCTAAAGAGGGATGCGCAGACATTGCGTCTCAGGCATATTTTGCTGACCCGGCGTTCGTCAAGTCTGTATTGCAGCGTTGCAGGGCGGACGTGGGCTCATGCAGGCGTGATAGTTACTTGGCCTACTTGAAAGAGCACTACTGCAGGCCAGAGCGTGCCAGATTCGTGCAATATCCACAAGCGCTCCAGCTGCTCGAGCTGCTACAGGTAAGTCTGACTATTGAGCTAAGATGCGTATGCTCATGATGATGGACATTGCAGAAGAAGGAGTTCAGGGAGAGAATAGCTACAGAGACGATCTCGCGAGACGTAGCGATGCAGCAACTCGCTCATTGGACTAGCTCTTCAGAGCTGTAGCAGAACAGACGGTCAAGCCATGTTGTGTGTTGTAGCACTTTGCATTTGTGTTCGATGATGGATTCCTTCAGAGCTTAGCTTCTACGAAAGAGACACCCTTGACGATATTGCCCTTGAGTTCCTCGACGGCCTTCTTCATGAGCGTCTGTTCGTACTCAGACAGCTCGCCGATGGGCAAGATCTTCTTGACGCCTTCCGGACCGAGCTCGACAGGCACGGAGAAGTAGTCAAGCTCGACGTTGTCGGTGTGCTTGAGGAGCTCCTTGGATCCGCTCGCATCTGCCTTGAGGAGGATGTAGGAGTCCTCGACGACGCCAGATTTGCCATTGAAGGCTGCATCGATCAGTCGTTCGACGAATCGGAAGCCAGCTGCTGCCATGGAGAGCGTTGCTGAGCCTGCGCCTGCCTTTGCCTGCACAACCTCGTCACCGCCAAATTGGATGCGTTTGGTGAGGGCTTCGATCTGCTCTTGCGAGACGCCCTTGAGCGGTGGCTTCGATTGAGACAGCAGGGGCAGGATGGTGACGCCAGAGTGACCGCCAATGACGGGCACGTTGAACGTAGACGAGGCATTGGATTGACCGATTATCTCGGCCGAGAAGGTCTGAGCTCGCAGGATGTCGAGTGTGGTGACGCCAAAGAGTCTCTTTGGGTCGAATACGCCTGCCTTTTTGAGGACTTCTGCTACGATGGGCACGGTCGAGTTGACAGGGTTGGAGATGACGCAGATGAAGGCTTTGGGGCAAGTGGATGCAATCGATTGGGCGAGGTCCCTGACGATGCTGGCATTGATGTTGAAGAGATCGTCCCTCGACATGCCTGGCTTACGGGGAACGCCGGCAGGGATGACGACGATGTCTGCATCCGTCAAGGCCTTGACGAGTCCGTCATCCTCCTTGTCGTAGCCGGTGACGATCGAGGGCGTGGAGATGTGGGAGATATCTACCGCGACACCCTTGACGACGGGAGCGATATCGAAGAGCGCGAGGTCGGTAAGGTGCGGAGACTGCTTGAGCAAGAGTGCCAGTGGTTGACCAATACCTGCCTCCGTCGAGCTCAACGTGGACGAAGCAAGTGGTCAGGAACGATGGCATACCTCCTGCTGCGCCCAACAAGGCTGCTTTGATCTTCTTTGTCGGCTCCTTGCCTCCCATTGCTTGTGCCATCTTTGCTGCTGAGTCGCTGAGCTGACTTTCAAGCTTTATACTCGAGACGAGACAGTCGGCCGGCAAGAGCCGCGTAAAGCTTAAAACTATTGACGTGCCGGCTATCGCTGACGTGTGTGCACCTCGCCGTCATCACGACGACGCCAAACTAGGTCAGTCGAGTGTGTCTTGACCATAGACCCGACTTGCAAGCTTGAGCAATCTGTCACGCTTGCACGCACAAGTCAGCAGCGTAACTATCGAGCACTGCTGAGAAGGGCATCGCGTCGATCGGCATTGTCAGCGCACTTGGAGCATCGCCCCTGCTCCGATAGCTCTTGACGATCTCTTATCGAAAGCTGACCAGAGGCCTTCGTACAGCTCAACTGAGCTACTCATCGGTGGATCAATAGCATCGCCATCATGGCCAGTCGCTCAAAGGTTACCATCGCCTTGCCATCTCGGCTCGGCGTACTCGTCCTGCCTCCCGGGCAGATCCTCTTCCCCTCGCTCTTGCTCTCGATCCAACTCAACCGGAAAGACTCGATCAACCTCGTCCAGAGCGTGCTCAAATCGGTAGAAGAGTCAAAGAAAGCTGGCAATCTGTCGCCCGATGGAGCGGGCATGGCTCTCGTTGGCGTTGCTCCCCTCAACGCTGCTGCTGCCGATAGAGCTAGATCGCTTGCGAGCACGACAAAGGACGACGAGAAGCGAAAGGCTTCGGAGCTGCAGGTCATTCGTTTGCCTGCCGACGATCGCACGGGCAATGGCCAATCGACCAAGCGACCTACTGTCCAAGATATCTTTGACTGTGAGCTCGGATGGTAAAGCGATTGTGTCACGCTGATAGACTTACAGGGGGCTGTCTGGCTCGTATCGTTCGACTTGAGCGCACATCTATCGGCTACATCGTCGTTGTTGAGGGACTTGCCCGGATCAGGTTAGACAGGTTTACGCAGGTCGGATCACCCTACTTTGAAGCCTTTGTATCTTCTTTCATCGAAGAGCCCCTCGACAGCTCACAAGACTCCATCAAGCTGCTTGATGAGCTCAAGGAACTCGCTGAATCGCTCTTGTCGACCTTTACCTCGCTCAGATTAGCCTTGCCACCGGGCATCGCCAAGCGCATCAAGTCTATGGTGTCCTCAGTCGATGTAGACACTGCAGGTCTTCTGGCTGATGTGCTCATCTCCACCTTATCGCCTTTGCAGTCAGACAAGCTCGACATTCTCTCGCTTGTGCCGACCAGAGATAGACTGGTCAAGGCGACAACGCTGCTGTCTCGCGTCAACGAGGAGACCAAAGCCACCAAGTCGATCGGCGAAAGAGTGGAAGGCAATCTCTCGCGCAGACAGCGAGAGTTTTTCCTGCGATCACAGATGGAAGCTATCGCGCAAGAACTCAAAGATCTCGACCGGGCTGAACGCAATACTACCCCTCGCGCGCCCACGACACCCACTGGTAACAGGGGCGGCTTCATCGTCGACGGTGGAGAGGGGGAGGAAGACGAAGAGATGAAGGAGCTCGAGAACAGATTGGAGAAGGCTGGTCTGCCTACAGACGCTCATAAACTCGCCCAGCGCGAGTTCAAACGGCTGAAGAAGATCCCTCAGCAATCAGTCGAACATGGTGTCATTCGTAATTACCTCGATTGGCTCGCCGACATGCCCTGGTCCACTTCGACCCCATTGACGCTTGACAGGGACTTCTTGCAGACGGCTCGTAAGCAGCTCGATGAGGATCACTTTGGTCTTGACAAAGTCAAACGACGTCTCATAGAGTATCTAGCCGTTCTGCGACTGCGACAAGAAGTCTCAGAAGCGAATGACCAAGCCAGCTCGAAGAAGCAGCAGGATCTGCTCCTGAAAGATGCCGGCGACAAGCGTGTTCTTGCCGACGTTCTCACTGGTCAGGACAGCATGGCTCTATCCACGACAGAAATGACCGAGCAAAACGAAGACACGCCAATGGAGGTCGAGTCCGTCAAGCCCAAGGCAGTCGTCCGAGCCCCGATTTTGCTGCTCGTCGGTCCACCGGGCGTAGGCAAGACGTCCATTGCTAGATCGCTCGCGACTGCCATGGGCAGACAGTTCCACCGTGTCTCGCTAGGCGGATGCTCGCACGAAAGTGACATCCGGGGTCATCGCAGAACATACGTTGCTGCCATGCCAGGCCTGATCTGCACAGCACTTCGCAAGCTCGGTGTCAACAATCCCATTATGCTACTCGATGAGATCGATAAGCTAGGCGCGGGAGGATTCAACGGTAATCCCGAAGCAGCTCTGCTCGAAGTACTCGATCCCGAGCAGAACTCTGCTTTCCAAGACCACTATATCGGCACGCCTTTCGATCTGAGCAAGGTCCTCTTTGTTGCCACTGCTAACTCACTCGAGACTATCTCTGCGCCGCTCAGAGACCGTATGGAGATCATCGAAATTCCGGGCTATGTCTATGACGAGAAGATCGCCATTGCGAAGAAGTATCTCTTGCCCGAGCAGATGGAGCACAACGCACTCGCGACCGGACAGATCCAGATCTCAGACGACGTGCTCGCCACCGTCATCACGTCTTACACCCGCGAAGCTGGCGTCAGGACGCTCGAGCGAGAGATCGGGGCTATTTGCAGAGCCAAAGCCGTCCAGTATGCAGAGATAAGAGATTCGGCTGATCCTTCGGCTTACGATGCCAACGTTCTCGAAGCCGATCTCGAGACCATCCTTGGCCTGCCAAAGTTCGATCCAGAAATTACAGACTTTGATGCGCGACCTGGCGTTGCTACTGGCTTGGCCTATCAAGGTTCAGGCAACGGTGGTATCCTTGTAAGTCTCTTCAGGCGCGTGAACACGCACTTTTCTGACCAGCCGTGCAGCATATCGAGAGCACGGCTATGCCTGGGAAAGGTGGCAGTATAAAGCTCACAGGATCTCTGGGCGATGTCATCAGCGAATCTGCTCAGCTCGCTCTTTCGTGGATCAAGACCCATGCTTGGGAACTCGGTCTGGTATCTGAGCGTGGCGACGAAGTGCTGGACAAGACGAACATCCATTTGCATCTGCCGAGCGGATCGATCAAGAAGGACGGCCCATCTGCGGGTATCGGGATGGTCGTCTCCCTCGTCAGCTTGCTCAAAGACGTTGCTGTCGATCCCAAGCTCGCCATGACGGGCGAGATCACGCTCCGCGGTCTCGTGACGCCTGTGGGCGGTATTCGAGAGAAGGTGCTAGGCGCTCATCGAGCGGGTATCACGAAGATCTTGTTACCCACTCGCAATCGTAAGGACGTCGAGGCGGATGTGCCTCAGCGCGTCAAGGACGATATCGAGTTTGTGTACATCGCTACGATCCAGGAGGGTCTCATGGCCGCCTTTGAAGGCGAGCTATGGACACACGATGGACATGCAAAGCGCAACCGCTTCATCGAAGGCCCTCGCTTGTAGATCTGCACGCAGCTTTCCTTGCTGCTTTTTTCCTTTCTTATTGATTGTACAACATGCATGCTCTGTTGCCTTCCCCTCATCGCCTCGGATGTCTATCCCGTTCGCGGTACCTATCGCTATCGTCTCTATCCCTGCGCGAATTGCGCTCATCCCAATGTGAATTTGGGCGGTGGCTATCCCTTCGCTCGTCGCGGTATCTGTCCTCCCGCGGATCTCTTGGCCGTTTGTCGTGAGCTTGCGACCGTTCGTGTCTGTCTCGCGCTTCTGATTGCTTTGAAAATCGAGGCGGAGACGGTCGACGATCTCTCGGACGCGCTTTGGTCTTTGTCTCCTCAACCGGCGGTCGCGGTTTTGCGCCCAAACCGAGCAACTGTGGTCGCTGTACAGGCACGAAAGCCTTTGCAGGTCCCTTGCGATTGTTCTTCGAGACCGCTTGGCCCTCTTTCCAGCCCATGCCTCTCAGCAGAGCAGCGCCAAAATCAGCAATGGGCACTCTCGAATAATCCTCGGCAGTCATATCGTCTGCGCGTGTCTCGATATCCGCCCTGAAAGCTTCCACCTCTGTTGCGTCGGGATCTCGGGTACGTATGAGAGCTATCGTGAGAGGCTCGTCTGCTCTTTCGGGCCCTTCGCCTAATAATTCGGCCAACGCCTTTTGATCGTCTGTCGAACCGGCGTGAAGAGCGCGTTGGCTGGCATTGCTGCTCGTGCGTGTCTCTGCTGCACTTTCTACTTGGCCGGGAACGTAGATCTTCCGCCGCTTGGCTCGGTTGTCTGCGGGTGTGACGATGGTGATGGGCTCCCGAGATGGTGATCTGCTGTGGCAAAGGTTCAGCAGCTACAGACTCACTTTGAGGGTCTCAACTGACTCTGAAGGGTCGGGGATGGCGCCGTATTCTCCTATGAGCTCGTCTGGACGACCATCTTCGTCGTCCTCGTCGCGCAGTAGCCGCTGTCTGAATGACATGAGGTGGTATCGATGATGACGGCCGGCCAAGGCAAATCGCTAAGCGCGTGATGAGCTCATTCGCTGATCATTCGACTGGCAAACGAGCGACTGCCAACAGCTTCGACGATGCTTCGAACAGTCAGCAGCAGAGTCGTACGAGCCTCCTTCCTCAAAGCAAGTCGTTCTGCTCCCTCAGCGCTCCGTGCGCCTCAATGGCAAGCTCGCCCATCCGTACAACTCCGTCAGCTATCAGTCAGCGTTGCCCGCTCTCGAGCACTGCCGCTGTCCTTTGCGAAAGACAAGCTCAATCAGGACGTGACGTACGATGAGCTCAAGCCGCTCACTGAGCAACCGTCAGACGATGTCCTCCTCGTAGGCCAGTCTCAACGCGCAACATGACCCCGACAGCGTGCTGAGGGGGTAGATCGAGCAGATGTGAGGGAGATTGATGAAGTCATGCAAGGCAATATCCCTTCTTCGGTCAACTTGCCCTTGTCCGACTTGGGCAAGACGCTCGAGCTCGATTCGGGCGAGTTCACGAGGTTGCACGGATTCTATAAGCCCACAAAGGAGCAGCCCATGGTCTTCTACTGCCGTACTGGCAAGAGGTCAGAAGCGGCCAAGCAACTCGCAGAGAAGAAAGGCTACCAGTTTGTACGCAACTACAAGGGATCCTGGGCAGACGTAAGCCCTCCTACGCTGATCGGTCGACGGAAGCTGATGAGGAAAGAGCAGTGGGTCGCGAACGAGAACAAGTCGAGCTAGTGATGTATGCACTCGGAGAATGCAATCATGTATACGGTCAGTGCAGGAAGACGTCCAGTCGAGTGAGCTGGGTGTACGTCTCCGATCGCAGTGCAAATCGCAACATGCCAGAGAAAGTCATCACCGCTCTCGCATACCGCTTCATCTGAGCGATCTTACTCTGCCGGCCTTCGTCTCCGTAGGGCGATTCTTTCAATCGAGCGTTGAGCTTGTACAGGGTATTCATCACCGTCAGAATGACGACATCGAAGTTGCGCGTGATCGCATCGTCGAGCTGCTTGAATTCTTCTGCCCTTCGAATCAGAGTGTTCATATCGCCTTCGAGCGGAACAATATTGAGCTCCTCGAAGATCTGTGATTATCGTCAGCTTGGCAACGTGATACATCGAGCGAAACTAACACTGAGAGCACGCTCAAGCTGATCTTGCTCGTAAAGAGTGATCGCTTCTTTCAAGTTGACCAGAGTGATACTGGCTTCTTTCAGTCTTCTGGAAATCTTGCTAGAGATGACAATCGATTTTTCGAAGTGGCCGATGATGCTCTTCGCCGTGCCGACTGGATCCTCCTGCACTGCGAATTGCGTACTGGCGTTTGGCGCTTTGCCTGCGGTTGAGGCTGCGCTCGAACTGGGCCGAGACAGCGAGGCGCCTAGTTCGGCATTGAGCACTCGCAGAACAGCGTCGTACTCTTCTGCGAGGTTGAAGAGTAGAATGGAATCCCCAAAGCGCCTTTCTCGATCTGCTTGCGCCGCTGCCGCTCTGACGATATTGGCCAGATAGTCAGAATTGCTACTCAAGCCAATCAGTTTCAAGTCTTTCTCTATTTGACCGGGCTGTCAGTACGCAAATGTTGATCAGCAGCTAGTCACTGGTTTCGGAGAGTACCACTGACCACTTTGGAGCCATCAGTGCGGATATCGCCGAGCAATTGGCTGTACGCTTTGCTGTCCATGACCAGCTCGCGAAGATAGTCATAGCAGATCGCCTTCTGTTCTCGATCGATCGGCGAGGGACATTTGATGTTCAGGCAGATGAGATAGATGTATTGCAGAGCTTCCGTGGGATCCGACCGCGCAAAGAGTCGGTAGTATCGGTAGATCAGTCGCGAGAAATTGAGCGTCGCGTTCTGCTGCGTTTTGCTGACTTGCTCGACCGTCACTGCAGAACGCTCTCAGTCTAGTACTGCACTCAATGATACGGACTTACAGAGATCGACATCGGAGACTTGATCCTTGCGAGGCAGGCGCAGGAGACCATAGTAAGCCAGGATGATCGCAAAGTGAACTGCATCGACTTGATATTGCGAGCGACCGTAGAGGAACGCAACGGCCTGCGCAGTCAATGTCTGAGCACACAGAGACGCTCAGAGAGAAGGCAGTCTAACCCTTTCATAGTTGCCGGATAGCAAGAGCAGCTGAAAGTAGAGAAGCGGACGACTGCCTTTTGGGTCAAAGTGAGCCTCGCCATACTTGACGAGAAGCGCTCCTAGATCTTGCAGGGTGTAGCTCTCTTGCTCTGCTTGCTCGCTTTCTCTGATCATCTGTAGCTGGAACCACATCCAGTCTTCGGCAGTGTCGGTCACGCCAGGCACGCTCCTCCTCGATAGTTCAGAACGGCCCATGAGTTTGTAGAGAGCGTATTTGAACGGGTCTTGCGATTCTGACGAGAAGCGAATCTTTTGCTGGTACTCTGTCAGGAAGCGGTCGCGCAGATGACGAGGCAGTCGACGGTCTGGAGAGTCTAGCCATGCTTTGAAGTAAGGTATAAAGGACCTTTCGAGCTTCTGTATGCTTTGCTCGTTTTCTAGTGCGAAGGAGAGTGCTTCTTGGGGATGGCCCGCTCGCAAGAGAAAGAATATCCTTGCCCACACTGGCGTGTTATTGGCGAGCTAGACTCTGGGAATGAGCTTGAGCCTGAAGCATGCAAAAGATTCTCACCTGCAGATCAGGAACGGTCCATTGGCCCATTTTGCTGTACCTGAGGCTGACGAAAGCCCTGATCTTGTTCTGCAGTGATGGCACGCCGCCTAAGTTGGCTTCTGTCGGCTTTGCAGCAAGCATTCTCTCCACGTAGCGCATGAACCTATACAGCCCAATGTGAGTACGGCGTGAAGCTCAGCAGAGTGGTCACTGACTGGTCCTGTAGAAAGTCTGTGCCGCCTACGATGATCTGATGACGATACGCTCTGCTTTCGACGGTGTCACGATCAGGATCCCAGTAGCCTTTCAGGTAGGCGCCTTGGGGAAGCTGAACACGAGTGAATTGGGCCTGTCCATCTGTCGATACTGCCGTTTCGTGAAGAAGCTTGGCCATTAGTGAGTAAGTCTCGTTGAGCTGCGCAGATTTCTGCAGCAGGAACTTGCGAGTTCAGCTTGTTCCAGCTGCACATCAGAGAACAAGACTTGCCTGATCAGTTGAGGGACCGGTAGAAGAAGCAAGTGCAGCATCTGCAAAGAGCCGGATGATGCCAATGGGTTCTTCCGCCTTTCTGGCCTCGTTAAGTTTTCGAACGGCTTGATCGTACTTCATCATGCGACTGTGCATCTGCAATTGACCCGACTTGGCGGGTGTGGCACCGGACAATGAAGCGGGGACTAGCGAAGCAGTCGAGGGATCGACGAGGACGGAATTGCCGAAAGTGCTCTCGTCTTGGCCTAGCAAATTCGTCCGTCGAGTGCTTCCTAGACGGGAAGTAGACGCGGAGAAAGAATCGTCGCCAGACTCGAACGTGAGCGTGCGACTTTGTTGATCTTGTGCATTGGCAGTCGTCGCGGCCTGGTGCGCTCCGAGCTCGTCCCAGAGCGTCGCGCGCATCTTATCCCATGAGCGTTTCAATCCCTGATCGATGACTTTCTGAGAGTCCCTGAGGGTCTGAGCTCTGGTTAATTCGATGATGCCCACGATGGACTGTTCGTGCATGTGTTGTAGCAAAAGCGGCAGGTCGCCCGCAGGAGTGCTGCTGACAGTATCGTTGACGGGTTGAGCTTGCCTGCCCAACTGTCTCGGCAAGCTGGAAAGCATATTCTCGAGATTGTCAGTGTCGATCTGAGCGCCGGTCGCGAGGAAGTAGGCTCCTGCTCTGTCGGCATCGCCGCCTGGCACGGGCTGAGCAGAAGTAGGTTGATTTTGAACCGCCTTGAGTGCAAGTCGACGGGAGTAGGCCTCAATCTGGTCAAGTCCGAGCTCTATGCGCGGTAGCTGAGCTGTACTGCCTGACTGGGCAAGAGAGGGCATGCTCTGTGAGCTCGAAGGGCCGCTTGCAGGTGGGAGATTGCGAGTAAGGAGCGAGCTTGAGCCAGAGCCATTTGCAGCTCGTGAAGAGGACGGACGAGCGCTCGAGGCAGCCAATTTGCGCGAGCGGTGGAGGAGGTCAGTCAGCGAAGCCGGGCCGGAGCCATTGAGGCCATCTTGCGAGGCCATGGTCGTCACACTCGGCAGTATAGATTCAACAGGACTGAGCTAACAGGCGCGACGGAGGTCTCACAAACTTGAATTACGACAGCGCGCCAACTCGAACACTCGAAGCCCAAGCGAGCCCTCAAGGCCTCACGTACAGGTAAGATCATCGCAGCTCTGTCTTCGTGCTCTCCGTGTCGCCGCCGTCGACTGCTCTGCGCATCTCTAGACTTGCTGCTTTGGCGCGCTTCGTTGAGCAAGTCGACGTGACCTAGGCCAGCAACATCGGATCTCCTGACGGTACCCGAGACAACTTCTGCCGAGGTAGCGCAAGCGAGTAGCGGCTGATGCTTCTGCTTCTTGGTTGCAGAACTACTCCTCGGACAAAGGCCGCGTCTTCGGTCAGCAAGTACCAGTCAGCACGGTCAAGCGTGCGCCCAAACCAACAACTGCCTCACGGTGCACAGCGACCTCGCCAGCCTGAAGATTGACAAGGAGCGAAGGACACAAGATGGCACCGAATGGGCAGTATCACATCCTGCTCAAGATGCTCTTGATTGGCGACTCCGGTCCGTTGCGCCTTGCCGCGTGTCACGGGTCTTGAGCTGATTGAGCATCATACGACGACAGGCGTGGGCAAGTCATGCTTACTGCTGAGATTCTGTGATGACGCCTGGACGCCATCCTTCATCACGACGGTCGGCATCGACTTCAAGATCCGGACTATCGAGCTCGACGGAAAGAGAATCAAGTTGCAGATCTGGGACACGGCAGGACAGGAACGCTTCAGGACCATCACGACGGCCTACTATCGAGGCGCAATGGGTATTCTGCTCGTGTACGATGTCACAGACGAGCGAAGCTTTAACAGTGCGCCTTTTGCCGCGCACTTAGCGGGCCGTAAGCTGAATGCCCGGCTCATAGATATCCGGACATGGCATGCAAACATAGAGCAGCATGCATCCGAAGGTGTCAACAAGCTCCTCATCGGCAACAAATGCGATTGGACAGAGAAGAAGGTGCGTCCATCTGCTCCCAACATGATGCTGAGCTTACGCGACCAATGCAGGTCATCACTGAGCAACAAGGAAGGGAACTAGCAGACGAGCTCGGCGTTGGCTATCTCGAGACTTCCGCAAAGACCAACATCAATGTCGAAGAAGCTTTCTTCACGCTAGCAAGGCAAGTTCGCCCAGTGTGCCTGTGCTCTCTGTAAACTCATACCATCGAAATGGCAGGGAAGTGAAGAACAGATTAGTAGATACTGCGGGACCAGACGCAGCTGCAGGTGCCAACAGACCAGGAGCGGTCAATTTCAACAGTGGCCCATCAGCAAAGGCTGGCTGCTGTTGAACTTTTTTTTGCCCTTCGCATCACACCGTATGCAAGGCCATTCTGTCCGTCTAGGCACCGCGCTGCTATTGTCCCTGCGCTCTATCTCTGTAATGGCTTATCATCGTGTATGAACAAAACGTGCATGTCGTTCGTCATACATCTCTTGCGACTTTATGCTCCTCCGTAATTCATCAGTCGAGGTCCATTCTATTAGAACCTTTCCTGAAACCATTCGTCTTGCTCTGAGCAACGAGCAGCTCCTTCCACTGTGCGACATTCCATTCCTCAGTCAATGCATCAAGACAGATAGCGTGAGGTCTCACAGTATCTTTGTACTTTGCTTCTGCGCTTGTCTGATCGACGACCTGTTGGAACTTTGGCGTTGTTGCTGCGCTCGAGATACGGCTGAGGCTGGCGAGTGCGCGAAGGGCAGACTTCTGCGAGGCGTCCAGACGGTCGAGCTCCTGCTTGACCGCGCTTTCCTTGGCCTTTTCCTGCAGAATGAGCGTCCATGCTGGCGCCGTCTCGTCGAGACCTATTGCCGCCGCAGGCACGTCAGCACCCGATCGCATTGCAGAGCTAGGTCACGCACGTCGGACTACGATACTTGGTACTTCATTGGCAAGACGAGTGAGCATGAGGAAAGTGAGTGCCCTGATTTCGATCTCATCCGACATGCCCTCGATGAGTCGACTCATGAGGGCCTGCAAATCGAGTCTCGACAGACAGGCATCGAGCGAGCTGTACATACAATCGAAAGCGGCCTTGCGACATTCGAGGCCCTCGTCGACTTTCATCTTGAAGGGTCCCATCTCGACGTGTCGTATCAAGCCAGTATCGATCTTGCTTCGTTCGTAGATCTGGGCTTGGATTTCGCTGATGATCTGACGAAGGATTGCAGGCTTGTGATGCGCTAGAGAAGCGAGCGTGACGAGGATGTACTTGCGCACTTCCAGATCGTTATCACTCAGCGATTGTGCCATCGAGCGCAAGACCGGTGTCAGATAAGGATCGCACGCGGAGCTCTCGTCGATCAGTGTGAAGCGAACAGCCGATACGACTGCAGCGCGCACGCCGGCCAATTGATCAGTGAGCTTCTGCTCGACCATCGGGAAGAATCGGCGAGGATCGCTGAGCGCTAGCTTGCCTAAGCACTCTGCTGCATTGTTGCGCGTAGCTTCGGTCTCTGTCCAAGCGGCGCGAATTGGGTGATCTTGAGCGTACATCTCATTTGCCAACTCTTCTCGTTCCTTTTCCTTTGTCGGATCAGTCGCGGCAGGCGGCGGCAAACGCGGTCCTGGAATGGCGCAAACTTCGAGCAGAGGCGTCCAAAGCTTGTCTGCTTCGGAACTCAAACTTGCGACCGGTGAATGGCTGATAAATGCCTTGAGTGCGAGCAGCGCCTGCGTGCGTTTCTTCGCATCCGAGATACTTTGTACGATGACAGGCAGGTACTTCTGAGCGTCGCCGACTGCTAGATTACCGATGGCAAAGGCTGCACTCGCTCTGACCTCCTCAGACGTGGCATCATTAAGCTTTGTAGCAAGCTCGACTGCTTTTTCTCGCTTTGGGAAGCTTTCCAACCGACCGATCTCGCCGAGCACGAGAAGACTGAAGCTTTGCACCGGACCCGCCGATTTGGAGCCCGAGAGCTGCGTGAGGAAAGGCGCGCTGGCATCATCTGCTTTGGTTGGGTCTTGCGCAATGATAGCGCCGATGACGCGTGCAGTAACAGAAAAGGCCATTCTGATAGAGGCACTGCTCGTCTTGGCATCTGAATTCGCTGCTGTCGTACCGGCGAGTTCGGCTTGACGAGTGACAAGCGGCAACGGCTGCACGCCTTCGCGAACGAGAGTTCCGAAGAGATCGCAGAGCCTGTCGAGGGCGACGCCGTGTACATCCGGACTGATACCAAGAACTTGCAAGGGAGCAAGGAGCTCAGACAAGTTGCTCTTGTTCGTCATAAGCTCGGGCTTGACTTCTAGTATGGCACGCAGAGTCGTCAGAGCCAGCGGCATCAACGGGAGATCTTCTGTCGAAGCAAAGGGCAACACGGCGCGCAGAAGGCTGAGGATGATGTTGTCCGATAGATCAGGTCCGCCGCGCAGGATGAGAGTTGGCAAGCAGGTCATCGCATCGACTTTGAGCGTGCGATTGCTCTGACGCAAAAAGGTAGAGATGGGTAGCAAGCTCGACTCTGTCCATTCGTCAAAGTCTGTGCCTACGTTGGTCCTTGCCTGCGCGATACTCGTGATCGTCTTCAGTGTGACACTTCGGGTAACTTCTCGCTGTATCAGCTCAGCCAAGAGCGCGAGTCCCTTCTTCGAATCTGCTCCTAAGCTATCGCCAGCGTGCAGAAACACGTTGCCAAGGCAGACGATGGCAGGATCTCTGACTTCCTGGTCCAACGAGCCTGACAAGCGGGCGAGTACACTGGCATAGATCTTTGCGATTGCTGCGCGAACTGTTGAATCGAGAGGGGCGGCTTTCTGACCAACGGGCGTAAGAGGTCGACCGGTTTTGATAAAGGCTGAGCTCGTTGCGAAAGCTTGCGCTGCGACCGGACTGAAAGAGTCGGAATGAACATCAACGAGACGAGCGATGAGTTCTTCTAGCGATCGCTCATAGACTCTGACAGGGTGATACGTCACAAAGGCGGTGAGGAATTGCAGCGTCTCTATCTTGAGCGCTGATGCCATGGCATTGACGCCTCCGGCGGATGTGGCCAGCGCTCTACAAACGGCTGTAGCGAGCTGAGGCGCGTAAGATTCCAGACTGCCCTCGAGAACAAGGACAAGGGCTTTGAGAAGCTCGAAAGCGTGTTGTCTGACAAGAAGCGATTTCGATTCGAGGTGAGACAGCAGAGCTTTCATCATCTGGCTCGATTGGCTTTCAATGAGGCTGTAAGGGCCGCCGTCTAAGTTCATTGCTTCTTGCGTACGCTTGCGCTTGAGGCGGGCCTGTGACTCTGACGATGGAGGCGAAGAAGCGGAGGCGATACGGTCACTTGAAGTTCTGACGAGATCGAGGAGATGCGTATAGGCTTTCCATACATCCAGTCGAACCGTCTCTTCTCGTTCTGTAGCTCTCTGAGCGAGCGTAGGCGAGATGAGCTTAGCGAGCAGGGGTAGTTGCTCGCTGTAGGTATCGACGCTGGCCGCGAGCAGCTTGATGGCTGCCTTGCGTACTTTCCACGTTACATCATCGTCGTCCGAGTATTCATCTTCGTATTCGTCGTCCATGGCATCGTCTTCGTCATCAGCTGCCATGTCGGCATCGCCGTCATCGTCGCCAGCATAATTCGGATCGTATGAACATAGCTTTGTTGCAATTTCAATGCTCGTCGAGAGGTGCTCTGTAAATTCTGCAGGGCACTTGACCAGCAGCGTTTGCAGTGTCTGGCATATATCACCACCTTAGCCTGATAGCTACTGATCCATAAACAGGACGCACGTTCAATGCTTGCTCTTTCAGCTCGTCATCGTCTGCCGAGATGGCGGCCTTTTGCACACGCGCAGCGTAATAATTCATTCTGGCTTGAGTGACTTCACGCGGTGCTTTACTGTGTTCATCGTTCCGTCAGCATGCACAAGTGGGAACGTACAGAAAGCGACACTGACTTTGCAAGCGAGATGACGAGCCCCATGCCGGTCTTTGTGACTTCTACATCGCCCGAGTCCAAAGCGGGCATGACGGTCTTTTCGACGAGTGTAGCAGCAACGCTATCTGAAGAGGAAGCGATGAGAAAGCCGAGAGCATCGACCGTACGCTTTCTGACGGCCGGTCGAGCATGATCGAGCAAGGGTGCGAGGACCTGAAGGATCTGAGTCTGAAGTGCGGGCGTTGCTCTTACGATAGCTTCGAAGGAGATGAGTATCTCGCTCAGTAGCTCCGTGCAGCCTAGGAGGGTATCTTGGGCCTGAGTAGCACCTGAGGAGCTGGAGGCCGTTGCAGGCTTCCCGTTGGTCGGTGCAGGCGGCAGACCGCTCGAAAGCTGGGCGCAAAGTTTGGGTATGAGCTTATGGCATGCGCTCGAGGCTAATTTGCCTGTCGAAGGGAGCTCGCGAATGACGGTACGAAGGCCAAGGTTGGCAATATCACGATCGGAACCCTCTTTGCTATTCGTCAGAGCGATGAGTGAGTCGACGATGCTGAGCAAGCTCTGCTCTGTCAATTTGGGGATCAAGCATCCAATCCTAATTTACCGCCTCAGTCAAAACGCGCCTGGAGCAGCGAAAGAGAGAAAGACCGACGTGGTGACGGCATTGTTCTTGACTTCTGTGATCCCGTCGGAGAGCATACCGACGACGGCATCGACGACTTTCTTCTCGGTATGATAGTCAAGCGAACCTGATCTCGCGCCATAGTATGATCCTGCACTGCTGCCCGAGCTTGCAAAGGCGGTTGCGTTGGAAGGCGTCAGACGGTTGATCTCGGTCTGGAGATCATTGAGGGCCATGAAACGCAGATCTTGGTCTGAGCTCTTGAGCTGCAAGGTGAGCAAAGGCGCATCAAGTTAGAGACGAGCCATGGACGTCAGGGTTCTGCCTGGTCAGTGCTGCCTCGATGACGAGCTTATGTAGCACACGGACCTTTCCCAGTAGCTGTGTGACATTGTAAGAGTCCATATTGAGCCAAGCCAAGGGGCCAGCAGCACGGCGGTCACAGAAATCTTGCAGGCACGCGAATTTGTTCGAGGAGCCTTTGGAACTGCTCGGGCTTGCCTGGCTTGCCTTGGCTACAGTCGACCACCATGTCGTCCGGTCTGGCGACGGAGCGCAGGGGCCATGCAGCTCTCAAGCCATCGAAGCCTGTCGGACGCTACAGGCCAGGTATCGCACCTCAAGGCCAAGCACTCGCATCAGATTCGGACTCTGATGAGGAGCACGAGCAAGCTGCTCAAGCTGAAGAGGCCGCATTGGAAGCAGAAGAAGCAGAGGATCTAGGCCGACAAGATCTAGCTGTACCCGCCAAAGCAGCCAAGCCGTCCATCAGACTACGAGATGTCACGCTGCCCGCTGCTCAAGCTCAAGTGGACGGTTCCTCGTCGAGCGAGTATGAGACAGACTCAGAGGCGGAAGCTGCTGCCACGGCAAAGACAAGCAAGGTCGCACCGACGGCTGAGTCATCCTCCGAGTACGAGACAGATTCTGAAGATGATGTCAAACCGATCTACAAGCCCGTCTTTGTACCCAAACGTCAACGCGAGAACGGAGCTACCAATCTGCCTGGAGTCATGTCAATCGAAGAACAAGAGCTGGACCATCAGGCCCGACTCGAAGCGCAGAGAAGAGAGTCACACGCTCTGATTGCCCAATCGATCCAACGAGAACTGGCCTCGAAAGAGAAAGAGGAGGTCTTTCCCGGATTTGACGATAGAGATGGGGTGGATCCGACTGCCGAATTCGAAGCCTGGAAGCTGAGAGAGCTATTGAGGCTTCAACGCGATCAGGCAGCCCGGTATGCTCGCGAGCAAGAGAGAGAGGAGATCGAACGACGACGCGCTATGCCGGAAGAAGTCAGACTGCGAGAAGATCTCGAGCGAGCCGAGCAATCTCGTCAGGAGAAGCCCAAAGGATCTCAAGCCTTTTTGCAAAAGTACCACCACAAAGGCGCTTTCTATGCGGTGCGTAAGATGTCCTTCGTCTGCTCTAGCGCTGACGGGGTGCCGCTCTCTTGCCCAGGACGACGAGATACTCAAGCGGCACGACTATACCCAAGCCACGGGCGCAACGATCAAGAATGCCTCGAGCTTACCCGCCGTCATGCAGAAGAAGAATTTTGGCAAAGCTCATCAGACAAAGTACACGCACTTGCGAGATCAAGATACCTCTCGGCCGGATGCTGCAGGAGGTGGCTCATCAGATCGAGCTTGCTTCCTCTGCGGACAACCTGGTCATGTCAAATCGGAGTGTCCAAACGCAGAGAGCATGTCGAAAGGACCGAGTGGTGCCAACGCTATGCCTTCTCTGAGACCTTTCGGCGCTCGTCCGAGCAACGACCACGATCGAGACGATTCTTTCCGAGATCGATCGAATGGGGAGAGAAGACGGGATCAAAGGCCGGGCGCTTACCGAGACGGACGAAAAAGAAGCGCGAGCCCAAGAGAGCGATACGAAGATCTAGATTACGACAAGCGCCGGAGGAAGAGAGACTGATGAGTCTCAGCAAGCAAAAGCAGTGAGTTGTACGTATGCATGATGTTGTCACGCTCCCTCGGCGAGGCGAGCCTCCTCGACGCGTCTTCGGTCAAGCGACTACCTCACTCGACTCGCTTTGCTCATCTCATCAGCCAGACAAAACGACTCCGACAGCTTGCGCGAATCTCACCCTCGTCATTCCTTCATCGCATACACGCAAGCTACGCCGAAGCTCGGCCGTCAAGTCTACCACGACACTAACGATCTGTCAAACACGACACTACCGATTGGCCGAACCGATCCCTGAGGGCAGACACAACATTCCTTTGTGCTGGTTCTTACAGCCCCCTTACAACTGATAGCGATCAGCTCATGGCAGACAAAGAACGACTAGCTCGAAGCGATTCGCTACAGACGGCCTGGCCCATCCGAACAAGATCGGACCGTTCCTCGCAGCAAACAGTCAAAGTCTACCAGCGCACTCGTCCTACATTTTCGCGTCGATCGGCACAGTACAACAGCAAGCTGATCGAGCCAGAAACCGAGTCAAAGTCTGCTAAAGCTCTCAAAGCTGACATACTCGATTCACTCTCGTCCTTGACACTCTGCGAAACACCGTCCCTGTCAGCTTCTCTCTCGTCGTCGATCTACCTTTCCCCGGGCTACGATGATGCTGCGCTCCCATGTCAGCCGAGACGAGCCGGTATCAGGGAGCGACTCAACAGCTCTCTCTCGTCTTCAGTGCTCGCCCTCAGTCCTCCCTCTCGCAACAAGATGCAGCGCGCAAAATCGGCCCAGATGTCGTTGGCGTCTGCCGCTACCACCATACATAGCGAAGAGAATTCCAGTCAGGTCTTCGGAGTTGCGTTCAGTCCCGACAAGATCACACTGAGGTCGCCTAAAACTCTTAACGGCACGACGGCGTCACGCACAGGCAGGAGAGGTTTCAGCCTATTCAGTCCTCCACGCACAACAAGATCACAAATGTCAAACGTCACGCCGCAGGTCGATCTGCCACCGTCCTTCTCGCAATTACTTGACACCGATCTTCGCACTGAGCTCGAATCCGTTTCGGTCAGTGTCACCGGTGGCTGACGGGTTTTAGCTGACATTGACGTAGATGTACCGCCGTCACATGTATCCTCAATCGGCGAAAGGGCTCAAAGCGTCAAAGTCGTCTGCAACATTGCTGACTCGTTCAGCAAAAGGCCAGATCACCAAAGCGCCTTCGAGCAGACGCGCGACCATCTCGTCAGCTATCAATGCGCTCAGTAACTTCTCGAGCTCAGTGCTCGCGCTTGCACCTTTTCCTGACACGAACACCCACGCCGACAAAGCGCTCGAACAAGACCAGGCAACGCAAGATCCGGACCTGTCGCTTGCTTCGTCTACCTTTCCAGCATGGCATGTTCGCACCGGATCTGGCTCCGGCTCGCTCGCGGCCGGACTCGATCGTGACTTGCCGGCCCTGCCTCAGGATGTACATGTGACGGACCCTGCGGTCCAAGCAAAGCACCAGGCGCTCGAGCGATCACTCAGCGATCTGATGCTTGCAGCTGCAGACATCTTCGAGCCACTCCCTTTACCTTTGCGCTCCTCGCATCGAGTCCGTCATGCTGCCGGCACGCCTCGTTTGATCCCTGCAAGATCGCTGAACGTTTCGCCCACGCCAAGGAAGTCACACGGAAATGGCATGCCGCTTCGCAAGTACGCTTCTGCTCAGCAACTCTATCATCGCCGTTTCGACTCTGGCTCATCAGCAAATCACGAAAAGGCAATCAGACGTCAGATCTCGCTCGATCAGCTCCTCTTGTCAGACAACACGCCTTCCCGGGCTGATAGGGAAGCCGGCATTCAGCGTGAGAGTCAGCTCTATTCGACACCGTTTCAGTCAATGCCTACTGTCGACGATCATCAACGCGGTAGCTCTTTCAGCGGCTCGCACATGAGTCTCATGTCCTTTGCGCAGCCAGCACGGGTCACGGAGCCTGCTAAGGCGCATACTAGACCTACTCGTGAGCGCAAGCCAACTTACCTTTCCATCGCAGAAGAGTCGACTCCGATCAATACGCTTGAAAGATTGCAGCAGGTGCAGACAAGGCCAAACTCCTACTTTGCTCATTCGCCTTCCAACCCTTCCGTCTGGACGCACCCCGGCGTCATTTCGCCTTCACCTACTTGCCGATTCACGTCAGAGATAGATAATGCGCGTCTGAGTCCTTTCTGGACGGAGGATTCGCGAGACAACTCTCAAAGCAAGTCACGATCCCATTGGTTGCGTCTCAAGGTTGCTCTACTTGCTCATGCAAGCACCGCTCTTGCGGTCGTAAAGAGAAGCGTGGGAACGCAGACCGCCAAGCAGGATGAGGAGAAAAGGGTCGAATTCAGCACGCCTAAACGAGGACCCGGTCTGACTACGAAAACCACATCAAAGAATCTAGCCCGCACGATGACTATGCATCCGGGCGACAAGGAAAAAGCTACCTACAACCACCTTGGCGATAGCAGACAGTCTGACTACTTCAGAGATTCGCAGGGCAGGCTTCGTAAGCTCAAAGTTCGTTGACTCAGCTTGCTAAGGGGCGCACGTCTGATTCGTGGAGCAGATTGCTGGTCTTGCGCTGATCGTACTCGTTGTGGCCTTGGCCATTGTGGCGGTATCACTTGCGATTACTCGCGGGGCACGAGTAGGCGCTGGCGATATGCCGATGGCGACGAACGTCTCTACAGCATCACTACAGTCTACACAGAGACCTTTTTACGCGATCGGCTATGACGCACCGGGCGCTGGCAACTTCAATTGGTGCAATGTATCATACGCGCAGATCTATCGCGACGTTCAGCAGCTTGCACAATTTACCACACGCCTTCGCACGTACTCCAGCGATTGCGGTCAGCTAAGCATGCTCCTGCAAGCCATCGACACCAGCAAAGTCAACCTCACAGTCGAGGCGGGCGTCCTGATGGACGCTCAAGAGTCTACGTTCGACCGACAGCTCGCTGCCGTCAATGCAGCAATGTCGAAATACAAAGGCCGCCACATCTCGTCCATCATTGTGGGCAGCAACTATCTCTCGACGAGCATTCGATCTAACACAACGTCTGCCACTCAAGAGCTCGTGCGCGCCATGACGGTCACCGCGACGGAGATCAAACCGTTTGTCGAAGCCTTCGGCATAGCCTCCATTCCAATCGGCACGGCACAAGTCGCGGGCTGCATTGATCCGGTCTTCGGTGCAGCAGCCGACTTTGTCATCGCAAATCTTCCTCCTGTACGTCTTTGAATGCGAGCGTTCACGCAGGCTGACTTTGCTGTGAATAGGCTGCGTCGAGCACAGATGTCGCACAGACATATGCCAACCTCGTCAAAACCCTAGGCAGTACCGGCCCGTCTGTCTATCTCGGCATGGCGAGCTGGCCGAATGCGAGCAACGCGACGGCTCTCGATCAGTTCATACAACGGAATCTGTGTGCACCTCGGGCAGATCGCATGATGTGGCCAATCGCTCAAGATGCGCCGGCCGGGCTCTTCACTGCGTCATTCGGCGAAGTTGACGCGGCTTGTGCTGTCGGGCCCTGAGGCGCACAGACCGCAATGACGCAGATCGGCAATGCAATTCTTCTTCATGCCAAGTACGCGAGGCTTGCATAGCCGGCTTGAGCGGCTTTATCCTAGTCAAGTAGCGTACGCACAGAGTACACTTTGTTGCTACAGGATGAAATCGGTCGCTTACGTCTTTGCTCTTGCGCTGTCGGTCTCTTATGTAGTTGCGGCACCGGTATGCTGATGTCTGAGCGACATTTGATGGGCTGATGATGCCTGCGCAGATGCCTGCCACGACGGGCGGTAAACAGACTCGGGGCGATAGTGCGAACAATCAGCAGCAGTCTGCCGGCGTACGTCTCGCTGCAAGCATCACCAAGACGGCCAGCGCTTCTTCTGTGACCCTGAAATGGTTCTGTCGCTGATATGGAGACAATAGGCAATCAGTGGCGCGATGGGTGACGCGAGAGGCCTGACGTCGGGTATCACTGGCATTGTAGCGGCTTCGCAGCAGCTTGCGTGAACGTACAGCAGTCTGAATTGCACGCTACGGTGCGACAAGATCGAGACCATTGCAGGCGCAGGGAGATGCACAGAGCAAAGGATTGACAAGCTCAGGTGATGTCGTCATCGCGTCTACTATCGCTCGAATTCTCGTAGCTTGACGACGCGTGTATCTGTCAGAGTGAAGCAAGATGAGCTGTGAGTGTTCGTACGCCGATGCCCCCTACTGTTCGTTAAACGTTTTCACCAGCCTATATCGTGATGTTCCATGACGACACGTCAGACGACGTGGTCAAGCAGACCAAGAAGGAGATTACCGACTTTGGCGGCAAGATTAAGTATGTAGACATATCGTATTTCAGGCCGAGCTGACACATGTGCTCGCAGCAAGGAAGACTTTGGCTTTGTTCTCCCCGGCGCATTCGAAGCGACAATACCCGATCAGACTTTCCAAAAGCTGCAGTCGTCCATCTCGACGAGCGCAACTTCAGGTCTCAAAGTGATCGAACCCAACGGGACAGTGAAGATCCAAGCATGATGATGCTCATTGGGACAACAATATGCGGCTCGAACCACGAGAGAGAGAGGAATAGGAGGGTCTACTGTCTTGCAAAGTAGGCTTTTGTAGGACCGCAGCGCTCGCTCGTACACTGCGGGCAGCGTAACATCATTTGTTTCGAGACGACCTTGCCGGATTCTAGATGTTGTGCAGCAATGTCGGCCAAAGCTCGAATGAAGATGGGCGACGCATTGAGTGATTCAACTCGCTTGACGCCCGTCATCCCGAGCTGTAGCGCTTGTCAACATTGTCCGGGTCGAATGAGGCGGGATCATACCTCATGCGCCTCTTCCATCAGCTCGACGTCGAGCTCGTACAACGTTTCGATATGATCAGACGTAAAGGCGATAGGCACGAGCAAAACGTCGTTGTGGCCGAGCTTTGCAAGGCCTTTTATGCTATCTGAAGTCTGTGGACCCAGCCAGGCTGATGGTCCAACTGAGGATTGCCAGACGAGTCTGTACTGGTGCGAATGGCCCAGCTTGGTCATGACGGCATGAACAGTCGATGCGACTTCGGCAGGGTATGGATCACCTCTGTTCACGACTGACATCGGCAAAGAGTGCGCCGAGAAGAGCAGCACGACATCGTCACGCTTATCTGCGGGATATTGCTGCAGTGCAACTTCGATGTTCCGTGCGACAGCCTGCGCACTCATCAGCTGGCGGCTGCACCATAAATGGGATGATGTACATCTATCAGGCCAGCATGTGTTGGCCACCTGTCAATGACACTCCATTCGATCTTGTCGAGCTCTTGCCTCTGCTTGAGCACAGCATACATTTCGTTGAGCGAGCTGCCCGTCGTCGAGCAAGAATACTGAGGGTACTGTGTGAAAGCGACGGCCTTCGTGACACCATCTCGTGCCATCTCGTCCAGGCAGTCCTCCGTCAATGGACGAGCGTACCGGAAAGCAACATAAGCTTTGTGAGGTGCAGTTGCCGGGCTGAGCTCGTCCAAGAGCTCGACCATGCCTTTTGCCTGCTCTTTTGTCCAACGCAGGATGGGAGATCCGCCACCAATAGCTTCATATTGCTTTTCGATCTTGGGCGTGCGACGTTTGGCTATGGCAGGCGCCAGGAACCGTTGAAAGGGTAAAGGAATCAGATCGCCGTCGTGGAACAGCCGTGAGAGGAAATCGCCAGTCTCTGGCACCTGTGCATGGCTATCAGCTTGCTTGCAGCTGCTTGGACGCGTCAGACTTGCTGTTGAAGGGCCTCCCATGTTCATGAAGACCACGCCTGTAAGCGAATCGATCTACACGTCAGTACTATGAAACTCATGCATCCCTGTAGCTTGCCTGTAGGTCTGAACGATCGAATGCAATCAGCTCACTCAAGACTCTTTAGGGGAATGAGACGAACGGTCTGTTACTCGTCGAGCGGTCGATACCAGTCAAGGAGGCTCGCTCTGCCGCTGGTGTTGCAAGTGTCCGTCGCTGGGTCGACTGCTCTGCAAAATGCAAGCGTGAGCTCTGTGCTTCCTTGGTTCTCGAGTCAAGATCGCAGAGGAGTGGCACGAGCGTCGGGACATGAACAAGCGTATCGCCACTCCAGAGAGCCGCTAGCCAGTTGCAGATGATGTAAAGAGCTGTACTGACCTGTTGGGGCACACCCTAGAGCAGGCAGGAGGCTCGGTCTTGCCGTTGCAAGAGTCGATCGCGCGCTGATGCCATTTGCCAGGTTGCTCCGATTTCTGCCATATATACGTAATCAGATCTGTCTCTGTCGCTTTGCTGGTGGTAAGCTATTCACTGACCTGGCCAGGCAACCAACAAGCCGACTGCTGCGCTGCATCACGACTTCTCTCAAGATGGAGGTGCGTTCGATTTCGAAATTCGACCGACGCGATTCGCCGCAACACACGTACACGTACCCTTGCCACGCAACATCAGCTCCTTCAACACTCAGCTCAGCGTTCAGCAAGGTCTGCCGCTGATCTGAACAGCCAAATTTAACATAAGCGCAGGAAATGAAGTCAATGCATCTCTCATGCCATGTAAGATTGATCACGATTCGACATCGACGCCGAATTGGTACGTCGTGAAGGTTGCCTGACCAATGAATGCTTCTGTGCCTGCTTCGACAGCGTTGAGAATGAGCTCATCGTTGAGACCGTTGACGTTCTCGACACCCCATCGCACAAAGTCGAGCACGTCGCCTTGGTACTGCTCAATGTTGTCAGGGGCAACGAAGGAGATACAGGTCCAATGTGACACCGGGCCCGCATGTACTGTCCAAGTCGTCCCTTGCAGGGTGACAGTACCGATCTGTGGTCCGACCGGCGCAGCATTCTGATGGCCAGTCCAGACCATGATCTCGAAAGCGCTGACAGCAGATGAGCCGCCATCATTGGGAGCTGTGCCGAGCCAGATATCGAAAGAGACGTCCCAGTGAGCGTCTGCTGGCCCTTCGACAGTCCAGGACCAGCTGGACTGTAATGATTTGTAGTTCGAGATGGGCTGCTGTAAGCTGTTCTGGGTCGATTTGAGAGCGACGCTGGAGTATGTTTTGACTTGGTCTTGCGCATTCTGCCATTGCCACTGGGACGCGAAGGCAGCCTTGCCCGCGTTGCACTCGTATACTTGGGTGCTCTGACTGCCAGAGCCAGAGTCTTGGTTCCATTTGTCGGCCATGACCGTGTACTTGTTGTCGCAGACATCTTGTGTAGCCCATTGATCGGTGAGCAATTTTGTAGCCAGTCCGAGTTTCCGTTCACCAAATTCGCGGCGTGAGAATCGGCGGTCATCAACTTGGCCGGCAAGTCGATGAGGACCTCTCTTGATATGGGTGGCCATGCATAGCTGAGCGCACAGCGCAAAGAGGGCGAACAGACCGATCATCTTTGGATGTACACGGAGCTGACCGACAGCTTGGTACACGATCGACGTCTACAGGCAGACTATATTTCGATCCGCGCGAGCAAATCAGAACCAGTCTGAGCTACTGTCGGCTTGCGACTGGGAGTGATGGCGGCAGTATGGCGATGCGTTGGCACGCAACCGGCGGCAAGAACCTCGCAACGCGTCAAGGCGACGCAATCGCTATGCTCGCCGCCGAGGGGGTCAGAGTCGCCCTGACTAGAGTCCGAGCGCGAGTCTGGCGGATGCTCTTATCCCGGCGATCGTATGTAACCTCGCGACCGACTTGCATGGCTTGGCCTGCAAATTGTGAACAGAGAAGCGACGCGCTTGAACGCATGACGGTCGTCATAGCATGATTGCTATCGCTCGGTAGCATATCCGACATGTGTTGTCGGCGGACGCAAGCATGGCGGTGAAGAGCGAGTTCGGATCAACGTCGCTTGGTCAGCCAGTGCGGCGCATGATCTCACGATGACCAACGCATCACACGTATAACGCGTGCACAGTCGAGCTGAGTACCATGCGGACAGATCAGGTCTGCTGGCAGCATTGCGCTCGGATTTAGCGGGGAACACGTCGCGAAGTCAGCTGCTTGATGATAAGATAGCATAGACGACACGGAGATCGATTGATAGCTTTTGCGGAGATGGAGCAGCACGAGGATGCTGAGAGGTCCCGACACAGCAGTCCAGCCGATATCTGCCGAAATCGAAAAAGCGTTCGGCGATGCTTGTACGCATGGCAGGCTGAGGCTGATCAGCACGAGCGAATTTTGGTTCAGCTAACACGCGACACAGAAAGCTGGATGTTTTTTATGACATAGCAGAGTCGAGCAGATCCCCTCATTGGAGCTCGCTGATGTGGCTGACGAATGCGATAGGGACAGCAAGGGAATCTCGGGACATCGTGTGTGCCGTGCATGTGGAATCATCGCAGGCGCCGACGAGGCGAGACCTTTGCGTCTTCGAAATGCAGAAAGGCGTGAAAAATCGAGGATGAATAAGGGTAAATTACGATTGCTTAGCCAAAGCGTGGAGGTTTCGATCGCAGTCGAGAATTGTGCGCCTCGCGCGAATGAAATCGGCTGTATTGTCGCGCGAAGGTCGTCACGGGCCGAGCAGGAGACTGGCCTAGGAGAGCTCCGTCGTGGAACTGTCTGTGAGATCTTCGGAAACGCGCAAAGAGTCGACATTGCCAAGGGGATAGCGAGAAACACGAAGCTGTCCAGAAGAGAGTCGAAGAGTGGGCAGGCCGCACGATATAGACGTAAATCAGCTTTCGCTCTTCGCACAGCGCAGAGGTAGACAGCAGCTTCGCCAGCCGAGTACGATCGACTGTAGAGAACATTGATAGAGAACAGCACTGTTGACAACGCCAGCTCGTCGTCATCACTATCAGTCGCCGGACAGACGAGGCACGCTCAGACGGGCGACATAGACGCTCGGTCGCACCAGAAGAGCTCTTTCAGGCCGGGCAGATTGCCGTGCCTAGCCGAGTGACGGACCAGGCTATCATCGCATCTAGACTGTTGCTCGTTCAGCGCCGCAGACTGGCGGTCACTAGGGAAGCTGGACAAGCTCTGTAGGCGCCCCTTGCCACACTCCCGTCGATAGGGTTCACAGGCACTCTGTGCACTACACAGCGACGCTCTCGCGCAGCCCATTTGAGCCAGTGCGCCCACAAGCACGCTTGCAGTCGGGCCGCGCAACACGCTAAGGACGTCTCACGCGAAAGGGGCCAGCACGGACATTCAGCTTGTCGTCTAGCAGTGGGACGGCAGGCTGCTCAGATCAAGCATGGGGCCAAAGGGTAAGGCTACGCCATCACAAGCGGCAGCGTCCAAATCGTACGTCATTTGTTTGTCCGGGGCGGATGAAGCTAAAGTATCCGCCTGCCTGCTGTTCTAGCTCGACAGCAGGCCAGATGGCGAGCACTTCGACAGAGCCACACAAGGCGCCAGATGCGATACCTCTGCCTGCATCTCAGCAAGCCCAGAACCCTCAATCAGGCGGCTCTATGCCTCACAGTCCGGCATCTGCCGTCATGAGCAACGCGGAAAGCACGAGCGTAGGCAGCGTCTTTACAGACGACGAGGAGAAGATGAGCGACTGTCGGTCGTCTCTGCATGAGCTCAGCATACGACTGATCCCCTGTGTCCTGTCTGGCAGATGAGAAAGGTGGATATCATCCGGTGTACATAGGCGAGACATTCAGTAACGGGCGATACGTCGTCGTGCGCAAGCTTGGTTTCGGCCACTTCAGGTACAGTACAGACATGCGCTAGCTGAATGCGAGCTGACTGTGTACATACTTACCCTGCAGTACTGTCTGGCTCGCAAGGGACAACAAGTCAGTCCTGTGACTGAGTTCGTCTTCGCGTGACTGATGCATCGCGCGAGCAGAGAGAACAAACATGTTGCACTGAAAGTCGTCAAATCGGCTTCACACTACCGCGAGACTGCAATAGATGAGATCAAGCTGCTCCAGAAGGCAAGGCATTCGCTCTCTGACGAACGTCAGCGCTGATGTAATTCCTTCCCAGGTTGTCTCTTCTGATCCACGCCACCCGGGAAGGCGGCACGTCGTCAGTTTATTGGATCACTTCAATCATGAAGGGCCGAACGGTATGCTCCCACAAGACCTATGAAGATCTCATACTGATGCGCATGTGCAGGCTCGCATGTGTGCATGGTCTTTGAAGTCTTGGGCGAGAATTTGCTCGGCCTAATAAAGCGGTATCAGAACCGAGGCGTACCAGAGCATATCGTCAAGCAAATCAGTAGACAGGTCCTGCTCGGGCTGGACTATATGCACCGGTCCTGTGGCATCATACATACCGACCTCAAGCCGGAGAACGTGCTCATATGTATCGAAGATGTCGAAGCGGTCGTGCGTGCAGAACTCGAGACCAGTCCTGCAGCAGTACCGACGAAGCTCGTCGGTGTTCCTCCCTCGCAAGGACGAGGCGGTGCCCAGACGCCGAGAGGAGAAGGCATCTTCATCATCGGTTCACAGCCGCTACCTTCGCCAAGCTCGAGCTTCGGAACAAGTCCAGGAATGGACAAGCTTGGATTCGCCATGTCCAAGATATCAGATGACGGCTCTGCAAGCGGCGCGAGCGGACCTGCTTCGCGGATGAGCTCAAGCTCTGCGCACGATCATTCGGGCGCAGACGGGCTAGGCAAGGGACTCGATAAAGTTCAGCTAGACGGTGGTAGCGATTGGCAAAAGACGGAACCTGCACATCACTCTCGCGCGGGCCCGTCTTTGCTATCTCAGATGGCGCCAGGGCAGTCCCAGTCACCAGCGACACCAGGCAGTCCAGCTTCGCCGGGAGATGATAAGATGTCCATCTCTGGCACGTCTGCTGTCTCACATCCCTCGCCGCCAAGTGCTCTTCCCGACACGCCAAATAGGCCCGCGCCTGCAGCCGGTGATCCCTCGACGTTACCGCCTAACGCGCCGTACGATCCTTCAACGCTCGAACGGATCACTGTCAAGATTGCAGACTTGGGCAATGCGTCCTGGACAGACTATCACTTCACCTCCGATATTCAGACGAGACAATATCGAAGTCCGGAAGCGATCTTGGGCGCGCCTTGGGGCACTACAGTGGATATGTGGAGCGCTGCTTGTATGGCAAGCTGTCTTCCTCTTCGTTTGATGAGCATTCGCTGACATGCCCACGTGCCAGATCTTTGAGCTCTTGACGGGCGATTATCTCTTCGATCCTGCTGCTGGCTCGCGCTACAACAAAGACGATGGTACGCTTCGTCTTGAATCCTTACTGTCTTTGCTGACATGGTCGTTCAGATCACATGGCGCAGATGATCGAGCTCTTGGGGCCAATGCCGAGGCATATCGCGCTCGCAGGCAAGTTTAGTACAGAGATCTTTAACCGCAAAGGCACGCGGATCCATCTATCAGCCTGCCTTTCTCTCTGATCAAAGAAGGCTTGCGCAGGTGAACTGAGACATATCCACAAGCTCAAAAGGTGGCCATTGGAATCAGTCCTGATGGAAAAGTACCTCATCAACGAAGACGACGCGGAGCATCTGCGGTCATTCCTCGAACCGATGCTCAACTTCCATCCCGACAAGCGAGCTCCCGCGGATGTGATGATCAAACATACTTGGCTAGAGGGAATCATGGTAGCAGGCGAGATGGAAGCAGTTGAACGAGAGCGAAGCGAGAGCGCTCCTGTGGAAGTACCCGAAGTCGTCATGAACTCAGACCACACGCTCTCTGCCGCGAGTGCTCGACAGATTGTCGATCTCCATCCGGACGCAGCAGACGCGCTTAAACCGCTCAACAAGACGGAATCGCCCGCGGGCAAGAAGATCTCGCCAGGAGGATACCAACGATCGAGCTCGGCAGACCAGACGCCGACTCGATCTGCAGATGCATCGCATATCACTATACGGCAGTCGCCTGCGGCTGGACAACAAGGATCTCCGCTGAGGAAGGCTACTCAGCTCGCGACCTGATTATTCGCATTATAGACTGTACTGTTGCGTGGTTTATTGGAGTTCATGTTCGTTTTGCTAGATCGATGCTGGATGCTGTCATTACAGTTTACTGTCGGTGTCGACGAGAGCCATGCCTGCTTCTCGGCCGGTCCTGTGGGCGTCTGACCATCGTTGGGTCGAGTTGCTTTCGAACGAGCTCAGTACGTCAACGAGAGGATCGCCTTTGTTGAGCGCATTTGCAAGAGCCTCGCCAAGCTTAGCTCCGTCGACCAGAGCATGGCAAGCACCGCCTTCGCTCACGAGGAGCGGTATCGAGTGCCTGGCATCGCCCAGCAAAGCAACACGATCTTCGTGTACTTTGCTTTGCGTAGGGTCCATTGACCGCATCAGCCAGTTGTAGATCCTGTCCCCCTTGTCCGGCTTGATGCTCTGTAGCAGCTGGTGCCAAGGCTCCGATGTTTCTTTCGAGAAAGCATCAGTCTCCGTGTAGAGTGCGTCGGGTATCTTCTGTGCATCTTCAAGCGTTCGTTCTGGCTTCCACAGCGGATCGTCTTCCTTTGAGTTTTGCGGCCTTCGTCCATAGCTGCTCGAGCAGTCAGTCTTGGCTTGCAACTGGACGAATGGGTCACATACGCCCATTGGAGCCTCGTATCACCCTCTTCGAGGTTATTGAAGCTGTACCATGCATACCTGCCGTTTTGTCGTAATGTCTGGCTGGTCGTACTCGAGGTCATGTAAGGCTTTGCTTCTTCGATCGACATGAGTCTTTGACCGGAATACATGACGACGTCGAGGATCTCGTGCTTCAGGTTGGGCAAGAAGGCTCTTCGCACGATGGAATGCACGCCATCGCACGCAATGACGACGGACGCTCTGATCTTTTCCCCGGATTCGAGCAGGACCGACACGCCGTCAGCATCCGTCTCGATCGTCTTGACAATCTTCTCGTGCTCTACTTTGTCCTTCCAGCCGGCCTGCAAGAGGTCTTGTAGTCTAGCCCGATTGAGTCGTAGCTTGGATTGATCTGGCGGAGCAGATGATGGGTTTCGCAAGGCCGGCGACAAGAGCGCATCGACTGTTGCCGACTTCCAGTCCAGCTTTTCCCCAAGCGCGCTATCGAGTGAATCCATGGCCCAGTCGTGTAGGGTCAGCGAATGACCCTGCCGATCTTCATACTTGGCTCTTTCTAGGATCCTGCAATGCTTTGCCAGGCCGTGATGATGCAACACTCGGACCAACGCAGCTCCTCTGCTCGAACAATCAGTGAGAATATCGCGCTGGACAAGAAGATGCGTACGCTATGCCTGAGCCGCATACCACGATGGGTGTCGTCATTGCTCGAGGATGCGTAAAGAACAAAACGAACGCGTTTCGATGATTATTCCTTCCGATCGTCACTTGCGCCACACGTCACAACTCATGTAACACTCCGCCTGTTGTCTCCTGTCTCGGCAACTGTTCATCGCCATGCCCTGCTCAGCTCAATTCCTTGAGTGGACAAAATGTTTGCGCGTGCTATCGTTGTTGCCGGACTCGCTTCTTCTGCTATCGCCGCCAGCCAACAGTTCACGGATGTCTGCGAAAAGGGCGAGTTGCCAAGCATGCCAAACAGACACGGTAGCTGAAGAACATAGCAGGCTATGTCGTGGAAAGCTTGGAGCTCGCCAATAACGGAGGCAAAGGTTTGACCTCCCTGCATCTTCGTCCTTGCCCCGCTACAGGCGAAGCTGCCTTTGGTGCCATCTTTGACTGGTCTGGCGCCGATCTCACCGTCAAGGTGAGCCGTGCTGGATCTCAGACCAACAGACAGGTTGACACTTCGCAGTCGTATCCCAATGCTGCAATTACCGTCGGACTCAACAAGCCCATCGCGAGCTACAAGTCGATCCCGCTCTACATGAACTGGAACTGGCTCAAAGATCCCTCTGCCATTCAAGCGTTCACCGGTCTCCAGATCCATCACAGCGGTATCCAGATCAAGATCACTCTGTCGTATCGAGGCGCAATGGCACCCGGCCAACTCGTTGCTACCCCTGTCATTGGTGGCAAACAATTCAAGCTCTACAAAGACGAGCCATCGCAGACGTGGTCTTACCTCAATGATGGCTTCACTGGTACTGATTTCTATGCCGAAGGACTCGTAAGTCGCACCAGCTCAGCAAGCTGACCAGAGCTGATGGAACAGTTGTAGGATTTTGTCAATGTACGGCTGTGAATCTCGCGATCAGCGCTGGCTGATCATCAGAAACAGGATGCCGCCAAACAAGGTGCGGCTCTGACAGGCGATCTGACGGCCGTCAGTGCGGGCACGGAGATCTTCAAGGTGCGAGCTTTGCATGCCTATAGGCCATGCTCTGATCACTCGCTTTGCAGGGCGAAGGCATTTTCTTGCTCAACGCTTTCACTTGTGTGCCATACTAGCCGCTCTCGTAGCAATGCATTAATGTCTGGATCTCAATGAATTGCGATGCGATAGACTCGGTCCTGGTCATGCCTTCCCTCCTGTCGACATGTCGACGTGTCAACATGTCAACGCACGCGTCGTCTTCGTCGTGGTCTGGCTCGACATCCTGAGCGAACAATGAAGCTCGTCAACGAGCCGTATGTCTATCCTGAGCCGGCCAAGACAAAGGCAATCTATCAAGTACAACATGGCTTGATGGGGCAGAAGCTAGAGGTGACCTTGAGCGATGGAAGGAGAATCAATGGCGTCTTTGCCGCTCTGAACCAAACGAGCGATATCATCCTCGTCGACGCAACAGAGACTGTGCAAGAAGGAGACAGTGTGCGTACGAGGAGCGTGGGAACGGTCATGCTTCCTGGCCAGCACCTCGTCAGAGCAACGAGCCGATCTCAGATGCATCTCGACATCGCATGACACGCGGCAGGATGCTTGCAGAGGATGCAATATACAGTACAAGGCGCTGGATCTACAGAGTATCTACACAATTACGACTCGTGCCGGGGAGATCGTCTACGTTTGCTGTATCGGCATGTCAGTCGGCGCAAGTTCGGCATGCTCTGTCGCGCTTGGCGGAGCGATGGAAGTAGGCGACAGGGGATCGACCAGATTGAACGCAGGAGGAGGAGGGGCACCTCGGTAGTCCGACCGCAAGAGCGAGAGACCTTGCAAGTTTCGTCCGGTTGGCGGAACGAGATGTCGGAGCACATCGCTCAAGCTGAGCACGCCGATCAATCTGTGCTTGGTCGTCAAAGGTGAGGCAGTCGCGCTTGTTGTGTTCGATGCCACAGCCGATGACCGCCTTGTCCGTGCTGGCATGGGTGAATCGTCTACAATGACCATCCGATGGACTCGCTTGTCTTTGATATATTTGAGTATGCTCGCCATTGAATCGTCAGGACTGCAAACGACCACGCCGGGAAAGTCCGGACTCCTCCGAGTGAGCGCTTCGCCGATGGTCAGATCGAGATTGGTATATGCGCCCGTTCTGATGAGATCGATAACGTCAACGGTCTCGTAGAGGTTGATGACCTCGCCCGTCTGTGGGTCGACGACGGGTACAGCAGAGATTGCAGCTTCGGAGAACATGTGAACGACATCGTATACCGTCGTTTCCAGTGTTGCTACCGCTAGCGGATGAAAGGGAGAATCGGGCTGTACTGACATTGCAGATGGCCGTCGAGCCGCAGAAGAGCCAGACGAGCTCGTCGACACAGCTGAGCCTCGCCGTTCGTCTGTAGGCGAGACTTCTTCGCCTGAGATTGCCGACTCGGACTGGCCGGACGGTCTCCGAGAGGGCGGTGGCGGTAGACCAGGCGCGCTCGTAGACGCTTTGGGTTGATAGGATGAGATATAAGTCCCCACGCCGAGCGAACCGATCGAATCGCACAGCTTGGCAGTATCGGATGCACACTATCCGCCTGATCAGCTCACGCCCGACTTACTTTCTATGACGACAAACATTGATGGCAATAAACTTGAGCACGCGATATTGCGTCAGTACGCTGAGTATCGTGTCTTTGCCAGATTGGTCATCATAATCTATCAGGGGTATCCGCCTTGCGTGAGTCCGAACGATTGCTGCGCAAGCTGCAAAGAGTGACTGATCAGGGTGGATGGATATCATCGGCGGAGGCGGTACGCCAATTGCTGTTTCTATGTCTACCAATCCATCACACTGTGAGCTCATTGTCGTTCTGACACGCTTGTGACCGACCTCGTAGTCCTGCCAGATTAACGTCTTCGACTTGTGAGATATCGAGACCGTAAGTGCCTGCTTTGGAATAGTAATATTGTATGAGATGGATGACGCTGTCCGGCTCAGATCAGGCACATGCGGCATCAGCATAGCAAGAGCACGCACTCTGTCAGAGTGAACATGCCGCCAAAGTTGAAGGTACTAGAATCGTACAGAGGCGCAGAGACTGTGCCTGTTGCGATCAAAGCCGCCACTGCGCGTTTGACAGTGATCTTTGAGTCAAACACTTGCAGCCGACAAGATTCGGGCAAGATGTCGTACGTCGAGTGGGCTCTCATGAAGGCTCTGATAGATTCCAAAGCTTCCAAGTGGGCCTGCGAATAATCTGGTCGAGCGACTTGAGCGGGCGCCAAGGATTCCTCTTGTGACATATCCTGCGCGATCGAGAGAGACGCCATCTCGTCTTCCCCTACATCCTCTGCAGCGGACAGCGTCGTGTCCGCAGACGGGGAGGCAGACTCGATGGCAGCGTCAGTTGCTGTCGCTGAGGTGGTTGGCACAGAGTCGCTGATGTCATCGGACGGGTTGCCAAACAACGGCGGCTCGCTCGCGCTCATGACCGTTGAGTAGATCACCTAGCGCTATAGGGTATCGTTGTATTGTCCTGGCATGCTAAGGCTCTGAACTGCTTCAAAAGCTGTCTGCTTGCTCGCGTGCCGCCAAGAACAAGAGACTGTGGGGAAGCGTGGGGCGAGTCAAGTTCCATTCACGCAAATGGTCGCGGCCGGGTCGGCTTGAGGCCTCCGTGACGTCCATTGCGGCCGCCGTGGCATGAAGCGGACGGCCAAGGTCGTGCTGATCGGAGCGAGCTCATGCGGCAAGACTTCTTTGCGAGACCAGTACGCCCACGGACGGTTTCATGCGAACTACAGAGCCACGCTGGGCGCAGACTTTATCAGCATCAATCAACCTGTCGCTCAAGCCGGCTCGTCCACTGAGGTATCGCTATCCGTATGGGATACTGCCGGTCAGGAACGCTTTCGCGCCATCGCATCGGCATTCTACCGAGGAGCTGACGCCGTCGTGCTTGTGTTTTCGCTGATCTCAAGGGATTCTTTGCTCAGCCTCAAGTTCTGGCTGCAGGAGTTCATAGAACGGTGTCCTGTCTTGCCAGGAGAGAGCGATCGCTTCACGTTTCTTGTGCTTGGGAACAAGGCGGACCTGGAGGACGGACAACTAGAGCAGAGGGAGATAGATACGGTTCTCCGCGAATTGCACACGTTACTGGCCGGACAGCCATCGAATGAGGCAGCAGCATCGAGCGCCTTTACCTCGGCCGAAAAGACAGCGAGTCTGCTGCCCGGCTATGACCATACAGCAGCCCTGAAAGCAACATCTGCGAGCGCATTGGACTCCTTAGAAGCCGACGAGAGTGCGTCTCGACAAGTCAACGTCGACCAGCTCGATAGCGACTACGATGATGACTCGCTGGACAGCTTGTCAGGTTCGCCTCCCCCTCCACTTTCTACTTTGGCCAGTCGAACACGGGCCTCTCGAGCATCACCAGAGGGCAGGCTTCAGTACTTGGCCACATCTGCAAAGACGGGCGAGAATGTCAAGCGAGCCTTCGAGATGATAGCAGAGCAAGTCCTGCTGCGACAACAACGCAATGAGGGGCCTGACAGATCCAGTTCGTCCTCTGCCGTCGGTCATATTGACAATATCACGTTTGGCGCTCCTGGCGATTCTCTCACCGTAGGCAACAAGACCGGACCTAATGAGAGCAAGGGCTGGCTATCACCGTGTTGCTGAACGATGCCATAACTGCACTGTTGCTTGTAACATAATGCAAGATCGAGTCCACGAGCTAGCGAGTCGGTCGAATCCGTGCGGGAGCTGACTTACTTGAAGTCTTTTGACTGCCAGATGTCAGCCTTGATACCGTTGAACCAGCAGCTCATGCCACTGCGGCGCGTTGCGTCAGGCAAAAGTAAGGAGAGCCAACGTGCGCCTACACAGGAGGATCTGCAAGCCCGTCAGCAAAGCCAACGAGTTAGCAAACGATTGGACACACTAAGTTGCATAGCTCCATTGACAGTATAGAAGCTCACGTCGAAGAAGACGAAGCCGTTGGGAGCATTCGTGCCGATTTCCAGGCGAATGCCATAAAAGTCGCCCTGCCACATGTTGACTACCCATCTGTCAGTAGGAAGTGGCCGAGGGGACTTAGCCACGAACTCTGGACTGCCTGGCGCTGAACATTTGCGAAGCCATGATAGTCGGCAAGAACGCCATCAGGGTAGATGTTTGCGCCGCTCTGCTGTGCTGGGCCTCCTCCAGTGTTCGGGAGGACATTGAAGATCGACTCGATGCCCTGCCCGTGCCGTCAGTCGGAGCTCATGAAAAGCGTCTACTGGCCTCACGATGCCGTTGGCGTTGAGCTGCACCCCAAAAGTAGCGATGACTTTGCTTTTGTCGATATTAAGCACGCAATAGTCTACTCCGCGCTCGCTCACAGCGGTCGGATCGATCACGGCAGCTGTCGCAAGAGCCGCAAAGCCAACGAGTGCGCCAATCGACTTCATCATAGTTGCTGAGAAGGCGAGCGGTCGGCCGCACAATGGAACGAGGAGTGCACGACGGATATTGATGAAACGAAATGAAATGTCAAGGCGACAGTGCACTGGACACTTTTTGCCACCCAATAACAACAAAAGCGCGTGCCAATTATGCGCGAGCGCGCGCGTGCAATCTCGTCTCGAGACTGACTTTGCTAATCAAGCAAAGTGCCTGTGTAGCGTCAACGTGTTCGCAAAGAAGCTTGCTGTGCGTGGCAACCAGGAATGCGCTCATCACGCACTGACAGTGAAGGCCTCTTGCCTCAATGCAGTACCATCAGCGTGGTACTGCCTCGCTCACTTCGGCGGGTCCACACGCTGCCTACTGCACTTCTCCCGGTCACAGAAGAGCTTCGCGCTTCGACACTACCTCTCCCATCTCCGCTTGATCTCTATCTACGGCAATGAGCCGGCAGGGGACCACTATGCGCGCCTCGGAGAATCCGGCGCCGGTGAGCAAGGCAATGGCTGCGGGAGTCAACGCGAAGGAGGCCCTCGTGCGAGTCTCGCGCGCTCCTCTGGCCTCATTGAATGCCAACGGTGCCAATGTACCGCTCACGTACGCGCAAGAACAGCCCAGCCTGTTCGACGCGTCATGCGCACCTCTCTCGAGCCCGCTCAAACATGGCGCGGAGCATCGTAGCAAGACACATGGCGCGCAAGGTTGCGAGAATTGCCCTGCTTGCTTGTCCTCCGCTGCCAAGAGAGCTCAGCTGTCATCTCCGGCTCAACGCGCAGTGACGGGTACGCCTGCACCTGTTGCAAAATCCATCCTTGGCGCCCGCATGAGTCCCTTGGCGACGCGTCAGGATGCGCACAGCCTGACGAGCACATCTATGGACGACATTGTCGAGAGGACAGTCTCACGACAGAGTTCGCTGGCTTATTCGACTCCCCGCAAGCCAGGCGAAATGCAGCCATTGCAGGAGTTGGAGGTTTCAGCTGCCGGCATGGTCATGCCACCCTTGCGATTCCAGCCCACACACTCTTCGCCGAGCATACCCCTGACAAGCTCGCGAGTACGCATGACCCCGAGCAGTTCATCAAAATCGATGGAAGCCGTCATGGCTGCCTCTGATGCCCGAAGGCGACGCTTATCAATTTCGCACTCGCGCAGCGGCTCAGTCCAGGCTTCGCCCGCCCACGAGCCTACGAGCTATGCGACGGCAAGCAATCCGGCATACTATCTCAAGACCCATCCGGGCAAGTCCCCCGCCGCACTCAGGGCAGCCAAAGACAAGGCGCTCATCGAGGAACTCGAGCCTCACGCTCTCGAGCTCGTCTACGCCTCTGCAACACCTTCGAAGGCAGCAGCCAAGCAGACACGATATTCCGAGCCATCACGCTTGCATGTTCATCGCGATGAGCCCGCTCAGACTGATGCCCAGAAACGTCAGAGATCGATGAGCAATATTGTTGCGGTCGAAGAAGCGCCGCGCGCCAAGCGCAAATATACCAAGCGTCAATCTGCTGGTGGCAAAATTATCAATACGGATACAGTCGCTTCATTCGCACAGCACCGCGCGGCTCAATTGAATGTCCCAGGCGCTCAACGACCCGGCGCTGCGCCAACTGGTCAGGCGCGATCCTACTCAACCTCTGATGTTTCGACTGCGAGCTCAAATTCTGTTCACCAGCTCGTTCGGTCTCAATCTTCGTCGTCGTTGGCTGGCTGGGCAAACATAGGCTCTCAACCCGACATCGTCGCGCCTTCTATGAGCCAGTCGTTCTCAGCTCCGGAATCGACATGGATGGATTCCGTGCCAGAAGTCAAGACAGACATGATGGACGACATCTCATTCGTGCAACCTCCTGCGCCTTATCGATCGTATGCCGAGTACTATGCGGCTGCAGGTCAGCAGCACGACAGCCTTTCCTACATGTTGCCCACACCGCCACTCACCGAACTTACCGAGAAGTTCGATTTTGCCACGCTGTCTGTACCTAACCTATCTGTCTCTCGCGCAACGTCAGAGATCAGCTCGAATGAGACATACCCACATTCGCGGAATCGAAGTCGAAGCCCACTCTTGCATGCCCGTTCCAGAAGCCCATCCGCTACCCCTTCTGCAGGCTCAAAGGGCGACAATGCGACGTTGACTGCTGCGGAAGTATGGACAGATCTGCTCGAGCGGATGGCGAGCTTGACCTCGCGCTCGCATCTGGTCGGTTCGAACGATATGCGTGACTTGCGCGAAAAGATCAACGCAATCACCAAGTCGGTTGGCGGTCCTTATGATCCTCTTCGCGAGTCCCTCGTGCCCGAGATGGACGACGAAGCTATCATGGCAGCTGCGAATATCGACTATGGTCTCACATTCGTCTACGAAGATGGAAAGGTCGGCTCATCCTTTGTCACACTCAGGATGCCTTGACTGATCAGGAAAAGCAGTCTGCCTCGTTTGGAAAAGGCACAAAGTCGTTTGGGCCTCGCTAGATCGCTCTGCACTATATCAATACATCACAACAGTATGCGTGTACACAAGCGATTGCATCACGGTGATTCATCTTGAGGGTCTATAATGCCATTGCCGGTCGACTTTGTTCCGGAGCCTTCCCAGGCCATTTGCCACTCCTCATCATCGGAGCTCCGAGTCGTGTCTGATGCCTCGTGATGAATGCCTTGATCTAGTGATCGCTCGAGCTTGGCCTGTGCCGCGTCTAGTCGTCGGATTGCGGGATCGCGCTCTAGCTCTTCTTTGAGGTTCGGTATTGGGTGCTCGGGCTCACGCACCGCCCTATGCAGATGTGCAGCTTCATCATCGCTGTCGTCGTCTCCGAGTGTATGCGCACCCGCAGACGGCGCATCGTATGCGCTCCTGTTTGCAGAAAAGATTGTCTCTTCTCCTCTGTTTGCGAGGAACAGAGTTTCTTCGGGGCTGGCGCAAAGTATTAGTTTGGCATGAGCACTGTTGCGCTGGACGAACCTCGATTGCGACAGAGCCACATGTCCTCGTGAATTCGGCCGATCGGTCATGCTTGCATCTTCACCAGTGGCTAGCTTTTGATCGTAGGCTTTGTACTTGATCCAATTGTAAAGCGAGATGCCTGGTCAGGGTATGCGCGATAAGTAGAGGAACCTCATTGCGCATTCTGCTGACCTCCAATAGTGATGATAAGGCCAGAGATATTGAGCGGCATGAGTTCATCACCAAAAATGATGGTCGACAAGAAGATTGTCGCAGTCTCCTTGAAGATACCGGCGACGGATCTGCATCGTTCATCAGTTTAGCGCAGATCTGAAAGAAACAGACGTACAAGGTGACGACAGACGTCCGCTTGATCAGTCCAAATTCGGCGACGTTCATGCAAAATGCGAGTATGCCAGGAAAGATAGAGATGCCAATCGTATTGAAAGTGAGCTGTGTGGACCCGAAAAACTTCTCGTTGCCGAAAATGTTGCCCCATCCTTCGAATATGATCGAGCAGAGAGCCAGACTGACAGCCATGACGGGTGCGAGCCAGAAGAGCGTGGCAATAGGGTTGCCCATGCCCATCGAGTCTTTGCGAGATTGGAGTAGGATCTGGGTGAGTGCCCATCTAAATCCTGACAGTGCCGAAGCGGTGAGGACCTCGATCATGCCTACCAGGTGGAATTGAGTCTCTGTGGAGACCATGAGGATCACACCGGCGGTGATGATGACGATGACGGCGCAGAGCTTCCAGGTCGGTTTCTCAAGCCGGAACAGGAACGCAAAGAGCAGCACGAATCCCAGCGTTGAAGACTTGCACATTGCTGCCGGTCCACACGGGTTAAGCTGAGATAAAGTGAGAGGATCCAATAGACCTACTGTAAAAGGAGAGCGTGATTGTCTTGAGGGAGAGATTGGACAGGCCAATATCCATGCCTGTTGCCACCGCACAAGGCACGACCTTTGTCCTGTTCCATCTTCGCTCAGATCATTTTCACCGATCAAGAGACAGTACCGAACCCGTAGTCTACTAGAGCAGGTCTGTTCTTCGGCCGTAATGAGGGTACGACGGCCATGACGAGCGAGCAGAGACCGAATTGAATGCACATGTGGATTGACGTTACGAAGAGCGGGTACGGGAACCCATAATGCTCTGGTGAGAACATCCATTTGTCTGTATTGCGCGTGTCAGCTCTTACCACAGCATCATTGAGCGAGCCAGCATACTGTAGACTGAGATCAAGGTCGAAAAGGTGTACCTGTCAAACAGCATCCAGGTCAGATACTGTCTATCTGACTGACGGATGCAAAGCGGACCATAGAAGGATGAAGATGACATTGATGATGGCTGTACGCCAATAGAGTCTCGTCCGTTCGGCTTTGGACAAGCCAGCTTGCGTCGAGGCATTCGAGCCAATCTGCGCGTATTTGCCCTCTGCATCGTCTCTCTTGCCGGAAGTCGCTCTTGGTGTGTTATCCCAATGTAGGGCATCCACATCGTCCTCCTCCTCCTCGTCTTCCCCTTCTACCTCATGCTGAGTCGAAAGCCTATGCCTATCTGAGTAACCTGGCGGCGCTCGCCTGGGCGCTGTGCTGCCTGCCGGTGGAGTGTGCGACTTGAGCGAGGAGAGAAGTTGTCGTTCTTCGTCTATGAGCTCGATATCGCTCTCTAAACCTCGAGAGCCCGCTGTGTCCTCGCTCACGAGTGCTGATGCCTTGGTAGGATCTGCTACCATATTGGCTCGCAGCAATCGCTTCGACGAGCTTGTGCTACAACCAACTTGGCGAACTGATCATCGCATGCCCTTCTTGCTGCTCGCTAAGGTCTGTAGTCACCTGTGCTCCCTGCCACTGATCAGTTGTCGTGGGCGCCGACGTGTCAATGGCACGCGTAGCGCAACTCGCGCAAAGATCGGCTTGCTGACTTGGGGCCATGGAAAAGGTCGCGCATCTCCCGCGCTCACTGCCTACCCTTCGCATCCAACACCCCGTCCCTGCACCGGCATGATCATTCCCAGTCATGATATCGTAGTAGCGCTACTGTTTGCAAGCTTGACTACATTGCCCATACAACGAAGAACTTCAGGCGGAATGGGGGCACAGGTAGCATGATTGCACTACCGCAGAGCGCTAATACTGCTCTTCAATGTAAATATGGACAGCCTCCTCCTTGACGCTACCTGCGAGAGTCTGGGTCCGACTTTGAGCAGCACCGACAACGCGCGTCAAAGCTTTTGCGGATGGTCAATTCCTGCCTCCTCGTGCTCTAAAGCTTTCATTCCAATGCGATCTGAGCTCTTCATCTTGGGCGCAATATCTGGGTCATGCGAGCGCGTCGTGCAAGATGCGATCGACCACGACGCTCTGAAGGGCAGGGTTATGCCGCTAGACTGGCAAATCGCTATCACAATGCAGATGCTCATCTTTCCGCGAGCCTGGTTCGTGCGACAGGCAGGAGATGTGCATGCGTGCTAAAGGCTTCGTCCTTACTACCACTATCATACTCGCAATTTCCATCGGTGAACGTAAGGGCTACTGCTACTGCGTCAAGTGCAAGCGACCGAATAGCAGCGGCATATATGTCCACCGATCTACAAGACAGGCACATCTACACAAAGCCGAGCTTGCAGCTATACAGGCAGTCGTAGCAGCCAAAGCAGCCGAGGCAGCCACGCCAGAAAGCGCGCTACGCTCGGAAGCAAAGTTGCAAACCCTGTTTTGACATCGGGCGGCAGCTTTGGAGCGCTGGGAGGAACACGAAGCAATGATCGAGTCGTGATCATCTTACTCGGCTGCTGAGGGCGCCACAAGAACTCAACAGAAGCTATCCGCTCGGCTGAAACATTATGATCGCCACGATAGATCTATATCTCGAAGTGGTGCCTCTCGAGCGGCTTTTGCTCAATGCAGACACTGATGTCCCTACTTGGACCATCAACTGTGAGCAAAGTACCAGATACGCCCAGGCTGTTGTCGATGAGATCCCATCAGCAAAATTCAGGCAAATGTACGACACGATGACGATTGCGCAAGTGCACCACGCCCATTATGCTCGCAACCTTATGCTTCTCTTCATTCGAGCTTGTCACTCTTGTTATGGCTGTCAGATTCACTATGCATCTTCATTGGGCCTTACGGCATCGCGAATCTGTCAAATAGCTGTGACCTCGAATGAATCACATGTAAGTACAGACAAATAGCGCTGCATGACAGAAAAGATCCAAGAACGATACAACGACATGATGTGCTAGTCTAGATGTGATCAGAGTACGATGCAGTGCTCTTTGCTTGTTCCGGCCAATTTGAGCCTCTCACTTTCGCTCAAACCGGCCTTGTACTCTGCAAAAGCTACCTTTTCTTGCTCAGTAAGCAATCTTCACTCCTACATAGTCAGCAAGCTATCTGCAAATCGCTAAAGGGAGAGCTGACCCTTTGGCCGCACGATGCTCAAGCGCTTTCATGGCGCTTTCTCTTTCGCTATCCGCCCGTCGGGTTGCTTTGTTAGTCCAAGCAGGCGGACAGACTTGCTTCACTGTTGCCGCCGCACTCTTTCTTTGGGCAGTCTTGCTTGCCGTTGTCTCGAGTGAAGACGCAGGAACTTGGGCAGGAACTTCTGGAAGAGATGATGCAGTAGGCTTGGCATTCGCTGCCGGCGCAGGCTTGCTCGAGCTAGCGGGCGCATTGGCTTTGAAGCGCGCCAGAGCAGCAAGACCAGCTGCACTGATGGTCTTTTGCCCTGGTGCTGGCCGTACTGCTTGGGTATCTAGTGATGGACATTGATGGTCTTTCTCAAAGCGATGCGATGGACAGAAGGACGCTTTGCACCTGTGTGATTCAAGGCAGTAAGCACCCTGACGAACTAAGTGCTCATTCCACTGTGCGCACCCCTTGCAGACCATGGGAACGATCATCTTCGTCTTACAAGCTCGCGCGTGACACTGGTTGGCTGGTCTGGCTCGCTTGATAGGATGACCGTCTTGCATCAGACCATCAGCAGCGAGAACTCTACATCGAGTCTGGAGATGTTGTTCCATTGCGATGTTGGGATCTTGGCCTTGCGGGGAGCTGACTGGCGTCGAACAGAGCGGACAGGGCGGCACAGTACGATCTTGTGATGTATAGGCCTGACAAGCATGACCATCTGATCCTGTAGGATGCCAGTGATGCGAGCAGAAGGACTGTTGACAGTGTGTACATCTGAAGGGTAGGACTGAGCGACCAGTGAGCTCTCAACGCAACAGTAACAGCGCCGTAGACATACAGTCGAGTTGGGAGCAGCTGGGTTCTGAACAGTGCGCCCCCCACTCTTCCATCTGAGCAGACACCATCTAGTAGAGTGTGACGCAAGCTTGCACGCCGTTCTGAAGCTTGGACGCAGATCTTGCCGTCGCCACTGGCAGCAGCGCTCCAAGCTCCAATGACGCGTCAGTTTCTTGTCAGCCTGCTGACTGAACGACTGGAATTTCCAATCTTTGTTCTCGCTCGCATCTGCAACGCGTTTGTAGCGCCCTCAGCCCTCCTCTCAGCGTATCGTCGAGAGTCTGCCGCCTTGCCTCGAATCTTTGCGTGCTCGGCATCCGTCTTGCTTGCTCAATTGCCCCGTCTTGCCTCGCAAATTTTCACGCTTGTGACGATAGACTCAGCTCTAGATGAAGGCGGCACTTCTCGCCTTCTTAGGCCTCGTCGCCAACGCTGCGGCTCCGAGGCCCGGCCCTACTGATTCGACCTACTGCTGTGGCATGAATCGACACCTCGTGACATGCTCAGGGGCGTTGCAAGTCGACAATATTGAGTCCTACCCTTTCGTATTCACCGCCAGCAGCCCAAACATGCTCTGGGCACTCAGGATACATCCTCGAGGAAATTATGAGCCGCTCTACTGTACTGCAGCTCAAGGCGGACCCAAGCCGTTCTGTAGAATGTCCGCGCGAACGGAAATGTCGACAGATGTGATCATCTGGCATGCGCACGCCGTCCGGAACTACGAGATCGCCGACATATTTTCGACGAGCGATGAGGTTGCTCGTATCATACGAGCGTGCTGTTCGGTCATGTGGTCCATGTCGATGGCAGCCTCAGTCGGCATGAAAGATCGTTTGTGACCTCTGCTTCTTACGAGCCTATTTGCTCAATCGGTATGAGCAGGCTTTTTCAAGATGACGAAGCCTGCTACGACTTTCATGTGCGGCCCTCGCAAAGATCCAGACGACATGACGCCAGTTCCTGGTATGAGCTTGACGTGCCGAGATATTTATCCGGTCACTGTAGAGGGCACGTGCGAGGAGGATCATCAGCTCAGAGCTGTATGGACAAAGCGTTCTGGCGGCCTCTGCACCTGGTCGCCTCAGGAACAGCCAAGGTATGAGCTGATCATTAACCAGCTGCATCGCAAATTCAGCGAATGCGCAGACAAGCGGCATGGTGACGACTCAAATGTCACGTTGTGTCTCGCCGAGCAATGCAAGCAAGGGTCTGGCAGGGACGGAAGCAGCGAAAAGACACGGTGAATCGGCCACAAGGCAGGAAAGCAAGCACGACCAACCATTGGAGTATGTGTGATTTAGCCTGGACACCTGAGTCGAAGCCTGAGCTAGGAGCTCACTGTCGCTGCTGGACGTGTCGAACGTCCTTCGAATCGGTCATGCTGAACGCGTTATCGGTGTGTCGTTCACTGACTCGATGGTCAATTTCGTGTCCGCATGCTGGCTAGGAGGAAAAAAGGGGAATTTCCGATCGTTGTCTTCTCACAGAGCAACGCGTTCGAAGCGCACTCCTGTCCATGCCTTGCCTCAGATCTTGCCGTACTTGGCATCTGTCTCGCTTTCGCAAACCCCCCTTCGTACTACGCCGATAGGCTCCATTTAATGAAGGCAGCAGTCTTATCCTACGCAGGTCTGATCGCCAACGCTGCGGCACCAAAACCCGCCGCCACTGAGTCGATGTACTGCTGCGGCATGAACGCACACAAGGTGACGTGCTCAGGGGCTCTGCAAGTCGACGATCTCGTGGCCTATCCCTTCAAAATGACCGCGAGCAGTCCAGACATGCTTTGGGCACTCCGGATTCAACCTAGAAAAAACACCGAGCCGGTCTACTGCACCTCCGCCAAAGGCGGACCCAAACCGTTATGCAGAGCCTATAAACAAACAGAAATATCGACGGATGTGATCATATGGCACGCACACGCCGTCAGAAATTACGATTTTGGCGACATAGAGTCAACGAGCGACGAGGTCATTCGCATCATTCGGGCGTGCTGCTCAGTCATTTGGTCGATGTCAATGGAGGCTTCCGTTGGATCGAAGGATCGTTCGTCACTTCTGCTTGTGCTTACAACGTTGCGTTCTCAACCGCTACGAGCAGGCCATTTCAGAATGACTGATCCTGCTACGACTCTTATGTGCGGTCCTGGCGAAGACCCGAGGGACATGACGCCAATAGTAGGCACGAGCTTGACCTGCCGAGATGTCTATCCGGTCACTGTAGAGGGCACGTGCGAGGAGGATCATAAGCTCAGAGCGGTATGGACAAAGCGTTCCGGCGGCCTGTGCTCCTGGTCACCTCAAGAACAGCCAAGGTACGAGCTGGTTGCCGACCAGCTGCATTACAAATTGAAAGCTTGCGCAGGCAAACGGCAAAGTGACGAGCAGATTGCACATCGTGTCTCGCTGAGCGGTGTCACTAAGCGTATGAAAGCTTGACGGCAGGGCCCAGGAGTGCTGCCATGGGTCGGAACCCAAAGATAAAAGTCTTGCTGCTAAGCATGGGCATAACCACCTTGTTGGAAGAGAAGAACAGAAAGCTTACTCCTGCGACCGTCTTGGTACTTACTGAGGCGGCTCTGACCATCATCTCGATTCGCTTGATCTATATAGATTTTCTGGGAGAAAGCTGCTTGATAGTGCGTTGGGAGTTGGGCCAGAAGCAGAGCAGAACACCTCGGACGTAATGCCTCGATCCCACATGAAGTATGCTTCAACACTGGTCGGCTCCGCGAGGTGCAAGCGATCGGTCAATGGCATTGCATCGAATGACAAAGTTTCACACGGCCTGCAAAAAGCGAGCGAGAGTCGCATTGGGATGGATTGAGAAGCAACGCGAAACTAGCTGCTGAACGAGAACTTTGCGCCGAGTTTGTGCGTGCCAGACTTGCTTGCATCGCCCGTTTCGCTAAGCTTCTGCGTATCGAGCAAGAGACCCCACGAAGCGATGACACCCGGTCGGAGCGCTTGCGTGTATCCCAATGCGAGAATACCGGCATTGTTGATCTTGGCCTCTGTGACGAATGCGAATGAGAAGATGTGTCGAGCACATGCAGTGCGTACACTTACTGACGAAAGTAGCATTGTCGAGGAAGGTCTTTGCGCCTACTTCTATTGAGACTTTGTTCGAGGGCGACTTGTTGTCGTAGATTGCCTGCTCAGCGCATCAGCCGGCGCAAGGTCACGTGTCAGCATGAGAAATACCTTTGCACCGGCTTCGACATCGATGTTGACCTTGTGGTAGTATGAAGCAGAGTAGACCGACAGGTTGTTGAGAGCATGGAGCGTGACGTTGTATTCGGGCGCAGAGTAGCCAATTGCGCCGGACCATTTCTGGACCTTTGCAGCCTGAACGTCGTAAGACAGATCACCTCCGACGAGGTATCCATCGCGTCTGGCGTTTCAAACTAAGCGAGTGCTTGCCAGTTGCAAATGCTTAGCGACTGACCCAGTGACGACATCAGCTGTGAAGGTGGGGCCCTTGAAGAGGTCGAGGTTGGCACGACCGTGGACACCAGCCTGCTTGTAGATGGCCATGATGGCCGCAGTCTTCTTTCCAGCATCAGGTTGTAGCGAGGTCTGGACGTCCAGCTTCAAGCCTGCTCTCTTGCGCGTTCAGCGTGAGGCGCAGGTTCGAGCAAACCTGCGCACCCTTGGACACGAGGCCCTCGAGCTCGATCTGGGACTTGAGCAGGTTGTTCGTCGTCCAGGCTTGGGTGAAAGTGAGGCCGTTCTTGGGCTGAACATATTTGCCTTCGATATCGCTGCATTATTTTGCAGAGTTAGCATGCCACATTGGCTTGGAGGAGACGACGTGCCCTGTGATCACATTTGACTTGGCGTCCTTGATACCTCCGACCTGCAAGACCAGGTCAGTCGACTGAGACACCCTTAAACATCGAGTGAGGAGCAGCGACTTGCCTTGAAGGTAACGCCATTCGGTGCGCGAGTCTTTACTTCGAGCTCTGTGCCGGCTGTTGGAAAGTCCTGCGAACAGCTTCGACATGAGACGGACAACGCCTTCGCGAGCTTGACGGCTCGCCTTGTTGAGGAGGTCGTTGGAGGCCTTGGCCAAGTCCTACAGAGCAAAAGAAAGAGGTCAGCCAGGCACATCGCATGAACGGTTGGCGACGCGCTTTGAAGGAAGGTGGCACGCCGACAGACATTCTGCTGTAGCTTCAGCGTGAGCTATGCAGAACAAAACAAGATCGCCAATGGCTTACGTTGCTTCAACAAGGAGTTGATTTGGCGGCAGCGCACGACCTGGCAAAGACCTGCGATGCGGCACTTACTGAGCCATCCCCGACGCGACGCCGACTCGCTTCTCGCCTGTCGCAGCCGCGGTGCTCTACAGTCGACATGAGCAGGCGTTTCGTCTGGCTCGATTGAGCCCCCGTCACAGTCCTGGATGGCATTGGCCGTGCCGGTGCATTTTCAAGAGGTGCACACGGACTTGTACAGATCAAGCGCCATCTTGCCCGCTCATCTCAACTTCATCCGCACACTCAAGCTAAAGACACTCGTCATCTTATCCCCCGAACAAACCTCGAAGCCCTTGTGCACCTTTTGCGAGCAAGAGCAAGTGGAGATTGTTTCGTTGGGCCTGCAGAGTATCCTGCCTGGACTTGGCGGTGTTACGCTTGGACAGACGGCGAGCTGGCGACCGTTTAGCGATGAATTGATGAAGGATGCTATTGAGCTTGCGCTCGATAGGGACCGGTATCCGATCATGTTGATGGACTCGTTCGTTTTGCCGACTCTAGCACGTCTCGCGCGCGCTGAAGCCCGGCAGGCGTACAGATCTGGCATACACGTGACGGGCGTCATGTTTGCCATCTTGCGTAAGCTGGAGCATTGGTCCTTCTCTGCGGCCATAGCAGAGTATATCTCCTTTGCAGCTTCGAAAGCCCGTTTTCAAGCAGAGGTATGTTCTCGGAAACGATTGATCGACATCGCTCAAGGGAGGAGCAGCAATACGTCGAGCTGTTCGATACGTCACTGATCGCGATACCTCAAAACCCACCACAGTGGTATGCGGACATGGAGGACTCGCTCACATGATGAGACGTGCGACAATCTATCGAGGTTGCAAGTACAACATCTTTGCGATAGCCGGGGGGTATTAGTCCAACGTATGCAAGCCAGATCTACGTCGACGGGCCTCTTCGAATCCGCCCACGGTCAAACCCGTTATCCAATCTCGGTAGAGAACCCAGCTTGCTCGCAGATCGGCCAGCGTCTCTGCAAACAGTAGACCGCGGTGCCAGAGCTGGAAGCCAAACCAAGAAGAGACGGATCGTCGGATGAGCGAGAGGGAAAGACCGGTCGAGACTCGTTCTTCCGATAGTTGACGTTGATCGTCTTGCCATACTGCTCTCGTGCAGAACTCTGCCACGATGAGCCAGATGCGATAGGGAGGATGAGTTGGCTTCAATGCAGTATCGAGCGATCTTGTCAGATCACTGTGCTTCGTGATCAGCATGAGTCGAATTGAGAATCGATGGGCACTGACTTGAGTTTGAGAACCATAAGTAGACGCCGAGGAACCCGTCTGAGCAGGTCAAAGATACTCGTGAGCAGACCTTCTTCGACTACTGCAACTCTGATGCGATGTGCTTCTTCTGGCGTCTGGTTGGCCAGATCCATCATACTCCCTCCTCCTGCTTTGCCCAACGATGCTCTCCCGGTGATGGCGGATTCAAAGATGGGGTAAAGGTCGTCATCGATATTGCCCACGAGTTTGGCGTACTTTCTCCGATCTGCTTCTGTCTTTGCCGAGGGACGAGCGATGAGCGATAGCCAGAGTCTGGCGTAATTCGTTCTGAGCGCTCTGTCGACATCGAAGTAGAGACCTGCAGAGTCTTGAGACGATGCGTGTTGCGCAAGGCAAGAAGAACATACCATGATCAAGCAGGACGATTTCAAAGTTGTAAGGGCTTCGTGAGTGAGGCTGGGCAGGTCGGATGAGGAGATTACCACCGTGCTGCTCGACTGTGAGCTCGGTCGTTATGGGAGAAACGAGAGACGGACAGGATCACCGTGGAAGAAGCCGTTGATGTAGAGCATCTGAGAGAAGATCCTGCTGAGTTCTTGCGAGACGCGATTGCGATCGATGTTGTGATCGTGGAGATACTTGAGATCGTCTACTCTGCCGCCTTGTATATCTGCACGTCACAGGACCGATTCGTGAGCAGGGAGCGCTCAGGGAGTGAATGAGCTTGCACTCCATGACCATGACACGGCGCTCTGACCAGAGAACTTCGGGGATGACGAGAGAGGTCGTTTTGAGATCTTGGAAATCTCTCGTTGCTCTTCGTGCGTTTGCCGCTTCATGACCTATTAGCATGAGGTGGATTCAGCTCGAAGCGTTTGCAATGCCGAGCCAGACCACTGACGGAAGTCCATCTCGAGCGGAAGGTTCTCTTCCATTTCTTCGCCTAGCCATGTGAACTGCTCGACGGTCTTGGATCATGGCTTGACACCCAACACGCTGGCTGGACAAACCTCGAAATCAGGAAAGAAGGATTTGACCACGCGGAGCATGAATGTCGTCGTCTTCATGTCGACATAGGCAAAATCCTCGAGATCGGGATGCATGAGTTTGATGGCCACCCTCTTGCCCGATCTCTTATCTGTGCCCACATGGACTTGAGCCAGCGATGCCACGCCGATAGGATCCGGATCGAAATCTGTGAATTGGTCTTGGAGTGTGACGCCCAGATCTGTGAGAAAGAGTTGTTCTATATCCCTCACCGGTGTAGGATTGCACTGATCTTGCAGGGGCACCATCGTCGAACTCCAGGCGGTGGGTATGAGTTGGACAGACGAGAGATGTTGACCCAATTTGATATAGATGCCACCGTTGGTCTTGAGGACTTCGAGTATCCTCTCGGCGCATTTCTTATGGCAGGCTTCGTAAGCCTGATGGCGCTCTTCCTTGTCGGTGAAGGTGCGTCGGAAGAGGAGCTTGTAGTCGACAATACAGTGTCCTACTGCTATTCCAACGAGAGTGCATCGTCCTATTGCCAGCGTGAACAATCGGAAAGGTCGAACAGTCTCATAGGCAACAAAGCCAACGCTCAAGACGATAGCCACCGTCAGACCGAGCCGTCTCCACTGTCTCTTTCGTCGAGATCGTTTCTTCCTCTCTGCTTGCGATTCTGTTGTACCGACAGGCGCTTGCTCGGCCAGAGGCGTGACGCTGTCCGTCGCAAGAGCAACAGACCATCGTGTGGAAGTATTCAGTCGGGCTACGGATGGCGGTACGGCTGTGCGGGTGGAAGGACGAGAGGACGAGTGCAAAGACCGTTGTCGGCTGTACGTGTCGCTGTCGAACCGAGGAGCGGCGCAGGCCCACTGGTTGATAGCGTGCGGTGGTCTGAAGCGTACGACATGGCCCGATAGCGCTCTTGTGGCCAGCTGCATCCGCCCTCAGGCCAGGCCAAGCACGTCGTCAATCGACCGAATCAGCCGAGTCGCGTGTCGTTTGCTCAGCAGAAAGGCGCAGAGGGCAGGCCAGCCAGGCAGCAAGGGGGCATGTCGCTCGTGGGCGAAGATGGCTACCTGAATGCGGACAGGCTCAGAGCCTACTTAGCGACTCATCAGCCCGCTTCGACGGTTCGTCATCATCGAGCACAGTCTGATCTCTCCTCCTCATCCTCCCAATCCGATTCGGTCACTTCGAGTGAGACGAGGCGATGGCTACAGGAGGATCTGGAGAGGGAAGAAGCAAAGGAAGAGCTATGGCGCCAGGCTCAGCTAGTGATCAATATCGTCATCCTGCCTTGGTATGGCAAGTATAGAGGCAGGAAATTCGCTTATTGGGGTCAGTCGAACCAGACCTTTCCGCTCCGAGCCGAGCTGACGCCGTGACTTGACTCGACAGCGTACGATCGATATCTGCACCTCGGTCTGGGCTGGTCCTTCTTCGGTCTGGCTGACGGACTCGGTGGTCTGTTCGCCTTTCTACGACGCGCATGATCCTTGCCGATGAGGGGGGCGGAACAAGACAACAGGGCACAGCAAGCCCAGTCACAGCGAGCTCGCTCGTACGGCCGTCTGAGCCGCGTACTATAGTCGGAGCCGACTCTGACTGCGCAAGGCTAAGCGATAGAGACCACCCCTCATGTCAGGATCAGTGGTGTAGGAGCACAAGATGATGATGTTGTTGTTGTTGTCAATGATGCAGTGAACAACGTGCGTGACTAGCTTCTAAGCTATACTGGTCGGCTTCCTTTTTGTGCTCTTCTTGACCGTGTTCAGCTTGACTTGACTTTGCCTTGCATTGCTCAGATGGCAGTCGAATCAGCGTTGGCTGCAGCTTCCAGGCTGGCAGTGAACTTGCTCGCGCTCTGATTCTGGGATGGTCCGTCTGCGTTCTGTCCACAGCCTTTCGACGGTCAGTGGTCCAGCAGAGACTGATTCGATCAAGCGGCGCACCAGTACGTCCACTTGGTCTGCAGGACCTGAATCCTCGCGTGTGTCCGGATGAGCATCGGCATCATCTGCATGGCTCTGTGCAGACCGTATTGCGCATCAGTGCACGTGCAGCATGCGTCAATTGGGACGTACGAATCCACCCGTGCTGGCTTTAGTTCGCTCGTGCGATGCGTCACTCGTCGAGTAGACGGGATCCTTGGGCAATCCCGACGGACTGTGGCACAAGAAGTGATCAGCCTCAAGACAGGCCGGTCAAGCTAGGGGTTCACTCTGTGATCTCGCCCTGAGGTTCAGAGGTCGTGAAGCCGACGACGGGCTCGCCGTCGATCTTGCCTGCATCTTCACCTGCATTCGCCTATGTGAGGCGGATGTCATCATCAGCAAGGGTTCCAAGCATGGAAGGCAACACGACGCACGCCTTGCGAGGGTACGTCTCGGCCTCCTTGAGCACTATCGAGCGACATTGTATCTAGCCTGAACGTCCAATCTGACCTGGTGGACGATGGCGGAGCACGCGTCATCAGGATTCGCGTGAGAGTTTCATGATGACCACCCTCATGTCAGAGCAGTGCGTCTGGTTCGCGAACCGAGGGCGAGGACGAGTCAGCTTAGCCGCAAAGCCGTCAGCGAGCCGTCAGGGAGTCGTACAGAGGAGAGCAGGATTCCGATCTCACTGGGCAGTGCGAGCGGTCTTTCAGCGGCGATACGAGAGAGGGCAGTCATCCTGTCAGCTCGGTCGACGAGAACCTTTTGATCAAGATCTGGAGCGGTTCCTGGCTTTTCTTGCTGGACACTCGCTCACGATCGCACACACTCTTTTATCTTTTCCCCCCTCCAAACGCACGCAAAGGCTGCTGCACTAGACCGGAGGCACCGTGTCCAGACATCTACACACGCTCTGCTTGATCACACGAGAGAGCATACGGATCGTCTCCCTCAAGGCCAAGAGGCGCACTTGACTAGCAAGGCAGATCTCCTCAAACCCAAAAAGGCTTTTCTATTGTAGCGATCTTGTCCCCGTGCCACTGCTGCTGTTGAGAGAACCTAGACGGATGCGAGCATAGACACACTCGGGCATCTCAGCATTTCTTTCAAGATGCAGAATGCATTCACGTACTCGCAGGCTCCGATCCGTCGAGTACGACAGATCCAGTTTGGCATCCTGTCACCCGAGGAGACGCGTGCTCTCTCTGTTGCAAAGATCGACTCTCCCGAGATCTATCAGGATGTCGGCCTCGGCGCGGGCAGCTCTGTTGGCGGTCGACCCAAGGCGGGCGGACTGGCAGATCCCAGGATGGGTACCATCGATCGCAACTTCAAATGTCAGACCTGCGGAGAGGGGATGGCAGAATGTCCCGGCCATTTCGGTCATATCGAGCTCGGCCGGCCAGTCTATCATGTCGGCTTCATGACGAAAGTCAAGAAGATCCTCGAATGCGTCTGCGTCCAGTGTGGCACGCTCAAATCTGATCTATCGTGAGTCTTGCCCAGCTTTTGATCGTTGCTCTAGATGCTGATGCGTTGACTTCCAAAGTGAGCTACCCCTCGCGGATGCGGTCAGACATACCCAAAACCCAAAGAGACGACTCAAGCTGGTCCACGAGGTCGCAGCCAAAAAGCGTCAATGCTCGCGTGACGCGCCAGATATCCAGATCATCAAGGACGATGATCTCACTGGACTCGAACGCAGAGACGAAGGACGCGCCTCCCGGCTCGCTCAAGAATACTATGCTGGTCGACATGGCGGTTGCGGATCGATCCAACCTGTCATCCGCAAGGAGGGCCTCAAGCTCTTTCTCGTGTACGACAAGTCGACGACAGACGACGACGGTGGCAAGGACAAGTCTCAGGAGAAAGTCCCACTTTCTGCTCGGCGGTGTCTCGAGATCCTGCGCAGCATCCCAGAGAGAGATCTCGACTTCATGGGGTTGAGCAAGGACGAGGCCAGGCCGGAATATATGATCTTGCAGATCCTACCCGTGCCGCCACCGCCCGTCAGACCTTCAGTCTCTGTCGATGGCGGCGCGATGCGCAGCGAAGACGATCTGACTTATAAGCTTATCGAAATCCTGCGGACCAATCAGCAACTCGTCAAGCTAGAGGCCGAAGGTGCAGGCGCTCATATTCTTGACGAATTTGAGCAATTGCTACAGGCACGTCCTCGGGACTCCCCTGCTGTGTCTTGCTAACCGATAGGGGGGACATGTAGTGGCATATCGCGACCTATATGGATAACGATCTGCCCGGTCAACCCCAAGCGATGCAAAAATCGGGTCGTGCAGTCAAGTCCATCCGAGCCCGACTAAAGGGCAAAGAAGGACGACTGAGAGGCAACTTGATGGGAAAACGAGTCGATTTCTCTGCTCGAACGGTCATCACTGGCGATCCCAACTTAGAACTAGACGAAGTCGGCGTGCCCGAATCGATTGCGAAAAATCTGACCTATCCTGAGCGGGTGACGCCTTACAACATCACGGCTCTACAGGCTTTGGTTGCCAAAGGTCCAGACGAGCTGCCCGGTGCGAGATACGTCGTCAAAGATTCGGGAGACCGAATCGATCTGCGGTATTTGCCTTCGGGCACGAGTATCGATCTGGCCTATGGCTGGATCGTGGAGAGGCATCTGCGGAATGGCGATTATGTTCTGTTCAATCGGCAACCGTCCTTGCACAAGATGTCCATGATGGCTCATCGTGTCAAACTGCTGCCTTACTCGACCTTTCGACTCAATCTCTCTGTTACCCCGTTTGTCACCTTCTAGTCGCCGCGACTAACGAGCTGATTGGTCTGATGAACAGACCCTACAATGCTGATTTTGATGGCGACGAAATGAATATGCATGTGCCTCAGAGCGAGGAAACTCGCGCAGAGCTACAGCAGATCGCATGGGTTCCCCGTCAGATCGTCTCGCCCCAAGCGAACAAGCCCGTCATGGGCATCGTGCAAGATACACTTTGCGGTATTCGCAAGTTCACCTTGCGAGACTGCTTCATGGATCGCGACTTTGTTCAGAATATCATGCTCTGGGTGCCGGAATGGGACGGCTTGCTCCCGCCGCCTGCAATTGTCAAGCCGAAACCAATGTGGACGGGCAAGCAGATCCTGTCGATGTGCATCCCTCGAGGTGTCAATCTGTTCATCGACAACGAAGCGCATTCTTCCCTGCCCGATGACGATTCTGGCGTCCTCGTAGACGATGGCGAGATTTATTATGGTGTGATCAATAAGAAGACTGTGGGTGCACAGAGAGAGTCGCTCGTCGATCTCATCTTCAGAGAAAAGGGTCCAGAGATCTGTCGACTGTTCTTCACGGGCGTTCAAAAGGTCGTCAATTTCTGGCTCTTGCACAATGGCTTCAGTATCGGTATTGGCGATACGGTAGCAGACAGGGATACGATGAGAACCATTACTGACTACATCCAGACTGCAAAGGACGAAGTGGCCGTCTTCATCTCCAAAGCGCAGCAAGATTTGATCGAGCCCGAGCCGGGTATGACGATCCGCGAGACTTTCGAATCGAAAGTCACCGGCTCGCTCAACAGAGCTCGTGATACTGCCGGTCAATCTGCCGAAAGAAGCTTGGCTGCGAGCAACAACGTCAAACAGATGGTCGTTGCCGGTTCAAAGGGATCCTTTATCAATATCTCTCAAATGTCAGCTTGTGTTGGTCAGCAGATCGTAGAAGGCAAACGGATCCCCTTTGGTTTCCGATACCGTTCCCTGCCGCACTTCACCAAAGACGATCACACACCCGAAGCACGAGGATTCGTGGAGAACTCTTACTTGCGAGGTCTGACCCCGCAAGAGTTCTTCTTCCACGCCATGGCTGGTCGTGAAGGTCTCATCGATACTGCTGTCAAGACTGCAGAGACGGGTTACATCCAACGTCGTCTTGTCAAAGCGCTAGAAGATGTCATGGTCAATTATGACGGCACAGTACGCAATTCGCTCGGCGATATCGTACAGTTTGTCTACGGCGAAGACGGCATGGACGGTGCCTCTGTCGAACGTCAGGTCATCGAGCCCATCAGGCAGTCTGATGTCGGCTTCGAGCGCATGTACCGTGTTGATATTACCGATCCGGCTTGGTCATTCAAGCCTGGTACGCTACAAGCGGGCCTACTGGAAGCGGATGCGAATTTGCAAGACTTGCTCGATGAAGAATATGCTCAGCTGCAGGAAGACAGAGCACTGCTCCGGCAATTCATCTTCCACAATAGCACTGCTCAGTGGCCTTTGCCGGTCAAGCTCTTCCGTATCATCCAGAACGCTCAACAGATCTTCAACATCAACGATCGAGAGCCTAGTGATCTCAGGCCAGCTTACATCATCGAAGCAATTCGTGATCTATCCGAAAAGCTAGTCATCGTTCGAGGCTCTGATAACCTGACCCTCGAAGCCCAAAACAACGCTGTCTTGCTGTTCCGCATTTTGCTGCGCTGCGAGATGGCGACAAAGCGGGTACTGCACGAGCATCATCTCAGTCGAGAAGCATTCGATTGGGTCGTTGGCGAAATTGAAGCGCGCTTTAATGCTTCTGTCGTGCATCCTGGCGAGATGTGCGGCACGCTCGCTGCACAGTCAATCGGGGAGCCTGCCACGCAGATGACGCTCAACACTTTCCATTATGCCGGTGTCTCGAGTAAGAACGTCACCCTCGGTGTACCACGTCTGAAAGAGATCATCAACATTGCTGATAATATCAAGACGCCTTCATTGACTGTCTATCTTCAGCCGGGATATGCAAGAGATCAGCAACGGGCAAAGAGCGTATCCAATCAGCTTGGCCATGTCACACTGCGTACTATCACTGCTTCTGCAGAGATCTTTTACGATCCCGAACCGAGCCGGACGGTCATCGAGGACGACAACGACTTTGTCGAGGCTTTCTTTGCTATTCCAGATCAGGAAGTCGAAGAGAACCTCCATCGTCAGTCCCCTTGGCTGCTTCGTTATGAGCTTGATCGTGCAAAGGTTCTCGATAAGGGTCTGACTATGGCTGGCATTGCGAGCAAGATCTCGGCGGTGTTCCAAAGCGATCTCTTCGTCATCTGGTCCGAAGACACAGCTGAGAAGCTGGTCATCCGGTGCCGGACGCTACAGTCAGAAGAAAAGGATGACGATGATGATGCGGACGAGCAAGATGAAGTCGCTTTCCTCAAGCGTATCGAAACTCACATGCTCGATGATGTCGAGCTGGGCGGTATCAAAGGCATTCAGCGAGTTTACATGGTGGACCAGAAGAAGCAGGTGATCACGCCTGCTGGCACGTGGGGCAGCGAACAAGAATGGACGCTCGAAACGGATGGACTCAACCTGCGCCAAGTCTTGACTATTGACGGCGTCGATGCACGACGGACATACTCGAACAGCATCGTTGAAGTCTACAATGTGCTCGGCATCGAAGCTGCTCGTGCTGCTCTCCTTCGCGAGCTTCGATTAGTCATCGAATTTGACGGCTCTTACGTCAACTATCGCCATCTGTCGCTGCTCTGCGACCTCATGACCAATCGTGGAAGGTTGATGGCGATTACGAGGCATGGCATCAATCGCGCAGATACCGGCGCGCTCATGCGGTGCTCTTTCGAAGAGACTGTCGAGATCCTCATGGAAGCTGCGTCAGTAGCCGAGAAAGATTACTGCACTGGCGTCGCGGAGAATGTGCTGCTTGGCCAGCTGGCGCCCATGGGCACAGGCGCATTCGACACCATGCTCGATCTTGAAGCGCTCAAGAGAGTGGTCGTCGATCATAGATTGCCAGCGATGAATATGATGGACGAAATGTTCATGCACAAGACCGGTCGCACGCCTCTGCAAGGTCAGGGCCACAGCACTCCTTATATGGACGTGGGCGACGGCAGGACGCCAATGGTCGACATGTCCTTCGACGGCTTGTCTGGCGCTGGTCAATTCTCACCCGTCAATACCGGCGAGGTCATGCTCGATGGTTCCATGACGGCATATGGTTTTGGTAGCGGGCAAACCTCGCCGTGTAAGTATTGTGCTCGATGCGAGCGCAGCGCCTTCGTGCTGACCTTTTCCTTGCAGACTCGATCGGTGGTCCTGGAGATCTCAACACCAGTCCGCAAGGAGCATACTCCCCAACATCTCCTGGATACTCCCCCGCGAGTCCTTCATATGTGCCGACGTCGCCGAATGCGATGGGCGCGACTTCGCCGATGTTCAGGACATCGCCGACCTCGCCTTGGGTCAACGGAGCGTTGGGCAATACCTCGCCTGCATATTCGCCCACATCACCCAATCACTACTCGCCAGCGTCGCCGAACTTCTCACCTGCTTCGCCGCGTTTCTCGCCGTCATCGCCCAGGTTTTCGCCTGCATCACCGAACTTCTCGCCTGCTTCGCCCAATTATGCGCCGAACGGTCAGCGGAGAGCATCACCGACCTCACCGCAGTTCTCACCAGCCGGTCACCGCTCGCCTACAGGACAACGGTACAGTCCGACGAGCCCGAGCTATTCGCCCACTTCGCCCGCCTTTTCGCCGACTTCGCCGAACGGGCTATATTCGCCCGCAGCGTCGAGCAGAGGCTCGCGGAAAGGGTCCGGAGCATCAGCTGCAGCGTCTGCGTCTGCGCGAAAGTATTCGCCTACCTCGCCGTCCTACTCGCCGACATCGCCTGCTTACTCGCCCACATCTCCCAATGCGATGAGCATGGCCAGCAAGATCTCGCCAACGTCTCCCACGTCGCCCAGAGGACCGCAGCAGTATTCGCCCGGGAGTCCAGCGGTGAGTGAAGCCTCTGTGCTTTCTTTTTTGTTATTTGCTAACGCGGGCGTTCTCGTCTCTCAAGATGAGTTCGCCGACATCACCGATGCACTCTCCTTCGAGTCCGAGGTTCAGCCCATCTGCAGGCGCGGATCGGTACGCTCCTGCAGGCGCAGGTCGATATTCTCCTCAGAGCGGATCGCCGGCGGAGCCACATTCGTCTGGTCAGAAGAGGACAGCTTACTCTGCTTCGCCTTCTTGGCAGCAGTAGCGATCCGATCCGTAGGCAGTCTGAGAGTGGCATGTTGCATTGGGTACATTGCATCTTTTGCATCTATCTGAGTCGAGAGGTCGAACGGGCTGAGCGCTGATCCCGCGCGAGCCACAAATTGACGCGCGAGCGCGACCAGCAGCGGCTCGTGATTGCTAGCGCTCAAAGGCCAACTGGTCAAGTCACGCAAGTGTCTGATACGGCCGAGAGGACACCGATCCAGGCAGTGGCTCCCGTGCACTGACCAGTGCGAGACTTGTCAGACATCTGAGCGACGGCGACCTTGCAATCTAGCTCGAAAGATGGGCGTCGTTGCTAGCTGTTGCGGCTGCGGAGGCGAGTCGATCAAGCGCTTTCGACTGTGTCTCAGCTGATGCTGATGCGAGCCTCGCAGGTGGAGGCAGAGGAGCAGGATACGAGCCGTTGCTGCTCGAGAACGAGAGGGAAGCCGTCGCCGATTTGCTCCAATACTTAGAAAGTGCGTCGTCGGCTCATCATCCTCGCTCGTGCTCAGTCTGACCCACTGCGCTGCGCTTCAGATCGAGCAGAGACGAACTTCTTCACCGGTGATCCTCTCAGATCTCTGGCAACGCTCTCCTTCTCCGAAAATGTGGACCTCCAACGAAGTGCCGCCTTGGCTTTCGCAGAGATCACAGAGAAGTGAGAGCTCATTGCACACGTCTTCGCAGCGTTTGGCTCACGATTGACGCTGGCAGGGATGTACGAGAGGTGTCGAGAGATACGCTCGAGCCTATCATGTTCCTGCTCCAGTCGCACGATGTCGAAGTCCAACGAGCCGCGAGCGCTGCCCTTGGCAATCTCGCAGTCAACAGTGCGTCTTCCATATCTGAACCTACCTGTGTACAGACTGATCGACCGTACAGCTGACAACAAGATCCTCATCGTCAAGCTGGGCGGCTTGGAGCCGCTGATCCGTCAAATGCTCAGCCCGAACGTCGAGGTCCAATGCAACGCTGTCGGCTGCATCACCAATCTCGCTACTCATGGTATGGATCTTCTTCGCAAGGGATCGCACGGCTTGCTAAACAGATCCATGACAGACGAGAACAAGACAAAGATTGCAAAGAGCGGCGCCCTTGTGCCTCTTACGCGCCTCGCCCGAAGCAAAGACATGCGTGTTCAGCGCAATGCCACTGGTGCACTCCTCAACATGACCCACAGCGGTATGACTATTGGGGGTTTGCCCTCTGCTTAGAGCTCACAGCCTTGTCTTGGACAGATGAGAACCGACAGCAACTGGTCAATGCGGGCGCCATCCCTGTCCTCGTCTCACTGCTGTCTAGCCCCGATACGGACGTTCAGTACTACTGCACGACTGCGCTTAGCAACATCGCCGTGGACGGCGTCAATCGACGCAAGCTCGCCCAGTCTGAACCCAAACTCGTTCACAACCTGATCGGACTCATGGACTCACCGAGCCTCAAAGTCCAATGCCAAGCCGCTCTCGCGCTCAGGAATCTGGCTAGTGACGGTACGTATTAGCAGACATCAGCGCAAGCGCTGTGACTGACGTCTGACTGCATAACAGAGAAGTACCAGATCGACATTGTCAAGAATCGCGGTCTAGATGCGCTTCTGAGACTCCTCAATTCGTCTTTCCTACCGCTCATTCTATCGGCAGCAGCCTGCGTCCGCAACGTGTCTATCCATCCTGCCAACGAGTCGCCCATCATCGAAGCTGGCTTCCTCCATCCACTCATCCACTTACTCGCATACGATGAGAATGAGGAGATCGCTTCTCACGCTATCTCCACGCTACGCAATCTGGCGGCGAGCAGTGAGAAGAACAAGCTCGCAATCGTCGAAGCAGGAGCTGTGGAACGAATCAAGGAGCTCGTTCTCAATGTTCCGCTGAGCGTTCAGAGCGAAATGACCGCTTGCGCTGCCGTTCTCGGTCTCAGCGGCAAGTCGTACACCGCTGTCAGAGAGCCTTGTGGCATGCTGACAGAAGATGTTCTTCTGCAGATGATATCAAGGGTCAATTGCTGGACATGGGCATCTGCGAAGTTCTGATACCGCTCACGGCTTCGCCCAGCGTGGAAGTGCAAGGCAACAGCGCAGCAGCTATCGGCAATCTGTCATCAAAAGGTATAGGGCCTTCAATCTATCGAGCACTGTGTGTCCTGATGCAGTACATGCAGCGGATGACTATGCTGCTTTTAATGCTGTCTGGACCGAACCAGAAGGTGGTCTGCACGGCTATCTCGTCCGATTCCTCGACAGCCGAGATACGACTTTCCAACACATTGCAGTGTGGACCGTCGTCCAGCTCCTCGAATCAGGAGGTACCACATCTTGTGCTCCGCGCAGAGCGTTTGCTGACTGTCATGCTGCGCTGCAGATGCCACACTCGAGCATTCCATCAAATCTTCATCTCAACTCATGGCGCTCATCCAAGGTCTTTCCACATCAGCATCAGCAGCACCTTCATCCGCCGGCGGCGAGCCCAAGCCTTCCGATTCTGTCTCTCAGACGGGCGGAAGTGGCGACGAGGACGAAGAGGGAGGCGAGGGAGAGATTGCTGCTCTGGCGAGAAGGATCATCGATCTGCTCGATTCGCCTCAGGCTTGATCCAAGCGCTTCTCTCCTTCTCTACGCCCCTCCCCCGAGACAGCCCCGTGACATCAGTTCTTACACTATTGTACTACATCTGAAAAAAGTGTCTCACCCTCCTTTGCCTTTGAGGCCAAGTCAGCCTGCCAGTGGAGCTGTGTGCAGTAAAGCTAAAGGCAAGGCAAACGACGCGACTTTTCTTGGTCTCCTCGTCTCTGCCTTCGAGCTTCACGAGCCTCTGCCCAAGATGAGGCAGAAGAGGAACAAAGCCAATCGCAAAGTCATGGCGCTGTATGCCTCTTCTTTTGGGTTCAGGTGGATCACGAACTTTCAACTCGTCTGTCCGAGCTGAAGACATCTGTGATCCGCAGGGAACCCTACCAAGTTTTAGGTCCGTCCCACGCCTGTGCAGCCAGCTAGCGACCGCTGAAAGGCTGTGGATGGACAGTGGACAGCGATTTTTGTATTGCGCTCGCTGCGCAGAAAGACGATGCCGTCGCTCGGTTCGAAGCAGTCGTCCAAGGAAACGTCAAGCCAAGTACGAGCGTCTTTCTGTGCGCTAGTGGTAGCACTCAATTTGAGCGCGGTTCACAGTGATGACCCAGTGCTGCATACAACATCTGTACGACTTGGGGCCGAAAGATCAGCCTGCTGTTGAGCTGGCACGTACTTTTGAGCGACGCAAGTGCAACCACTGGGAGAAGAAAGCAAAGTCTACAGAGTGCATCTCAGGTATCGTTGGTAGGCCTCATCGGTGCATCGACAAAGCATCTATGTGCTGATCGGTGCTCGACCAGGCGACGACAATCGGTACCGATACATTGTGGCGACCAATTCTGCCAAATTGAGAGCAAAGATGAGATTGGTTCCTGGCACACCGCTCATCTTTATGAATCGATCTGTCATGGTACTCGAGTCGCCCAGTGATCAGACCATGCGAGCAAGAGCAGCCAGAGAGCAGGAGAAACTCTATGCGCCTCTTGCCGAACTTCACTCAAACGCCCACGAAGAGGAAGCAAAAGAGGTCGGAGAGAAAGAGAGTGGGACGAATGTGGATGGGCAAGTGAAAGCTACACGGTCGACTGCCGCTATCGGACGCAATACGGTAGAGCAAAAGATGGAGAAGAGGAAGAAGAAAGGACCCAAGGGGCCGAACCCACTCAGCGTGAAGAAGAAGAAACCGGCTGCCGCTGCTGCTGCTCAGAAAGCGAGGTCTAGCAGTCAGAAGAGAGCAACACCCGCTGTCAGACAAGCGCCTGCATGATTGTCTGCATTGACAAGCCTCGCCAGCATTTGACGATCAGATACTGTCGAGATACGGCGCGAGGGTTGCCAGAGCGATTGGCAAGGCTTCCTGCTTTCCGCTGTCAGCCTGGTCGTATACAGAGACTGGGGACGAACTTCCGAACGGATTGTTCGACTGCCTTGGTGCGGACAGAGGTTGATCCAGTGGTCAAAGAGATCGAGCGCAGTCTCTGCTGTCAAGCCAGTATCCTCATCCGCCCCGATCGTGAGCTCTAGACCAGCAAGACCGCCCAGGACGATCAAGACGTGTCTGACACCACATTAAACCAGCGCTCAGAAGCGGGTATCAACAGCCAAGTCAAGGCGTACTTTGGATGAGGAGGAAAGCTGTCGAGAGCGGATTGGAGTGGTTGGCCTCGTTCGGATGTACCGATGACGAGATCGTATTCTTCGTTCGGCTGACCGTGTGCGGGATCGAGAAAGATGCGAGAGATCTGTGAGACGTGTCTGACTCTGTAGCCCCAGCTTATGCCCAGTAGCTCTCTCGGTAGCAGAGGCGAGACGAGCGACCCTGTTCTCGTTGGTCAGAGAGGGGCATGTAGCGATGGAGAGGCAGTAGATGTACATTCTGCATTGGTGTAATGAGCAGTGACACGAGTGCCTCGTTCGGGCAGGGCAGACGACTTTGTTCTGGCGCGAACAGGGTCGCGCAGACCAATATCTATCTGAACAGAGCGACCATCGTCATCGTGGGAGAGTACGACGGCTTCTCTGAAGGGTGACGGGTCGTCTCGTCTGAGATGGTGCGGCATATCGAGGGGTGGCAATATACCGGCTTGCCTCAATGCGGAATGCATGGGTATCAGTGCTTTCCTCAGGTACCTTGTGTATTTACACTCAGCACGGCATGACGAGATGGAGACAGAGACAGACTGGGGTGTTTCCAGATAGGTGAGGATCTTGACGAGCATCTCGTCTGCTTGAGCAGTAGACTGACTCTCCTCCTCTGCCGTCTGCCTGTACTTCCCCCTCATCCTCTTTTGCTCGTGTCCATTCTCGGACGATGGAGAGAAAGTAGGCTCATGGAAGACGATGATCTCGTCCACATTGAAGATAGCACACGATCTTGCAATCTACTCGCCCATCTTCAAGCTCAGCCTTTTACAGTCCTACTCTAGATTGCAAGAGGGGCAATGACCTGGCCTGCAAGGATGGTGCGTAGTTCGGGCGTTTGGGCGTTGAGGAGGATGGAGCCGGGCAGGGCAATGCTGAGTGTAAAGTTCCTTGATCTCTCGCGAGCACGAGCACGAGCAGACGGTTTGTGGGGCTTGTAAGTCTCCTGGAAGACTCTGTTGCTCGCAGAAGCAGCCTCATTCGGAGCTGTATCAATCGGCTGATGCACTTGAGCGGGAGGCAGAGGTGAGGACGGGCCCGCTTGAGGATTGGGAGAGCCGGTCGTCGCTTGACCTATCACGCTCGATTTGCTGTGTTTCTGTGAACGCGGATGGCAATGGACATCTGAGAACGGTAGGGTGAAGTGCAGTGCGCTGACCCTCTTGCGTGGTCGTCTGGTCTTCAGAGGCTGCTCGGCCATGGCTCGGTTCACCCTCGTCCGCGTTTGTGTGTGGCTCAAATTGACGCGACTGGAGCAGTCTGGGTGACCTGGCAAGCTCAATGGATACAACAAGACGTGGTCTACAGGGGATCATCATACTCCCGATACTGCTGACGATGGGGTCTCTGTCTCTCTCGATGGTGACGCAATGTCTGTTCGCATGCCGCCAATGTTGAACTGACCAGGTTTGGCTGCAAAGACTGCATCAGCTCTTTCCTCATCTGTGCACTCATCAGACTCACTCAGACCAGACTGCATACACGAGTAGGGTCAGCTCTGTGCCGAGTATGGCCGTGAGCTTGGGACGTACGAGCAGGAGCAGCTTTGCAACGGTCTTTGAAGGTTGTGCGCCCACAGAGATCCACCAGCTTGCTCGCTGAGCGTTCAACTCGAGCTTCTTCTCCCACACGCCGTCTTCTGCTTTCCTCCGATCGAGTAGTGAAGTGGGGCGGGGGTAGGTGAGTACGGGTAGGGGATCATAAGTGCCAATCTGTTCGATCGGCTGAGCGTTCCTCGCTTTGCGTGCCTGGATGGCGACGATGCTGTACGTCGGCTTGCCCCGAACGCCGTGCCTGGCCAAGCGTAACCTGATGACCATCTCTTGCGCTGCTACGCTTGCTCTGTCGCAGTGGTGAGTGAGCGAGAGGTGATGGCGCTGACGGTGACGCTGACGTTGATCGTCGCCCGTGACGCGCTCAGGAGGAGCTCGGCGTCAGCTGCCTGTCGGACGGCTCGAGCTTGGGACGGGGGCCAAGGATGGCATGGCTCTTTGCATCGACGAGCAAAGGCTCACCCACGTTTGACGAGCTACTAGGTCAGCATCTGCGTGCCATAGGCATCCTGCTCAGACCTGATCCAACGCATGCTGTGACAGACAAGTGCACCTCTGACACCCTCCCCACGCCGTCGACGAACACAGACAGCATCATTCCCGATCCAGACGCACTCGTCCTCTCCGATCTCATCAGGTCTGCGCAAGTCACTCCGCCCATCGCCGTCAAGGGCTTCAAACGCCGCCTAGCTCATCACAACCCAAAGCTCGTTCCCTCCCTCGTTCCCGTCCTCGCACAGTCAGACTGACGGAAAGGTGCAGTGTGCAACTCTACACGTTGCTCACGCTGGACATATGTATCAAGAACGGTGGCGATGCCTTCCTGAGGGAAGTCTCCGGTGCGAGCTCGTCCAACGCTTCAGGCTCGAAAGACCTCGTGGACGATCTCGCCGAACTCGCTCACTCGGTACGCCATTCGCTGCTACTTGTGCTTGATAAGAGCATTCTTGACATGGACTCACAGGCACACGATAGCAATGTCAGGTCGACCGTATTGCGATTGGTCCAAAATTGGGCGACCGCTTTCCAGTCCAAACCCGCGCTGGCCTACTCGAAGCTCTCACTCGTCTACACGCGTCTCAGGCAATCGGGCGAGTTGGCAGCATGTCTTGCCGACAAGGAGCTGATACCCGTCCCAGCAGGCTTACCGTTCCCCAAGATTGATCCATCTGCCACGGCTGCCATGATCGACAGTATGGCCGTACGCGTCTTTTCTGTCATCATCACTCCCTCTTGCTCAGTTTGGAGCTGTGCAGGCACCGGAGTGGGCAGATGCGACGCTCTGCTCGAGATGCAGAGACGCCTTCTCGATCACGAACCGCAAACATCACTGCAGGAATTGCGGTCAGATCTTCGACCAAAAGTGTTCTTCCAAGACTTTGCCCTTGCCCCAGTATGGCATCACCGAGGAAGTGAGAGTATGCGATGGATGTCATAAGAAATTGACTGCTCCTGCTGGCTCGACACGAAGGTGAGCTCTGTCCGGCGATGCATGTAGCGTCTTGCTCACTGCCAAGAACAAACTCAACAGAGCGTCATCTGCCAGCCTCTCATCGAGCAGAGCGGACAACAATGCCGATCTGAGGAGAGCGTCCTCTGCTCACGTCTCCTCTCGGAAATCGCGCGAAGATGCAGAGTTGCAGCTCGCTCTACGACTCTCTCTTGCAGAAGCCAACCCGGGTACTTCAAAGGGAGACGAGACGCCGAGGGCGAGCGTGCGTACCGCTGCACAAGCTGCAAAGGACATGGAAGCCGAAGACCCGGATCTTGCCGCTGCTATTGCTGCATCTCTGCGCGATCTGCCGCCTTCTGCTCCTGCTCCCTCCCAGCCGGCTCATACTCATCAGGGCTACTCGGTCAGACCGAGCGTACCTACTTTGCCGTCTGTCGAACTCGAGACGGCTCAGCTCAATGATCTGCTGACGTTCTCCAATGCGGTCGAGCAAGCTCAGAGGACAAGGCAACCACCTCAGACTCTGCTGCCCCAGGCAGAAAGGTCTCGGCAATCCGGCCGAGTGCTCATCGGTCATCTCGACAGTGCCGATCGTAGGATAGGTGCCACTCGCTTCTTCTGCGCGATGAAACAATGCTGAGCAGGAAGTGCAGGCTATCTGAATGAGATGAACGCAAAGCTTGTGCAGGCCATCAGGCTCTACGATCATCAGCTCGAACAACGGCTCTCGAGTAACAAGACGAACGGCTATGTACCCAGTGCGTTCGGCCCATCTACGATGTGCTCCCCCGCTCATCATGAACATCGCACTCGCACAGATGATGGTTACAGACAGTCCGCGACGGCGTACTACAGCAGTGCACCGCCCGCTTCGGAGCCTCCACGGCAGTATGCGTCTCCACCGCCTACCCGGCCGACGCAAGAGAGCTACGGCTACGATCCCCAACATTACGCTCAGTACTCACAAGAACCGCCCCAGCAGCCGCTTTCACAGCCTACTGCACCTGTGCAACAGATCTCTGCACAGAATGGGTACGCTCATGCGCAACCGGATATGACACCTAGTGCTCCTTCTGCACCTTACGCCCCCACGACGCCGCATTCCTACTCTGACGCCCTGCCGAATCAGCAGACGATTGCATCATCTCCTCGAAACATGCCCGATCAGAAAGACCACCAACATCACGCTCAGCAACAGCAGCAACAGAGGTATGCATCCCGACAAACGAGCTACCATGCTCCTCCTCCTCCTCAGGCAGTATTCGATCTACCGAGCGTACCGCCGACTACGATGATGCCCTCTGCACCCACAACGCAATTCGAAGACCATGCGAGGGAACAGCCTCAGGAAGCTTTGCTCATCGATCTGTAGAAATTTGACGGAAACGCTACGTGTTGTTTGTGTCTGTGCAGAGTCTCCTACGCGCGACCTCTCCTGCTCGGACGGGCGGGATGCCACTGAGATCGCGTTGCAAGAGCTTCAGCGTTGCTGCTATATAACCTAGTGTGACTGAGCCAGTAAGCACAGATGCGCTTCTTGTTCACTGTCGCTGTTGGCTTGTGTCTTGCCGCCACGGCTTTGGCCGCCGCTGTCGATACGAGCGTGAGTCGTGATCATATTGCTTTATTCACGGCTGACGCGATAGTAGAACGAGACGAATGACATTCTAGCGGCAAGTGCTACTGATTCAGATGCCGCTGGGTTCGTTGGTACGAGAGACCGGACGCTGAAGGAGCAGAAGGCGAAGAAACACAAGCACGAGAAGTCAAAGTGGAAGAAAGAAGACAGTGATGATCGCACGAGGGTCATACAGCGCGTGCCGCTGTGACAGGCCGTCTCGTCGAGTGCAGGTGGAATCTTTGATAACAAGGCATTGGGATGTGAATGTACCGTGAGAGATTTGACGAGGAGGCGTTCCAGTTGAAGCTGATTTGCGCGCGAGGCAAAGCGGCCGAGGAGGATCTCTGGCGTGCGTTTATATTTCGACTGACAAGACCGATTGACATCCTTAATAAAGTCTCTGTCAACCGCAAACCGGACGACCGTTGGCGGGTGTCGACCCTCTGTCGCTGACCTTGACGGTCTCACCGAGGCAACGAGCATCACACCGGCTCGGCCTCGTATACACGCACTAGGCAGGTCACTCCAGCCTACTACAAGACTGCCGACGCGCGTCTGGGAGTACTTGTACGATGGTCGAAGGACCATTGAACGGCTTGGCGGCCGTCAATGGCGCGGAGGTACGTTGGACTACTGCACCTCATCCGCCCTGAACTCCGAAGGGCTCATACTGGCCTCGTGCCTGGATGGCAGACTGCCTCGTCGAGCTCACAACAGCCTGGGCATGGTAATGTGCAAGGACAGATGGCTCAGGGCAGTAGCAATGGCGTCGGTACTTCTGCTTCCAATTCGCCTGATGGCGCGCAACCTCCCCTCATCAATACACAAGCTCAAGCCAAATTCCAGAATATGATCTCAGTACGTCTTTCCTATCGCCCAGCGTCGCTCTTTGACGCTGACTGGATGTGTCAAAACGCACAGAGGATCCAGTATTTGCGTTCGCAGGGCGCACAAGAGGGGGAGCACCCAGAGTTGACACGACTGATCGAAGTCTTGCGGAGTATGGGCATCGCACGCGCCGCGAGCAGACAGAATCAAGCAGACGCTGCTGCAGCACAAGCACAGGCTCAGGCTTCTCGAATGAATGCTGCCCCGGCGAGCAATGGTATGGCAACAGAGGAAGCACCCAAATCGAATGGTCTTGCCGCTTCTGCGCCTGCTGGTCTGACTGCACCGGCCAGTCCGCCACTGGTTCAATTCACACCAGCGCAATACGCCTCACTCAAATGTCAGATCTATGCCTTCAAATGTATCTCAAAGGGCGTCCAGATTCCTGCCGCATTGCAAGAAGCCGTCAACAGTCCAACGAAAGCACTCGATTTCGTCCAGTCGAGTGCTTTCCCTGCAAATGTACCCGGCAGCACCCAGACGCCATCGACTAGCAAGCCTGTCGAGACTGCACAAGCCAGCGGCGCCCCTGCTCCGCCGGCTGCCGAAGCCAAGGCGAGCCCCAAGAGCGAAAAGTCGCCTGAGGAGGAAGCTATCATCGCCAGGCTGGCCGAGATTGCTGCAGAGGACGCCCAAGACGAGCTCGATATGGCAGCAGAGTACGCAAGCGAAATCTATCCCTACAATTCCTTTGTCCTGCCTCTTGTCTCTCTGCGCGATGGCACTCAGCAAGAAGCCCGCAGCGCGCCGCCTCGTCTGCCTACTCATCCTCGGCTAAGGACACTACCGGCAATGCTCGTACCCACCCTCATGCCCGAAGGTCTTGACCCGCAGACGCTCTTTGAGGAAAGAGAACGATATATTCAGACGATGATCCAGATGCGCATGAGAGAGCTGCAAGAGCTCCCTTTGGCTCTGCCGGACGGCGCATCTGCCTTGGGTGGGTTGGATGCTATGCCCAGCGCTCGTCTCAAGGCAATCATCGAGCTCAAAGCTTTGCAATTACTCAATAAGCAGAAGGCATTACGAGAAGATGTCGTCTTGGGCGCCAACAGGGCCACAGCTCTCTCGCTCGTCAACGATCGAACTGCTCTCAGGCGTCACAAGCGATACACGATTCGGGATGCTCGTGCGACCGAATCGCTAGAGCGCAAGCAGAAGCTCGATAGAGAGCAGCGTGCAAAGAAGAAACATCTCGATCAGCTCGATGTGGTCATCAAGCACGGTCAGGCACTCGATTATGCCCATCGTGTGCAGGCTGTCAATGCTCAGAAGATCGGCAAAGCCGTTCTGCGTTTGCACAGCGAAGCCGAGAAGGAAGATCAGAAGCGCGTTGAACGGGTCAGCAAAGAACGTCTGAAGGCTCTGCGCAATGACGACGAAGAGGCCTACCTCAAACTCATCGACACTGCAAAGGACACACGTATCACCCACTTGATCAAGCAGACTGACACCTACCTCGATTCGCTCGCTCAGGCAGTCGTTGCTCAGCAAAATGACGCGATACATTCAGACTCGCTCAATGCTGCCATGATCAGACCGGAAGATGCAGCAGTAGACCAGGGCGGGCAGCCCGAGACGGTCAACGAAGCCGCCTTCGGAGCTGCGCCCGTCTTCACGGAGGAAGAGACCGCTACAGAGACGACAAAGAAAGTCGACTACTACAATGTTGCCCATAAGATCAAGGAGACCGTGTCTGAACAACCTCATATTCTCATCGGCGGACAACTCAAAGACTATCAAATCAAGGGCTTACAATGGATGATCAGTCTGTACAACAACAGACTCAATGGCATTCTCGCAGACGAAATGGTGCGCTCTTTCTGCCCGCTCAGATCACTGCTGATCTCGCATGCAGGGTCTCGGCAAGACGATTCAGACTATCTCATTGATTACGTACCTGATCGAGCGAAAGAAGCAAAATGGTCCTTTCTTGATCATCGTGCCGCTATCGACCGTGCCCAATTGGGTGCTCGAATTCGACCGGTGGGCGCCAAGTGTATCTGTCGTCACTTACAAAGGCTCTCCGAACGCGCGCAAGGAGCAAGCCAACAAGATCCGATCGAATGACTTCCAGGTCCTCCTGACAACTTTCGAATATATCATCAAGGACCGTCCGCTGCTCAGTAAGATCAAATGGGTACACATGATCATCGACGAAGGCCATCGCATGAAGAACGCCAACAGCAAGCTTTCGACGACCCTGTCGGGCTTCTACAGCTCACGATACCGCTTGATTTTGACGGGCACGCCGCTGCAAAATAACTTGCCGGAACTCTGGGCACTGCTCAACTTCGTGCTGCCCAAGATCTTTAACTCTGTCAAATCTTTCGATGAATGGTTCAATGCGCCCTTCGCGAACACCGGCGGAGGTGATCGTATCGATCTGAACGAAGAAGAATCTATGCTCGTCATCCGTCGTCTACACAAAGTCTTGCGACCCTTCCTGCTGCGTCGATTAAAGAAAGATGTCGAATCGGAGCTTCCGGATAAGGTCGAGCGTCTAGTGCGATGCAAGATGAGCGCGCTGCAATCTAAGCTCTACAAGCAACTTCGCGAGCATGGCGGTTTGCTCAGCGAGCTCAAAGACTCTGCTGGCAAGCCCAAGGGCATGAAGGGCCTCAAGAATACGATCATGCAGCTCAGGAAACTCTGCAATCATCCCTTTGCATTCGAGGCCGTCGAAACCGCCATGCTCAATCACGTCCGTATGACCAATTACCGGGTGACCCAAGTCGAGATTGACAATCTGCTCTGGCGAACGTCTGGCAAGTTCGAGCTGCTCGATCGGATTCTGCCCAAGCTTTTCAGGACAGGTCATCGCGTCCTGATGTTCTTTCAGATGACAGTCATCATGGACATCATGCAAGATTTCCTCCGTCTCAGAGGCATCGATAACCTTCGGTTGGACGGATCGACCAATCAAGATGAGCGAGCCGGTCTGCTGGCTGCGTTCAACAAGCCAGACTCGCAGTACAAGATTTTTTTGCTGTCTACACGTGCGGGTGGTCTCGGTCTCAATCTGCAGTCAGCAGATACCGTTATTCTGTACGACTCTGATTGGAATCCGCATCAAGATCTACAAGCGCAAGATCGAGCGCATCGAATCGGTCAAAAGAAGGAAGTCCGTATTTTGCGACTCGTCACTGAGAAATCTGTCGAGGAGCAAGTGCTGGCTACAGCGCGTCGCAAAGTCGATATCGACAAAAAAGTCATTCAAGGTGGCAAGTTCGATAACAAGTCGACTGCCGAGGAACGGGAGGCATTCTTCGAAGCCATACTTGCAGAAGCAGACGCAGATGACGACGATGAAGGCGATCTGGGCGACGAAGAGCTCAATGAGATCCTGGCTCGTGGATCAGACGAGATGGTCGTATTTGCTCAGATGGATGTTGAACGCAAGCGCAAAGAGCTCAATGACTGGCGCGCTAGCGGTCACAAGGGGCCTGCTCCTGAGCGGCTTATCACTGAGACCGAATTGCCCGACATCTATAAGATCGAAGTCGATGCGGCCGAGCTCAACAAAGACGATGACGATCCTGTTGGCCGTGGCCATCGGCAACGCACAGAGGTGCATTACAACGATGGTAAGCTCCAGCGGTGATCTGCGATGCATATGCTCAGGCGTTTGGCAGGCTTGACGGACGATCAGTTTTTAGATGCAATTGACGACGATGAGACTGATCTGCAAGAGGCTATCGAGAAGAAGCGAGCTCGCAAAGAGAAGCGCGCAACCAATAAAGCCAGACGTGAAGCGCAGCTAGACGACAGCAATGTCAATACTCCAACCGCCGACTCTGGGCTCGACTCGGACACCGATAGCAGGAAACGCAAACGAGCCAGTGCGACTGCTTCGGTCGAGCCTACTACGCGAGACGAGGAAGACGCGAAATCAAAGGTCAGACGGATCCGTGCAAATAGCCTGCGTGCGCTGAACTCGAGTCTCGTCGCGCAGAAGCGACGTAAGACAGGTGCAGGTGCTACAAGTGGTGCGCCCGTCAATGCGCTAAAAGACCGCGTCAAGGCGATCATCAATTCCGTCGTGGCGAGTCTCGAGGATACGACGACCGACAACGAAGCCATCGAATTCGATCTCCTGGGTCCCTTTGTCGACCCAGTCGATGTCAAGATGTATCCTGACTATGCGATGATCATCCAGCGTCCGATGTGCGTCAAGCGGATCCGGCAGCAAGCCAATAGCGGACGATACAAGTCATTCCAGGCGCTTCACGAGGACTTTGTGCTCATCTTCCAGAACGCCCGCATGTTCAACGATGATGCTTCGCCCATCTACATAGCTGCTGACATCCTAGAGAACGCATTCACTTCGGCTTGGGAAAAGGCGCTGAAGGAGACTGAGCCTGCCTCACGATCGCCTTCGGTTGCTCCCATTGCGTCGACAAAGAGCATGCACAAGCGCTCAGCCGTTTCTACACCTATGGCAGACTCATCTGACAAGGAAGACGAGCCGCCCGTTCGTCCGATGCAAAAGATAAAGCTACGTCTCGGTGGAGGGGCTGGCGGTGGTAAGAGCGCACACAAAGTCAAGCGGAAGGTCGTCTCGAGCGACGAGGAGCCATCTGATAGTGATGATAGCTCTTAGTATGCCCATGCCGATAGACGTTTGTCACGCGATTATTGCAGTTGCCCACCGCTAGAATTGAAGAGCGCGTCGCGTCGCGGTCTGCCTCGTGCTCTTCGTGGGTCGCTGCATTCTTCGTGGCTTATGCACTCGGCCGTCAAGCAAGAGAGCTCTGCGCTCCGGCGTAAGAGCGGCGCCAATGAGATCAGCTCGCTGTACGTGCGAACAGCGCGCAACCCTCGACTTCTGATGAAGTCGTCTACAGATTTGACAATGTCGCTACGCCATTGGGCAAGAAGACTAGATTGAATGCAGGCAGCGCCAAGTCAAGCCTGAGCACGCCTCTTCCGTCCCACAGACATACTCCGCATGGATCGTCGTCTCCGGTGCATGGCGATATGCTCAAAACTCCTTTCGCGGGATCTCGCTTCGCCAATGGAGCCTCCCCGATGACGCCCGCTGCAAGCCCTTATGCAACCAGGAAGGACGTCGGAGAGATCGTCGAGAGTCTCAACAGTCATCTGACAGCCATAGATCAACGCGCTACTGCATCGACTTCAAAGCTAGAACTGGCCAGTCACGCTGATCCAAAGAGCTACGATTATCGCTACATGTACGAGAAACTCCTGGCTCGAAGCGAAGGTCAGCATCTCCGGTCGATCGGCAGATATCATTGTGCTGAGCAGCAGATGCCGCCAGTACTCGACAACCAGATCGATCAATGCGCGACACTGCTCTGCCACGAGTACAGCATCTCGCTCGAAGACGTGGGCAATCCTTGCGTGCCATGCATGGTCAGTCTGTTGGGCTTCGCATTCATGCTACAACGCTTATGCTCTGCTCTCATCGTCGTCAGGATGATATCGTCTGCGTAGGGCGCGTCTGCCTGGAAAGCGACACCGCCAAGCTCAACGATGCATCTATCTGGTTCGAGTCGTCCCGCTTGCTCAGCTCCGGCTCGCGAGTGCCTCTCAAGTTCGAGCAAGATCTCAAGGTCAGAGGTGGCGTGCCTGGCGAGAATGCTGTGGGATTCTATCCTGGCCTCTTGCTCGGCTTGCGCGGCCGGAATACGGGCGGGGGACATTTCAGCGTCAAAGAGATCCTCCTGGTGCGTACGAGCTTCAGCGATCGCTTCTGTGTGACAAATAGCGTCGTGACACACAGATGCCGCCGGTTCTATCGCCCATGACGGCGCCCGCCAAGCTCATGGAGTATCAACACGGCGAACAGTCAATGGCCGGCTTGCCAATGAGCATCATCGTTGCGAATGGTCCATACACGCTCGATGGCGACCTCGAGTATACACCGCTCGAGGATCTCTCACAGTCCATCATGAAGCTAAAGCCGCATCTTGTCATTCTTGTGAGCTTACCTCACACGTCTACCAGCGTGGCTCATCACCTCGTAGCTGGGACCGTTCATCGATGGCAATCATCCGTTGATACGGCAGGGTGCGATGCTGGAGCCGCCCAAGCAAATCTTCAGGAATAAAGTAGCGACTCGAATACAAGCTATGCTCGACGCGGTGCCTGCTCTGACGATCCTCCTGGTGCCAAGCTTGCGAGATTTACTCAATGCGCATGTTGCATTCCCTCAAAGCCCATACGCTCGCGAAGCAGAGCTTGGCCTATCAAAGGTACGATAGTCCCATATGCTACTCAGCCATCTTATGACGCCGTCTTGCAGCGAGCCAAATTGCTCCCTAATCCGACCGTATTCTCGGTCAATGAAGTCACCTTTGGGATAACATCAGTCGATTCGCTGTTCCATTTGCGCTCGTCAGAGCATGTGCAAGCGGCTACGCCTGTCCGAGACGAAGCTCAAGCGATGGACGCCGAGCCAGTAGCGAATGCAAAAGACGCGCTCTCGAGGGCATGTCGGCACATTTTGCGTCAGAGAACGTAAGCTTTTCTAAAGCTCGGGTCGCTTACAGCTAACACGCACGCAGATTCTATCCGCTCTTCCCTGCGCCAGTGCTCAAAGGGCGACCGGGCGAGGCCGACGAGATATTGAATCTTGATGTGACCCATCAGGATCTGCTACAGATCGGCAACGACGGTGTCGATGTCTTGATACTTCCCAGCAGGCTGAAAGCCTTTGCCAAAATTGTCGACGGCGTCGTGACGATCAATCCTGCTAGCTTGACGAAAGGACACTCAGGCGGCACATTTGCTCGACTCACTATTCATCCAAGCCGGCGAGGCGAATTCATGCGCGGCCAAGGCGAAGATATCGACGGTCTGAAGCCGTTTGATGCAGAAGAGGTCATGGATCATCGTATCTACGAGCGATGCCGCGTCGATCTCGTGCGAGTATAGGACGATAGTATGCATCTTTATAAGAACGAGACAGAAACGTGCGTGAGCGCTTAATAAACGTGAAGAGGTTGCTTGGCGGCATGCCCGGCTAAGGCGCGCTTGACTCGGGCTGCTGCGCCGCCGCCCGAAGCGCCGGATGCAGCGCCAGTAGTGCCGGAGCCACTGCCAGACCCTCCTGCTGCAGTGCCCGCTGCTCCAGTACCAGCGACCCCTGCCGTGCCTGCTGCCGTGCCGCCATAGCCATCTGCGTAGGCGTTGTTGGCCGCGGCATTGTTTGTGGCAGCTGCAGCCTTGCCCGCGGTAACAGCACCGTAACCGTTTGCTTCCTTTGAGACGCCGTATCCACCGTTGAACCAGGCGTTTGCAGCAAATTCGGTGTCATCTTCGTGCGATGAGGTCACGTCAAAGTCACCTTCGGTACATACCTACTGACCAGTCAGCGCGTGCAAAAGAGTTGTCACTGCGCTCACTTTGTAGTGGATGTCTTGCTTGTCCTTGACCGCATGCTTGAGCGAAAGATCGGCACCAGCTTGTCCGGCAGCCACTGCAGGAGCATGTCAGACTCGTCTGTTACAGCACAAATGACTCACGACCACTGTCCAGTTCGGAAGAGCCCGATGTCCCTGCTGCATCTCCTGTACTGCCAGCTGCGGCATCGTTGCTAGTCGCAGCTTGGCCGCTTCCGGTCGAGCCAGCCGCAGCTGTGCCGGAGCCATAGCCATCTGCTGACCCAACGCCACCAGCACCAGTCGCACCAGTACTACTGCCGCTTCCAGCCGTGCCGCTGCCAGCTGCAGACCCGCCAGTGCCGCCCCCACTTACAAAGACTGTTGCGTTTCTTGCATTGGGTGTGACGGATGCGTTCGAGAGAATGATTTGATCTTCATTAATTGGAACACGGATAGTGTAGTAGCGGTAGCGCTGTACTGGTACGTCTGCTACAGACGAGCAAATATGAATTGCCAAGAAAAGTCCCAGCAGAAGGAATGTTGATCGGTACGCCATGATTGAGTGTAGCAAGATGCGTTCAGTCGATCATAAACCCTTTTGGATGCGCAGTATGCTATGTTCGCAGGGAGCGAGCTGAAGTCTTGGACTGAGAGCACGTGTTGTATGTAGAGCCAGCGAGCTGGATCCGAAACTACAATATCACTTGGGCGTCGAGCAAAGGTCAGATCGCAGTCGGCCGTCGGACTTGGTTTGCTTGCTTCTGCGATGCATCAGAGCTGCACAGTACTGCGCATACCAGCGTCAGGGGTCTATAGTACTCGCTTGCACACTATCTGGTGTTATGCAAGTCCTCTGATCCGACAGCCGAGGGACCGTGCGCGCAGCCGTGCATTGATGCACAACAGTACGCGGCATTACGCGGCACCTTTGCGTCTGTAGCTTGCTGCTAAGTTGAGAGAGCTATTAGATCGACTGAGGGTATTGACAGAACTCGTCCGGCTTGCAGAAGCACGCTCAAAAGCCGACGGACCGTTCAGGTCGTCACCGCTCATGCGCGGGCTCGCCGATGCTGTCGCTTCAGCCACCTCATGGGCAACTGGTAGACTTGGTGGCGCATTGCCGTTGAGGAGATGTACACTGATGAATCCTTCGCTAGTGGCATTGCGCGTATGTCCATTGCGAGATTTGGGACGTTTGATTGCAGGTCCTGGCCAGCCCATCCCGCCAGCAGCGCTCGGTGTGAGCGAGGCACTATAGTACGGTTCGGTTGCTGCCAGGAGAGACTCGCTGCGGTTCGCGATGCCGAGAGAATACTGTCCGGCTGAATGATGCGACTGATGTGCTGCGATCTCGGGTGACGTGCGTGGTGAAGACACACGCTCCCATTGATGCAACACTGGGCTGCTCGCTGAATGATGCAACAGCGACGGCCGTCGTGCTTGAGGCGCAGCATGCGTAGGCAAGTAAGTATTGCTCGGCTGTCTGCGTCTGGCAAAGTTCTTGAGGTTCGATAACATGTTGCGGCTGATAACACGTATGCTCGTAAGATCGAGCCACCATGGGAGGCGCTTGGAAGATGATGCAGCATAGGAAGCCGGCGTGCGTAGGCCGCTGCCGTCTTCTAGACCGTTCAGCCTGACATAGTCTGACTCGCGACCCTTCTGCCTCGCTCGGGGCTCGCAACATCGGAAGACCGCCTGTCGGTGCGCTTTCGCATTTGACCCGAGCAGTAGCCACCAGCAGAGCAGCAACACAAAAACGATGGCAGCAATCGCGATGGATTCATTGCCATTCGCTCGTGCACGAAGACGCGCTTGCCAAGTCGCGTCGCCGGGCAGGCCTATCTGATCTTGCAACGAGGGCGGGTGTAGCGCATCAGGCAACGATTTGACGCCTTCAATGGGCTGTACGGATTGCGATACCTCCAAGATCATCTTGCCTAATGTCCAAGAGACTTCGACGTCGCCTACTTCTGCCAGACTTTGGAAGCTAGCAAGATCGGTCAGGCCTTTCTCGCCTGCTTGTTGTATTGCCTCTTTGGCGTGATCAGTTCCATCACCTTTGCCGCCCTTGTCGTGCAAACGTGGCAGACCGATGCCTTCATGCAAGATTGAGATGAGCCAGGCTGCTTTGAAGCATTGCATCTCGAGCCTGTCGAGATTGACGTTGGGCTTCCATTTGCCGCCTGCTGCGTAATCTGCCTGTATCTCCTTCCAGTCCCTCGCACAGAACTGCAGAGCATTCTTCTCGAATTCGACAAAGTCGTACGGTCCTCCCTTGTCCCAAACATCGTGAGTAGAGTAGAAGTACTCGGATATGCCAATGAAATGATTGACTGAAAAGTCGATACGGGGAACATGGACACCGTTGAACAGACACGGCTTGACTTCGCATTGGGCTTCCTTGTTGAGCAGAGGGCTGGTCCGCTTGAGACAGGCCACAAAATCGCCTGTTCCTTGTAGTGCATAACCAGCATGTCGACGTTCTTGCAAGACGAGATCTTTGGGCAGGCAAGGGTCTTGGACCATCACGACTGGCTTCTCGGATTCAATGGCATGCTCTGGCTCGGGATGTGTCTCTTGGTATACGCCGATTTGACTGTCAACATAGCGCTCCCTCGCCTTGTTTGTGCCGTAGCCGAGCCAGGTGGTCACAAAGACGGGATGGACGACGTCTTTGCCGTCTAGGAGCCTCAGTCGTACATCGACAAGGGGAGCAGGATCGTGAGCGCGTTCCTTGGCAGTAGGTTCAAATGCGATCTGTGTACTCGCGCCACCCATGTCCAGGAACCCGAACGTGGATGACGTGAGGTGATCATTGTGACCGCCTTGGTCCGTATGCACATGTGAATCGAAGCCGTCCATGAGGTAGTTGACTGCTACCCAGCCGAACACGCCCTCTTCCTCGCCTGTGATCACTCTGACTTGTGAAGCGCAATCGGTCAATCTGAAATCGGCATGCTTTTGAATATAGCGACATGTCTCTTGTAGAACAGCAATGCGTTGTTCGTCGGGCAAGAGTCGCATGCCCGCTGTTGCGAGTACATGTATGGGCGTACTCGCTACTTTGTCAGGAGGTACAATCCTCAGCGCGTGGTCGAGTAAAGGCTGTAGATAGTCGCCTACGCCTGCTGGATTCGGCCCAAGCGACGACAAACCTGTAAAGAGCTGTCAGCCTGTTCGTCATGGATGTTTGTGAGGGCTTGCCTGGCTCGACCTTGATGTGCCAATCGTCTCCTTTCTCGACGCCTTTTGTCACTTTCGGCATGCTCGACAAGCCCTCGCCTTTTGCGCGTAGCTCCTGACGCGCGAGATCATGCTCGAGCCAGGAGTACACTTGCAGCCTCGAGCCTGAGCTGCCTGCATCGACGACAATGCCGAATTGCCGTCCTGTGGACCATGACGGACTTGGCGCTCGTGCAGCCAACGCGGCATCTTGAACGGCGGGCGTCAATGAGAATGCTGAAGCCAAAGCATCATCGTCGAGCGCTCTGCGCTTGCCGAGCGCCTTGAGTGATGGCATCCAGGGCTACAGGGAAGCTGTCCAGTCCGCACACAGCGCTGCCACAAAAACAGGCGCGTGGCCAATTGCGCGCGAGACGTGGCACCCAGAAAGCTCGACGCAGCTCCCCAGCGTGCAATGCTGCGGCAGTGAGCTAGATAGGGCAGCTCGGCACGATGGACTACTTGCCGGCAGACCAGCGACTGCTCCAATCCGGCGCCATCGTCGGCTTTCTCGTTGTCACTTTTACACTCGGCATTGGTCGACTCGTACTGGCTACATTGGTCGCCTGCGCACTTGCTTTGTATGCCTACCGAGAGTTTGTGTCGCCAATATGAGTACTGATCAGATGTGCTCAGATTTCTGTCCACCTTCAACGAAGTGCGCGAGATTGGCGATGCGTTCCTTAACAAGGTCCGCTCATCCTCGTCCAGCCAGCTGCCCCGATCTATTGGACTGAACAAAGAAGCGCAGGGCAAGAGGAAGCTACCCATTCCAGAGCTCACGAAGCCAGTCTCGGAGCAACAAGAAGAGGTCAGCGAGCAGAGCCATCACGAAAAGGCCCAAGCGTCTTTTCTGCTGGACAGTCCTCAAGTCGTGGAGCTCAAGGTACCGCCGAGAGTCAAGAATGTCCTCGCCGACTTGCTCGACCTCGTTATACGAGACTTTGTCGAGATTTGGTGGGTCGCGTCCTTTACGTTCGTGTGCTTGTCTTATTGCGCGCGCGAACAGGTACAATGCTTCGGTGACACTGGGCGATACGCGCTTCCTCAAGCAGACCAAGTCTGCACTCAATACACTTGCAAGTAACGTATCGAGCACCATCGAGCAAAAAGACACCAAAGAGCTCGCTATCTATCTCATGCACTCCACCTCGGCAGTGCTCACACAGCAACTCAAGCGCGAGGATAAAAAGGAGGAGGCTGCCGGCGAAGCACATGCTCGTCTGCAGCGACAAGAGCGCCAGAAGCAGCGAATAGACAAGATCCGTCGATCTTGCGAGGAATTACTCATGACACTTGGCCCGAGATCGATCACACTCTCACCACTCGCTACGCCTCTCATGGTCGAAATACTGACTTTGCAAGTCTGGAAGACCATCCAGGGCCTGGACGACGATTGGATCAATCGAACGCTTATCTCGTACCTCGAGTCTCAGCCGGAAGATCTAGCGAGCAAGGCAGCAGATGCTGCACTCCCACCTATACCTGATCGAGCGCGTCAAAGCACTGAGATCCCCGGCGGGATGCCCCGACAGCGGCATCGAGGCGAATCCGATCTAGACACGCCATTGCCGTCTATAGATGCTGATGATCCTGCCTGGCCGAGCGCCCCTGCACCCCAGGTACCACCGAAGCGTAGTGTCGACGAGACTGCGTTGCCAGACCCATCGCTCGTGCTAGAGGCTCTCCTCATTGGGTCAAAGGAGACAAAGCAGGCCCTTCTGCTCAAGCTACATGCGCTCCTTACCAAGCTGGATCGTAAGCCGGCCGAACGACCCGTGCCGCTCGAATCCACTGCGAGGCAGCTAGATCTCATGCTTTCTCGGCAGGCCGATTCGTTGTCAGAATCGTTCCAGGTCTACCTCGAATCTCTCGCAGCGACATCTGCTAAGCGCGCAGAAGGTCTCATTAGGTTATACACTCAAGTCAGTACTTTCAGACGCGTAGTCGAGACGACCAGTCCCTCTGCCGAGCTTTTACGACAGGATGCACTCTCGATCACCAAGCGTGTGACCGACAGTGCTCTCATTGACACGCATACCCGCTCGGAAGCAAGACAGCTGCTCTGTCAGATCGCTCTCGATATAGATCAGCAGGCTTCGAGCACAGTCCTGCTACCCTTGCAGTCGTACCTCTTTCGAGAGATCGCGTCCCTGTACTTTCAGCCGTTCCTGAGCTATCGGGCGACGTTGCCCACGACTATCTCTGGCCGAGTGCATGCTATGAATCTGCCGAGGCAGTACATGACGGAAGATAGCGATGTCGCCTTCTCGCACACGCCTTCCCAATTGGCAAAGACAGACATGAATCGATCATCTTCGGGCCAAAGCGCTCTTCGTAGCTCTGCCTCGGCAGCATCCAGCTCGCCATCCCTACCGCGGCCGAGCTTTGACGAGCGAGACGGACCCTTTGACAGCGAATCTGATATGACGGAGGGCTTCCATGACGAGCCAGCAGAGGAGCCTCAAAAGATGCTGCGACCATCAAGTGCGCCGACGAGTGTGCCTGCATCGCCGCACGACAATATGCAGAAATTCACTGTCAGCGTGACTGACGTTTCTCCGCCGTCGGCATATTCGAGCACGCGTCAGGTCAAGGTGAAGAAAGACCTCAGCTTCATCATTGCAGTCGAAGCACAAGGATTACCTGGCTTCATCATTCAGCGCTCATTTCCCGAGCTGGAGAAGCTCAACTTGCGACTACAAAAGGCGTTGCCTCAGGCTGGTACCAGAGAGTTCCCACGGGCCATGCTCCCTTCGACCAATATGCAGAGCACCGAAAACCTTTGCATTGCGCTCGAGTCCTATCTCGCCAATCTGCTCAGAGACGACAGATATGCTTCGTCGACGCCTGTCCTAGCCTTTTTCGACAAAGAGCGAGCGGGTGCAAAGTCGAATGTCAATATCTTTGGCGCCGTCAACAGAAGCTTGCTCGATACCAGTCAACTCGCATCGAAGGGACTGACGGATGGAGCAAAGGGCATCACAACCGGTCTCAATTCTGTTGCGTCAGTCTTTACTACACCTTTCAAGATCGCAGGTATACAACCAGCAGCATTTGCTTCCTCCTCGGACGAGCTCAACAGCCAGCAATCAAATTTCGAGAGGAGCATGCCAATTGCTGCTCGCAGCTCTCTGTCGCTCGACAGACGTGCTTCGCCGTCAACCGGTCGTCCATCCATAGACCGCACTGCGTCGTTCGATCGCGCGAGCACGGGCAGGGCGAGCGTCAGTGTCAGCGCGAGTGGCAGCGGCAGCGGTTATGCTGTGCCTGACAATGCCGGCGTCATGAGTCGTGCATCCACCTCATCCGCCCGCAGTAGCCAGCTCGATGTCAGTGAAGTCGAAACAGGAGCTGTCATGTCTTTGCCGCCCACATCGTCATCGCCCTTGATCAAGTCAGATATGCCAGCACTTGGTGTGCCTGCCGGTGATCTCGCGACCAGGCTTTCATTTGACGATTTGCTCGCCAAAGATCGCCTTGACGCCGAGCGAGAACAGGCTACCCGTGCTGCGTCAAAGGCAGCTGCTGCGTCCTCAGCGGTGGCCAAGTCTGCTCAGCGAGCCGGCAAGCTGCCCGTGCTGTCTGCCAGAGATGTCGACGTCGTGATCAATGCCTCTATCCGGGTCCTTGAAGAAGCTTATCAGCTTGCAGACACTGGCACCTGGAACCTGAAACGAGGCATCCTCGCCATCTTGCAGTCTGTGCTCTCCTCGACGTACTCGACCGCGATCGCCAAGTATTTTGTCACAGGTCTCGTCGCTCTCGACGAAGATCTGATCGCGAGCAAGCTCGAAGATCTTCGTGCAATGTTCTGGCCTGGCGGTAAATGGTGGACTCAAAGCAACATAGACCAGATAGTACGGACTGCAGAAGATAAGGAACAAACCCGATTGAAAGCTCGAAAGATCTGGACTACTCAAGCTCCAAACGGTCTCAAGATCGCGCTGGGCGCGTCAGCTACCGCGGAAGCATTCGGAAGGATTCATGACGGTGTCCAGGCCGAGGGCGCGGAGATTTTGGTCTCGACCCTTATCTTAGACCTATTTCGATTCTTGCTTCTATAGGACTTCAGCCGGGGTTGTCTCGATTCACGGCGATCTGGCGCGGCTGCGCATTGTCTGATGCTGTCGTTCAAATGCATCCAGCCGCGGAGCTGCTCTCCGCATCCGTTTTGGCATAGGCTATGGCATGTCTGATAAGTGACTTTTCACGCGCAGAAACCAAAAAATCACTATCGGAACTCAAATCGACTAAGATCTCGATCAGCTGTCGATCATTCGTTCGCGCGATAAGCGAAGACCCAGGGGAGCAGGCCTCAAGATAAAAGGCTGGCCGTCTCACCATAGACCGCTCGCAGGTCATTCGACACTCTCTCGTAAGGTCTGAAGAAGGTAGCGACTCGTTGCTCTCATATGAAGCGCTGCTGACGGCAGTGCGTGCAGCACGACCGAGCGCCGGAGCATCCTGCCGTCCTGATAAGACAAGATGTCGTCCTCCTCGCCCGCCTCGTCCGTCGAGGTCAACGAAAAAGCCCAACAGCAATTGAAGGAGCAAAACACTCACGATGCGATCGACGGCATGGCTGTCTCCGAACAGACCAAGCAAGGCTTGAGGAGCGGCATGCATGGTCCGCCCAAATTCTCTATCAAGCAACTCTTTTCGCCACCGGTCATCAACCCGACGAACTTGAAATCGCAGACCCTTTGTATCTTCGTGAGTCACACGGTGTGCCCTATAGAGATCCGGCTGACGTTAATCGCGTGCAGCATCCTAACCGATACGCGCTAGCGTTCCACTTGTCCTGGCTGGGCTTCTTCGTCGCTTTCCTGTCCTGGTTCGCATTCGTGAGGGCTACCAACCCCCCTGGATGTTCCACGCTGACAAGGACTGTAGCCGCCGCTGATTCCGGAGATTATCCGAACCGACCTCAAGCTAACTGCCATCGACGTTGCCAACAGCAACATTGTCTCGCTGAGCGCAACCCTCGGTGTCCGATGGATCGTAGGACCGTTTGTCGACAGATTTGGACCTCGATACGTCATGGCGTCTCTGCTTATCATTGGCGCCATCCCATCCGGCCTAGCCGGCACTGCGCACAACGCTCACACGCTCTACGTTCTGCGATTCTTCATCGGTATCCTCGGTGGTACCTTTGTTCCTTGCCAAGCCTGGACGACTTGCTTCTTCGACAAGAACGTCGTCGGTACCGCTAATGCGCTCGTCGGAGGTTGGGGTAATGCTGGCGGTGGCGCCACCTTTGCTATCATGGTCGCGCTCTACACGCGTCTGCTCAAGGACACGACGCCCCATGTCGCATGGCGTGCTGCTTTTGCTGCAGTCCCTGTTCCGGTGCTCTTCTTCGTCGCTGCTCTCACGCTCATCTTCGGACCCGACCACCCTGCCGGCAAATGGTCGCAGCGACACACCACGCCTGCATCCGCCATTGCGATGAAGCACGGTCATCAGCCACAGCTTGACCACTCTGAGCGTGCTGTCATCGAGAACAAGATGACGACCGACAAGGAAGCTCAACCCGGCGTCCAAGTCAGACCAGCTGACGCAGAAGAGGAAGCCGAGATGGAGGCAAATGTCAAGTCCGAGGTCGATATCGCGGTCAATGAAAAGCTCACAATGAAGAGCTTTGTTACCATCATCTCCGACCCCTTGACATGGCTACCTGCAGTGTCATACTTGACCTCGTTCGGCGCGGAGCTGTTCGTCGACTCCAATGTCGCAAACATCATCTTTGCCATCTTCAAGACCACCTCGTTCACCAGCATTACAGCAGGTTACTGGACATCGTCATATGGTCTGCTCAACATTATCACTCGTCCTCTTGGCGGTCTAGCGGGCGATCTTATCTATCGCAAGTTCGGCGTTGCCGGCAAAAAGTATCTCATGCTTGGTCTGGGCATGGCGAACGGCCTCGTCTTCATTGGTCTTGGCCAATACTTGAAGCATCATCCTACCATCGCTCGCGGCGCACATCTGCCGACCTTCATGGGCCTATTGCTGCTGAGTGCCATCTTTGACGAGATGGGCAACGGTGCCGCGTTCGCACTCGTACCTCACACTGCTGTACGCAACAACGGTCTCCAATCTGGTCTCGTCGGTGGCATGGGCAATCTCGGCGGCATCTTCTTCAATCTGGTCATTCGGTACCAGACAGAGACGGGCAAGGCGATCTGGATCATCGGCATCGTCGTCCTCATTGCCAACGCGATCCTGTTGCCCATCAAGACGCCAAAATATTAGATCCTTGGTCATCTAGAGTGGAATATATGTCTTGTCGGATTGTACGCTTGGATATTTAATGCATCAGCAAACGTTACACAGAGACAGGCATGAGGTTTGGACTTGGATAGCATTCACATCAGTTCGATACGAGGTCTAGGGCAGTCTGCAAGCTTTCGCCATTTACGACGCGCTTTGCTGCAATTGGGAGGACCGACGGAGCGGCGGAAAGCTCGAGGTGTTGAGGAGCACTCATGTCAAACCGCTTATTCACGAAGCGGCTGACTAAAGAGGTCAGTCAGCCATGAGCATAACAAATGCGAGAGCTTAAGCGACTAAACATCGCAGTTGACCGACTTACGGAATGGCAGTTGTCCTGCCGGCTGCGGACTCATCTCGACCGAGGATCTGCAAGAATGGCAAGCTAGCGAGCTATGCCGTCAACCTGAACTCATGACATGCTCCCAGGATAATATCGATCACAGTGTTTGATTCGATCTACGAGGGCGAACAGTTTGCATTACGTGCGTTGAGCTCTCAATGATAACAATCTCTTCGTCTGAGCCTGGTACAACAGGCTTTCGCTTCTCGTCCGGCTATCCGATAGACTCTCCCGAGGTTGTCTTCCTCACCACTGCGCCTTACAAGAGCCCCGAGCACCCACACATCTACTCAAACGGACACATCTGCGCGAGCATCCTCGTGCGGTCTGAACACCAGCGTCATTCGATGGGCTGACGTTCGTGATTCCGATGCGCAGGGAAATGGCTGGAGTCCAGTATTGAACGTTTCGTCCATATGCCTGACGTTGCAGTCGTCAGTCAACTGCTTGAAAGCGCACTTGTCCCAGCTGAATCGCGCCGACAGGATGCTGGCCTCGTGTAAGAAGAAAGAGAGGCCGTGCGTCCGATGTCCGACATGTGACAGATGAGCTGATGCCGATGCAGACCTGACAACGAGCGATACGTCAAGCGGGCGCCTTTTTCGCCCAAGCAGACACAATTTGTATATCATGGTCAGTTGCCACTCAGACCTATCCGAGCGCTGCTGAGACGATTCATGCTCACAGATGATAGCGTGTGACGCACCGGCCAGGTCATGACGAGCTGACGCAAGTATGCTATGTATGTGACAAAGCGCCGCAGCTGCAAGTTGTACAATGTATCACTTTGCATGATGTCTGACCACGCGGTATTGCCTTGCTTAGCATATGTCCTAAGCTTGCTAGTCGGAGAATTTGAAGGCGGTCTGTGCTCAACTGTTCGACTTACTGTCATCCTCGGTTTCTACGCCTTGTGTAATGTCGTCGACCATATTCCGAATCCTGCGCAGAGTTGCGCTATGCCTGCAGATGGCTTTCTTGGCCTGTCTGCTCGGCGTCGGCATGTCGGCGCACGCCCGTAGCACGGAGAGCTTTCGGAGCACGCGTCAGTCTATCCGAGTACTTCGTAGCCATGTGCTGATCAACAGTGCAGAGGATGCGATTGCGGAACTGATGTTTGCAGCCGCGCTATCGCTCGTGCTCAGTGCATTCATGCTGTACCTTACGCCAGTCAAGGCGGATCTGCTGCTGACCCGCGCGCAGGCTGGCCGGATCAATCAAGTTTGCTCTCGCGACGACGGTATGGTTCGAGTTGCTGCTCCTGAGCGCACAATGGCTCGTCTTGGTCGGGTACGTCCGCAGACAGCGTGCCGAGTCGACTTGATCTGCGAGGGGCAGAGGATCTATCGCATTGTCAATTCGCATGCCTCATCTAGCAATTGCTTGCTCGCTCGACGACGGACACTGCAGCGGTATACAAGCAGTACTAGCACTTAGTTGGCTAGCTTGGACGACCATCTCGCTTCTGCTCCTCTGTGAGATCATCTTGCTCGTGCCGCATCTCTCGGCGAGCGATAGATCGATATTCGATAGGCCACTCGACGACCTGGCGAGTCAGCCAGGCGATCGATACGCTCGCAGAATGCCCGATATGACCAGCGCAGCCCGACTCTCGTCGTCACATCGTGTGTCGGTCAGCTCGGAAAGACCTCTGTGGGTAAGCAATGAAAGTAGGGGGCTTGACTGAGCGAGTGTGCAGGCGAGGCTCGTTAGACAGTGTGGAGGCGCACGATCAACAACTGTCTAGATTGCCGCCTGTGCATGAAGAGACTGTCTGACATTATACATGAGGAACGGCATGCATTTTTTTTGGCGGCCCAGTTCATCGCCCAAATGCGGAGCATAGCAAACACGTCAAACTATTGAGAGGAGCGTGAAAGTCTTGACATGTTGACGTCTTCGAATTTTGCTCGACAGCGCCAGACGGCGATCGCTGTCGAAGCTGCATTGCCTTCAGCGCCACTAGATGGAGCAGCATCATCACCGTGCGTCGTTGACGCAGACTAACAAGGCCTTCAAAGCCAAGCATTCATCAAAGGGATCACTCAGAGATGCTGCCAAAGGTACGTCCTCGTCGCTAGGCTTGCTCGTATCGCGGCTTACCCTTGAGCAGGGCGAACATCACGGCAGGCCGAAAGAGCAGCACAACGACTAGGTGGAGGCAAAACTCAGACCAAGGCAGGCAAAGCAGCTCGGCGCAATCAGGCAAAGCAAGTGCAAGCGAACAAACGAGCGGCGCTGGCTGCTTCTACGCGCGTGCTCAGCGGCTTCAAAGGCGAAGGCAAAGCGCCACGTGTGATTGCCGTGCTGGCTCTGACAGACGACATCGATGGGCCGGCGCTCGTCAGAGATCTGCTCATCGGCGCAGGAGCAAGCGAACCGACTCACAGCGCTTCACTGTGGCATGCTGAGTACGCCAATTCTAGATGACCACCACACGTCTCTGATGGGAAGGCAGGATGACAAAGCCGTCGAACGCAAGTCTACAATTCATCACGCCAAAGCATGGCGACCTGCTCGGTGCGCTCGACGCATGCCAGGCGGCGGATTACGTCGTTCTTGGTCTTTCGGAGGAGCAAGACGTGTCTGCATGGGGCGAGAACGCTCTGCGCTGCCTGGCAAGTGTAGGCATAGCGGAGGGATCAGTGCGCGCCATCGTCAAATCCCTGCCGGAAACAACTGCACAGTCGTCCGGCGTACGCAAGTCTTTGCTCTCATTCACCCAGCATTTCTTTCCTTCAGCTGCAAGGATCTACAGCGCACACGTACCGTCTGAAGCCGCCAACGTTTTGCGGTCTTTCGTGGAAGGCACCCCCAAGGGCCTTGCGTGGCGTGAGAGCCGGGGCAGACTGTTAGCAGAAGACGTGCAGTGGGAAGCGGTAGAGTCGGACGACGTGATGGAAGGCTCATCAAAGGGTACGCTAAAAGTGACTGGAACGATCAGAGGCGCGCCCTTCTCTGCGAACCGCCTTGTACACTTGCAAGGTCATGGCGACTTTCAGCTTCTCAAGGTAGCCAGGCCCGTTGCCCATCGAGTGATCAACTGACACAGCACCGAATGCGCGCAGATCACAGCGGCGCCCAAGGCTGATGCGCGCAGACGAGTCAACGGCGATGGCATGACGCTCGAGAACAACGGCGAAGAAGCGCTATCCGTACTCGAGCCGGACGAGGCAGACGATCTACAGTCTACGAATGTTCCAGACGACGAGGAGCTCTTGCAGCAAGAACAGACATGGCCAACTGAAGACGAGCTTGAGCATGCACCTGAAAGGTTATCGGATGGTCAGATGATGCCCCCGCCAGCGAAGCCGGGCACAACGCCAAAGAGCCTAAAGCGCGTGCCGAAAGGGACGAGCACCTACCAAGCTGCGTGGATCATCGATGAGGACGACGGAGAGTACGAGAACGAAGCGGGAAGTGAGGTAGATAGCGACCGCATGAGCGAGGGATCCGCTCGTGGTGAGGAAGAGACGATCGACTACGAGACGCTCGATACGGAGACAGGCTCGATTCATCCCGACTCGGTATCTGCTACTGCTCCGAGTACAGGCGTCACTTTCAAAGACTTGCCGATGGACATCGAAGACGAGCAATACCGTACTTATCTAGCCGACAGACAGAAGGAGCGCGATCGCGAGGCAAGGACAGACCGCGAGTTCCCTGACGAAGTAGATACGCCAATGGATATACCCGCTCGCGAGAGATTCGCTCGATACCGCGGACTCAAGTCGTTCAGGACTTCGCCTTGGGATCCGTACGAGAACTTGCCGAGGGACTACGCTCGATGTTTCATGTTTCAAGATTACAAACAGATGAGCCGCAAGATCACTGCTCGGGCGATGCAGGACGGAGTCGAGGTACGCAGGAGCACCATCACCAAGCCATGTGTTTGCTAATGTCCGATCTCTCACGCAGCCCGGCACCCGCGTTACGCTCCACATTGCTTCTGTGCCTTCTTATGCAGCCGAGCAAGCTGCTGCGAAGCCTTTCCTCGTCTTTGGCCTACTCCAGCATGAGCACAAGATGTCAGTCCTCAATGTAACGACACAGCGCAACACGGAATACGAGGCGGAGATAAAGTCAAAGGTGACCAGCCTGCCGCGTTCCGTCAAAGCCATACTGACAGGCAGCGATCAGGATGAGCTCATCCTGTTGCTGGGACCGAGACGCTTCTCGATCCGGCCACTCTTCTCGCAGCATACGCAAGGCAATGCGGGCAAAGGATCAACCAATGTGCACAAATTCGAGCGTTTCCTGCGGCATGGCGCCCAATCGACCATCGCGACCGCATACTTACCGCTCACATTCGGTGTCAACATCCCTGCCATCTTGCTCAAGCAAGACGGCGACGAGCTGCAATTAGTCGGCACAGGTTCTCTCCTCTCTGCTGATCCTACTCGCATCATCGCCAAGCGTGTCATCTTGACCGGCCATCCTTACAAGATTCACAAGAAGACGGCCACCATCCGCTACATGTTCTTCAACCAGGCTGATGTCGACTACTTCAAGCCTGTCCAGCTCAAGACGAAAAAGGGCAGGACGGGCTATATCAAAGAATCGCTCGGTACCCATGGCTACATGAAGGCGTCCTTCGACTCGCCATTGCAGGATCAGACGGACACAGTCTGCTTGAGCCTATACAAGCGGTGTTTCCCCAAGTGGTCGACCTTGTGGTCAGCAGAGGAGCAGCAAGCCATCACCGGCGCGGATGATACCATAGAGGTTGATTAGCTTTGTGCGAGAAGACAGCACGCCCAGATGCATAGATACAACTTGATAATGCTCACTTGCCCGCCTTGACCTTTTCCTTGATGATATCGACAATTGAAGGCTACGTCAGGGTGTCAGCGGAGCACGCTAGGATGACAGTAGAAGGACGCACGTCTGCAACTGTGGAGAGATCCCCGAGTTGATCACCTTCGCCATCAGAGATCTTTCTGAGAATTCTGCGCATGATCTTGCCCGAGCGCGTCTTTGGTAGATCAGGTAGCAGCAAGATCTTCTTCGGCGCTGCGAAAGGTCCGATGTTCTGTCTGACCTGAGTCACGAGCTCTTTGGTGATGTCACGATCGCTCGAATCGGAGAATTCTGGCTTGAGTGTGACGAAAGCGTGGATGGCTTGACCAGTCAGCTCATCCGCTACGCCGACGACAGCCGTCTCGGCCACTGCAGGGTGCATGATGAGAGCGCTCTCGATCTCTGCTGTACTCAGTCGGTGACCGGAAACGTTGATGACATCGTCCACTCGTCCTCGGATCCAGAAGTAGCCATCATCGTCACGACCGACACCGTCTCCCGTGAAATAGTATCCGGGATCTGTGTCGGAAATAAGTAGAGATCCTTCCATCGAGAGAAGGACATACAAGGCTTGAGGTAGGTCTCCATGTAGCGCGCATGGTCGCCGTAGACTGTGCGTGCCATCGAGGGCCATGGCTTTTCGATAGCAAGGACACCTTCGACCGTGGTCTCTGTGAGAGGCTTGCCGGTCGTAGGCTCCAAGATGACAGGCTTGATGCCGAAGAAGGGTAACGTGGCCGAACCTGGCTTAGTCTTGATCGCACCGGGCAGAGGCGTGACAATGATTGAGCCGGTTTCTGTCTGCCAGTAGGTATCGACGACGGCGCATTCCTTGCCACCGACGTGCTCGTGGTACCATGACCAAGCTTCGGGATTGATGGGCTCACCGACGGACCCGATGACGCGCAGTGTGCTCAGATCGTGGCCTTTGACGTGAGAGTCGCCAAGTCGGCGGAGAAGACGAATTGCAGTAGGGGCAGTGTAGAACTGAGTGAGCTTGTGTTTCGCAACAGTTTCCCAGTATCGCGACGGAGTAGGATAAACGGGCGTCGATTCGAAGATGAGTGTCGTCGTGCCGAGCATCAGGGGTCCATACACCTGTACATACGTGAGCCTTCGCTCATCATGGCCAAAAGCCACGTGAGCTCACAATGTAAGTATGACCTGTAATCCAGCCGACGTCGGCCATGCACGCGTATCTGTCGTTCTCGTGCACATCGAACACATATTTGACAGTCAGAGCAGCGCCGAGGAGGTAGCCACCGGTCGTGTGCACGACACCTTTGGGCTTGCCAGTCGACCCTGAAGTGTAAAGGATGAAGAGAGGGTCTTCCGAATTGACGACCTCCGGCGAGCAATAAGGCAGCGCTTGGGCTGCTTTTTCGTGCCACCAGTGATCTCTGCCTTCCTTCATGGTGACCTTGCCGCCCGTTCGCTGGAGAACGAGAGTGGAGGTAACAGTGGGGCATTGGTCGAGAGCCTTGTCGACGATAGACTTGGTCGCGATATTCTTGCCGCCTCGCTTGCCTTCGTCGGTGGTAATGACGACCTTGCACTTGCAGTCTTGAATACGGTCGCGAAGAGATTCAGCAGAGAAACCGGCAAAGACGACAGAGTGAACTGCGCCAAGTCGCGCGCAAGCCAAGAAAGCGATGGCTGCTTCAGGCACCATGGGCAAGTAGATTGCGACAGCCTGTATGCCTATCAGCTGCGACCATGCAGATCAAACGCAAGTGACGTACATCTCCCTTTTTGACGCCGAACGATTTGAGGATGTTGGCAACCTTGCAGACTTCACCGAGCAATTGGCGGTAGGTGAGCTCCTTGTGCTCGCCCGGCTCATCCGCTTCCCAGATGATAGCAACCTGCACAGAAACAACGTCAGTGCCAAGCATATGCCAAGCCAAAGCAGAGCGCATACCTTGTCCGGGTTCTTGTACGCCCACCTGTCGACGCAGTTGTAGGAGGCATTCAGCTGGCCCTCTGGAAACCAGGTGACGTCGCCCTGGTTGAGGTCACCGTGTTGGACTGTCTTGTAAGGTGTCTGCCAGTCGATCAACTCCTTCGCCATCTGCTCGTGCTCGCGTGAGCATCTGTGAGTCTGACTGGTGAGCCAGACAAGACCGACCCTGTCCCAGAACTGGTCGGGCTTGTCGATCGACTCTTTGTAAAGCTTCTGGTACTCCTTTGTATCTGCCCATGGCTTAGGTCGACCTCCCTTGCCCAAGTTCCGGCTCGGGATATCATAGGCCTTGACATTCTCTCGGTGTGGTTCAGACATGGTGGAGCACTTGTCGAAGCAGACTGCCCTGCTTCTTATTCGCTTGCGGGAGGGCTATGCACACTCCGCGCTCGCCTCGCTTGATTCCGGGCTAGATCTTCTCCGACTTCTCACACTTGGTCAAGGGTCACGACTCTTTTGTCCGACTGCTTCCGCACGCGTCCAGAATGCGGAGACGAGCAGATGCCCCAAAACGATCGACGGACGAGGTGGCTGAGGATAGGCGCCTCTATATGCTCGCGACTTTACGCGATGGGTGCTCGTGGGCGGCCCCGCTCGGCGTCGCCTGCGAAAAGACTTTCTGTATCCTTATCACAACGAGAGGAGCGCTACTCGTAGCGAGCCCCTGTGTCATCGATGCTATCTCCTCGAGCACTTTCACCGCGCATCAGCCACGGGACCATGTTTGCAAACATCCTGCTCGCAACTTTGACTCTGTGCATTGCCATCGCGGCATCGCCAATCGTCAACACCACTGCTCTGAGTTTGGACGAGCGAGGAGCTCCACTTGGCTACATCTTTGATCTCCATTGGACATCAGCAGGAGTATGCACCATCCCGGCTACCAGGTTTAACAGTGGGTATCGTCATGAAGCACTGCATATCACTCTGATCTATCAAAGCAGTCAGGCGTCTAGGAATACGTACCTGGACATTGACTACAGTGTCCTTCAAGGTGCCTGTCGACAAAAGTCAGACACCGACGTGTGTCCAAGGTCCCTGCAAGGACATCGCATTCCTTTCGGGCGAGGATGCCGCTCATATGCAGCCCATCAACCCCAAATTTTATGCTCTCACCCTCATGGACTATACGGCCGGGTTCACTGGTGGCAAGTTTCCCGGCTGGTCAGTGCTCGGCTTTCGATACGCATCGCCCTCGAGCTGAAGTCTGATCAGCTGCACCATAGATTATGACATCAACTTCTTCCTCAATCCTTACAGTGGTCAAGGGTCTGTGGACCCGGACTTCAATGGTTCATTTGCTGGTCTATGTTATGCTTCTGGAAGGTCGAAGGTCAACGGCGCAGCATGCGATGATGTTCTCGGTCATCCGGCACAGCTCTACACGTATTTCAAGAGCTGCTACCAGACAGGCTTACGGTATGTTATCTATGTTCTTATCTCGGTGAAGCTCATGGATGCGTGCAGTCCTACCATCTCGTCCACGCCATACTACGCATGAGCTAAGACGAAGCTTGCAAGCCGATGGCCTCGGTCTAGCGACATGTCGTGCATTGCTTGCCTGTCGCAGACAAGTACTTTTTTTGTGCTCGATGCATGCGAACATGAGCCGAGGGCTAGACCAGCGTCATCACGTGCGCCTTCCGAACAATCCCCATATACCTCCAGCCTGCTTCTGGACGGGCGCAGTGACAGACGCAACGGGTTCTGTGACCGTTTCTGATGCGCTGTCGACTTCTTGCATCGCAACGTCTTGCGGAGCTGCTGGGGTGAGACTAGGCTGACAGGCATAATTGTAGACGATATCGAGGAACGTCTCGCCCTTTGGCTGCTCGGACTCTATGGTGAGATCGTCCATGCCGGCCAGATTGCTCACTGGCTCTTTGCCGCCCTTTGTAGCAGTGTAGAAGTCACTCGTTACGCTTCGATAATCTTCTTGGATCTCCTTCTCTATCCAGGCAAACGAAGCAGGGTTGTACACCAGCACGCGAGTGGTGAAGCCTGTGGAAGCATGTACAGCCTCTTGTGATGAGCTCGTTTTGGCTTGCCGTGTGAAAATCTCTGCGCGTGAGAGCAGCGATAGCGATTCGGGGTATCGGTCGAGCGCAGCATACGTTTTCGCCATGAAGAGTGCTCTGTCAGAGTCCTTTAGCCTTTTGGTCATTCAGACAAAAAGAAGGGGGCCCTCACTTCTCCGCGCGAGCAAAGTAGATGGCATGTTGCGCATCCGCAGAGAGAGCAAAGTCTTCCTCGATCAGTGCTAATTGCGATAGATGGGTGAGTGATTGCTGTGCGGCATCGATCAACTTGACGATGATCGACAAGCTCTTCAATTGCTTCATCACTTCCTTTCTCGTCCTTTTGCCCGACTTTGAGCTCACCACGCTCGTCTTGGCCAAGCGAGTTCGGGCTAGCTGAGCATCTCTTTCTAGCCGAATGCTGAGTACTTGGTAGACGACAAAATCTCTGACTTTGCGCGAAGAATCGAGTGTGGACTCTAGGCGAGCAGAAGCGCCCATGGCACCCGAAGATCGAGCAAGAGCAGTCTCTTGATCCTCTACGAGCTGTCTTGCAAACTCTTCCGCTGCGCCCCAAGCGGCAAGAGCGCGATCGAATCTTGCCAGGCTGATTTTGCCAGCACGGGTTGCCGTCAAGGCCTCATTACTCTTGAGTGCTTTCGCAAGTGCACGAGAGAGGTCTGGGTCTCTGATAGGCAGACGGTCGTCTCTCCATACGATACTCGCAGGACCGGCCTCTTCGCTCTTCCCTGCCTTGTTCTGCTCTCTCAGTTGCGTTGTGCATCTCGATAGCAGTTGTGCATGACCCGGAGAATGTGTTTCTTTGAGCTCATCAGTGACTTGCACTGGAGAGCCAGCCCGAGAAGCGAGCGCGGTAGCATAGCGTTGCAACGGCTCGACGTCTTCGAGGAATTCCTCTGCCATTGCGCGTGCGTGATCGTCTTGCAGACCATCTGGCGGTCTGGCATCGTCTGAAGCTTGCGAGCCGAGCAGCGTTTCGAAGCACTCTCTCGATAGGGCCAATTGAATGGATGCAGTCTTTGCATCGTTCTGTTCGATTGCAAGTGATCCTTTGAGGAAGGAATGGTACGCCCTTGCCTGCACGCGCGTGATTGGCTCACAAGCTGCTTCGACGAGCGCGACGTAGTGAGCAGCATGCTTGACAGATCGTTTCAAGCGCGATATCGCTCGAGATCTTTGCTTGGCTTTGCCCTTTTCTGTGGTCTTGCTCGAGATGATGGACCAATACCGCGCCCAAGCTCGCTCGGCTTCCCAAAGGACTACCTCGAGCGCTCGCTGATCACGCTGGACGTGTGCATCCGTGATGGACTTGGCTGCAAACTTGCGGCCTTTGGATGTGGCTTGCGTGAGTTGGGTAGCAGAACGCAGATGAGCTATACGGCCCGAAAGATGATGTCTGCACGTGCAGTATCAGCAGAGCACGCGGGAGAGGCGCATGACGGACGAATAGGAGTCGTAGTCGAGGTGCCGTAAGCCGTAGGTCTTTCGTCTGTCGCTCAGCAAGCGCAATACTGCAACATTTCAGATCGCTCAGCCTTACACGATGCAGAGCTGAGGATAGAGACGCTTGCCAGGTACATGGATCGATGTAGCACTGACATCTTCTGCTGCCATGCCGCACTACTCGGCCTGCGACAGAGACAGGCTGAGGCTCCCCAAGGTCTTTGCTGTTGTCGCGCTCTTTCTCGCCAGCGTGGCTCTCTCTGGGGTGAGCTGCTCGTGCGACCTCAAAGATGGTAAGCAAAGTCTAGCATTGAAGGAGGATGACGAGAGGCTGATGAGAGGACTGCAGCTGATCTATTCGGTCTTCAAGACGCTGACCGAGCAAGTCGTCACTGTCGAGCTCAAGAATGACTTGGCCATCCGTGGCACGCTCAAGTCTGTCGACCAGTCTGTACTCGCTTCTCTCTACAGCACCCAGGTTAGCTCACACGAGCCCTGGTAGATTTCTCAACATCAAGCTAGACAACATCTCTGTACTCGATCCAGAACGGCATCCTCACATGGCTCGTCCTCTCCGTCGTTCTACTTGCTCAAAGGACTGATGCCCTCGGACAAGCAGATGACGGTACGCAATTGCTTCGTGCGCGGGAGCGTTATACGGTACGTTCACATACCCAAGAACGCCATCGAGACTCCTCTGCTCGAGGACGCAACACGTAGAGGTCAGTCACGGCGTGCGCGTCAATGTCGGCTTACTGATGTCTTTCTGCCTGTGCAGAGGCGGCCAATAACAGCAAGAGGTAGCACCACCCTGTTCTGGAATGCATTGTACAGCAGATCAATCAGAGGAGAGCGACGAGTCCAATCCAGCTATTGTGTGCTTTGAACAGCACGCTTCGATCATCGATCTGCGAGCCAATGATGGGCTACTGGTCACTCGCGCATTCCGATCGTCTTGAGCAGCACCGAAACATTGCAGTTGCCTGCTTTAGACGACAGTCTGATTGCTCGTGTGCTGACGAGCCCCAGTACAGCTTGTACGTACTCATGACGGCGACTTTACACCGATTCAGATGCCTATCAATTCGCTAAATCCAATCTATACTCGACCTTATGGCGAGCCCAACACTGGAGCGCGACTTGCGCGCCAGTGGAGAGTAGAGAAACAGATGCATCGCGAGACTAGCCAGTACCCAAGAAGTTCTTAGGCTGCCAAATATCCCATTGCACGCCATTGATATTGCACGACATGCCTTGCACGGTCTTGGTCTGGACCTGGAAATTGATCTGATAGTTCGCCATGTAGTAAAACAGGAACTTGTTGGCGTCCTTGAAGCCCAACTCGATGCGGGCGTAGTACTGCGTGCCATCCTTGAAGGCAGTGACTGAGCTATCTGTCAGCGGCGATACAGCGAGGATGGAAGAATGGACTTGCGTTCGATACTCTGGCGTTGGGCGGTGTTGTACTGCAGGAATCCAACGGGAATCACTTCGTTTGCCAAGCCGTACGACGCGCCTTTATCGGGCTCTTGAGGCATGACTTTGTCGACGGATGCAATGCCGAGCCCATTGGCATTGAGCGTAAAGTCAAACACAAAGATGATTTGGTTGTTGTTGACGTTGAGGATACATTCGTTTGTCGCCCGTTTGGCCAACGTCGGCTGGCTTCCGATGACCGATGTACGGACGCACGTTACCAGAGCAAGTATGCCAGCGAAAGATACCTTGCCAAAGCTTCGCATCTTGCTGATGATTCGATTGAGCGCCGATGAAGCAACCAAGCTTCTGTTGTCGCGAAGTGAAATGCGCAACGCGGACAAAATGTCGCAGGAGAGGCATTCGAACGGAAGCAACAGCGACGAGGGGTATTGTTGGGGGATGTAGTCCTACAGGCAACCGATTAGTCAATTTGTTGCTGGTACAACCGCGATGGCCTAAGGCGCCCAACGGTGTCACGTGATAGCAGGCTGGGCTTGCTCCAACAATTTTGCACCAGCTCGCGAATGGGCGTTTCGAGGGATGCTTTATGGGCGTGGCTTATTGCGCTTGTACGTCTGATGGACCGTGATATTGCATGATGTCGTAATCAGCGCCCATATGGCAATCTAGATCGATGGCAGTGGGCAAGTCTTTGTGGATCGTTGCTGTGTTTGGCTTTCAGTCAATGCCGCTTTGTAACCAAAGTGGTTGACTTACGATCACAGGTAGGCAGTGCCGATTCGCCAAAGCAGGTCATGTCGAGGAAATTGAAAGTCTGCCTAAATTGAGCGCTCTCAGCTGCTCGTCGTGGCGTGAGCTGAATTCGGGCGCAGTATGCTGGGCCTACTTTCGAATGGCCTGTAGGCTATTCCCAAGGCCGCCCGGGCGACGCAACAGGCGTCATCTGCACGATTAATCAGTGTCTAGTAGCCTTGCAGCTCGTTGTGAAGACTGACAAGGCGGATTGACACGAAGCTTGATATGCAAAGTGAGGTCGAGCACCTTTTCGCCCCACGCATCATAAGTAGGGTTAGGCTCTTTATGGAAGAGCTCTATGCCCTTTGCGCCTTCGAGAAAGAAGTCGTCTTCACCGGTCTTGGTTACATTGAATTCGCTGTTCCGACCGCCCCCCCTGGTGAGCCGACGTATGATGTGAAAGAGTGGAAAAGCACATTGTACCGTACTTGGAAGTGACTTTGACCTGGACACCTGCCGGCGTATTGCAGTAGCCCTGCGTCTCCCCTGCTAAGCTAGCAAAAGCAAAATTCATCGCGACCAGACACTGACCTTGAGCATTGGCCTGACACGAGTGACAGGCTTCAGGATCGGTGCTGGCCTGTCTGGCTGACTCCAGCGAACCTCGGGCTCGCAATCTTTGAACTGAACGAAGCTAGGAGGTTTATAGTCGAGTCTTTCCGCTGCTATGCGCTCTCAGTGCCTGATGTAGCTTCTCGACCACACGAACGTTCGCAGTATTCGTTCATGTCGCCCTTTGTAAAACAAGACATGGAAGTCGAAGTATCGTCTACTGTGACCCCGTATGCCGGATGGGTTGCGAGCCATATGCTGATGACAGACTGGGTGATGACGCGGCAGCAATCGTGCAAGCCTGGTGGACTTTCGAGCACGCTGAGCGTCTCGACGTTGAGCGTCACTCGTCTTGCGTGTCCGTAGATCTCTGATTGGCGCAAACGCTCAACCCCGGTACTCAACGCCTATGCAGCTTTCAGTTGGCTTGCTCGGAGTAGAATTGCCTATCTGACCGCCCCGACCGAGTACTCAGCTTTGATGCGGCCCGGAACTCGATGACTGATGAAAGTGATCTCGCTGACTGATTGCTTAGGCGGCGACTGCGATGAGATGCGGTCTGCTCACGGAGTCTTGTCTGAATAGAAAATGGCTCTAATGGGTGTCCTTCGGTGGATTTCCATGTAATTGCATGCTCCCTGGGCGAACTGAGTGCTGACACGACCTTGCTGGCCGAGACAATACCTTTGTTGCACCCCGAATTCGATAGACATTGGTTGATGGCTCGTCTTCCCAATCTTCTGCCCCCACGAGCAGGCAGAGCAGTCCGACGAGAAGTATAAAGCGCAAGCGTAGGATCATAGAAGTACGCGATTATTGTAATGAGCTGAAGTAGGGCTCGGGACAGTACGACAGGGGGAAGGCGGCAATGCTGTTTGATGCGAACGCGCGCGAACAAAAACCACAAAAATCTGCCCTTTATGCTCACACAGTCATGACCTAAATGCTGAGCTCAGCTCGATACACAATCAGTCAAATGAGATGCAAGTCAAGCCAGCATAATCTCGATGATCATTCCTCATATGAATCCGGCGTTGGCTCTCTGAGTTGTCTCAGCACGTATTGCGTATCGGTGCGGCAGTCCGTCAGCTTGTTAGGCATGCCATCCAGCTTTGTCGCTGGCGTGGTGTCAGTCTCGACAAATTGAACTCCTCTGATAGACTCACGTTGGCACGTTGACGCCGCTGATTCTCCAAAGCATGTCATCGTGAGCTGGTTCAAGGCCTGTCTGATACGGGCTATAAAGTGCTTCAGTGGTCAACCTCGGAGCATCATGCTCTGCACTGACTCATCTGCGGCCAATAGTATGCCCCCAACTCTGCCAGTGCAACGCAGCAAGCATTGTCTGCGCGGGCTTCAGCTTTCAATGCAGATAGTCGATAGACTGGCACTGACAAGGCGGATCTACTCGTGAATAGACTTGATAGCTGAGCATATACATTTGATCCGCATGTTGGTCAGGGTGACCGATGGGGGTTCGATAGAATGAAGACAAGCCCTCTGAACCAGTCAAGAAAAAGTCGTTCTGAGCGGTCGTAGTCAAATTGAACTCGCTGATGGATAAGGCGGCGGCAGTCAGCTTCGGACAGTCAGCTCCTACCATGAGGAGGCAATTTACATTTGTGCAAATTTGGACGTAACTTGCATGAAGCCACCGTATGGAATTTTGCAAGCTCCCTGTAGTATCGTTGTAATCCGGCTGCAGGCCAATGTCGTCAGAGGGACGGCAGACCTTGAGGTTAGCTCTGACGCGTGTAACAACATCCGAGGCTGGTACGGTGCTGTCTGGCTGCACCCAATCCACTTCAGGTTGACACTCGGTAATTGGGACATAAGCAGGAGGCTTGTAGTCAAGTTGCTTTGCTGCGCCATATTCTCAGCGGAGCTGTGAGAGTTTTCTATCGACAGACGTTTGCATCTGGAGTTCATGTCTTCTTCCGTATAGCAGGACATATAAGTCGCATACTTGTCGACCGTCACGCCAGATTGGGGATCTGATGTAAGCCAGACAGTGATCGTGGATTGCGTTATGATGCGGCAGCAATTTTCCAAGCCGGGTGGATTGGCGGGCACGCTGAGGGTTTCAATGTCGAACACCACTCGTCTTGGTCCGTACAGCTCCGATTGACGCAGTCGCTCGATCCCAACTCTGGTCGCCTGCGCCTTGGCAATCAGGCGTGGATTCAGGCTGCGCTTGTCGACTGACTGCCTCCACGGCATAAGTATCCGTCAAGACGCCCGGAAACTTGCGAACGATCAATATGATCTCGCTAGCCTGGCCGTATAAGCCATGTCTATCCCGGCGAGCAGCGATCTTACGGAGCCAATTGAGTCTCAAAGAATGTTCTGACTGATGACTTCCATTTCTCTGTTATGTAGCGGCAAGAACCCTGGCTTGACTGAGCTGCTGCATCGACCTTTCCGAGGAGTTGTACCTTGATCTGGCCTCGAATGTGATAGATGATTGGCTCAGGCTCAAAGTTGCCAGCTACTGTAGTAGCCAGCCAGCAGGTGACAGCACTCAACACAATGAAGCTTCGGCCAGGCCGCATGAGGACAGCCGAGAGTTCTGCAAGACAGGAGGTAGAGGCGTGGCAGCACCACGTATAGGTGAAGATGGCAATCTGTCCGGTCAGGAGCTGGAGATCTGCGTCGATGCAGATGAGAACATTTTTGACGCGACACGTACTTTACCTACATGCCTCTCACGAACCGAGCCGCGACAAAGGCCGCTTCATTCTGCCGATATAAAGACGACATTTGATGCATTCGATTTAAAGGTTCGACAGGATCTGACATGCTTCCTCGTAATATCGAGAAACCAAGATCGAGAGGACAATTCTCAATATGAGCGGGCAGACGGTAAAAGAGGCCAGCTGCATGGCTATCAGGAATCACATGATGACAATGTGCATACACTCACGATCACTAGTAGACAGCGCCGGTGCACTGAAGCGATCGACTTAAGGGTCGCGATTTTATACTCGATATGAATACATGCACTCATCAAGAGGCCGTAGAGCGTCAGCTTCCGAGCATGTTTTTGTGTGCAAGCGCAGCTCTTCAACGGGCACATGCTCATGGATCGGCACGCGCCGCGCAATACGATCTGCTCTTGCCGAAGAAAGGCATCAGATATTGGCCGTATTGAAGCATTGCTCGCGTAGATCTGACAACCCGCTCACGAATAGTAAGGTGTGGATGAGATCGTCGGTCTGCACAAACCCGTTAATTTCCATGCGATCGCCAGCAGGACTTATGAGGGGCCTACCGAAGTCTCGTACCGACGCAGTCTGCAACGAACACGAAAGGTTGCTGCGGATGATCCAGAACTTCGTAGCAAGATTTTCCACTCACACTCGAGCGTTTGTGAGGGTTGCAAAATCCCATGAACGCGCCGCCGTCTTCTTCTTCGCGCTCCGTATCATACTGTCCTGCGCCATTGTGTGGATTGAGGTAGAATTTGACGCCAAAAGCAGCCTCGCAGCTGGTTTGTCTGAGCGCGATCCAAGTGCGCCGGTGAGTAAGGCGCTTACCATCCCGGATACTCACCTCCTACGATAGTAGAAGTGTAGTCGTCGAATCGCATACCGCGATAGTCGGGTGTCGGAGGATGCGTGCCACCCTCATAGTACCTGTCGTATTCAATCCTTTTGCAGTCACCTTGAACGCACAGGGGCAGGTCCTGTGCGTCGATAGGCACTTTGAATGATACTTTGCTGGTGGTCCATGAGCGCCAAGTGTGTCGCGTGACTGCAGGCCTAGTGAGCATGCGCTCATAAGTCGATCGCTGACTGACTGTCGTATTTGTTGCCTGCCACGCTGCAATATCCTGCGGAAGACCAGCCGAGCGTGAAGATGTAACCGAGAGGGGTCGCTCGTTCACTCATTTCCGATGCCGGAGTGGACGTCACTGGCGATGCTGCGGCCAAGCTGATGGATATCAGCAGGAAAGTCAACAAAACGAGCATTGTGTCGTGTTCAAGAGTATAGTAGAGGGACTACGAAAGCAAGGACATCAGGACAGGGTCCGTTGCGATCGGCGTCCCCCTGCGACGCGAAGGAATTGAAGCGTTATCGTTGCATCTCGCGAGGTACCAGAATGAGGAGACCTGCAACCGCGTCGAACATCACAACCAAGCTTAAGAGCTAGACGACGCATAATAAGGCGTTGAAGTGATACGCGTTCTACCGAAGTGGTCAGCTGCCATTCGGATTGGTGCTCATCAAGACTGACTTGACTGTTCTCGTTTGCAGACAAGGTTGGAAGAAGAGTCCGCCTCCGGTTGGTTTGAGGACATCAGCGCACAAACGACCGTCCGGTGTCTTTCGATCTTCGACGCACTCTCCGAAGAATTCACCTTGCTGCATCGGGTCGATCTCGCCCTCCCCAGTGTGAGGGTTGAGATAGAAGTAGATAAAATAGAACACATCGCAACTGGCGATTGTAGTCAGCTGTGTGCGCTGCTATATCTGAAATGCTTCACCAGCCGGCATAACCATTCCACGTGACGCCCAGGCTTCCGTCGACATTTTCAAGCCAATAGGCTTGCCTGCTTTCAGCGTAGTGACCGAGGCCAGTGACCTTTTGGCAGGGACCTTTGACGCAGACAGGGCGTTCACCTGGCTTGATCGAAACCCTAAAGGTGATCGTTTGCTGGACGGACACTTGTATGCTGTGCACGGCTGCGAATAAGAATTCAGAGCAGAAGACAGGAGACAGGGAAAGAAAGTCGACTGACGATCCCATTGATGGAGAGCAGAGACTGAGCAAGCTCCTACTGCTCCGTAGTGAAGCGTGAAGAAGTGACCAGCCAGCACTGATCGTTCCGAGAGCTCCTTGCCAATCTCCTGGACCGGTGACGCTGTGATGCTGAGCATGAGCGCAAAGAGCAATAGAACAATCATCTGCGCCACTGCAGACATCTCTGAAAGCTGTACGATATGAGGCACAAGAAAGGGCGCCTGTCGACCTGTCTGACCCCTTGGTCGTTTGTCCGCTAGTGTCTGAGGAGGCAGCTGACAACACTCTGAGACGATGGCCAGGGCATGATGCTTTCAGACTTGAAAGGGATCGCAGCGGTCAATATACAACATCATGCATCAACTGGCTCGAGTGGCAACGAGCCACGTCGCGGTCGATCAAAGCAATACCAGTAGGGCTACGAGGAGAGAGGTGATTGCCAGCATGGACTCGCTCTCGGTAGAGATCCAGCTGCTCATACTGAGCTTCCTCCCGGCAAGGGCGCTCTGCCGGGTCTGCCAAGTCAATCACGTATGGCGAGAGCTCGCGCAAGATCAACAGGTACGCTCTCGCCCGCGATCACCACGTCCATCAACCAGACTGACTGCCCCTCACAGCTTTGGCGATCGCTCTATCTGCGGCACTACAGAGAAGGCGATGCGCTGGATGAGCTACCGTTCGGCAGCGCATCGCCTCAGCCTTCGTGGAAAGAAGTATTCAAGATCTCGAGGAACTGGGCCAATGGCTCTGCGAGTAGCTCGGCTTTGCTCTCGCTCCGATCCGCTGTCCTTGATGCTAGACTACCCATCGATCTCATGCTCGAAGGAGAGCCAAGCAGACCTTCCGCGCGGGCTACGACACAGCCGGAATACGAGAAACCTGATACGATCGTTCAGCTCTTTGGCCGACTCGTCTTTACAGCCTCGAGACTGGACTCTGTCGTCAATGTGTGGAGGACAGATCCAGTCTCTTCCTTGCCTGAGCGGTTGGGCGCAATCGTATCGCCCGGCTTGACAGGACTGTCAGAGCATGCCACCGTCACAGAAATGCGCATCGATAGCGCGCCTCGCAAGAACCCGCGTTCGCTCAGACTAGCTGTCTTCTTCGCCAGAGGTCACTTCTCGATCTTTACCATCCAGGCAGACACAACACTCAGCTATACAGAGTCACTCTTCCAATCTGCACCTGCCCATGCCGACTCGATCGCGCTCTCGCGATTTCATTTCCCTTTACTCGTCACTTGCAGCACGCAGTTGTTTCTCATCAATTTTTGGAGGCTAGCAGAAGACAAAGAAGGATTAGCTGCAACGCTCTCTCGTCCTTCTTTGCGTTCGTCTTCATCCTGGTCGCCTGCCGTGCTGTCTTTGCAGCACCTCTCGCCCGATCGCGAAGCACGGCCAGTGGACCATAGCTGGCCACCAAAGAAGCGGTCTCCCTCTTACGAGCCATTGCCTGTCGGTCAAGATCGATTCAAGGTCGTCTTGGCCTTCACAACCCCATACTTTGCCGAGTGGACTTTGTCGGTGCAAGAATTCGTCTTATCAATGACGACAAGCTCGGACAAAGTCTCGATCGTCAGCAGGCATACCACCGCTCTGCCGACTTCGTTTTCTCAGATCAGGCACACTTCTCGCAGCAGGACACGCGCGCGTGCTGCGCCGCTGATCAGTCACATCGAATTGGCCTTGCCGTGGATTGTAGCCTCCCGCAACGACAATACGATCGATGTTTATTCTCTAGCAGACATCGATGAGCAACTGGTGTTACTCCCTCGTACACAGCTTTTCGGTCATGCGAATGCAGTCACTGGCGTCGCCGTTTCTGCCGACGGCAAATGCGTCTCTGGCAGTTTTGACGGCAGCTACCGGCTCTGGGATCTGACGACTACCGCAAGTCGGCCCATCAGAATAGTCGCTGCCTCAGAAGACCGAACGGAAGACGACGTTGAGACGATAGACTCTTCATCCTTCCAGCTCGCGTCGGCGGGCGATCTGCTCAAAGACAGCCAATCTGGCGCACCACCGCAAAACAGGATCCGCAGTCTTGCCTTCGATAAAGAGAAGATCGTTGGCATTCGCTCACTGGCAACTCAGAGCGAGGATCTGCAGGTGCTGAGCTTTCTGTAGGAATGCATTGTCTGCCCCTAGAAAGACTGCCAGCCGCCTGGATCGATTGATGAGTCCATCATGCGCGCTACTTGTGTGGCAATGCCGTGGTTCAGCCACAGTTTCTTGATGTCATTGTAACGGCTCTCGTCGAGAAACGTCGGCTTGTGACGCCTACACGATATCTTCAGCAGGCGTTCTACTCGACAGCAACTAGCACTTACCGCATACCGAGATCGGTCTCGCCGTGGGCGTCGAGATACGGCGCGGGCAGGAGGCAGCCAACGCCTTCGTGCAAAAACAGCACTGCTGATTTCTGCATGAGCAAGTAAGCTGCGACATTGCCGCCGCATCTGAACATCGCAGACCTCAGCACAAGCTGAGACGGCAAGAGAGGAGGACATACTGCCACATATGCGTGTTGCATTCGCCGAATTGAGACTCGTCTTCGAGCTGTTGCGTACAGCAGAAGCTCTGACAGCAGACGAGCTCGCCGCAGAACAGACACAGGCCGCCATACTGGGGTGCCTCGTTGCAGGTCTGACATTTGCGCCGAGCAGTGACTTCGATGAGTTCGCCAAGGCGCGATGGTAGGCGTACGAGTTCATAGCTCAGTGGGAAGGGTAGCCAGCAAGCATTCCATCCCAACGGACGCTCGTCTACGGTATTGTACTTGTGTTCCTGGACCCGATACCAATTCGAGAGCCAGCTATCGAGCACGTCGCGCATCGTCCGCTTCAGAAGCGTATCGTCTTCAGCCATGCTGACCTCTGCATCGAGCACTGAGGTGAGCGTGACGAGATTGAGCTGCTGCATGAGCCAGGCGTATTCGCCAGCGCAATCGTCATCGCGCTTAGCTGGTACAGCATCCCGCTCGATGATCATACGCAAGCGGTAGACCGAACGTAAGAATGGCAAAGTGAATCGATGTAGCAAGTTGGTGAAGAGCCCGTCGTTGATTGGGCCGAGACTCGCCGAGATGCGTTGGACATATGCATGACTTTGATGAGAACCTGCACCTACTCGGCTGAGGGCCGCCAGAAGCATAGGCTTAACGCGGTGCAGACCAAGCGCATGATCTTCTTCTGCAATCTCGTTCGGCCAATCGATATCGAACGGGACAGCGAAAAGTTCGATTATCGCGTGGCTCGTCCTGATGAGCTCGACGAAGTACAAAAGTCGACTCGCGTGCTCGAAATCCTCTGGCGCAACGGCTGCTAGTTCAACAAGCGAGACCAGCGGAGATCTGCCAAGCGCCGGTGATGCTGGAGTATCCGCATGCAGCCGTGATCCGATGGCGAAACGAACGATTTCAGGCGCACGTAGGGACGAAATTTTATGCTTCGCCAAGGAGGACAAGCAGTCGAGTAAACTTGTCATCAGTCGACTAGTTGCATCATCGACTACGCCCTGCTCGAATTGTGCCGTGCCTCGGCAGGCTACCTCACCGGCTGCTAATGTGTAAGCAACCAGATCAGCAGGTAGATACATTCCGCTGTCTGGCAGTTCTGGATCCCGGCGAGACTCAATACTAAGTGGGAAGGTTACAGCTAGTAGCCGCTTGAGCATGTATGAGTCGCTCTCCGTCACGCCAGTAGCCTCGCTGTCGATGCTTGAGTGGCTGTCTTGCCAGCAAGTCAGCTCGTCCCAGGGATCGCCCATCAGCAATGTTGCGCTGTAAACCATCTCGAGATCGTGGCCGTCGTCTTCCGTGTCAAAATTGCTCAGCAGCCAGTCGACGGTATCTTGACCACACGGATCATTTGCGCGAGGAATCGCTTGTTTCTCTGACCTGTCGATCACGGGTAGAATGACATTGCAAAGCGACTTGCAAAGAGGGCAAATATACTCGAAACGGTCCACGTCTTCCGGGTGTGCTCGCAAAGGCTGCTGCTGATGGCGAAGTGCCACAGATCGGAAATAGACTTCGAAGCATCTGATGTGCATCATGTGACCGCAGGCTGATGCATGAAGGCCAGGTCGGCTAGCATGAATAGGATAGCCCTGTGAACATCCATATGCTGGATCGATGTCAAGCATACGTCTCCGATCCGGCGTCGCAGGTACATCCAACGATCGGGGCGAATTGATGACGTCCTGGAGGATGCAACCATCAGGTACGATCTCGCGGAGGATCTGACTGCTCTGCACGGATGCCAGGCTGCCGAATGCCCGACTCTCGTTAAAAGCTTCCTGGCATACGATACAGCTGCCAAAGTCTTCTCGCTCTATCGTCATATCCTCGCTGTCTCCGTCGTCGCTGTCAGCCTCTGCATCGATGTTGGTATCGAGGAAGGTCTGCTGCGCGGCTGCAAATTTCTGCATGATGGCGGCCTGTCTAGCTTTCGCTGCACGCCGTCGAGCATCCAGCGCATCACTGGCCTCGTCATCTTTCGCTATTATCCGTTTGACAGGGCGACCGAGGGTCGATGCAGACTCGGGATTGCTCTTCTCGACCTGATCCAGTATCCAGGCAATGCGGGTACGATTGGCTGTCAGCCGCGTATCGCTCTCGAGTCGTACTAGCAGGCAGCCGAGCGAAATCGTGTCTTCCTTAGCGGCTAGCTGAGTATCCGCAATAGCCAGGGATGCCGCTTCAGGGCAGTTGATGAGACAGAGTGCGAGAATGTGGAGCGCTTCGTCAACAACGACTTCTGCGACTTCTGTATGATGCAGAGTGGCGATGATGATGCAGCGACCGATCATGAGGTAAAGCTCTGAACTTTCGTAGATACGTTCGAGATCGCCTGCAATATCAGTTGGTAGAGCGGTCGGCGGATCAAAGTCTGGAGTCTTATGGCCATTTTGCGTGCGATGAGCAAGCAGAATCTTGTCTGCTTCCTCCTTCTGATTACGAGTGTATCTATGATAGTAGGGGTCGACTTGATCAAAGTACTGAGGTCGGAGGGTATAGGTGCCTTTACCGGCAGCGCTATTCGGCGCTCGATAGATTGCAACTTGTTGCAGGACGCTGTCAAAGCTCGCATCGCTTGCTAGGCGATCAGGCAGCTTTTTGATCATATCAGAATAAGCGCTTTGACCCAAAGCGAGGATGTGGACGATATCGCGCTCTATACAACGCGTGACAGACCAACTCGCGAGGTTTGACTGCTCACTGAGCATCGTGATAAGGAGACCAAGCAGTTCCTCCGTCATCACGGTGAGTTGGCCAGGATCGTAGTCGCCTTGTGCCACTGTGTCCGAGAGGTACGATGTCAGTCCAAAGCGGTCGATCAGAGCTGCCATGACTCCCGCCGGAGTAGATGCGAGCATGAGTTGCACAAGGTAGACGTCTTGATCATATGCGCTTTCTCGGAGGTTGATTTCGCGATAGTGAAGCTGTTGCGCGCGGATTGCAAAGCCATTTCGAACCCACAGCCCTGCGCGAATCTGTGCAAGCAGCGCAAAGACTGTATAGACCGGTGAGCGCACTTCTCTGCTGCTCCAGTAAGCAAGCTCACCTCTAATCGCAGGTTCGATCGTATGCAAGTACGAAACGTCTTGTCTCTGTCTCTCGAGCCGGCCGAACGATTGGAGAAGCTTGGGGACGGGTGTGCTATGCTTGGCTCTCAGACATCTGCACAGCTCTGCCAAAAGCCAGCTTAAGGGATTGTGGAAGCTAACGGGCTCTTTCGCAACTTCGAAAGGAAGTATGGGAAGCATTTGACCGCCAAGAGCGATGTGTGAGATCGATGCGCCATCCAGCCCAAGCAAACGACTGCTGACAATGTGGATAGCCTGTCCGATGGATTCCTGTGCGCCTCGCAAGAAGCTTTCACCGAACGAGCGAACAAGCTTTGCCAACTGAATGGTGAGATTGAATGCAGTAACCCAGGTGTCTGATTCGTACTCGACATGCTGTCCCACAGCGCGCACACTCGGGTTCATGCCAGTGAAGAGCGAAAGGAAGAGCGTCATGTCGACGACATAGACGTGCGGATTTCCACAGATGATGTCTTGTACGCCAGGTGATGTCAGGAGATGCGAAAGGTCATTGAACATGTGAAAGTATTTCTTGTATTTGAAGCTTGAGCTTTCCGGATTGATCTTGAGTGGTCCATGTTCAGCCATGAGTTGGGAAACTCGCTGAGACGAATACGAGTCGAATTCGTCGATAAAGTATGCGCACAATATGCCCAGGACGGTCGAGAAGAAGTGATGCTCAGACGTCAAGTGTGCAGCCACACTCCTGACCGTGACTATCTGTACGCTGAAGAACAGGACAGAATTTTCTGGCTCTCGATCGGTATTGAGGAAAGCGGTGACTAGACTGAGGTAGACGGCAGCGAATTGCTGGCCCATGCAAGCCTTGACAGCCTGACTAGTGGCGAGAAGTCTCACGTAGAGCGTGCGCAGGTCAAGTCTGGCTTGTTTCCACAGATGGTGATCACAGAGTAGCATGAGCTGGAATATCGACAGGCGTGGCTGGCTCGCATGACCTCTGACGGGTCTCAGCGGGCAGCGTTTCTGCAAAGCCTCTGGCATAGGTGCAAGCAATATCTTTGCGAGCGTTTTCCGGAGTAGCAAGCTGTCTTCGCCGACGCTAGCATCGACGATGTCATTGAACAAGGTGATAATCTGCCCGCAGACGGCTTCGAAGAAAGTCCAATGCGCCGAGCGCACATTGACAGCCAAGTCGATCGAAGCTAAGCTCACGGCCGCTCTTTGCAATTGCTTGACGTTGTCTGTCACGAGTAGCACCACTCGTCCCTATACGAGCGTCAGTGGAATCTTGTAGCTATCACAAACGTGCTCACGTAGGAGTCAACGCGCATCGCAACTTCCATGCCGTCTAGCTTAGAGCGCTCTGGAAATGTCTCTCTAATTTGCTCGATCACGTCTGCATATGAATGCTTTTCGTCGTTCCATAGGATCAGGGACCACGGCCCTGCGCCTATCGGCGCAAAGCTGCCCGTTGCAAGCGCCGGAGCAGGAGCTGGTCTCGTCGGCTCGGCAAAGCTGCCCGACCGAAGCAGTCTCGCAAGAGGCGAAGATCTCGAGGTCGGTTGGCCTAGCACGGGTAGCGCGGGCGTATTGAAGGATTCGACAGATCGCCGCAATTCCAGAGGTGAAAGCTGTGTGCGGATCATGTCTGCATTGACTGGTTCCGCGATGGCCTCTGGCGTGTGTGCGAGTGTGTAGGCCAGGAAGTGGGCTAGACCCGTTAGGCGTTCCTCGAGATCCATTCTCAGGCTTTCGGGCGTGAATACTGCTTCGTCATGTGATGTAGACGAGGAGCTTGAGGATGCACCCGCAGCCGCATGTAGACTACACGATGCACCTTGATCCCATGCTTCGACGTCACCGCAGTCGCAACATCCACAGCCGCTTGTATGGATGCTGAAAGTGATCTCGTGCTCGCGATGAGACGAGCTATGAAAGCATTTAGAACAGAGCACGACCGAATCATCTGCGCCGCATTGCAAACATCGATAGACTGTTTCGCCTTTCTTGAATACATGACCGCAAGGGTGTCCCCTACGGCTCGCAGAATATTCTGGCTCCTCGTTGTTTTGAGCTACCTCGCGTTGTGAGGCGGACAGCGACCAATTCGGGTCTTCAGACTGATGCGCTCCCCTGAGCCCGACTGGGGTCGCAAAGAAGTAGGGTAAAGCATGCTCAGAATCAAGCGCAAAGGCGTAGAGGTGCCGTCTGAGCGTGATGAGGTAAGCAGGATCGCCTCTCAAGTCTACCAAGCTCTGCAAAGAGACGCTCTGAACGTCCGAGCTTGCGTTGAGACCTTCTGGCGGATCAGAGTAGCTTAGTCTTCGTCTAGTGCGCTGTGGACTGGCAGATACTCGCTCGTTAAGTGAAGCCGTCGTGATCGGTATCGAGCGATTGTAGCTTGCCAATGCTGGCTCTAGCGTGGTGCTTCTCGGCGGCGGATAGTGCACAACATAGCTGGTCCTTTGACCTTCGTCACTGAACAGCCTGATCCAATCGTCCAGGCTCATCTTGTAGGCGTGCCTGCTGTCGCTCGTCGCTCGTCAGACTTCGTTCTAATATTCTAATTAGGACGCGCTCGTGATCGATTGATCATATCATGGCTTTCAAGACACCCATATCGACCTGCCCTGCTGGGCATCTCGGTCGCGACTTCACCCTGGCACTTCTACTGTCTGCTTTGCGCAGAAGCGTCAAACGTATCTCTTGTGAAAAGATGTTCTTCACTGCTTCATGCTCAACAAATGCAATGCATTCATACTTTAGCTTGACTTTAGCTTGCTCGGAATATTGTATCTGTCTGAGTATCTTTGTGATACTTGCAGCGCAGCGCAGCCTGAGAAGCAGTCAATCGGTTTCAAAGCGCTCTGGCGTTGCGGACAGGAAGAGAGCAGCTGAGAGGACCTCGATCAGCCGAAGTCATATCGTGCAAGACCCGTCCGTATTCTGTGTCGATGAGAGTCGATCGGTCACACAAGAGCGTGAAGTAAATCGGGCCCGAGGTACTCACACCGATCCCCTCTCTCGACTCTGGCGATTCAGCACGGTTCGTGATGTGCTTATGAAAACTCGCTAGCACCCCATCTGACGTGCCACTTTGGAAAGGGCTGCTAGAGGTCTGCTTTACGCTCTTGCCCGCATCAAGATGCCTGGAGGAAGTTGCATCTCGAATACTTACACCGATCGACTAGCTCGGCTAGCACGTCAGATGAGGTGCTAGCGAGCGTCTCAGATACACGCCCAAAATGAGGCGCCGAAGAGTCGAGAAAGTCGAGCGGCGAATGCATCTAAGTGGTTGGGTATCTTGGTCTCCTCGTTGCAAGCGAGTGTCTCAAGATACCCGCCAGCACGGGGGTCAAGGTAGAGCAGCTACAATGACGGCGAGAGGCCCACATCTTCGATGCCGATTCGCGTCGCCGTCGAATTTGCCAGTAAGTCGAGCGGCGAACGCATCTAAGTGGGTGAGTACCACAATTAAGTGGTTGAGTATCTTGGTCTCCTCGTTGCAAGCGAATCTTTGAAGATACCTGCCAGCACGGGGGTCCAAGGTAGAGCAGCTACAATGACGGCG